TTTTTTTTTTTTTTTTTTTTTTTTTTTTTTTTTTTTTTTTTTTTTTTTTTTTTTTTTTTTTTTGAATACACCAGTCTACACAGTATCCGGCAGTGGTTATATCATCCAGTCTGCCTGGGTCTCCCGCCCATCCAGTCATCCACTCTCGGGTCCCCGATTGCGGGTGGAGCCCTCAATCACATCACTTGCCTGGTTGTCGCCTTGCTGGCCGGTTAGTCAGGAACAAGGACACGCCCTGACCAGGATGGCGGAAAAAGCCTGAAGGAATTCCAATCCTGTTGGCAGTCGACCAGCTGTATGTTTCAAGAGGTGTTCGGGTCAACTGCACCTGAGCGGCGTATTTTTGCCATGCCAATGTTGTTATTTGCCCGATGCTGACGGGGGGAGGGTTGAATGGCGAAATTAAATGGAGCGCTTACAGTGTCTGATCGCCCGAACCCCCGCATTGCTGAAGCCAACTCCTGGACTTGGACTAGCGAACCCAAAAAGGGCCAAAAACTAAAAAGAAAAAAAGGCGACCGACCCCCGCAAAAGATAAAGTCAGGAGCAGTTCGGTCCCAGAGGGTCAAGCAAAGCAATCCATTTCTCTCGTCATTTTAATCCGAAAATCATCGACGGGCGGTAACATTGGTAATCCTGACTGACTGACGGTCGCCGAGTAAGCTGGTAACTGCTGTAACTGCTGTAACTCTTGTAAGTGTGGTAATGTAATGCGTCCTGTCTGCCAATGACAACCGCCCGCCCGTCCCAGCCAGACGGCCTCGTGCTGCCATCTCGCAAGTTGAGCGTCGCTCTCCATCGCCCTGCAGCGGTCTTTCGCTCCCTCACGACCACGACTCACTAGTACCGACGGACTGACTTTCTTTCGACTCCTCTTTCTCCTCTTTTGCTGCTACGTTTTCTGTTTCCCTCGCCCTCTCTACCTGTCTTCCCTCGCCATCCCCTCTCTCTCTCCCCCATTCTCCCCTTTCTTTCCTTCATTCATTGATTGATCGATTGATTGATTGAATTCCTCCCCTTTATCTACCATCTCGCCCCATTGACTCACCCCAATTGCCCCGTGATTGCTTGCTTGCTGTGGCCCTGAACCTTTTTCCCTTAGCCTCGCAGGTACCTGGTCGCCCGCTCGTATCCCTGGGATTCGCCTACCAGTTAAACTAGCTTTCCACCGTCCGACGACTTTCTTCTTTCCTTTTTCTCTTTCGTCTGCTTTTCTTTGGCTTCACATCATCACCACCACCACCACTGCGGTCTATCACCACCCACTCCGATCATCGGTTGTCTGTAACGTCCACGCTCCCCAAAGGGCATTCACGGAATCGTTGGCCTGAGAGTCCACGTACTCAAGATGGCTTCATTCAAGGTAGCATCTTATTCCCTTCCGTCAAGAGGCAAATCACCCGTTCCAGTGTGTCCGGCTAACACTCGCATACAATCTCCCAGGAATTGTCCTTTTCCCGCCCTCTCCCCCAATCCAATTCTCGCCACCATTCTCACTCGATCTCGCTCGGTGCGGTCAACTCCAATTTCCGGGTTACTCGCCGGAAGAGCGTTACTACTGCAGCTGCCGCAAACGCAGCCGCCGCGGCGGTCGCGGCGTCGATCAGAGAGGTGCCTGGGGATTCAACAGGAATTACGATGCCTTCCCACCGGCGGGGAAGCCGGAAGGGCCTAGAGTCTAGCTCGGTCGGGGCCCCCTCCGGTTTCGGCTCCTATCTGTCACGAAGCATCAACAGTCCGAGCCAAGAACCCCCGGTCGCTCGCAAGCCATCGCCCAACCACGCCCACGATGGATCATCAACCGGCCCAACCCCTGCAGATGCCAGTAACCCAAATAACAAGCCGGTCAGCACCAAGAACCGAAACCGACGGGCCAGCGAAGGATCGCACCTGGTCAAAGGCGAAGGGAAGCGGGCCATGGCCGACCTTCGCTGCGATCGTTGCGGGAAAGGGTATAAGCATGGCAGTTGCTTGTCCAAGCATATGTGTGTATCCTCCCCCCATGCCATCCTGCCGTCTGGCTCGGTCCGGAGCAATGCGCCATGTCGGCTCTGTGCAAGGTCGCCCTCGTGGTCATCCAGCTCCCCTTGTTCACCTCCTCTCTTCTCTCCTGTGCTGGGACGCCGTGGGTTGACGTTTTATGGAACTTAGGTGGGAACATAACCCTGCATGGGCCATTACCTCGAAGCTGTTGATCTCCAAGCACCAGCAAGTCCAATTGCTGGAGGCTGCCTCCGTTCTGGTCACTATGACCCAGGATGAGCCAGAAGAGAACGGAGAAGCCGAGTCAGACGTATCTTCCGCGTCCCCAGATGCATCGTCGGAGCTCCGGGACGGCCTCAGCTCGGCAGAGACCACCCCGCCTCCGATGGATGAGGATGATGATGACGACGATGAAGATATGTCGGTCGAGCCGGCAACGATGGACAAACGATACAGCGTTGGCAACCTATCCGCCCACTTCTCTCACTCCTATCAGTCCGGTCCCTCGAGCTCCTTCACAGGGAGTGCCCCGTGGGCGTCACCGGCATTCTCGCATTTCCGCCACTCCAGCATCGACACCCGCCCATCCACCGCCGAAGCGAAGCTGCACGAAGACGATGAGGCGGATCTGGCGGCCGCCATCGGCCTCTGCAACTTTGGCACCCCGCGCATGGGGCCCGTGCCCATGTCGCCCAGTGTGCCCCCGGTGCCTCCACTCCCTACGCGCTTCCTGGATCAAGCCAGCTCTGCCGACCAAGGCCGTAGCCTGGACCAGTCGAGATCCGGTGCCACCGATGCGGCGTTCTCGAGCCCGACCCCGAATATCTTCCTCTCACTTTCATATAATCCCTCCTTGTCTTACAAGGTATCGGACGAGCGCGAAGTGCGAACGGGCAATGCGGACCGTGCCAAGCGGCAGCATCGCAACGCGGATGTCGACTTTGGGAGCCGTCCGACACAGGCCGACGACGACGATGACGGCGTCTTCGGTCGAATGGAAGAGTAGACGTTCTCACCCTTCACGTCCTCCAGTACCTTGGTCCTTCATTCTGGTTACCGACCAGACGCTGTATTGCAGCCATCACTTGATGACATGTACGAGCTTGCGCGACTTCTGTAAATGCCGATATTCTTTGACTCGTTGTGTTGACTGGAGTTGGAACACCCCCTTTGCATGTATGCCAGTTTCCCAGGATTGTATACCTTGGCGGTACCGAATCGGCCGCCGACCACATGTCCGTTTATACCTATTTCATTTGTTTGGACTATTGTACTTATTAGTCGTTGCATACTCGTACCACGTCACGTGTTTCTTTGTTTATGTCGGTGGATTCCGACTCATGATCTTGCATATTCACTTTAGGAGCGGCAGGGTGAAGGGTGAAGTCATGTCCTTATTGACTGGCGAATCAATACCATATATACACCACCTCAGCCTAGGTGCTATACACCTACATCTGCTCTCTTACATTAAGTAAACCAGTAAATACCGTTTCATACTCTTCCTCCCCTTTCTGCCTCCCTTCATTTTCCTTCTCCCTCCCCCTCCCCTCTTTCTTCCTTTTCCTTCTCCCAAGCTAGCACCAACCTCCCAAACTCCTCCCACCCCAACAACCTCTCCTCCCCCCTTTCCCGCTGATACACCATCGCATTCACCCTCCACCGATCCTGCGACCCCTTTCTCCTCTGACAACACCTCGGCACCACCAAGACCTTTCTTCCTATATACTCTTCCGGATCAACCTGAAACAACAGCCACGTGTTTGCATATTCCCCGTTATCATCCTCAATCTCGATGATATTGAGTTGGAGGACTTCCGGATTGAGTTTCATCCTTCGGGGTTAGTACATGAGGTATATGTCCCGTCCCGAAATCGAAATCGGAATAGGTAAGATAAGATAAGGCAAGGTACGTAAACACTCAATACAAAGAAATTGTAAACGCACCGATCCGGATACCTCTCCCTCACCCACCCCCAAATACTCATCCCTAACGACCAAATCCCCCGGCCCTGAGCCGTCCCCCCCATCCCGGGCGTAGAGCAGTTTGGTATGCTAAACGGGCGAGTTCGGGGCCAGCAGGTTGGGGAAAGGGTGGGGTGAGATCATTGAGATGCCAGGGGACGTGGGGGAGGAGTCGTTGGATGGCGAGGAGGGGGCCTTCGATTTGGATGCGGAGGGGGTGGTCGTGGGTTGGGGGGGTGGTGGGGGTGTCGGGGGGTGTGGATGCAGGAGGGGAGGTAGAGGGGGGGGGAGGGTCATTGTTACTACTCCGTATTAGGATTGATGTGGTGTTGGATGGGGGCAAGTCAGGGTGGATGATATGATATGATAGGGATCGCTGCAGGTTCAGGGTTAGGTCAGGTTGCGGGGTCAGTTATCACATGATTTGTATAGATGGCTAACAATCGATGTGTTAGTAGATTATGATCTCTCCGTATCTGATGTACATCCATTCATATACTGGTAGAGTAGAGTGACAGACTACCTATGTCCACATGATATCGCACCATGTATATCGCCAACCGACGCCAAACAAAACACTTGGTCTTCGAACCACGGGCAACAAAAGTCAAAAGAAATATGTAGAAAGAGGGAAGGAAGAATGAATAAGTAGAGCGGCGTGATGGATGGTGTCCGGACTTTTGAAAACGCCAGAAGAAGATTAGAATATATCACAGAAACAAAGGTATGTGCTGATAACCCCGAGGACTCCGCTAAAGAATATGAACTGAAATTTCCCCCATATGTTCACCATCGCCAATCAATGTTCATTACGAGCCATGTGGGGGTGCGCCGGTGTCACCAAAGACTGGAAAGTTGTTCGACATATCGGCCCAGTCCCATTCGATGGTCATGGGCATCTGCCAAAGATCTTGCGGGACGAAAGGCTGTTGGAAGGGTGCCAACGGGGTATCAGGACTAGCCGTGAAGGCGGTTTGGTCGCCGAAATTGACGCCTTCCAAGTTATTCGGGCTGAGCATTTCAAAGTCGGGCCCAAGGCCGGACAGCCCGTGCATGCTATCCTGGAGGTTCGAAGTAAATCCATTGGCTCCAGGAAGTGGCTGGCCTGGGGTGAAGTTCCGGGGCTCGTTGGGCACGTTGGGCGTGGGCTGGCTTTGAGTATTTGAGAACGATGGCGATGCGGTGGGAACGGCTGGAGGTGGTCGGGGTGCTGAATCTGGCTTCCCAGCCGGTGTAGTGGGGGAATGATTATCTTCCGACGTGCGCCGTTGCACATTCCTGGGTTCATCAGGAGCAGCCTTGCGCTTCTTCTTGGAGTGCGAGTCCCTCTCCGCTTTGTCAAGGACGACCTGGGCGATTCGCTCAAATTCGCCACAGAGAGAAAGCATGCGTTTGACACTTCCATTCGACTCGTCGGACACAAGAGTAGACAGGAAATTGACGACCACATTCATCAACTTGACGTCGGAGCGAGCCCGGGCGTCGTTGGGGTTTTGCAGGATATTAGCAAACAAGGTAACCAACGAGGAGACAGGATAGTACAGTATCAACCTATTTCTTGTTAGGGACGTGCGGTCAGACAGTCTAGGTCCAGGACTCACCAGACACAGGCAAAGTCGCCTTGCGGGATGTATTTGATTAGATTGATGGATGCCCGCGCAGCAGTTACGCAGAGGACGGCAGACAAGAACACTCGCGGGTTCAACGGCCTCGCGTTCAGACCTTGAATCGCGTAGTTGGAGAGTCGGCTGGTCCAATAGCCATGATGGACGGACATTCGGTGGATGGTAGTCAAGCAGTTATAGTAGGCAAAATGGAGAACAACAACGTGCAGGATCAGGGGCGTGTACGTCGTTTTGATCTCATTTTCGGGTCGAAATTCGAGCGGAATGCTGTCTTTCCATTCTTCGAGATCTTTGTCGAGATCTCCAATGGTGTTCAACAGCTCACCATCCGACTGTTTCGATGCTTTGGCGGAATAAAGTCGCTTGTATACCCGGCTCTCAATGATGGCGAAGCGACACATGGATCGGAACAAGTTGAACTTGCTTCCGTCCGACAATGGAACGTTGCCAATATTATCTGGGGGGTCATCACTTGGTAATTCCACGTTCATGTCATCATCATCCTGAACAGGTGGACGACCAGAACGGAGACAGATACTATCACGCATTAGAACGACCGATAAACCATTGGTCCAACTTACTCCTTATCCAGAAGGTAGGCAATCCAGAACACTCTTTTCCGTTGTTCCACCTCCACCGGATTCAGGCCGAATCCAGAGCCTCGTTTGTGGAGACCGATGCTGTGGGACAGTCTGATGGCCGCCGCAACCAGGAAGAAGGACGGCTGAGGGTTGGGTGTTCCCTGCAAGAAGAGCGACTGTGCAACAATGAGCTTCTAGTCAGTGGAAATTAGAGATTGGACCACTCACCATGCCCAGCAGCGCCTGAACGCTGAGCAAATCCGTATTGCGCATCGTAAGCTCGGTCAAAACTGCCATGGCGTTCTTCAAGTATAGCCACGCCTTCTTATCCTCTTCTTGGGGCACCAGATTACTCATAACTCGGATTCGATGCGAGATCGCCAGGACCACATTGATACTAGCCCACCAGCCGGAGCCCTCATACGGATCCCGAGAATACTGGCGCTCCACCAAGTGCATGAAGGTCGGCTCATGGAAGAGCGGGAACATACAGTTGAAGTTGGAAAAGAAGTCGCGGAAGAGCGAAATGGCCTCTTCCTTAGGGGGCAATGGCTTGAACACGCGACGAGCAAAGATGTCGCTGAAAATCTCCGGCTTCCAATACATCCACTTGTTGTCGTCAATATAGGCAGAAGAGATCATGTCCTGGAACGAAGTGTCGCCCGTCTTCTCGTTCACCCACTGAATGCCCTTGGGAGAGAATATCGAGAAGCCCGAAGAGGACCCTGTCCGTCATTAGTCGCGCTCCATGCGATGAATCGTCCAAAGCACCCACCAATATATCGCGTTTCTCCGCAATTGTTCGTAACCAAGGAGCACATCATATCCGACAAGCCCTCCACCTCGGGTTCCGATTCCTTCTGAGACTCCGGCGACGTAGCCGCTGTGCGTGGGCTAGAGTGCGAATCTACACGGGGGGTCGAGTGGTGCGACGACGAAGTCTGTTGGGATTGGGTATTGGATTGGGGCGCGTTGAATTTATTCGGACTCGGGCCATTTAGAGCACCATTTGCCAAAGTTCGATCGGCCAGGCGTTTCTCCAGGGTTCCCAAATCGGTCTTGCCGCCATCGTCCTCAGACAAAAGACCAGAGAGACGAAGCAGCGACTCCATCCTTCCGAGCCGATTTTCCAACCCTTCAATGTATTTGGCACTAAGCAACAAGAGATCTGTCAGCGCGCAGGCATTGACGGAAAGGTTCCAGCACGCATACCCTTTCGGCGGATTCCGTTTCTTCTCAACCTGGGTAAATATACAATCTGTCTTGTAGTTGCTGCAATGCGAGCACTTGGGCATTTTCCCATCACACTTGATTTTCTTTTTTCGGCACATATCGCAGGCCTATGCGGAGAATGATCAGCGCGCTGAGATCCAGGCCCCGCTACCATGCGCATCACAATCCACTCACCCTCGCGATTCTTCGTCTCTTGGCGTCATTACTGTCCTCCCCCGCGCCCATTGACGGGTCATCCTGGAAAGCTAGATTCTGGTGAGCTGAGGCCATCGGCGACCCGTCGGGTCCATAGGCACCGAAAAATTGCTGCTGCTGATTCATGAGGATGGGCATGTCGAAGCCCATCCCCTCGGGCGCTTCTCCGATGCCATCCATTGTGGCGGAGCGACGATACGGCAACGAGTAAGGGTCCGAGGCTCTCGCCAGTGACGGAGTGGAGTTCCAGTCCAAGCGGGTATGCTTCGAGCGTCCTGGGCGATGCGGGGTTCGTCCCCGAAGACGTCAACGGGGAGATGCGGTGTGGCGGCCGTTTGGGGGGGGATGAGGCCGAAAATCGAGATTCCGATAAGGAATGACTAGGGTGAGCTGGGTTAGAGCCTGTATCCGGTGGGGAAACGCTGCAAAAGAGAGGCCCAAGGGGGAAGGGCAATGATGGAGTAATGGATGAAGTGTGGCTTACTCAATCCAATCTTTCCCCGATAGAGGCACGTGGCGAGTCTAAGACGATAAGGGAGGGACGGGGTAAAAAAGAAACGAGGCAGAAGATGATGTCAAGGCCTAAGGAGGGTGGGAAAGAATGAGATGGCCAGCTCTCAGGCTATGAATCATGGGGCATGCAAAAAGGAAAGATGAGCAGAAGGTAAGCTAACGAAGGTTCGATGGTCACGTAAACGGCTGCTGCCTTTTTGGCTGGGCTGCCCTAAGAGAGCGTTCGCAGTCGTCTGTACGTATCTTTGTCTGTCGGAGAAGCGCTGCTAACGGACTTAAGGTCGCCAAGATCGTCTCGAGCCTTAAATTCGCCGAGGGGTTCGACTACTATCAAGTGCTAATTTAAATGCAGGACTGCACTGTGGAATAGTCTCGGTTCCGAAGCTTCTGCTTGCCCTGCCGCGATAGGATCCTCAACTAAACCCATCCCGATCACGATTCCCTTGCTCTCCTCCTCAGTCCACGCCCGGACTTGCGAGGCTTGCGAGGTGACTGGGCCAACTCGGAACCCGCTACGGCCGGCCTCCGTTCTATCTAGACGAATGAAAAAAACCCTGGTGGCGGATGGCGTCTCTCCGTCCCGACCGGCCTGGACTTGGCACACGGACTTTCGGACTTTGCCAATGCCGGCCCTAGCTTCTGTGACGGTTTGACCCTGGGGTGCATGTTCTTTCTTCGTCGGTGGGGTTCTTTGACATGCTTACCACATCGCCCGTGATTTAGGCTCCCACCTTGAATATAATTCAGGGGTGGTTGGACCCTGATGAAGATCAATAGTAGAGACTACGGAGTACGGAATACAGTACCCTGCGGAGTACTCCGTAGCTGGGTTCTTGAAAGCTTTGGCGCAATACGCGCTTTGACTGTCTGCAGCGTAATGAGGTGCAATCACCTCTATCTACAGGAGAAATGACAGGTAATCGCTACGGCGCTGCCATACTAATCAAAACATGGCGGAGCAGCCGAATAGCTTTATTTAGCATGCATATTCAGACTGCTCCACAGCTCTCGATCACCCCTGCTAAAAGCGAACCGAGCGAATAGCATGTGGCAAACGTATAGTTGTATATTCAAGAGCGGCGATCTCTCATCAGGATATAGTGACAATACAAAGCTCCCCGTAAAGAGCACGAAGAGATATCTTCTTCTTCGAAAAATCCGACCAACGCCTCGCTATGCACCCAAAGAAGAAACGTTCTTGTACAATAAAAGATACTTGAAGTATCCTGTGCATGTCCGTGTTTCCTCTTCCACCCCACAAACGCCCCGAACAGTCGTGAGTGGAGGATCTGTGTCGGAAGAGTCTCAGGTATGTTTGTCGAGGAACTCCTTGGCCTCGTTGATCTTGGTTGCCAGGTAGGGGCTGCCGCCACGATCGGGGTGGTTGAGAAGCATGAGCTGACGGTGCTTCTTGCGGATCTTGTCCTTGGTCATGGTACGTTCCCTGTTGCTTCATTAAATAAGGCCATCCAGTGCATATCAAGTTGAACATACGGAAGTTCCAAAATGAGGGCAGCTTCACGACGAGTCATACGCGGCTCAAAACCACTGTATACTTAGTTAGTACTCTGTGGCGGTATATCATTGCATCAAAAACCAGAATATAACTGACCCCTTGTAAAATGCCTTTCCCATAGCATTCACACCTCCTTTGGACCGACGGTAGGCAACAAGACCGGCACGACCCTATAGATGAAGGGAACGGTTAGCCTTCTGCCGACCATGATGCGGGTTATCGTTCCCGGGTTCTCAACTTACCAAAAAGGCCGCAGTAGCGACACCGAGACCGATAGCAATAGTAGACATTGTGAAGCAGTTGAGCGGCTAACTCAAAGTGGACGGAAGGGAGTCAAGACACGAGAGCAGAAGGGATATCGAAGGAGTGACGTTGGGGAGAAGCGGAAGTCCAGATAAAAAATCGGAGCGGCGCCGCATTGCCCGTTCCGGTTTAGCGCCGGCTGCTCCACGCTTCAATTTTTGATGCGGTTCCTGTCCTGAACATCGGAGATCTTCTCGACACGACGGTGGGATCGAGGAGTTCTTTGCGGCTTCAGACCTCATCTTTCGGAGTTCTACTTCCTTTATAGACCGCCACTTTTGGGCTCACATATACCACAAGTATTAGCCCAATATGAGGTGAGCATACGAGACCTGCCTCTGCCGGGCGAAAAAAAAAAGTCCTCCGGTTAGGACTTTTGGCTGACTTGCCGGACAGAGTCGAAACCTGCCACTTTTGCTCGAGGCCTGTTTACCCTAGCAAGGGTATTCAGTTTGTCAGAAATGACGCCAAGGCATTCAGATTCTGCAGAAGCAAATGATAAGTAATGCCCCGCCGGTCTTATCAGGTTTAGGCTAACTCCTACCACCCATCAGAACTTCAAGGCTAAGCGCCAACCGAGACGTGTGAAGTGGACCAAGGCCGGTCGCGCTGCCAAGGGCAAGGAGATGATTGTCGACTCGTCGCTGGTGCTGTCCCAGTTCGCCAAGAAGAGAAACGTCCCCGTCAAGTACGACCGAAACCTGGTTGCGGCTACGATCAAGGCGATGGAGAGAGTGGAGGAGATTCGGCAGCGCAGAGAGCGGGTGTTCACGAAGCGTCGACTGGCGGGCAAGCTTGCGCGGGACCGCAAGCGCGAGGAGGATCGCAGGGTGGTCATGGAGGGCGAGCACCTCATCCGCAAGGAGCTCCGCGAGCGCGAGGAGGGACAGCCGTTGGTCTCCGAGACGACCAAGGCGAGCAGACTGCACGGCGAGGAGCGGCTCAGACAGAAGAAGAAGACCAGGATGTTGGTGGATGGAACCACCCAGGAGGAGATGGATGTCGATTAAAGGGTATGCGTTTCTTACGGTTCTTTCTCTCCGGCTGTCTGGTCGGGTTCGATACCTTGAGGTTATGATGGAGTTGGGTTTGTTCTGTGTTTCAAGCTTTTCCTATCCAAAAGTATCCAGTGGTCTCTGCGATGAACTTTCATGTCCAAATTCGTTTCTTTGCAGGTACTATACTGAATTAATCCCACAAAGTCTTGCTCTACATCGTCGTCAGGAAGGCGGTCGACTTGATCGTAAGGCTCGTAGGTCCCTGATTACTAACTGTAACATTACTAGTTATACTGCATGAAGTTATCCTGTTCTGGTCCTTACTCACAGCCCATGGAGTCATGCAGGAGAATCCAATCTCAACAGCGATGGCACTTCCCAACCACCCCCCACGGTCAGCATCTACGCCATCAACCACTGGGCAATCAAGGCCATTTGCGTGTGCCTCCACCCGATTACAACATGGCTGACCCTGTCCACCGACTTCCTTGGGGTTCTGGGCGGTGGGCGGCGGTGGGCGGATGACTCAGCCGGCGAACGGAACGAGGAAAAACGAAGGCGGGAAGCGTGGGAGAGAACGAACTTCCAGCGACATCAGCTCCCCCAAGAGCTTTCACCGTCCCCGCCACATCCTTTTCCAGCAGTGCCTCTATGGCTGCAGCACTCTCGACTTGCCATTGAGACGTCAGATTCCCCCACCCGCTTGACCTTAGCCTCCGGGCTCATCTTCCTCGACCATGGCCTCCTCCCTGCTCCGCCGGCCAGGCAATCTTGCTCGATACTCGAGGAGAGCCGTAGACTGCATTTACCGCGCAGGGCCGCTCTCTGCACACGCTCCGCAGTCAAGGCTTACAACTCTTATCATCACACACCGCGCCAGGACATATGCTACGCAGCCCTCCGGGGGCCCGAAACCCCCGAACGACAAAGCCAACAACAAGAAGCCGGCAAGCTCAGGAACCGGACCCGGGGATAATGACGGAACTCCCAAGGCGGAGGAGGAGCCTGTGCTCAGCAAGGAAGAACTGGAACAACTCGACAAGCTCATCGCGCACTTGAAGGAACGGGTACCCAACTCGCAACATTCGATGCTCGAGGACGCGCGGACGGTGATGATGAGACATGGATTTCCTCCGCCGGTGAAGGACTTTATTGACAAGCACATCAGAACCGGGCAGGGTGCCAGTATGATCACGTACCTGCGTTTAACAGCCGAACTGGCTGGTTATCTCGATCAATTCGCCCGTCACCTATACGAAGTCGAACAGGAGAGATTGTCGAAGGAGAAGGGGACGAAGGAGAAAGAAGAGGGCCAAGGAAAAGAGGCATCTCAGAATCAGGAAACACAAAAGGAATCAAAGGAAGAAGAGCCACGACGGCGACAGGAAGAACAGCAAGGACAACAACGGGATAACAAGAACCCGTTCGGCAAGAAACCGCCGGAGCCTCAAGAAGTGTTTTCTTTCAAAATCGACAACTTGTATCTTTGGGCGGGCATACTTGTCAGCTACTATGTCTACCGCAGCTTCTTCCCCAGTGAGAACACCAACGAGATAACGTGGCAGGAGTTTAGATCGAATTTCCTTGAGAGGGGCTTGGTTGAGAGGCTGGTTGTCATCAACAACTCCCGGGTTCGCGTGGAACTTCACCGTGAGGCGGTAGCTCAAGTCCATCCCGACTCGCCGGCTGCCCATCCTGGCTTCTTCTACTATTTCAACATTGGGTCCGTTGATGGCTTTGAGCGGAAATTGGATCAAGCTCAGAATGAACTTGGAATTCCCACTTCCGAACGAATTCCCGTGATGTACCAGGGAGAGCTTCCCTGGGCAGCTACGATCGTCAGCTTTGGCCCCACCGTGCTACTCCTGGCCGGTATCTACTTCTTGTCAAGACGTGCAAATGGTGGCGCTGGCCAGGGCGGGATCTTTGGCATTGGAAAGAGCCGTGCCAAGCGCTTCAACCAGGAGACTGATATCAAGATCAAATTCTCCGACGTGGCTGGAATGGACGAGGCCAAGGTGGAGATCATGGAGTTTGTCAGCTTCCTCAAGAACCCGGAGCGATTCCAGAAGTTGGGTGCCAAAATCCCCCGTGGCGCCATTCTCTCGGGTCCGCCCGGTACCGGTAAGACGTTGCTGGCAAAGGCTACCGCGGGCGAATCTGGCGTGCCTTTCTTCAGCGTCAGTGGATCGGAGTTTGTCGAGATGTTCGTCGGTGTCGGTCCCTCCCGGGTTCGTGACCTCTTCGCCAACGCGCGGAAAGCCACCCCTTGCATTATCTTCATTGATGAGATTGATGCCATCGGCAAATCGAGATCGAAGTCGAACTACGGCGGCAACGATGAGCGTGAGAGCACCCTGAATCAGATCTTGACCGAGATGGACGGCTTCAACACTTCTGAACAAGTGGTGGTCTTGGCCGGTACGAATAGACCCGACGTTCTGGATCAAGCTCTGATGCGTCCTGGGCGTTTTGATCGGCATATTTCTATCGACAGGCCCACCATGGATGGCCGCAAACAGATCTTCGCCGTTCACCTGAAGAAGATCGTGACGAAGGAGGACATGGAGTACCTCCAAGGAAGACTTTCGGCGTTGACCCCCGGGTTCGCTGGTGCTGATATCGCCAACTGTGTCAACGAAGCGGCTTTGGTTGGTATGTGAACTTCGTCCCTTGCAGAAGAAAGATGGTTATAGGGATTCCTGACTGACTGATTTACAGCGGCTCGTGAAAACGCCGATCATGTCACCATGAAGCACTTTGAGCAAGCTATCGAGCGTGTGGTTGGTGGTTTGGAGAAGAAATCTCTTGTGCTTTCGCCCGAGGAGAAGCGCACGGTCGCCTACCACGAGGCCGGTCACGCTATCTGCGGATGGTACTTCCGCTGGGCTGATCCTCTCCTCAAGGTTTCGATCATTCCCCGTGGCCAAGGTGCCCTGGGTTACGCCCAATACCTGCCCGCCAACGGCGACACCTACTTGTTGAATGCGAACCAGCTCATGGACCGCATGGCCATGACCCTGGGAGGACGTGTCAGTGAGGAGCTGCATTTCGATACCGTCACCAGCGGAGCTAGCGATGATTTCAACAAGGTCACCCAGATGGCCACTGCCATGGTGACCAAATTCGGCATGTCATCCAAGCTGCGCTACATTTACTACGACGAGGACCCGAAGAGCCAGATGCACAAGCCCTTCTCCGAGGACACTGCCCGGGATATCGACGCCGAAGTCCGCCGCATCATCGACCAGGCCTACAAGCAGTGCCACGATCTTTTGACCAGGAAGAAGAAGGAAGTCGGCATTGTGGCCGAGGAACTCTTGTCCAAGGAAGTCCTCAGCCGTGACGACATGATCCGTCTTCTCGGTCCCCGCGAGTGGCCCGAATCCAACGAGTTTGCCAAGTACTTTGACGGCCGCGGCACCATCGCTCCCCCAGAACCTACGGCCCCCGAAGGCAAAAATGGCCGCGACTCGACCCCGATTCCCCCATAGATGATACACGTTGGGGTTCTGCAATTCTTCTTTTCTCTCGAGCAGGAATATCACGGCTGACGAAAGATGGGAGCGGGGGTTGCATGTCATATCATACTATATCGTTTCTCGCTTGGGTTTTGTATTTATTGTGAACACTCTCACACACTCACGGAGCATCTCCTTTCCAACCATTATCCCTCTTCTGTCCGGCTCGAACTCGTTTCTTTCCCCGTCGCAATGTTGTTATCATAAATATTAGGACCTATGTTTTTTGCGTGCTCTTCTTTCCCCCGTCTCTCCACTATGCCCATCTCCTTCCCAATTCCCAATCCAGTTTATCCCCAGCCATCTATCACCTCGCTCGTCTCCTCTCCTCGTTCGCCTCTTTCTTCCTCCGAGAGAGGCATCCCCTGTGTATTGTACTTGTATAGTAGGTAGTCTTATTTCGATTGGTGTTTCTGATACCTAGACGGTAGTGCAATTTGCAATGGCATGAAACTAGATCCTATCCTATCCTATCCTCTCCTACCCTCTCCGATTCCTTTGATCCATTTTCTACGGCTATCGGTATGTGGGCTAGGTTATTGGTGACTACTAGAATCATACATGGTTTATGAAGGCTGTATCAGCTACAACGTAGGACGTGAACGGGCAAGAATCTGGTGGTATGAAAGGCAAGCTGACGCGATCCATAAGTAGTCAGGGTATTAACCGTAATGTGGAAGGCGCAGGGGCCATGGCCATACTAGGAAGGAAGGCGTGGGCCAGGCAGGCAACGGTAATGGATGCCTCGAGAATATGGTAGGTATAAGGAAGGCCGCCAAATCACTGCCTATTCTGGGCTAGATGATTGTTCTGTAGTTTCTTTCATAACTCTCTGTCAAGAATAGGGTGCTTGTATGGCTTGGGGTTTTTTGTTTCCTTTAGGTTTGTCCCCACAAGTGATTATCTTGTACCTTTGGTTTAGTCTCCTCTAAGACATGGCCCCTTCCTCCTCCAAGATGGTTGATAGACAGTGCCTCCTGGAAATGGCCCGAAACTTAGCTCCCTCGAGGCCTTCATCCATGTCTCCTGACGACTGTTGGAGAGTTGCAAATCTCCCTATAGAGGCTCTTCGGATTTGAGAGCTAGCAAGGGGTCGTGCTCCGCGTTCTCGCAAGTTCTGGATGCGCTCTACCGAATGTTGAAGCTCACTTTGAAATTCATCACAAAACGCCTCATATCGCTCTGGTTCAGGCAGACTCTCACATGCCTGTTGTATTTGTGCGGTGACTTCGTCTAACCTGAGTAACTGCTCGTCGAACTGCATTCGGAGCTGTGTCTGGAATAGCTCCCAGATTGAACCGATCCTGGTGGCTTGCATTGGGGAGAGGAGTTTACTTGATCTTCTTTTCTCCTCGAGAACTTGACTCTCCAGGAGCTCGGAGTGGATGTTCATCCGTAACGAGAGAAGTTTGATGCCGTCTGTTAGCCAGGAAGCTTCTTCTTTGACTTCTCAAAGTAGGCTTAATGTATTTTTTCGCATTTGGATTGTGTCCTGATTGGAGGATGGTGGCTTTTGGATATCCTGGAATGGAGAGGTTTCTTCCTCGAGCGCTGCGTCACTTTGTACTGCCCTTTCCTCCATGGTAAAGACAGTATCGGTGACTGGGTCCTGGGTATCACACTCATGCTTGTTGATGTAATGTCCAGGTGTCGCAGGCTGTAGTTTGTCCACGATTATCAAAGTGTATGCGAGGAACATACACGAGCCGATGAGAAGACTACGCCGCGTAGCTGATTTGTATGGAGGACACAAGTTGTTGACGACATATGAGATCCACTGTGAGGCTTCTTCAGATAAATGTATCCCAGTACCATTCGACCCTTCCTTCGTAGCAACCAGTTTACTGCCGGTATCACCATCCTCGATAGCCGCAGAATGGAGAGCCTCAACCGCCTCGAATAATAACACAGAGTTGGCCTCTCGAAATGGCCGCTTATCACACCGAGGGCATGAGTTGTTTGCTGGCTGGGAAGCCCAGGGTGAGAAAACGGGCTCGAATAGGTAGGCAAGGGTGTAGTTTGGGGTCAGAGCTAAGTCTGGCTCACGGTACAGTGAGAGCTCAGGTAAAGACAAAGGATAGAGGATGCCAATAATGGTTGTTAGAAGTGGTAGAAGAGCGATAGGACACGGATTCATGATCGACAGGGTTTGAAAGATGGCAACGATGGCAACCGATAGGTTGGATGAGGGGGAAGAGAAGAGAGGGAGAGGAAGGCATCTGTGAAGATATTGGTTGAGTTAATACGGCACCTGCCGTACAACTCAGACTGGTCATAGTTACTGGAGAGGAGTCCTCCGTTGCATGAGAAGAGCTCAAAGAATTAGTGTTTTGCTCGATATGGTATTCTTTTTTTTCAACTTCTATTGCGTCCAGGGTATCATGTCCAGTTACTACAAATGCAACTCCAATCAAAGCCAGTTATGAAGCCGCCTGATCGACCAGGTACTTTCGACAGGCATCCTTCAGCTTGTTGATCCGCCGCTGGGTATGCACAAACACCTCCCGGTACATATCCAGACTCTCCTGCACAACTTGCTGCCGTGTCCGCATGCCAGCGCAGATCTCCCGCATGCGGAGCTCCATCTCCTTACGGAGGAAAGGCTTGCTCAGGGAAGGGCTATCGGGCATGCCGGCAAAGACATCATCGTATCCTTCCACCAAAGCAATGCCCAATCGGGTGGGAATCAGCTCTTTGACTGCGTTCCGGCCGCTGCCGCGCGAGTGAACGGCAACGTATTGTCGCTCCTTGATCTTCGCAATGTGCTCCGCCATGGTAGCATCCGTGCCGATTCCATTAGCATCCATCAGACCAATCAACTCCGGCTCGGTCAGGTAGTTAGGGGGCGTTGTCTTGCCATCGAAGATCTTGGCTTCAGTTGGTTCGAACAGCTCGCCCATTTGGAAGTTGGGGAGCTGCTGGCTGCTTTCCCATTTATCGTAGACGTAGACATCGAGGTAGTTCCGTTCAAGGACGAGGAGGCCTTTGGCGTGGAAAAATTCGTCGCCGTACTGAATCTCGATTTCAGTTGATTGACCTTTGGCATCTTCGGAGCAGCAGGCCAGGAAGCGTCGGACGACAAATTCGTAGACTTTCTTCTCGTCAACGCTGAGAGCGGTGGGTGCAACCCAACAGATGGGGTGAATGGGCGGGTGGGCTTGATCGTTGTGTCGACCTGCTCGAGGGGTCTTGAATCCGCCATCCAGAAGACTGGAAACATTAGTGGCTGCAGGAAAAGGGTTGGCAGGGGATGCGTACTGCCGAGCATATTGACCCCAGTTACCATCCGGGATCTGCTTTTCGACTAGCTTCTTCAAGTCAATTCCTTTATCGAACTGGTCTGTCTCGGTACGGGGGTAACTTATAAACCCCTTCGTGTAGAGGCCTTCTGCGACCTGGATGGTGTGAGTCGTTGCTCAGGTACATGGCGGAGACCACACGCCTTACCTTCATGATTGTTTGACTGTCCATGCGGAGGTATCTACTTCCCATCATTTGCAGATCCACCGTCGTTAACGGCAGAGGCCTCCATTTGCTGGTAGGCTTCTGACTGACCTTGGTGACCTTGGCTTTCTTTGCCAGTAGGCACCGCTCCAGCATCACCGTCACTGCAGCTCTGTCGAAGAGATGGACTCGTTTCCACAGAAAGTTGACCTTGATGTCATCCCGTGAATGCATGACTTTGATGCCCCAGAAAGTCTCCGGTTTGAAATTCTGCACACGAAGGTAGCGATCAACTACGAAGCCGAGTGTTGGAAATTGACAGGAGCCTGCTCGATAGTCAGGAGAGTATCCACAGACTGGTCCAATCAAGCCATGATAGTTCCATACCATAGCTTATGATAGTATCTTGTAGAGCTGCAGAAAGAGGTTTCAGCTGAAGAGTTTGCAGGCGAGTGAACGCCGCACCGATCCGAAGATCCAATTCTATTCTAGCTGCTACTGCGTTTGCCTGGAGGTCATCCAGCTCGATGAGTGTCCGAGCGGCATGAAGAACATGACTTTGGCCTACAAGTTAGCTACCCAGTGAATGTGAAAGGGAACTGGTACTCACGCTTTTTCCGTGTTGCTGAACCTTGCCCGCTTGACGAGAATGCGGGCGTTCCCTTCCTTGGCTTGTTTACGGATTTCAGTTCCAATATGCTCACCTTCTCGATCACAGTCAGTCCAAATGAAGAGGGCCTTGCATCTCCTGGCCTGTTCCTGGATATTTTTTGCAATGGCTACTTTATCCTGACGCGAGATATATCAGCATGTATTCAATACCGGAGGATGCGCAGGGCTGTGTACCTCGGCCACAGATTCATGCACTGGAGCTTCGAAAAGCGCTGCTGGTGGGCAGGATAGCCAAGTTTTGTATTGGCGCTCGAAATCCAGGCCTGTTAAATGCCCAATGACGCTGGTCATGGTCACGGAGCAAGTGCCCCAAGGGCCACCAAAATTGAAGTCGAATACATAGTTCTTCACGTACTGGTTACCCCGGATGGGTATCTACAACTACTTCAGTATACATTCCTCTCCGCAAAGCACTGAACACTTACCGTTTGAAAGGAACCACCGGACAAGTGCTGGGCCACAGCCCTGGCGATGGCCGGCTTTTCAGCCACGCACAACACCCTTTGACCCGGCATGGCAGGGGGGCCTGAGTCAATGCGGAAGACTAAAGATGGAACATCGCTAGTCCTCCCTGGAAGAAGCCACTGCAGAGAGAACTATTGAACATTGTCGCGTGCGCTCCAGGAAGTACTTTGCCTCGAACGCGAAAAGACGCGAGTCACGGGATGATACCGAGATGCCTTGGTGCCTGTATGCCTGAGCTCCGGGAAGCTGTGTCTGCCTGAGGCATCTACCAGGCCGTTGCTCGGCCATAACGCTGTGTTGTTTGGGTTTCCGGGATGTTGTTGTTGTTTTCCCCATCCCACCTTTTCCCACCGGTGCTCTCCACTCACATGCGAGAGCTTTTCCATCACCCCAGCAGCAACTGACTCCAGTCCAGCTTACCGAGATGGCGCTACCACTCCCTGACGTCAAGTCCGTCGCCGACTGTGCATCCTTCGGCCACACTGTCCTACCTTTCCTGTCGCAAATCACTGCGCTTCCCGAGCGACTGCAGCTGGCGGCGGCGACCAAGGATGTGGACATCCTCAAGGACATCTATCTCTCCACCAACCCTTTTATCACGGCCCTTGCCTTCAGTCTATTCCTGTCGGCCCTATTCCTGATCACCTCAGAAATCAACCGGAACTACTCGCAGGTTGACCGGTTCTGGAGCATCCTCCCATCCGTGTACAATGTGCACTTCGCTGTCTGGGCACGCCTGTCGGGTCTCCGGACTCAGAGCTTGGATACCATCGCCGCCATCTCCTTGCTTTGGAGTGTAGGTCCCCGTGTTTCTCATCTGATCACTTACACCTGTGCTAATTCGTGCAGGTCCGCTTGACGTTCAACTATTGGCGCAGAGGTGGCTACTCTATCGGCTCGGAGGACTACCGCTGGCAGATCGTGCGCGCCAAGGTCAACAACCGATTCGTCTTCTTCATCTTCAACATCCTCTTTATCAGCCTAGCACAGTCCTTGCTGCTGCTCTTTATCACGGCCCCGACCTACAATTTCCTCCTTCTCTCGCGCCTGTCGGATCAGAAGTCCTTTGAGCTCCCCGACCTCATCTTCTCTCGGGTCGCTTTCTTCTTCATCATCATTGAATACTTTGCCGACCAGCAGCAATGGAATTTCCAGACCGCCAAGCATAACTACCAGAAGACGGCGCGGATCCCTGACCAGTACAAGGGGCAGTTTGACCCCGAGGATCTGGAGCGCGGATTCGTCGTCAGTGGCTTGTGGTCTCTGTCTCGCCACCCGAACTTTCTCTGTGAGCAGCTCATCTGGCTTACCCTCTATCTTTGGAACGCCTACCGCACCGAGTCCTACGTCCAGTGGACTGGCATTGGCCTCTTGGGCTATCTTCTCATCTTCCAGGGTAGCACTCGTCTCACCGAGTCGATCAGCGCCAGCAAGTACCCCGAATACCGCGAGTATCAGGCTCGTGTGGGACGGTTCATTCCCCGTCTGTCGATCAAGCCCAAGTACAAGCGCAGCGGCAAGAAGAAGACTCGCCAGGTCACCGAGACTGACAATGGCGAGCAGACTGTTCAGGAGGCAGACAAGAAGAGCCAGTGATTAGAGTATGGCTGATGATTTAGGCTGTTATTAGCCTATCTATTTTGTTGTGGGTGTTCAATATATTTATTTATCTGGGCTTTTGATGCTTTGAGTTATTTGGAGTACATATTCTGGTGTTGGATTTTTCGGAAAAGATTATCATCTGCTTTTTGCATATACCTTTATCTTCGCTCTTAACATCTTGACAAATCTATGAAAAGTTTGCCATTGAAGAAGCAACCAGCTGGACTTGGGTCTCGACGACCTGCGTTCATGTTGGACAGCCCTCTCGCTTCCATTCTTATTGTAGAGAGCGATGGCAACAGGATTCAAAATAACAGAGTAATTTGAACCTCCTATACCTGGATAATTACGTTCTATATTATACCATACAGCTTCGACTCTGTGGTTGAAACAAAACCTGCCAAACCATGTATTTATAAGAAATTCCTCTAGCTTAACTATATGTATCCGAAAGCAGTCCAATCATTGCATAGCCCAGAATGACCAGAGCCCACAAGGCAACTTCTACCATTCATCAATAACTACACCAACAATAGAGACAGTCTCTCATAGCCCTCCTGTATACTCCGGACAAGTCAAGCTGAACGATGCATCCCATACCGTCCAACAGCAAACCTCATCAACAAAGCGGTCGAGTAACCCCAACAACCAACAACGGAGCGATGGAAATCATACCTCAAAACACAAAACCTAACCCAGATCCCTCGACCCATCTATATATAACCTTATGTAATCACAAATTCCATCTACCTGGGGTTATAGCTCAGTGGTAGAGCGCTCGCTTTGCATTTCTACAGCTAAAATGCGAGAGGTCAAGGGTTCGATCCCCTTTGACTCCATCTTTTTGTTTTTCGTTCTGTTGTTGCTGTTGTTACTAGCGCCGGTGCTGGTGTATGGTGGTGCCCCCACTGGGCTTAGCAGCTGCAATACTCAGTACTCACTCTCACAGCTCTATGGATTCCCTCAACTTGATGAATGAGTCGACAAATCGGATAAAAATAGGCTATGATATCATTTCTGGTATGTATGTATTATTATAGCTTTATGATCTGGTGTCTTGTCCAACTGTCTAAGTCTCGATAAGAAAGAACACAGGCATCAATGGAATACTAATTTGCAATCTCCCCACATGTTTCCATTCGGAACATTCAGCCGCAATAGCGGCTGGGCTATCTAGAATCATCAGCATGTTTCTGTTGTGGGCACTTCTTATATATATAAAGTAAATAATTGCTGCTTCGTGGACTTGACTGTGGGGGGGCTCGATATCCCGCAAAAACATAGATGGGACCATCGAGATGGGCCCAAAAATATGGAGTCAAAGGGGATCGAACCCTTGACCTCTCGCATTTTAGCTGTAGAAATGCAAAGCGAGCGCTCTACCACTGAGCTATAACCCCAGTGATTGTGGTTAAAGTTCACAACTGTTGCTCTATATGCAAATAATCTTTCGAACAATGTAGCAGATCGAGTGATTTTCAGTTGATTTGTTGGGAGATTCATGCGTTACATTACAGAGGGATTTCATGAAGCGATTTAATATGTATTTCGCTTTCTATCTTGAATTGTGTGTATAGACGGTGTATCATCGGCCAAGGCTGAGCTGTCAGGGGGGCTCATCATACTTCCTGCACATGCTCGACCGCTACGCTTCCCTTCCGAGCTGCCGTCTCCACGTACCCCGGATTCTCTGCCTTCAATCGCGCAAAGGTCTTCTCGGCATCCCACACCCATGGGCTATCTGATGCGAAAAGCAGGTCCATGTCCTCCAAGGTCCGCTGGTTACTCTCCGGGTAGAGCGCCCATACCATCGGGATTGTGATAACGTTGCTAGCTGCAAATACATACAGCGTTTTCTCGCCGATGGCGCTGAACATCACCGGGCAAAGTAGTGTCTAACCGGTTAGCTTGCTTTGAGTGTCGAAGGATCGGAAGATCAACTCACCAGCCATCCGTTCCCGATACTCCATCCAACGACACCCCAGGCGTTTCCGCGGGCTCGCACGGCCAACGGGTAGATCTCCGCGGGATAGATCCATGGCACTGCACGTGTACATGTTAGTGAGGGTCTGTTGAAGAGAGGGTGCATAATGTACCTGTCAGCCATGTCGCTCCGAAGACGGAAGTGAAGATGAATATCATTGCAGCAGCAGCAGCTCCAAATGAACTGGCGCGCGCTGCATCACCCGAATCTCGTGCATTGATTGCCAATCGGGAGAAGCCTCCGGCGAGGAACATGGCGATGCCTTGACCGACGGCTCCCCAGTAAAGGGTCCACCGGCGACCGATACGATCGAGCGTGAAGACACAGATAAGGGTAGCAAACTGACTCGTTAGCGAGAGGGTTGGGCTGGAGTGGCGAGAGATCAAAGAGAGCGTATGTGTTCAAAGATCATGACGGAGTACTTACCATGTAGAAGACATTGTTCAGTCCGCTGAGCCATTGACTCTTCATGGAGTCGAATCCAGCAATGCTAAAGATAGTGGGCGCATCTGTCCTCGTTAGACTGGCCCAATACATGTGTCGGAGTTCAACATACAAACAGTGACACCCGCAATACCAACCCATTCTTGCATGATCTGCAGCCAGATGACGAGCTGCACGCGCCGCCCAAGGTGTAACTTGCCGGTTTTGTAGCCGAAAAGCATAGAAAGGTACGAAGTGCTGTGGTTCATCGATCGTTCCATTTCTGCGACACCCTGGATATCTCGAAACTCGGCTTCAGCGCGGACAGCGTCATCCCCAGTACTCCCTCTAAGACGACCAAGGATATAACGTGCTTCTTGCTCACGACCGACTTTAACCAGCCAGCGCGGCGACTCGGGGAAGAACCAGACCGAAACGAACAGGAGAAGCAAGAAGATGATCTGGAACGCGATGGGAAAGCGCCAGCGGAATGCAGATTTGCCGCCATCGATAAAGGACAGACCACTGGACTGATTAGAAAAGCCCCAAGAAATGCAACGAATACGTACAACTCCAGCCAATAGGCCACCACAACACCGAATATATTAAGGGTGAATTCAATCGCAATAAACTTTCCACGGGAGGTATGCTCAGCTGTCTCCGTAGCCCAGACTGGCACAATAGCGTTCAGAATTCCCGTCCCAATACCGTTAATGAAACGTGCTGCAGTGAATACGTCAGCAGGATGACTTGGTGGGCATTATGGGTTACTCACAGCAGATCATCCAATTATGATTTTGAGCTGCACACTGCAAAGAAGCCCCCAAGACCGCCCAAACCGTGCCTGAGGCGATAGTCCTGATTCTGCCAATTCTATCACCAATCCAGCCACCGATCAGCGCACCACACAAAGTGCCCAAGTAGTAGACAGACACGATCCCGCCTTGCAGCAGACTGTCGGTGACAACTGGGGTGAGCTCTCCATCTACCACTTTGGTGTAGCCGAAACCCATAAGATCGATATAGTTCTTGGAGTTGTTCACCCCCGACATCATCCCCTGATCATATCCGAAGAATAGGATCGACAAGGCTGCGACACAGTTGATAGCGATGAGAAGATTGCGCTTCTCCAATTTGTGGACGATATTCCATGATGGTATCAAGTCACTCATGGTGACTATGCCAGAACGTGTGCTTAGAGTATGTGGACAGAGTATGTAGGGGCCAAACGTTTTTCTTCGATCGAGGGACTGCGGACAAACCGACCACTGTATAGGACCACATGGGAATAAGAGACCAGGCTACTAAGATAGTGGGGTCACACGATGGTTAAATAGTCAGAGCTGCAAGCGGCACCGCTTCGATTTGCGCCTGACGATCGACCAGTTTCCAGGAAGCAAGCCCACGGCATAGGGCCGGGGTGCCAGCCCGAAGAGTCGAATATGGTTACATCCCGGGTGGGAGGAAATCAAACAGCCACATCAAGGGCTCGGTTCCACCCGAATCAAGGACACCAGTCGAATACGGGGCCCGCACGAGAAAGTCTGGGGGCGAAGGGTGGGAATCGACCCCAGACCGGGACGCAGACGAGTCCAAATCGGTAATCCGGCCAGTGGCTATCCTCCCGAGCTGCAGCCCGAAGGATTCTGATCTAATGCCCGAAATTCGGAGAAACGCAGAATGCTGCCGTGATTCCATGATGGCGTGTAAGAAAAGACAGGATCGGCTAATTAAATCAAGCCCGGCTGCTCGAAAGGCAACATCTGGGGCTGGCACCTGCACCTGGGGGGAATCACCCATTGTGTGATGAAATCGGCGGGGCACGGAGAACCAGCGATAAGATTGAGCGATTGGCAGTCGTGTGGAGGGGCCCAGGCCAGTCAGTCCTCATGAATCGGGCCTTGAGAGAAGCGGATGGAGTGGATTGTGGGGATGGTCCGGGGATGTTGGTTAGGCGGGTGGGGGATGACGGCGCAAAAGAGGGAATCCGGAGATGCTGCGGCGGAACTCCTCCGACATCCCTCTTCGGGCAATTCCGTGACCCAGTCCCATCACCAGTTGGTACGAGGGATCAACATTTATGGAAGACAGAAGCCACATTCTTCTGCTATGGTGGAAATATGTCGTTCGTTGTGCACAATTCTCTTCCCTCTATGTGGGTTTTGCTGGTCTCAAGGATGGAATCCTTGTCACCGAATACAACGGCCTCTGCTGAGCTTTGTACTTGGTTATCAGTTTGCTTACTCAAGGTGATCCAGAAAGAGAAGTAATTGCAGTGATGGCTAAGCGGTATAACCAGTCAGTGGGCATGATTATGTTTGGTCAGGAGGTAAGTGAGGTAGATGGGTAAGCTTTCAAAGGACAGATGAAGTATTGCAGCCATCCAAGACTGCCAGGTGGGTACTGTCGTGAAGTTATAGCCCTCTCAATGATGCATCATGCCTCTGTCGTTATGACTGATAGTGTATTGTGAGTATTACATGCATGCTGGTGATGATGGGATACCTCCTGGCTATCGGCTCACTTCCAAGTCACCGTACTGTCACTCAAAATACCATTCACTCCAACAACGGATGCTCTTGTTCAGACTGGATGCAATGGTATTCCCTATATGACTGGGTAGGTTGTGTGTTTGGAAACACCATAGCTATCATATTAATCCCAGGTAGGTTTGTCGTTCTAGTAGTAAACCCATCCATCATGAAGCTCACCTTGTTCTCGCAACCGCCACTTTGCAGTTGCTAAATATCCTTTTACCCAAGATGAATGAACGGCTCTGAGCCTAAATTATAGCTAACAAGCAGCTCTGTGAATCCGTCATGGAGATCTCTATTGGTACGAAGTATAAAAGACTTCGAGTCAATATGGTGCGACAATGGAAACATTTTCTGGCCCTGTATAAGGTCAGTTTGCAAGTGAGTCGAAAATGACGATTGTTGTTTTGATTTGTGGCCCAGGAACGCTTATATCAGCTTGATACTTTGATTCTGCATGGTGGTTTGGGTCCATGAGCGCACTCCAACATGGCTGGGTTAGCAACACTGGGGCTTATGTAGTCCTTGCGTGTGGAGAATTCCAGGAAGGTGAACGTTCCAACTGCCATCCACTGCAACAGGGAAGGAAGATCGACACAATCTATACAGAGAACAGAGACGACGGGCCCCTCTGGATTGGTTGAAGTTTCCGGACAAGCGAACTGCCATATGCCATATGCCAGATCTATATACTTGGCCGCTAAACTCTGTACGGTAACCCATTGCTCCACCTGGAATAAAGGGTAGATCTGCTTGGTGACTTCAAACGATTGTTGGTTTTATTTGGTATCTAGGTACTGATATTGACACAGCTCTAGGACTCGATTCGACCATTGATTGGTTCAGTCTACAGGGGTATAGAGTACTACAGGCAGTCCCCGCCCCTCGGTTCTTGATATCGGATAGAACCTTGAGCGAAACAATATATTTCCGGATCTACAAAGTATCAGATGGCTGCCGAGGATAAAGTCTACAAACACAATACAGACGATCCCCAGTGCCTTGACAGTTGAAACCCCTCCAATCGGGCGCCACTGAAATCCGGTTTCTCCAGGAATCAATTGCCAAGCCTGCCATCGGGGAGCAATCCCGTTGACTCAAGCGGCCCAAAATCTGTAGTCTGGCTGATAAAGTCCACGATCTCCACGCAAGTGAGCTTTCTGATACCTAGTTTTGAACCACGGATGTCCATGCTCCGAAAGATGCGCTCTACCAATGCTACCCACGTCATATCATCCAAAGCTCACCCGAGCCACACCATGCACGCACCCAGCACACCGAGACAGATGGGCTTAGATTAATTCCGAGCCAGTCACCTCGCTCCCCCCTCCAGTCCAATGATCTCCGGCCGGAGACCATGGATGACCTTTAGGTGCGGTGCACTGGTCCAAGAGCGGAGGGGCTTGACGTATGCCGACGATAGCCTTTATGGCGTCAGGTGCTTGGCCAGTTACCCGCGGAGACTAGCGAGGGTGGTAAGTTTGCTCATTCAAGGTGCCGGAGAGCACGGGATGCAGGTCTCACTGGAGGGGGCGCTGCAGTGAAGACGGGCACTGCAGTGTTTCCCTCATCATTGTGACTCGAAACGGGTGAGAGTCTGGTTCCTTACCCATTCGGGTAGTTCTATGAGGTATTTTGGGCCGTAACACTGACCGGTATCCAGGCGGGCTTACCACCGGCACGGCCTCACACGCTCTGCATCGAGCAACACAGACAAAGCACCGGAGGTCTGATCCAGGAGAATTCCCTGGGGACAGAGGAGGCCGTGCCTGCAGCGGAAATCCGGTTCTACAGGGCCCCGGCAACATGGCAAAGGTTAGCCGAGTTGACCCGACGGTCGCTGGGGCGGATGATTACATACGCGAGGGATACAGTATCGATACCGGGCCGCCAGCTTTTGCTGGCGAACCTCCAGAAAGCTTCTTGTCCCAACATCGTTTTTCCCTATCATCCTTTTAACCACCTGAACCCGTCTCCTTCCACCCGCAATTGCCCCCTCCCCTCTCCTCCGTTGCTTGTTCACTGGGAGGATTGGTTGTCTGCTGCCTTTTATAACACCTCCGACTTTTTCCTTGGCCTTTTCTCCTCCTTTTCACCATGTTCCGGAGTCTTTTGCCGCGGGCGACGCCGCGGGCTGTCCTCCGCTCTGCCGGTCCTAAGGCCGTCCCTACCAACTTTGTCGCTGCTCCCTCTCTCGCCGTCTTCGGACGCTCACAACGTGGCTATGCCTCTGAATCAGGTAGGTGACCTCCCCGCGGTGCGACCTCCCTGTCGCGGGCGGTGCCTGCGCTCCCGAGGAACGACTCCGGCTAATCATCAGCCGTTGTGCATAGGCGAGCACGATCTTGTTATCATCGGTGGTGGTGTCGCTGGATACGTTGCTGCTATCAAGGCCGGTCAGGAGGGCCTGAAGGTGCGATCTATATCGGTCCCCGAAGTGCTCCGGCTGGAACTAGTCCGCTAACTGCTACATTCCGACAGACCGCATGTATCGAGAAGCGTGGCCGTCTGGGTGGTACTTGCCTGAACGTCGGCTGTATCCCCTCGAAATCCCTGCTGAACAACTCCCACCTCTACCACCAGATCCTCCACGACACGAAAAAGCGCGGTATCGAGGTCGGTGATGTCAAGCTCAACCTCGAGCAGATGATGAAGGCCAAGGACACCTCCGTGGAGGGCCTGACCAAGGGTATCGAGTTCCTGTTCAAGAAGAACGGCGTCGACTACTTCAAGGGTACTGGTGCCTTCGTTGACCAGAACACCGTCAAGGTCAACCTCCTTGAGGGTGGTGAGCAGACTCTGCGCGGCAAGAACATCCTCATTGCCACCGGTAGTGAGGCTACCCCCTTCCCCGGCCTCAACATCGATGAGAAGAGAATCATCACCAGCACTGGTGCTCTCTCCCTGAAGGAGGTCCCCAAGAAGATGATTGTCATCGGTGGTGGTATCATTGGTCTGGAAATGGTATGTACACTGGAAATAAGTTTTCGATTCTGTCGTCAGAAAGCCCATGCTCATAGTTTCATTCTCACAGGCCTCCGTTTGGTCCCGCCTCGGTGCTGAGGTTACCGTCGTTGAGTTCCTGAACCAGATCGGTGGTCCCGGTATGGATGCCGACATCGCCAAGCAGGCTCAGAAGATCCTCCAGAAGCAGGGTATCAAGTTCAAGACCGGCACCAAGGTTGTCAAGGGTGATGACAGCGGTGCTAATGTCGCTCTTAACGTCGAGTCCGCCAAGGGTGGCAAGGAGGAGACCCTCGACGCGGATGTCGTCCTCGTCGCCATCGGTCGTCGCCCCTACACCGAGGGTCTTGCCCTGGAGAACGTCGGCATTGAGAAGGACGACCGCGGCCGTCTGGTCATCGACCAGGAGTACCGCACCAAGATCCCCCACATCCGCGTGATCGGTGACTGCACTTTCGGACCCATGCTTGCCCACAAGGCCGAGGAGGAGGCCGTCGCTGCCATCGAGTACATCAAGAAGGGTTACGGCCACGTCAACTACGGCTGCATCCCCAGCGTCATGTACACCCACCCCGAAGTCGCCTGGGTTGGCCAGAACGAGCAGGAGGTCAAGGCCGCCGGCGTCAAGTACCGCGTCGGAACCTTCCCCTTCAGCGCCAACTCCCGTGCCAAGACCAACCTCGAGACTGAGGGTCAGGTCAAGTTCATCGCCGATGCTGAGACCGACCGTGTCCTCGGTGTCCACATCATTGGCCCCAACGCCGGCGAGATGATCGCCGAGGCCACCCTGGCTGTTGAGTACGGTGCCTCCTGCGAGGACATTGCCCGCACCTGCCACGCTCACCCTACCCTGGCTGAGGCCTTCAAGGAGGCTGCCATGGCCACCTACTCCAAGGCCATCCACTTCTAAGCACCCTGCCATGAACCACGCCATCCTGTATCTTCCCTCTAGTCTAGCTCCGCTAGCCAATCCCGTGTAGCATTGACATCATTATATTTCCTTTGTTGGTTGTGTATCCAGATTTACGAATCAATAGTCTTGATTAAACCCTTCACCTGATAGACAAAATGACAATTCATCCACCACCATATCCCATTGTAGCCACTTCTACTCCATACATCTTCTCTCTTTAATAGGAAGAGTCAAGAAAAACAAAAAGAGAAATTGAGCTCCGATAGGGGGAATCGAACCCCCGGCTGCCGTGTGAGAGACGGCGATGTTAGCCACTACACCATATCGGATCTTGTTGAAGAATCACCCTTAAAATGCATATATAAATCACAAATAATTCAATAGACAAAAAGCAATTATCGTTCAATTTAGTCGTCTTAGTAGAACACCACTACAGCATCAACACATCAGTGGATTCTCTTAGTCAAATCAAATCATCGGGCACCCGATCCGTAGAGTGTAGACGTGATGTTAGTTAAATCGTCCTTGTAATCAAGCTATACCGTATTATCAATAATCAATCGGTCAATCAATCCATCTATTAAAGAGTGAGGGACGTGTGTGTGTGTGTGTGTGTGCAAAGTGTGTTGCTGTCCTCTCTACTCTGCTAGAATTGTAGATATTTGGTAGGAGTGTCCCTTTTGGGGAGGAGTGGTGGTAGGTTTGATTGTTGACAGATGCTTGCATATGTCCAGCAGGGCCTGCAAGTCGCTATTGGATTGGTGCTGTGCGGTAGGAGAAGCGAAATGTAGGTCGCAAGGATAGCACTGGGTGACTTCTACGGACTTATACATCTCTGAATGTTGCGTAAGGCAAGCTGGCTAACATAGAGAGGGTCACAGCTCGGCCTGACTTGACCTGCTACATCAAGTTCGCTGTGATATAGGTGGCCTTCCAGCTCGTCCCTGCTTGATGCCTAGACCTCTGACTAGAGGTAGATCCCGCATGGCCTACTACGGCCCTAGGTCAAGGTACTGCCTGGGAAAGTCACAGTGGATTCATTGCGTCGTATTCATGCAGGTCTTGCTGAAATGGCAACACAAGGGGAGTCAAGGCCCCTGTGTTCTATGGTCATTCGTGAACATAAAGATCGCCCAAGCACATCACTACTATCTCTGGCTGCTTACCCCACCTGGAAGATAGTGCCAGAGGACGTAATCTGTTGCTTGCTCCAATCCATCGAGGAAGCAAAAGGTTCAACCCATTCTTTTAGAACGGTCAGAAATGTGTCACGGACAGCGTCGATGGCTTGTTCTCGCGAGGCCCCGCTGCTTTCAATATAGACTAACATACTCCGTTAGCACTGTGTCAGGGTCCGGTCGGTTGCAACTTACTCTTGACTTTAGGTTCTGTGCCTGAGCCACGGATGGTGAATCTGACACCCCGATCCAGCCATAGTGTCAGCATCTGGCTACTCTTGTCAATTGGAAGCGTCGGGCGGTGGTCTTCCGTTCCGGAATCGTAACCCTCCGTCAGGTCCCGCCACCTTTGAATCTTGAATGGACCGAAGGACTTTCCAGCGCCGAAAGGCCCAGACCTAATTTTCTGGAACAGACTCATTGTGAGATCGGTGTTTGACGAGCGAATATAGGTATTGAGGGTTTCGTGGTGTCCATGTTCCTTGAAGAGTTGTTGAAGCTTCATGTAAGGCGTGAGTCCCTGTGCCTTCCACTTGGCCTCGGCCAGCAAGAAAACCATAGCAGCGGAGATGCCATCCTTGTCATAGCACACCTCCGGGAACATGTAGCCAAGAGCTTCCTCAAAAGCAAATGGTACATAGTACCCCAGCTCCTCAAGTCTGCGCGCTATGTTGCCCATCCACTTAAAGCCAGTTAGTGCTTCCTCGTAATGCATGCCCTTGGCCTTGGCCATTTTCTCCAGCATGCACGTAGAGACGGCCGAGTTCAGCACGGCGATTCGGGTATCGCTGTCGATCGTCTCCAAGGAATCAAAAAGGTGTGACGCGAGAAGTACTCCGAGATGATTTCCGGTGAAGCTAAACCACTTTCCGCTACAACAGAGTCGCATCAGCGTAGGCTCGGTAGCTGGGGCCAGCGAATACATACTCCACTTTCTCAGCAGCAGCGAAGCGATCTGCATCTGGGTCATGTGCTATGATAAGGTCTTTGCCCTCCCGGTCCGCCGTCTGCATCGCGAGATCGAGGGCCCCTGCCTCTTCAGGATTGGGAAAGGCCACTGTGGGGAAGTCTGGATCCGGTTTCTCTTGCTCTGCGACGACCGTGAAATCATTGATACCAACTGAACGGCACAAGCTGGGGAATACCAGGCCTCCAACACCGTGTAGAGGAGTATACACAAAAGGCTGCGGCTGCTTCCATTCCCGGACAGTGTACGTCTGTCAAGCGGTTAACCCTGTTGCGCAAGAAAACAGCATATGGACGGACTCACAGCATATTGCCATACTGCCGTGTTGTAGTGTGGCAGGAGATTGTCGTACGACTTGGCGCGCAGGTATTCACTCGGCTGCAGATCCTTCCAAGCGTTGGGCCATGGGGCCAAGTTCTCCTCAATGGATCGGGCTATCTCCGCATCCATGGGAGAATTGATCTGAGCACCATTTTTAAAATAGCTGAAGCATGTTAGTCATAATCAAAACAGGCTGGAAAAGCGTAACCAGACACTTTGTAACCTATGAACCATCATTGTCAGTGAGCCGGCCAGCTTGTTCAGGAGCAAACTATGTCGACCTACCATTATCATGTGCCGGATTCTGCCAGAGGTATTAGCTACGGAAGTTTCGAATATCTGGCGGGGAGCCTTACATGGCTTGCCGTAACCATGATGCCTGCAGCGGCATGCAGTTGGGTTACACCGAAAGGCACCGTTGGAGTAACCGAAGGCTCGGAATAGAACCAGACCGGGATCTTCTGTGCGATGAAAGCATTGGCGGCCAGGGCAGCAAACTTGGCGGAATTATAGCGAGCATCATGTCCAATGACAACGCCATAGGAAGCAATGTCGCCGTGGTGGTTCTTCAAGTACATGGCTAGGCCCTGGGACGCCTGAATGACGGTCAAGGAGTTCATGCAAGAGAAGCCTGCTGCCATCCGACCCCGGAGACCGGCGGTTCCAAACTGGATTCCTGCAGGGTGCGATTAGACATGACAGGCAGGGGAGCAATCAGAGCCTAGATTGGTACGAGGAGATCAGAAGAAGCAAGTCTCGAGCCCACACGTACTCTTTTGCAGGCGTTGGTGCAGCTCCGCCAAGTCGCCCGCATCGCGGAGCCGCTCAATTTCCCCGCGGGTGGTGGGATCCTGGGATGGGGGGATTAGCATTTAGCAGGTGGTGTCGGTGGTGGAGAGACAGAAAGAGATATGACAAATGCAGGGAACTCACCTGGTCCCACTCGAGCCATTTTTGGATCAGCGGCGAGAGGGAATCCTGTTAAAGAGGGCCAGCCGGACCGAGTCAGAACAATCCACACTACATCGTAGATAGACAAAAATGATAATAGATAGCTTCGATGCCTGGTGTAGCCGCGCGCACACCGGGAGTAGTGAGTGGTTGACTATACCTCTCCTGGGTTGGCGGGCATTTTGGATCATACGACGCTGACACGATCAGAACGGACGGAAGGACCGGACCAAGGCCAGATCAGGGTTTTGGGGGGGGGGGGGGGGCAGAAGAAACGGTCGAGAAGAGAGGCGAGTCGGGGGGGAAGGAATAATAATGGAAGGCTGATGATGATGAATGTGGGTGGAATGACACTGGATGGATCGGGTGACGATCGCCGGCACGTTTCACCTGGGCGTCCCCGCTTTTTTTTTAGTGACAATACAGCCTGACTTACCACCAAGTACTACTAGGGACCCCCGGGAAGCCGCATCTTGCTTTCTTTCAACGGAGCTCTCTCTCTCTTCTTCTTCCTCTTCCCCTTCTTCCTACCTCTCTCTGACTGTCGCCCTTCCTCCCACTTCACCCCCTCATCCGTCATATCATGCTCTAAGCTGGTCCTTAGCACCTCCCCCCAAACAGGTACTGGTACCATGGTCACCGCTCCTTCGCTAGCCGCGACCCGCAAGGACACCCTCTTGTCCCGCCGGTATATCGAGGGCCTCATTGCCGACGGCAAGCATGTCATCATTTTCGACAATCGCGTCCTAAAGGTCGACGCCTGGATCCCCTACCATCCCGGTGGTGACAAGTCCATCAGGCACATGGTTGGGAAGGATGCCACGGATGAAATCAATGCGTACGTGGCCTTGACCCTAGTTCCCCCCGACGCCATCAAATAATTGACCCAGGGATCTCCATTCCCCAGGCTACACTCGAAAGAAGCGCGCCAACGAATGCTATCCTTCCAGATCGGTCGCATTGACGGTCCATGGTTGAATTTCCTTCCTCCGATCCAGGGCGGCAAGTTCCGGGCCTATACCGAGGATTGCTTGTCCGATGACGAGAGCTCCGGACAAGAAAGCTCCGGTCAGGAAACGTCCCAGCCGCCGTCCCCAATCTTCGATGCAGTCGATGCCACGTCAGGTGCTCGTCAACGAAAGACCGCGTCTGCCACAACCCCTGCCACGACCACCGAGACCGACGAATTCAAACCGAAACCGTTCTTTCTCGATGCCCGTACCCAGGAGGAGCTCGTTTTCGACACGGCCAAATATCCGTCTGTAGATGCAGAAAACCAGGAGAAGATTAAGCAGAGGTATCGGGAGCTGGACCAACAGATCCGTGCGGAAGGGCTCTACGACTGCCGCTATTTCTCCTACTTGATCGAATGCTGCCGGTATACACTCTTCGCTGCTTTGTCGTATTACTTCCTTCAGATCGGGTGGTATGGGACATCGGGGTTCTTTCTAGGATGCTTCTGGCATCAGCTTGTGTTCAGCGCCCATGATGCTGGCCATATGGGCATCACGCACAACTTCCACGTCGACACGGTGATCGGCATCATTATAGCCGATTATCTAGGAGGACTCAGTTTGGGATGGTGGAAGCGCAGCCACAACGTTCACCATATCGTGACGAACGCACCCGAGCACGACCCCGACATTGAACACATGCCCTTCTTCGCCGTCTCCCATCGTTTCCTGACCAGCCTCCGCAGCACCTACTACGACCGCGTCATGACATACGATGCCGCCGCGAAATTCTTGCTAAAATTCCAGAACTACCTTTACTACCCCATCCTACTGTTCGGTCGCTTCAACCTGTACCGGCTGAGCTGGGAATACCTCTTCTGCGGTCAAGCACCCAAGAAGGGTCCTGCCTGGTGGCACCGGTGGTTCGAGATTGGCGGTCAGATCTTCTTCTGGAGCTGGTTCGGCTATGGGGTGATGTATCGTACCATTCCCGATTGGAGCAGTCGGCTCACCTTCCTCTTCATCTCCCACATGGTCACTTCTCCTCTGCACGTGCAGATCACGCTCTCTCACTTCGCCATGTCCACTTCCGACATGGGAGTCAACGAGTCCTTCCCGCAGCGAATGCTTCGTACCACCATGGACGTCGACTGCCCGACATGGCTCGACTTCTTCCATGGCGGTCTGCAATTCCAAGCCATTCACCACCTGTACCCGCGCATCCCGCGCCACAACCTGCGCCGTACCCAGAGACTGGTGCTCGACTTCTGCCGCGACACGGGAATCCCCTACACCATCTTCACCTTCTACGACGGCAACAAGGAGGTAATTGGCAAACTCGGGGACGTGGCGAAGCAGGTCCGCATCCTCGAGGAGTGCAGAAAGTCGTGCGCTGAGCACGGTGTCTTCTCTGATCACCACTAGACGGTCAGATGAGCCTGCGGATCTGTGACCGAGTTAAATAAGTCCCCTTCCTTGTCTGTCTGCCCACATATCCCTAGACCATTGATGTATATAGTCATGCCCCACAACCTGTGTAGTCTATCTGGTGGCTTGCAGGACTAGAGTTCTGATGTGCCTATGATGCCCCTCCCTGCACCCTGCAGTACTTAATGAGATAATGCCCTGTTTTGTGTTCTATTTTGTTTGTTATCGATAGAAATATACTACGCGGGGTATAGAGCCCATTCTCCTTTTATAACTGCTCTCCTTCCTAACCCTGGATTTAGAGCTCCATGCTCAACCTGTAGGCATTCTAGATGCAATGGTAAAGGCTCCATTAGGTACTCAACTGATGATCCCGAAAGAAGAACTACACGACAGGATCAGGGCCCTTAGACAGGTGCATACGCGCACTAGATTGACTAACCTGCGTGGAAAGCCCCCTCTATACGAAAGAAGGAACCGGGATCCTGAGGCACCTTCCACACATACCTAGCCTATTACGCCCAAATACGCAAGTATGGTATCTTTCATATTTGAAAAATGATTATCTACATCCAGAAATAGTAGTACTGCATTGGATGGTTCTCCCTTTATCCCAATTCATCCAATGTCTAGCTCAGCTCAGCTCAGCTCAGCTCAGCTCTATCCCACCAACCCTCCGGCCCTAGCTACCTTCTTCGCTCGCTGTTGTCGACGATTATGGTTCGCCCGACTGGCTTTATTCTCCTCCTTTCGTTGACGCGCAACAGCAGGATTGTTCTGCTGCTGGCCGCCGCTGGGGTTACTGCCCCCTCCACGTCCACCACCACCGCCGCCGCCGCCACGTCTTCCGCCTCGACCACGGCCCCGGCCTCCGCCCCTTCCCCTTGAACTCGACTGTTGGTCTTCCGTGTCGCTCTGGGAGTCGTTGGGTCCTGGCTTGCGGTACGCTGTGGGGGGTAGATCCGGTTGATTGAGGATGCCATCGGGACCGCCTGCGGAGAGGGACATCTTGTCCTCGAGCTTGGCGAGGCGTTTCGGGTCGCGGGTGAGCATGACGGCCCAGCCTTCGATGGCTTCGTCGGTCATTCCGGTGTCGCGTTTGAGGGATGCACGGGGCTGGGAGCGGCGGGTGGTGGAGTCGCGCGCGAACAGGGCCGGGTTGGACTTGTATGCGCGGTAGAGTGTCATTTCGGTTTCGTTGGGGTCGGTGGTGGTGCGGGGATCTGTGTCGTCGGTGGCATCGACGGTTCCGCCTACGTCGGCGATATCGTAGGTGTCGTCGCGTTCGTCGTCGTCGGAGTCGAAGGTTGCGAGGGCGGACATGATGGCGGCTTTGTTGGCTGTGTGGTTGGTGCGGTCGGCCAGGACGGCGTCGGCGGTTAGGTCCGCGTTGGCACGGCCGAGATGAAGGGATTGAGGGTCAGTGAGGGCCAGTTCGGCGAGGTCGACGTCATTGTCGAAGACGTTTTTGCGAGTTGGAGGGGAGGGGATGGAGGGGGGTGTTGGGCGTGGCGGGAGGGGGTCGTGAGGGAGGGTTGAGGGGGTGGTGGGGAGTTGCTCGGACTTGTTTAGGTCCTGAAGTTCGGGGGGAATGGAGTCGTCGAGGAGATGGGCCACTATGGTTTCTGGGTTGTCGTTGTAGTGGTCTAGGAGCCGGGTGATGTAGCCGGAGCCAAGGTCGGGGAAGAGGTCTTGGACTTGGGTGATCAGGGACATCCTGTGGATATGAAGATCTTCAGATGGCGGGAGGTCCGTAGCGCGACCTTTGCCCTTGTCGATTCGCTTCTTCTGTTTCTGATGTCGACGGTGGAAGAGCTTGGATTCTTCTTGGTATGCCCGGAGACTGGAGACGAGGTCTTGGCCCCGTTTCTGGGGATTGGCGCTAAGATATCTGTCTAAACGGACCAGGAGATCTGTACTGCAGACTACGTCGGACAGGAGGGTGGGCTCCTTCTTGGTCGTTGATGTGCCGATGCCGGCGCTAGATTTCAGGCTGTATAGCTGGTCCAGCAGTGAGGAGAGGTTCGGCTTGGTGCCCTTGAGTAGCGATGCCAGGCCGACATAGACATTCGCGACGAGGACGCTACGGATGTCTTCTCTCTTATGCGTTTGATATGCATCCGAGAAGGTGTCCAGAAAGTCAGAACCGGCCATGAGCACCTGGCCGCAACCGGGCAGCGCAGATGCCAGGATGGTCAAGAGTCGGACGTCAAAGAGAACAGCAGTGAGCTTGCTAGGATGGAGCAAGGCCAGCTCTCTGATGATTTTAGCCTTGGTCTTCTCCAGGCTGGCCGTTATCGCATCTTGATGCTTGTCCCAGGCATCAGACAGGAGTCTCTTCAAGGCGGAGCTTGAGGGATAGCAGGTGCACATGTTGGCCCAAACGCTCCATTCCAGGAGTTCTGGTGGTACCGGAGACGCTTCAAGGAGGAACCGCCTCGTTAACAAGAAGCAGAGCTTCCGTAAGGTTCGTGCTTTCGGTCCAGCATGGACGCCGGATGACCCCGATTTGGCAGATTGCAGATAGAAGGAGGTCAAGAAGGCCACTGCGGACTCATCTCCGGAAGCATGTTGCTTGAACTGCGAGCCAGGGGCCTCGATGCGCACCCCAAGGAGCAGGATGCATGCATCTATATAGAGCTCCCACTCTCCAGGTGGGACGGTGCTCTGCACCTCGGGAGGAGGGACGGGTGCCAGCGGAGGTAGTTCCGGCATGACACAGGGGTGTTGTCGAGTGAGCGAGAAAGTGGTCGGTTAGCTGAGAAAGTCGAAAGGCAGCCCAACGCCTGGATTCTGAATCATGATGATTACTTGACGTTGGGCCAGCTCCATGCTGAGCCCCATCTGGAGTAGCCTTAGTTTAGAAGGCAAGTACCGCTTGCTGACTCACCGCCCAACCGGGCTAGCGCCAGATAGGCGAGCGCCAAGGCTGGCACCCGCACAAGGTGCCACTAAGCGCACCGTCGAAAAAAAAGATTCACGATTTGTCCGCAATATCAGATAGACCCTCAACGGCCATCATCACCTTACCGAACCCCGAAGTTCAGGTCTTGATTGGCATCCAGCCTCCCTTGCGGTACGCTCCCCCTCCCTGGACTTAACCCTCTTTCCATCCCGACAATCACTAATCGACCTCATCGATAGCATCTCAATCCCACCGGTCTCCCCACCGTTCAATTACATTCAAGATGTCTTTCCAGAAGCCCGAGAAGGATTTCGGCGAGGGCCCTGTACGTGACGGACACCCCTAAGACATGGCGATGTCTTCGAAGCACATCACATGCGTCGTACTTCAATGGAAACAGTACTAACCAGGTCCCTTCCCGGCTTCAACAGAAGGTCCACAAGATCCGTATCACCTTGACCTCCCGCAAGGTCGCCTCCCTCGAGAAGGTGTGCTCGGAGCTGATCGACCGTGCTCGCTCCAAGTCCCTCCAGGTCAAGGGTCCCGTCCGTCTTCCCACCAAGACCCTTCACATCTCCACCCGTAAGACCCCCAACGGTGAGGGTTCCAAGACCTGGGACAAGTACGAGATGCGCATCCACAAGCGTCTCATCGAGTAAGTTTGGCCTTCCCCTGCGCGAAAGTCGGAATGGCAACGCTAACAGACGCGATAGCCTCCTCGCCCCCACCGAGACCGTCAAGCAGATCATCATCAACATCGAGGCTGGTGTTGAGGTTGAGGTCACCATTGCTGCTTAAACAGTTCCATTATGGAACGGTGACAGGGGCGGCGCGGACGATGTGCTCGTCTGGCCATGTGGTAGATGCTCTGCTTCAGGGCCCATGCTAGGCCAACGTCGATACCCGCCAGTTCCTGGCATAAAATTGAAAAAGTTCAAAAAGCAGTAAAGCTGGGTCGCTGAATTCTTCCTTTAAAAACGTAGTATATGGTATCAAATCGCGGCCTTGGCCAATCCATCCCGTTGAAATCCTGCCTGGACGCCACCTGTCCGTTAAATGCTAAACAGCTATATTCTACAATGTCCGAATAATCATATCAAAGTCCCAAGAAACTGGCCCATCAAAAGTCGAAGCTCACCCATTCAGTCTTCGGGGGTACGCTCGGAATCACGCCGTTTTCGAAGTACCCATTCTTCACAAAGAACTCGTACTGCGCAGTCACCTCGGGCGTATATTCATCCGGCTTCCCCTGGACATCCCGCAAGCTCGCCGCATCGGGAGGACCATTTGGGAAGAAGATGCGAACGTAGGTCTGGCGGTCCTGAGGGTGTAGATAACAGGGCTCGTTATTGATGTATTTGACGTGCTGTCCCTTCCAGGCGGACAGTTTCTTTGTGATGGGGTCTCGAACGGTCTGACCAGTGAGAGGTGGGATGGGCTGGAGATCATTGGAGTTGTCAACGTTGATGACTGGGGGAGGCCCTGTTCCTGCGTTAGAAGTCGGGGTGGAGGCAGGAGCAGGCGCCGATTGGGCCGGCTGTGAGAATGCACTAGGAGGCTGTCCAAATGCTGAAGGAGCAGCTGGCTGGCTTGCGGCCCCAAAAGGGCTCGGGGCCGTGGCTGGCTGGCCAAAGGGGTTTGAAGATGGCTGAGATTGGCCAAAAGGGGAAGCCGTTTGTGAAGGTTGACCAAAGCCAGCCGGTTGTGTCGTCGATGGCTGACCGAACCCTGAAGCCGCAGCGGATGATGGGTTTGCAATCTGTCCGAACGGTGAAGCTGTAGTTGTTCCAGAAGACTGACCGAAGCCACTCGGTTGCTGGCTCGGAGCTGAAATCTGACTGAAAGGGGAGGCTGTACCGGACTGCCCGAATGCTGAGGTTCCAAGTGACGATGGCTGGCCGAAGGAGGACTGACCGGAGGCAGGCTGGCCAAATGCCGGTTTACCAAATGCGGGTTGAGCACCACCCAAGCCTGATGGCTTTCCAAATGCAGACCCTTGACCCAAAGCACTCGGTTGTCCAAACCCAGATGCTTGCCCCAGGCCAGAGGGCTGTCCGAACGCTGACGGTTGACCGAATGCAGAGGGCTTGCCGAAGGGTTGACTTGCTAATCCTGAGGGCTGGCCGAAAGCCGGTGCTGAACCGGTAGCAGCAGGCTGTCCAAATGGCGAAGTCTGCGAAGGTTGCGAAGGCTGACCGAAAGCAGACTGCCCTTGGGCAGGAGCCGGGCCGGTTTTGCCCTCTGCGATATCGATTCGGTTGGGATGTTCATTGATTCCGTCGAGGACGTATTTCACGGCGCCGTTAAGATCATTCAAGATGACATCCATTTGTTTCACAGCCTCTGCATACAGAGCCTGGGCTTCTTGCACTGCCTGGTTCGCGTTGCCTGCTGCGGCCGCCTCATAATGACGCAGCCGTAGCTCTTCGAAACTTTGCTCCCGTTGAACGCCGCCAAATAATTGCCTCGGGGCATTTCTTCCAGGGCCATAGCAGGAGAAGACCCATTCTGGCCGCCCTGTGCCGGCAGTAAGGTCGGACTTTATATCCTCTGAGGTTATTCCATAGCTGTGGGGTGTCAGCAGGGAAGAGACGCAACTCCATGGGAGCTAGGTTCGCCAGATTAACTTACTTGGCAGCTTGCTGATTCTGCGTCTGCGCGGCACGACCTATGAGGTAGAATTAGAAGATGTCACCAAGTCAAATGGGCTAAGTCAGAGTCATCGAGATGTGGAACATGTAACATAAGTTCATAGTGCTAGGGATCCAAGGCAGAGGACATAGCAAAAGAACCAAGTTGGAGACACACAATGCCCCCTTCTCAAGTTTACGCGCAGGGGCAGAAACTGAAGGGAGGACGAGGGAGATTGATTGCGTCGTGCTGCTATAGCGAACATGACCGACACTGAACGTACCTCCGAAACCTCCTCCGCCAGTCAGTGCTCCGAACCGGTTCCCGGAGCTCAATGTCTGGCTAGGATGTTCATTTTTGCAACGGTCTAAAGCCTCGTTAGATTTCTGTCCAGACGAAACGCAGAGAAAGGTTGTCGATCAAGAGAAAGACAGATATACGGACCTCCAAATCTACACCGCCCTTGCTGGAAGTATGTGCAGACAACCATGTCGATTTCGCGTCTCTGACCAGTCAGTCAGAGAGTACGAGGGCGGCCTGTCGAACGTCTGACAAGGCTGTTAAAGGTTAAATTCGAGCGTCAAACCCCACGGACCCGCGCTATCTGCCCAGTCGATCACTAGGAAGACAGGTACAGCACTATTGATCTCTGGGCCAAGAATCTGTTGTGTATAAAGAGTTCTTCGGTTTGCAGGTGTGGTTGGATTGTTCCGGTAACATTACATTTCCCCGGCCCGGGCTTCGGTGTTAGCAGTGATTCCATGCAGGGCGTATGCGCGAGGTATTGTAATTTACAGCCATCATTTCTGCCGATCTATCTATACATTCAGCTCGTCTTTTACAGGAATACTTTCACCATCCAGGCGACTATTGAAGAAGAATCACGGCTGGAGTATACTGATGGTCATATGTTCAGCCTAATCGTGGAACAAGAAAAGCAACCTCGCCTGTTAAATGCCAATGCTTCGTAAAATTACAATGGATCCCCGTGCACAACTCCTTTTCTCCGAGCCAGTTCCCATAATATCGAATTCGTATCATGCTTGTCCGTTTCCAGAGTGCGATGACTGAGTGTGCGTCATGCTCTGTTTCAGGACATCCCAGTTCAGCCCATCAATTTTCGTTCCGCCGAGGGACTCGAGGCCCGTAGAGAGTCCACTGAGCTTGCCACTGGCAAGACGGCGCATCATGACTGTGTCCTTGGAGCCATGGAGGCCCTTTGCGCTCCCGTGCAATAGAGCATGCTCAAACCATTCCTCTTCTTGATCGTCAAATGGAAGTCCGATCAGTTCCATCGCCCGAGTACTCCGCAGCTGGCCAGCTTCCGTCGTGTGGACAAACTCAATGAGCTGTGCGAGGTAGCTTTGACGCAGACCTTCGTCATGCTTCCGGGTAAAGTAGAAGGCTTCCGTAACGCTTGCGCGACAAAGGGTCACGAAGAATGCGCGCTGGACCTTCTCCGAGGCCAAGGGTGGGGCAACAGTGAGGTAGTATGCCATTACGAGACTGTCATCGTGTTTCGGAAGCCGAGGAAGGGTAAGAACGTAGAGAATTTCATCCGGGAAGGTGGGAATGATAGAAGGCTCGGTCAGATATTCGATAGCTCGCTACCCGCGCATTCTAGTCAGCAACTGGTTCTTCGCAGCTCTGGTCCGCACGCACCTTGAATTCGAGCCGGTCGAGGTGCCAAAGCCCTTCTATGAAGAATCTGTATTTCTCCGGTAGATGGCACCGGCGCGAAAACTGGGAAGCCGCATCGCCAGCGGCACGGCAATCTTTTAGGATGTAGTAGATCAACGCTTGCTTGTGATGTATGTCCAACGGGGAGGAAACAATATGGACGACCAGAGTTCGGAGGTCCGCATTCGAACGGGGAGGGTATAGTTGCGTGACTGTAAGGAGGGCTTGGTCAGAAGTTGCCTTCGAGTGTTACATGTGAGGGCGTCTACCTGCTTTAACACCAAGCAATCCCAGAAGTCTGTCGGCAAACAGTTGGTTCTCTAGCGCACGGCGGTTGGCGACGATCTGCTCAATGACTTTGCCATCATAAGTGAAGTTTTTGTTGAAGTAGAAGATTGTGTCGAAATCATCCCAGGGTGCCATCTTGACCCGTAGAGAGAATGCCTGTCAGCAAGATAGAATTCCTTTGGCGCAAAGACGTACTTCGTAATACTTAATCCCGGAACTGACGAATCGTATCGACAGCCCGTCACATTCGGGCGGTGAGCCAGAGGACCCAAAGACGCACCATGTTGTGGCAGAAAAAAAGCGCCTTGCCGCTTTCGGCGGGGATGTAAACAACCCACTTTCCACTGGCGGCGGTTCCGCCGTCAACTTTGCAACTGCGCCCGCTTCAACCTCGCCTTGATGAAGCAGTCTTTGGCGACGACCATCTATTCAGAGTAATGTCATCCATCGCAAAGGGCAGGCCGACCAGGCGCTCCGCCGCCGCCCGGCCGAGCTATATCGAAGAGCCGACGACTGAAGAAGAGGATCCCGGAAACGTCACCCCCACGCCGTCTCAGCACAATGATGAAGACGACGACGGCGAAGCCACGCCCGTTCCAAAGAAGCCCAGAGTTGCCAAGGGTCCTTCGCGCAGGCGAATCACGACCGAGACGACTACGCCTACAGCCGCGCGCCCTACCCGGAGATCTCGACGGTCGAGGGTCTCCGTCTCAGAACAGTCGGAGGCGTCGCAACAAACAGATACGAACGAGGAAGGGGATAGCGTTGCGACAGTGGAAGAGCCCGAGTCCCCTTCACAGAAGATGGCATCGGCCAAGAAAATAACTAGTATGGCTCACCCCCGCAAGAGTCGTGTTTCCCTCACACCCAACCCGGAAAAGTCCTTACTCCCAACTCCAGAGCCCTCCGTGTCGCCGCAATCCCAACCACGATCGCAGAGGGGCAGCGTGCCCCCGCTCGCCGATATTACCGAGTCAGTAAACCAGACGCCACCGCTGAAGACCGAGGACGATCAAAAGCCCCAAATTCCCATGATCAACCCGAATGCAACCGTCCTAGAGAAGCCCATGGATATCATGATGAAATCACGCTTGCTTGCTCCCTCAGGTCCCGAGGAGCCAGCTGAACCCAAGAGTCGTCTGATTATCACTACACTGGTTTTGATGAACTTCAAGAGTTACGCAGGAAAGCAGATCGTCGGGCCCTTCCATGCCTCCTTCTCCTCGGTTGTAGGACCAAACGGATCTGGAAAGTCGAACGTTATTGACGCATTGCTCTTTGTGTTCGGATTCCGAGCCAGCAAAATGCGACAAGGCAAAGTTTCTGCGCTGATTCACAACTCGGCCAACTTTCCGAACTTGCCTTACTGTGAAGTTGAGGTTCACTTCCAGGAGGTTTTTGATCTGCCCGCTGGAGGGCATGAAATAGTCCCAGATTCCCAACTGATCATCTCTCGAAAGGCGTTTAGAAACAACAGCAGCAAGTACTATATGAATAGCAAAGAGACGAACTTCACCGCCGTGACCACCCTTCTCCGCGACCGGGGTATCGATCTGGACCACAAGCGTTTCTTGATTCTCCAGGGTGAAGTCGAGTCTATCGCTCAAATGAAGCCCAAGGCTGGCAATGAACATGAAGATGGGCTCCTGGAGTACCTGGAGGATATCATCGGAACATCAAAGTACAAGACGCCGATCGACGAAGCGGCCGCTGAACTTGAGACGCTGAATGATGTTTGTGTCGAGAAAAACAACCGTGTCCAGCACGTCGAAAAGGAGAAGAATGCCTTGGAAGAGAAGAAGAACAAGGCTCTCTCCTTTATCCGTGACGAAAATGAGCTGTCTCAGAAGCAGTCCGCACTTTACCAGATATACATCGATGAGTGTGCTGACAATATCCGAGTTACCGAGGAAGCTATCCTGCAGATGCAGGAGCTTCTGAACCTTGAGCTAGAGAAGCACGAAGGAAACGAATCTGGTATCAAGGAGCTCGAGAAGGCCTACAAGCGCGGCATGCGGGAATACGAAAACATGGAAAGGGAAATGCAGGCTCTGGCCAAAGAAATGGCCAAGTACGATAAGGAATCTGTGAAATTTGAAGAGAAAAAGAAGTTCCTTACTGGGAAGCAAAAGAAGCTGGAGAAAGCCATGCAGACCGCTCGTCTTGCTGCCTCTGAATGTGAAAGCTTGGTGCAAAAGCATACGGATGATATCGAAAAGAAGACGAATGAGACTACACAGCTGGAGAAGGAGATGAAAGCGGAGGAGGAAGAGCTGTCCTCAATCCGTGAGAGCCTCAAGGGCAAGACCCAAGGTCTTTCCGATCAAATTGCCGCGAGACAGAAGTCCTTGGAGCCTTGGGATGAAAAGATTAACAAGAAGCTCTCGGCTGTCGCCGTGGCTCAGAGTCAGCTTGATATCATCCGGGAGAGAAGCAACGCTGGTGCTGTCTTGTTGGAGGAGGCTCAGTCCAAGGTGGCTTCCATTGAAGAAGCATTGGCCACAAAAGAAGCCGATCTTGAGGAACGCAAAGGCCAGAAATTGACTCTCGAAGAGGAGGTCGCGAAGCTGAAGCACGACCTGAAAAAGTACGCCCACAGAGAGCCCGAAGTCCGGGCCCACGTCTCCAGTGCTCGACAGAAGGCAGAGGAGGCCAGGGCAAGCCTCGCAAGCACTCAAAATCGTGGCAGCGTCCTTTCTGGACTTATGCGTCTCAAGGAGTCGGGTCGTATCGACGGCTTCCATGGCCGGCTCGGCAACCTCGGAACTATCGATGAGAAATATGATGTCGCTATTTCGACCGCCTGTCCTACCTTGGACAATATGGTGGTCGACACTGTCGAGGTCGGTCAGCAGTGCATTGACTATTTGCGCAAGAACAACCTCGGCCGAGCCAACTTCATTCTTCTGGATCGACTCCCCCGACGGGACTTGTCCTCCATCATGACTCCGGAGAAGGTCCCTCGACTGTTTGACCTGGTCAAGCCCAAGGATCCCAAATTTGCTCCCGCTTTCTACAGCGTGATGCAGAACACCTTGGTGGCCAAGGACTTGGAGCAAGCCAATCGCATTGCCTATGGAGCCAGACGGTGGAGGGTTGTGACACTCGACGGTCAACTCATTGACATGTCTGGTACTATGAGTGGTGGTGGTACCCGTGTTGCACGCGGCGGCATGTCGTCGAAGCAAGTGGCGGAGACGAGCCGCGAGCAAGTGGCTAAGCTCGAAGGGGATCTGGAAGAGATGGAGCGGAAGTTCCAGCACTTCCAGGAGAAACAACGGCAGATGGAGGCGGCGATCAGGGAACGATCTGAAGAGATACCCCGAATGGAGACCAAGATCCAGAAGATCATGATCGAAATTGAGAGTGCCAATCGGAGTCTCGCGGACGCCCAGCGGCGTGTCAAGGAATTGAGCGCCGCGCATAAACCGTCAAAGACCGATGCCGCCCAAGCTGCGGCTCTTGAGAAACAGATTGCTTCTCTGGAGGAGGAAATTGAAGATCTTCGTGAACAGAAGGGTGGCATAGAGGAAGAGATTCAGACTCTCCAGAACAAGATCATGGAGGTGGGTGGTGTGAGACTCCGCGGCCAAAAGGCCAAGGTCGATGGCCTCAAGGAGCAGATCAGTCTGCTTGCTGAGGAGATCTCCAATGCGGAAGTTGGAAAGTCGAAGAACGAAAAGGCGATTGCCAAACACAAGAATGCTCGCGGTGACGCAGAAAGGGAGCTGGAGCATGTGACGGACGAGCTCGAGAAGCTCAATGAGGATGTTGCTAACCAGGCTAGCGATGCATCCGGGTGGAAACAGAAGGTGGAGGAGGCACAAGAGGTGAGAACTGCAATATGACAATGCGTTAGACCAGCGGGCTTACAAACGCATGTCAGGCTCTCGACGAGAAGAAAGAGGAACTCGGCAAAGTGAAGGGTGAGTTGGATGAGAAGGTGGCAGAGTTGAACGAGTCCCGAGCCACCGAGATCGAGATGCGCAATAAGCTTGAAGAGAACCAAAAAGCCCTGTCCGAGAACGAGAAGCGCGGTCGATACTGGCAAGAGAAGCTATCCAAGCTCTCTCTGCAGAACGTTAGTGATTTAGGTGAAGAGCAAGAAGTCACGGAGCTCCAGATGTTCACCAAGGACGAGCTGTTGGAGATGAACAAGGAGTCTCTGAAGGCAGCCATTGCTGCCCTCGAAGAGAAGAGCCAGAATGCATCGGTTGATCTCAGTGTCATCGAGGAGTACCGTCGCAGAACAACCGAGCATGAAGCACGTTCAGCCGATCTCGCCACTGCTCTGGGATCTCGCGATAGCGCTAAGGCTCGGCTTGATGGCCTCCGGTCTGCGCGTCTGAATGGCTTCATGGAAGGATTCGGCATTATCTCGCTTCGCCTGAAGGAGATGTACCAGATGATCACTATGGGAGGTAACGCCGAGCTGGAATTGGTTGACTCCCTGGACCCCTTCTCTGAAGGTATTCTGTTCTCTGTCATGCCCCCGAAGAAGAGCTGGAAGAATATTGGCAATCTCTCCGGTGGTGAAAAGACGCTTTCCAGTTTGGCTCTTGTGTTTGCCCTGCACCACTACAAGCCTACGCCCTTGTATGTGATGGACGAAATCGATGCTGCCCTGGACTTCCGAAACGTGAGTGCTGCCAGACTTGTTCTCGAAGATTGATCGACTAATATGTCTAGGTTTCGATTGTGGCATCTTATATCAAGGAGAGAACCAAGAACGCCCAGTTCATCGTTATTTCCTTGCGAAACAACATGGTACGCCCATCTCGTCCTGATACTACTAGCTAAGCACTAATCCTCAATAGTTCGAACTTGCCTCTCGGCTGGTTGGTGTCTACAAGGTCAACCACATGACCAAGAGCGTGACGATCGAGAACAAGGACTACATCACAGGGCGATGAATGATGTGACCAGCACATATGCATGTAATGACTTTATTTTGGGATGGGTTGGCCGGAAGGGGCGTGGTGTAGGAATGGATATCTGTTCAATGGTTGTAGGAGATGATCTTTTTTGTTTTCCGTCCCAATAACCTGTTGATACCGTGGGCTGAAGTTTTGAGATTCGGTGTTTACTTTTCTATCTCTGTTGCCTTCATGTATGAATTGGACATGACTTTTTCTTTCTGTCAATCACGCTTGATAGTATATATTCACTTTGGATATTCCTGCATAAAGAGAGATCAATCGTCCGCTCCACACTGACCAGCTAACCACTAGAGCCATCCATCACATGCAAGCAAGACCTCTCTCTGCTACCTCCCCTCCAACAACACCAATACCATCTTCATAACATACAAAACCTAACCTAACATACCATATCATAACATAACATACACCATCCCCAGCCCACCCAATGACCGCACCCACCTCCTCTTCTAATAATAATATTATTATTAATATTAATACCCCTCTCCCCTCTCCCCAATCCGGTTTTGACGTTACACCACCACCAGCCCCCACCCCCATCCCTAACCAATCCTCGCACCGTTAGCGACTCTATTAACTCGGTGACGTGCATACAACCAGATCTCATGCAAATCATATCTACTACACAATATGTACGATGTAAGATCAAGATCATACGACAACCACTCAATAAGACACAGTATCTGATTCGTCGGAAAGTTAAAGATAAGGATGAAAGGATGGATGGAACCTGAAGGGAAGGGTGGGATGGATGGGTGGATGGATGGCGTCATACATGCAGGGAATGGACATGGGAACCGCTATCGGGAACGTTCGTATAAGGTTTTGAGGAATCGCGGTCCCGATAAGGATGATGTTGTGGGTTATCTAGGGCAGTATCTAGGTATCTGGATTCTAGGTAGATAGGAGATAGTAGATAGCTGGGTCTGGTATCAACCTTGTTGCTTGAAGCTTTATCTTAGACTTCGAGCTAGGATCTGTACTAAGTCTGACTACTCAGATCCGGGACCTTGGTGGAGCGGTCTATCTTATCAGCGCTCGGGGTCTAGACTACTGATGATGACACGGGGTCGAATCCCAAGTCACACTCATGATTAAGCCCCAGTAAGTTCCTTCCCATAAAAGTACATACATCCATGCATGCCAAATGCCTCACAAGTGCATCCTTCGTTGCCTCGTAATGACATTCACTCATGAAAACAAGCGTCCGTCCATGCCATCCGCTCCTCGTGATTAATAAGGTCGTAGTTAAACAGTCCGATTCGCATCGGAGAGAATTGAAAGGGTGAGGCGGAAGAGAACAAAACCCAGATCGCTCGTCTACCCACGCTTGAAGAACAGAAACTCAAAAAGGCATGTATCCTGTAATATGCCGTAACTCCGCCCCCTTCTTGAAAACACGCCGTAGTCTATAGTATCGAGCCCTGTCCATGAACCAGTAGTAAACGCCGAAAAAATGTGGATCACGTGAGCATAGGATCACATGAGATTGCTGTCTGCATTCGGTGATGCAGACCCGAACCGCGGACGACGGTTGAATTGTGCCGCTTTAGGTAAGTTAAGAGGTTAGAATGGGCCGAATCCGATCGTGAGGGCCAATTAGGAGAAATGTCGTAGATCAAGTGTGGCTCACGGCCTACGCGATGACTGGTCGGCGCGGTGCGATAGGAATGGGTTTGGGTCCCGAAGAAATATCAAGAGTGGACATTCCCAAGTCGCTGTCCTCGTATTGTTGCGAAAGCTTATCCTTCGTCTTTTCCTTGCCGCCAGCCATCAAGGCAGATTGCCGCGAAGCATTGGTGCCTTCCTCTTCGCGTACCGTACTGCAAACAAAGCGTTCTTCGGAAATCGGGGCGGCCCCAAACATCGTGCCCAACTGCTGTAAGAGCGCAACAAAATGTGCGTGAATCTCCGCAAAGATGTATTGGTTTCCCACAATCTCCGAAAGGTTTCGTGCCCGAACCTGGCCAGGTCGGCGCGGCTGCCCATCTGGGTCAATGGCGCGCCCCGTAAGAAATGAGGAAACCGGAGTGTATTGTCTGCTTCCGCGTCTATTTGACCCGTTGTTCTGTTCATCGCGGCGCTTTTCCTCCTCCTGGTATTTCTCTGCCGACTGGACAATTCCCGCCGCAATTCGACCGAACGTGCGCCAGATCGCGGGACAGGCACGGAACGCTCTTCCGGCATCTTTGCCTGCCAATGCCACCAGTGCGTAGCTACGCCGTTTCCCGCGAGCCATGGGGTCAGGCAGGCGAAAGATGTAAGCTATCGTGTAACCCGCAGTAGAGTCGCCAAAACACAGGGGACCCGAAGAGAGACCCCGCGGCAGAAGTTCGCAGCTGAGTGTCCGGATGGAGGAGCGTCGAAGAAGCGCGTAATCTGCCGGGTTGGGAGGCCCGCGCAATGAAAGATAGGTGAGTATGTGTGTATGACAAGAGGCGTCCGACGTAACGGAGGACGAATGAAGGGAGTCCGGGTAGGACGCATGAGCATGCGGGTCGTGTGTGCTCTCGTCGTGATCGGCATGACTGGTGCCGCAGGAGTAGACTACCTCTCGAGACCGCAAGACAGGGCTGCCATTCCTCCCCTTGCCGTCACTCCGGGCCGTTCCTGGAGCCCCAGGCGGTAGTTGTTTGCTCACATCCTCGGGCAAAGTCAAACTACAACTGGCGCAGGTGTCGCCGTCCGCACCTCCCAAGATATTGAACTTCTGTGGAGTTTCACCGGGCGAGGTTTGCCCTTTGAGAAAGTACGGATGGTCTTCGATTCGAGGAGATCTGTCGGATGGTTTAAAATTCGGGGGATATTTGTTGTTTGTGCGGCTCTGCAGGCCGTGGGATGAAACGGTGTCGTGAGAAGTCGCAGGAGTATCGTCGGGAGAAAAGTCAGATTGGTCGGGATAGCATTGCGAACACGGGAACGGTAGGACCTGCGAGCAGATGATCGAGGTGGGACCATGCACCTCGCAAAAATGCGTCAAAGAAAGCTAGTCGAGGGGAATTATTAGCTGAATTGAGCCGACAGGGACCAGGCATCATTGAAGAGCGCAGGAAGGACAAGAAAGAGCATAGATCCCTGCGAGGTTGCACGTATATTATGCGCGGTGAGAGACAGGAAGAAGGGACCAAATACAGTTCGGAGAAGGCGAGGGGCACGCCGAGGGGACAACATGAGGGTGGAGGGTATGTCTCACGCATCATAGAGGGATCTCAGAGGCACAGGTGCGCGAGGAAAAGAGAGCCACTTACAATGAAATCCATATCCGTAAGAATTATCGTTTAACAGAACCCAGACACCATATTAGACCATTATTGCAATACATGCTTTCCCAGATGCAGGCAAGGTGACGATGGTGGTGGTGGTGGTGGTTTCGTGGCAATGACGCAGGATAACCACCAGAGAGAAGGGAGGGGAGGAAACCGGGTATGGCTGGCGCAGATCCAGGTCGTAGTGGAAGGTGGTAGACTGGTCGTGAGTGAAGGTTGGCTTGACCACACACCCGGCAATTGGGGGGGGGGGGCCTTTGGGTCGAGTCAATGAAGCTGCAAAGACCAGCTTGCAGGCCAAAGACGGTGGAAAGGAAGGAGGGGAGGAGAAAAGGAAAGAAAGGAAGGAAGAAAAGAGAGTCGAGGGTGAGGGCGAGGGTGAGAATAAGAGGATTAAGCGATGGAGTGGACGAGTAACTGTCGAGGTTGAGTGCTGCTAGTACTACTAAGTCTGGCTGTAGTAACTATGAAGGATATCGGAAAGGAAGGGGGGGCCCGGAAGTGGAGCACATCGGCTGCGTATGAAAAGAGAGGCAACAACAAGCTGGAAGCCAGGCCTGGCCGGGGCTGGCCTGGTGCCGCTGGGTAATTTCCGTCCCGTATGGTTCCGTATGGTACGGCCTCTTACTCCGGCTGCTTCCCTCCTTCGATGTACTCCGAACTTATCGACTGCTTCCTACCCAACGGCCAATAATCCCAAGCAACTATCCGATTACCAACCTGTTGTCCTCCTGTGGCCCCGCGGCCAATGCACCCCCTCTTCCCCTTCCTTTCTCTTCTTTCCTCGTTTCTCTTCGATTTCACTATCAAAGAATATCCCCGGTTGGGCTTCAAGGCTAGCGTCTCTTCAGCAGGATACCATGACAAACCATAGAGGGGTTCTCTCCGACTTGGCTGTCTCCTCCTTATTGCGCTTATTTATCTGATTCTGCTGTGGACGAATCGTCTGTTCCAGGCCGAGATCACTAAGCTCCCTAGTTCCCCTCAGCCTGTCAGCCGATGGAGCCCGACAGAAAACGGTTCCGGCCTAATGTGACTAGATGCCAATATGGAGAGACAAGCATGGACTGGAGGGCGCGCAGTCGACTTAGTAGTCTAGCAGTCTAGCATTCTGGTTCAGACGGGGCCCAAACGGCATCAGATCAGTCGCAGCCTCGTACTCGGTACTAGTCACCAGAACGATTATCCGCCCCAGGCGTCGATCATGGCCGTTCCCACCCTTTCACACATGGCGATGCTACGGTGCGTACCATCCAACGGTCTCCAGCCGCGAGGGGAGGAATGATGAACCCAAAAGCGAGGCGGACAATAACCCCGGGTGTAATCCGGCCGTACGGAAGGCATGAACCTCGGGATTACCATGTATGTAAAATGGTATACTACAGAGTACTATCAATTTAATAGTAGTAAAAGTCGATTCGAGTAGGACGAACTCTTAACTAAACCCAACCCGTCACCGCGCCCGAGGACTCGACCCAAACAAACTTCCGTACCCAACTTGACGGGACGGCCTGTGGCCGCTAAGCTGGATTTTACGCAATCGAAGGTCTGTAGAACGGGGGATGGAAGAAGTCAAATTTTCACCTGCGCCATTCTTTCAAGATCAATGGATCAGAGGGCGACGGTGCCCGTGGTTACTCATTTCTAAAGGAAAGTCTACTATCAGCAATTCAGCATGGAGAATCCTCTAGCAGGATCCCCAGGCTGGATCCAACGGTCAGCAAAGCTGGTCGCTTCCGACGACGTACTTCCCAATCCAGCCAGGTTCGGCAAGGAACCTCAATTACAGATTTACAGGAATGCACCCTCGAAATATTTCTTTGTTGATCGCCTCACAACTCTGCTTTCCCCCCTTTTTTTCTTGCCTTGGCCTCGGTGCCAAAAAGCAACGGAGCAGGGAAAGCAAAAAGGAAACCGCCGGCCTGATCACAATCATAGGGTCATAGATCCTGGGTGCAGCAAATAATTGCCGCCTCTCATGCCCGAGGTTTCCGATACGAACCAGGGTCGCACCTTGATCCCTTCGACACTATCCCAGTTTACCGAGTGCAGCCAGCAAGCAAGTGGGTGAGCATTAATCTCGACTAGTGGCATCGCGATAACCATCCATGCCCAGTCAGATAGCTTGGTACGCAGGTAAGGCAGGGAGACGGGATGAGCATCCTCATCCGGAGCAATCACAGCCCTCCCAGATAATACACCAAGGGACTAATTCCTCCATGGTGCCTACCCGAATATTGGATCCTCTGCAGGCAGCTCATCCCGCTGTCAGCCACCGCTTCACCCCAATCCCAACCAAGTAAGAGTCCAGATGCGAGGCTATCCCGCCGGGTCACATGGACGATGCTGTCCGGGGGACGATCGGGATTCTCCCAGGCTGGACTTTGGGTCGCTATCCCCAAGCCGTTACTTCGTACTCCTTTCTAGCTGGACGAAACCGACGGGGTGGACTCCCTGTTTCGCCCTGTAGCAGTAGCTACTCCTGGAATACATCGATGGAGTATGCAGCCTCGGGCTAGCGATCCGGATCACCTCCTGTTCATCACTTGATGCCTCAATCTTAGGGATCCGGAGTCCGGAGTATTACCGTCTGGGCAACACGACGGCTCCCTCTCTCAACACGGCGACTCACTTATTATCCGGAGCACAGTAAGATTGGGGGTTTCATCCACGCCTTCAGAAGGACCCAAAGCTGTCTGATACTTGTGATTTGTAGCACTCGGTGACCCCCAAAATCCAGCTAGGCGTCCGACGAACGGCCATTTGCTTTCCCCCGGCTCCGATTTGCTGCGCACGTCTCGTATTGGCGGGATGGGAATGGATAAATCCTTTATCGACGGTCTCTACACAGTAGTCCGCCGCGCTGCCACCCCCTGGGAGGTTACGGTACGCCAGATGCCATTGAGTATCGGTGACCTGCACAAAGTACGAGGAGACGACTCGGGCCTATTAAACCTTGCTTGCGCTGTCGGCCCAATCTTCAGCCAGCCGGATGATTCTTCCTGAGGACGAGCGAGTCCGACGCATCAGGTCTGCTGCATGCGGAGTGCAGCCGCTGTAGGTGATAGTGGGAAGGGTACCTGTACAAGAGCCATGTACAATGGTACCGAACTCTATCCCTGGTCTCCGTACGGAAGGATTCAAGATCAGCTCAGCTAAGACACTTTTGTCCCAGCAACGGAATGTCTCAAAGGCCAAAGGATCCCCCGAACATTCTATGGTGTTTTGACGAGATTTCGCCGACCCGAGATGGTCGAGGACCAGGATGCGACCGGGAAGATTCCCTGTCGCCGGGGACTACGGGGACTCCAGGCATCACGTCACAGTGCAGCGGGCAGGACGGCATAATTCCAGCCAATATGATAGTTCGAAAGTTAGCCCGATGCCTTGGACACGGTTTAGTCGATTTCCATGGGTGTGATCCCTTATCGCATCGAGCGATATACTTTGGCCGGTCGCGATAGATCTCCCGCGGTGTATAGATCTATCAACCGGAAGATGTGTGTGACCTACCGTTAGACAGGTACTATCTCAATTCTCCCCCGTCTGACCCTAGTTGGACGGATCACAAGCCCGTCATATTATCCTCCGCAGTTGCAGGATGATTCTGGTGCGATGGTTCCGAATCCGGGTCGCTTATCGTCTATCTTCAGCCTCGTGGTTAACACCGGAGTAGTATGTTCTTGCTTACATACAGTCAGACTCCGTTCATAACTTGTAACTTGCTAACCTGACCTTCCGATCCGATGGAACTTCCGTCCGCCTTCATCATAATTCATCATAACCTCTGCCGCTCAGCATCACCCAGCCAACCTCCACTCTACAATCATTCATATTGCGTACCCCGTTCCGTACTGTCAGTACCGATACCAGCAAGGCAAGCAAGCACACGACCTTGCCCCTCCTCCCAGCCGACCCATCCATTCCCTCCCCATCCACCAGCCGACCCGGCAAAATGAAACTGGAACAGTGGAAACCGCCCGACGGGAGAAACACGCTCCACTCCAGCGGGCAACGAGAGACTCTAGTTCGAGTTCCCATCGGCATCCCATTGGGTACCCTGTTCCATCCACACGCCCCATTGGAAATTTGACCGACCAAACTCCACGTGGTCATGAGAGTTTTGATTTGTCGATACTCCAATACACACAGTACTCCGTACTCACACACTCAGACGGTAGATAGCCCGGCAGCCGGCACAGCTTCTGTACAATGAGTAGATACATATGCGAGTAGGTAACTACATAGTAGGCACTATGTAGATAGAAGCTAAAGTCGCGATGACACGCACCAATAGGAACTCCAGGAACTAGGAAAACAAAGAAAAGATTTAGTGCGGGCTAACAGCATCGGAGGAGGTAACTTCCACGGCCCCAAGCCCAGCCCTGTTTAGTGCAAGTCAAGTCGATACTTAGTTCTTACTGTGGCTGCAGGTCTGGGCTGGACTTCCCCTCTTCTAATTTTTAGTAGTTTCCAGCGATCGCTTCGAGTAACTTGCTTAGTTTCCATACTGTGTAGCTCCTACATAATCGGGTGTAGCTACTTCATAACATTATTGCGTTGCTATCGTCTCGATCATAACCTAGCACAATACCAATATCACAGCAATACCACCCGACACTCGTATCTCCTCCATACAGCATACAGAGTAGATGATTGAATCCTGAAGAGTCGGTCAACTATCCGTCCGTGCTCACTCCTCACCCTAGAGTAATAGCAGAGTAGTCGAAGCTCAAGTGGATTCAATTAATTAATTTATCCAAGTCAAGTCAAGTTCCCGAACTGAACCTGAACCCGAACCCGAACCTGCAACAATCAATCTTCACATGTGCAAGTGCCAATGCCAATGCCAATGCCACTGCCAACGCCAAACACTATGTCATAATAAATAATTAATCTATAACGACACTGGGCACTGCAGATACATAATCCTATAAAATATGTTTTATAGCCACACACACACACACACACACACACACACACACACACACACACACACACACACACACACACACACAGGGCACAGGAACCCTCCCTCCAAGCAACCAACCAACAAATAAACACAAACAGAAATAAACCAAATAGAATAAAAGGTATGAAATAGAAGAAAAGAAAATATTTGTCATACCCACCAACTCTACTACATATCACAGACCAGGAAATTGTAAGCAACCAACCGCCCACCAGCCATGAACCAACCCTACGTGGTAGATAGTAGGTTTATACTCGGTCGAGAAAGATGCGTTAATTTTTTTTCTTCTTTTCCTTCTTGGTTAGTGGTAGGTTTTTGTGCTTCGGGTTCTTTCCGTTGGTTAGACTAGGCCAGGCTACCTACTAGGGTGAATGGGTGAGGGAGGAGGGACTGGAAGAGTGGAGGGGGCCGTGCTTGGCCCGCCACTGGTGGAGGTTGGTTTGTGGTTCTGGGTGGGGAGGGGTGGATTGCTGACATGGTGGAGCTTGCTGACAAAGTGGTACATTGTAGTTAGCTAGACGGTGGGTTTGTATATGGGTTGGACGGGAGAGTAGGCAGCATGGTTGTGTTTTGATTGTACTTGGGGTGGAGGTGGTGTTGATGTTGATGTTGTAGATGGTGGTGGTGCTTTGCATTCGGCAGAGGGTTTGGGGTGGGCTAGGTAGTAATTGAGTTTAATTGCTTGGTTGGGATCTTCACTCAGGTCCCGGTGTGTTTGGTTTTGCTTTGGGGATTATCTGAAATGGATTAGTATGACTACTAGAACTGCTTGAGATTATATTTGAGGACGGTTTTGTTCTATAGGACAATAAACCTAGTGTATACCTCTTGCTTGCATCATCTGGCCATCTCCGTAGAAACGGTTGAAATTCACATAGAAATCTAGCAAGATCTAATTCCCCAAGATCGAGAATACACAGAAGACAGATCTCGGTCTATGAACCAGATGAGATATTACTACCAAGGTATAGAGCCAGGATGTGGTACGGTCCAGCTGAAAGACCCTGGCCGATCCACCTAGGAAGCTAGAGACAGCGCGATTTGAAACTAGTTGGGGTTGAATTGGAGACGGGGATTAATAGAGCAAGTATAGCTCATGGAGTGATAAAATGCCGCAGATTGGATGGATACTAGGTTGTTGGATGGTGAGGGTTGTTCGGGTTGGTAGTTGGTGTGCCCATGTTATGTACTCTGTACATGGGCTGGTCTCAGTGAGGACAGGTTCTAGGCAATTATAGCGCTGTATGTTTCAAAAATGCGTAATATAATGGCTTTGACTATTCAAGTGGCTTATTGGTGATTTTGTACGGAAATGGGTAGGAGACTAGTCATATGGAGAGGCATGCACATGGATTCAAATATATAGATTACTGACCAAGTTGATGAAGAAGAACCATTGGGTGAATCTCAAACTCTCAACCTGGAGTGCGAAAATACATATTATCTGCATGTATATAATTCTCTTTGGACACATCCCAGCACATATAATGGATAATGCAGACCCTAATTAGTCTTGCCTAACCACAATTCCTGCTCAATCCTAGTAATTCTTTTTCAGTACCTACCAATTGGAATACCTACCCTAGAACCAGTACAGTACTATTGTACATAGCAATGCTTTACTGTCAGGGATACAACCCTCAATTGGTTACGCTCCTTAAGTACCTAATTTCTGAAAATAATACATAGGACAAGAACCAGCCGCTATCTTGCACCCACAACACAACATCCCAGAAATCCAGCACCAAATCCTACTACATAACATGTACATCAATCATAGATAATCCACCTCACAACCACCCCACCCAAGTCCCAATTCCACACCGTGACGGCATCCCATGTCAACGTTACGTCCCCCGGATACCGTGACGTCAACGCCCCAAAGAGTATCCCACTATGCTAACAGTATACTACCCACCACCAAGGCAGAAGATCACGATAAGCTTTATACTTACATAGCACGATGTATCCACCGGCCAAAGCCCCGTGCTTCACTGCACTATCAGGCAATCCCCACAATATTCCCCGCCATATGGAGTAATATGGAGTACGACTCGGGGTATCCGTTGGCCCCGGCGTAACCTTCTCCTGGACTTAGCTCCACCGGAACTTAACCCATTATCCACGATGGGGAGTGGATTGGATGAAGGTTGGGTTTGGTTTAGCTTGATGTTAAGTACGTAGTTGGTATTTGGGTTGGTTATCAGTGGATATATACCTCGGTGGGTGGATAGGTCGGGTTGAAAGAACTAGTCAAAAGGGGGCTGATTGGTGACTGGCTTACTTGCTATGATCCGGGTGGGTTATTGGAGGGGATGGATTGGCGTTGATGTCGCTGGATTGAGTTCTGGAGATTGGGGCTATTGCGCGTCTTGTTTAGTTCATTGAGAAGGAAGAGATATTCAATGCCAAGGTCTCTCTGCCTTGTTGCTATGGACTAGTAGATCTTGGCTCTATGATGTAATAGACCGTTGTGGGACTGAGATCTGCTACGTGCGTAGGCGAGGATGTATACGGTTCAGGAGTTGGGGAATGGGGTTGTTAGGATATTGTGGGATTTGGTTAGGTTTTGGTCAGGTTCTTGAGGATTGGGGATTGGGATGCAGCAAAGGGTAGGAAGAAGTTACAGTACGCTACATGTGATATGTTGACGAAGGAAGTATCTACGGGATGGAGCATACGGTCTATCACAATAGATTGATCCTCCCAACTTTTCCCATCCAACTCTTGTATATACATGCACCGCATCGTAACGCCAAAGTATAAATTACCAATCACCCTCACTATCGCTGCCTGGGTACGCCTTCTTGCGTAGCTTCCACAACGATTTCTCCCGTTGCAACGCTTCTCGGTGTCGGCGGCTGTTGTCTTCAACCACCGTCATCCAAGGCACCTTGCTCGCACGCCGGATTCGGTCCTTCAAGACTTGAGTCTCGGCCTCGAGGGTAACATCTTCCGCAACGGTGTCCTTGTTCTTCTTGAGCTTTTCGATCAGCTCCCGATGGCGTTTCCCGGCGGCCCGGGCGGCATAGTAGTCTTCGCTGATGGCCCAGTTGGGGTTATCCAGCAGACCCCGCACAAGGACGATGTTGTGACCCTGTTCGAGAGCGCCACGGAGTGTCGATCCCGCAATAGGCGTGACCAGTTCTAGCTGGCGCGATGCAACATTCACGGAACGGACAAGGGCCAGGCCCAAGCAATGGGTCACCTTCGGATCAAGAGGGTTGCTGCTCCCTGCTCCGACAAAGAGATAAGGGAGATCCTCGTTTGGTGTCCGGGTGATGCTAGATTCGATAGTCGATGACCCCGCGAAATGAACTGCATCCGTTGAGTCTCCCATCTCGACATCGCGGTCGGCATCCGGGCCATCGTGGCTGGCTGCCTCTGCCGTCGAGCTGCCACCGTTCGCAAACATGGGTCCGCTGTTGTGACCCAAGATGGCATTGGGCGATTCCACAGCGACAACGGCGACGATTGACCCATCTAGAACCTCAGACAGCAAGTCAGGGTGAATCTGAGATCCCATGACCATGATACCCTGAATACCCTGCTGCGGCCCTGAGTAATGGACATGGAAAGGTTTTGTGCGAGAAAGCGATTGTTCGAGCCACAGCGGGTTGTTGAGGTTGCTTGGGCGCGACATATGGAAATAGGACTGCATCTGCATGGAGCGGAGCTGTGTGCTTGACCTGCTAACGAAGTCGGTTGGTTGGGAAGGAAGGATAGTCAGAGGAACCTTGGCCTGGGAGGCTGCCTGGCCAAGTGGTTGAACAACCTCAGCTGGTCCCTTTTCGCTCATGTACACGACATCAGACAGGCCGAGGGATCTCACTAGCCAAGTGGCAACCTCCAGACCCAGGCCGAAGATCCATCCGGGGTAGTTGATGATGAGAGGGCACTGGGGATAGCTCGCCTGCAGGGCCCGGTAGCGATCCATCAAGTCCATTGCGGCGAGGACGTAGTGATCGGGGTCGTCTTTGGGTGATGTGGCTCCGATATGATGGCTTCGAACTATCGACCCATCACGGGAACCGTCCAGAGACGGGTGGGAGAAAGGAGGACCAAAGACGGGCGAACGAAGGTGGACCAGATAGACTTGTCCCATAGGGGCGAACTCCGGTTGACCAGGGTCCAAGTCCAAGAATGCGACACCATCGGTGTTATAGTAGTTGGTCTCTGTCTGCGGGGCTGGGCTGAGCAGGTGGTTTAACAGATAGCGACTGAAGGTGGATTTGCCCGATCCCTTCGGGCCACATATGAGAGTCTTCAACCGTCCACCGCGCTGAGACAGAGTCTTGATGGCAGAGCTCCATTGCTTCTCGAGATGCAGTGGCCGCAGGTGTCGTTTAAGGGAATCATCGGCAGAAGTATACAGCTACAATTCTGAATTAGATGGAAACACCAAGATGCAATCAGGTAAAGCAACTTACCACCGAGAACGTTCTCTTGGCGGAAGGAGAGGCTCCCTTCAACGTGAGTTTGTCCGCCGCAGTATTCTTGCCATTCCATATCCGTTGATACAGAGGTGAGAGATCCTTGAGGCGATAGATCCCACTGTGGCATGACTTGAACTCAACCTCCGCCTCGCCGTTGACCCCAGAGACGCACTTGATGACAGGTAGAGAGTGCGTCGAAGGGGCGTAGACCCTGTACACTCGGGACGAAGGGTGCAGTTTCGCTCCCATTAAGCTGATCACACCCCGCTTAACCCAAAGATCGTAGTGACCAAGCATTACCAGACTCTAGAGAAGGTCAGATCCACTCATTTCACCAGCCGGGAGCCATACCATCTTCTCTTTGATACGGACACACAGCCTATGCTCATCACTGTAGACGATGTTGTTCTTATTCAAGCGAGTCTTTGACAGCGGAAAGTCCTGGACCTGAACCGGAGTGTCTGCCGGTGATTCGTACCTAACAATATTAGTCCAAGGCTCGAACTGACTGTGGAGGCCGTAATTACCCCTCCTCGTCATTCTGGATAGGCTCAAGTCCGATGACATTGGTGTCTTCCACAACCTCTTGTTCTTCCGATTCCTCGTCGGAGGGCGACTGGTCCTCGCTAGCCTTGGTCGTAGCGGTCTCCGATAATTGCTGGTTGACCTTCGGGGGTTGCTCGTTGCGTGCCTTCTGCGTGGCCTTCTCAGTCTTCTCAGCCTTCAATTGCTCTTCCTTGCGCCTTGATGATCGCCTTGTCTGGACTCGGTTCTCTTCGCTTGCGGGTGGCACGGCCGCTTCTTCGAGTGAGCGCCGTGGTCTTTTAGGCGGCGGCTCTACAGCAGGCTCAGCAACACTGGGCTTGTCTGCAGCTGCGGTGGTCTGCGCCTGCTGCTGCCGGGCTTTGCGGGCCGCGAAAGCGCTGACCGGGGCTTGGAGAAGTCAACGTCAGTGATCCTGCTTGGGGGATAGATGGCTCAGCTCTTACCGGCAGCTTGCGCTTTTTCAGCCTTTCTCTTCATAGTCCCTGAAAAAGCACGACACGCTTTATTTCTCCCAAATTCGCAGCGTTGCGCCGAGTCGAGTCTGGGCGCGGGACTGCCAAAAAAGGTGAATATTTGAGGCCGCGGACTTCGCAGGTGGTCCGTGCTCCGCGGAGCAGAAAAAAAGGTTATCGCTCAAAAGTTCCGGATCGCTTCTCGCAACCCGCAGATTCGCGCTGCGCTGATACCCGGTGAAATAATACAACTCGCTTGATTACTCGGCTTCGGCCCGTTCGCAGTTACATTGAGTATCTGGCAGCAGTCACCAAGGAAGCGTGTGACTCGGCGCTCCGCATCGCAACTTCGGAGCTGTTCCCCTCTGATCGACCATACGAATCGGACCGGTCGAAAGCCACAATGGCACCCAAATCGAACAAGAAGGCTGTGGTGGAAAGGGAGCCCACTCCTATGAGCACATCGTCCTCTCCTGCAGACTCAAGCTCGGAGGCCGAGTCGAACAACCAGAGCGGAAGCGAAAGTGACAGCGATAGCAGCACGTCTTCCACCGAGAGAACTTCGAGCCAGCAGTAGGTTTCTACACTAATTACAGCGCAGCATGTGCCAATGGCTAACGGGTTTACGTATAGGACTGCCCGCAATGTGTCCATTTCCGCCCCCCAACCCTACAAGCCTCCTTCTGGATTCAAGTCCTTGAAACAACAAGCGCCGCCTAAATCCAATGTCTCTTCTCTGCTATCCGATCTTCGCGGCAAGCAAGTCTTCCACATCACCGCTCCAGAATACCTTCCTCTTTCCAAGGTCGAGGAGGTCTCCTTGGCCAAGATCATGCAGGGCAAGCCGGTCTTGAAGCACAAAGGCGTGCAATATGGAATTCCGGTGGAGAGCATAACGCAGCCCGACCTGGGTGGCAAGGCGCTTCATCTTTACGACTCGAAGAACAAGACATACTACAGCACCAACGCTAGCAATATCCCCAGCTATCACATTCAAGAAATGGTCGACGTTCCCGAGATTTCCGAGGAAGCCATTGCACAAGCTGTGAAAGAACAGGTCAAGCCCCCGAGGAAACACCCCAAACACCTGAAGATGCGATTCCGGCCAGTCGGAAGCGGCGTGGCCCCGCCGGAGACGCTCGGGTCCAGTTCCGAGGAGTCAGAAGGGGAGCAGCCTACGTTCAAGGTCCCCAAGAAGTTGGAGAAGGAGGAGAGGAAGCGTAAGAGCCACCCTACTGAGGCAGAGGGAAACCAGGCCGAGGCTGGCAGTGTGCCTCGCAAGAAGTCCAAGAAATCATCCCACGAGGCTGGCGAAGGCGAGAAGAAAAAGTCCAGCAAAAGCCGAGAGGAGAAGAAGAGAAAGAAGTCCGACAAAGCTTAAAGAGTCGCCGGCATTTTTTCCTTTTCTCTTTCGTCATGTTTGTTCATCAAAAGTTGGCATTATTAGATGGGATGTTTTGTTATACTCTTCAAGGCGTGGGGTATTCTGACGAGCCAGCTGAATTCTACGTTGCACGCCAGCCATGGGTGTGTTTGTACATAAGTCCAGAGTTAGATCTCATGCATAGAACTCGAGTAGTGAGTGGTCCAGTGCATCGAGCCGACTCTGTACCGCGTCCAAGCTCCAGCTGCAACGGTTGAAGGCCGGCGAACGGACGCTAGCCCGGATGAAGCGTTCCACCAGCACTGCCTATCGACAAGCCCCAATGATGCCTATTGCCTAGAGCTGAGGTGGTCAGGCGCTTTGCGCGCTCGAATGGTAGGACGGCCAGCACAGTGGTCCCGAATAGAATCCGCTTGGCAAGTAGTCGAGCAATTCTTCCTTATCCTGGTTGGAGCCGGTGGGTAGATAGATAGATGGATGACTCGGAGTGACAGTGGAAAAAGGCCCACTCGGCCAGTTAGTGTCGATCACCCCCGGTCTCTGTTTCGACCAGGCTGCTAGGCGTGGCCACTAGGCCCCCGGGCTGGAGCCTCGTGGATCACGTTGTGCCTGTCAGACTTTCGCCCTACTATACGGAGTACTCCGTAGTGAGTCAAGGAACTCCAGATACGTCGTTATGAGTCCGTCAAGATTCCGGTTTCTCAGGGATTCCAGGGTCCCCTTGCGCCGCGCCGCCAGACGGTGAGTGGGTAAATTACAGGCTGTTACCGCTCCTCAAAAATTAGCTAATCTTTCCGACCTATCAGCGTTGTTGACCGACTGGCCCCGGACCAGCACTCATCACATGCATCGGGTCTGATTGGCCAAGCGGGTTCCCGCGAACAGCTGATACGGGCAAGTGACGCCAGACCCCCATGAATGGTCGGCTCCCATCATTCATCTATTCAATCCATGCTGCTCTGCTTCTGCATCACACAGGCTGCTGGCTCGACCGCTTAAGCCTCTCGCTCATTTTCTCCCTTGCCCACGAGCCATGCCATAGTCTCTCTCTCGTCCGGTCATGGTTCGCTAGCCCCTGTCGGTCTTGCTTTGATGGCCCTCATCCGTCCGATCTGTACCGCTACTTGACGTTGCTTATCAACTTTCTGCTGGCACACCGTGGGTGTCACTTTACCCTGCTTTTGCTTTTTTGTTTGCCCGGGAGGAGCTGTTGCTATTCCTGATTAAGAGTCCCAAAGCTAACATGTTTGATCATCTGCCTTCAGCCATGTACCGATTCGTCGAGCTTCTACCGTGACTTCAACCTACTGACTCCCTTGACCGTGAAGCTGGATCACACTCAGCGCTGTCATCTGCCTGGGTCCCCCTGGCTGTTGTAACAACTACTCCTTCTGAACCCTGTTCATTCCCGCTCGCTGTGTCTCATATCTTCTCTCTTTTCCACAACCAAGATGCGACCCTTTCTAGATGACGCAAAGCGCCGAGTCGACCGTAGGCTCAGCGCAAGCAGACAGTCGATATCGAACAGCCGCATGTTTTCCAGTGCTCTGCCAGAACGACTAAAAGACGACCATGACGCTCAGGTTGATTTCAGCGCACCGCCGGGCGGTGTCGGAGCTCGAGATGGGCACATGCAGTATATGCAGCAATCCATATTCGGCATGATTGCTGCGGTGGGCTCCAGGTCCGATTTTCATTCGCGGTTCGAGGAATCCAGTGAGAGTGATGGTGAGGCAGAGGACAGTCCCCGCAAACAGTCTGAGAACCTGTCTGCTACCGCCGGTGCCTTGCCAAAGAGCGAGAATGATCCGCGACGGCTTTCATCCAAGCCGCAGAGCCCGACCCAGGAGCGCGGGCGACGCCATCGAAGAACAATATCCGACAATAAATTATTCCGCCCGTTCAAGACGGATACCAAACAGAGCAAAGGGAAAGAGCCAGCCGTTCAATCCGAACCTCCGACTGGCGATGAACTGTCTCGAGCTTCCACCCCTAAACGGCCTCGCAGTGCTACTCCGAGGGCAGCTCCCGTCCTTAGTCGCATGGTGGAAGCACAGGCTCTCCTGGACACCAAAGACTCGGCCGGAAGATCCCAGGTGCATACGGAAGACAAGACTGACGAAGATTCGAAACAGTCGTCTGCGTCAGCACTGTCTTTACGGTTGAAGGAGATGTTCGGCTTCGAGACCCCGGAAAAGGTAGTTGTCGAGTATGCATGCTCACTTCTGCAAAGTATGCTTCTGCAAGGATACATGTATGTCACCGAGGGGCATATCTGCTTCTACGCATACCTTCCCCGGAAGTCCACCGGGGCTATCAAGTCTGGGCACCTTCAAAAACGTGGCCGTAAGAACCCCAAATACAACCGATACTGGTTTTCTTTGAAGGAAGATGTCCTTTCATATTATGCGGACTCGTCAAATCTCTACTTCCCTAGCGGCCATGTCGATCTCCGGTACGGAATCTCGGCTTCTCTAGCTGAGCCAAAGGAGAAAGGGGGGGAAACCCGGGAATTTCAGGTCTCGACTGACCAACGGACGTACTATTTCCGAGCAGATAGCTCTGCGAGTGCCAAGGAATGGGTCAAGGCTTTGCAGAAGGTCATATTTCGCACCCACAACGAAGGCGAAAGTGTCAAGATCTCGTTTCCAATCGAGAGTATCATTGATATTGAGGAGAGTCCCATGGTTGAATTCGCCGAAACGTTCAAAATCCGCGTGGTAGAGAGTGAGGAGACGTATGCTATCGACGAGGTATTTCTACCATCTTCAGTAATATGCCCAATGCTGACGATTGCTGCAGTATTACTTCACGTTTTTCAATTCCGGGCAGGATGCGTTCAACTTCCTCAAAGGTCTAGTTGGTGATACTCCGATGAAGCGCTCGCAGGCCTTATCACCACAGCCCGAGCAGATGGCTCGTTCTCGCCGTTTGCGAGGGTCTCAGAATAGGTGGTCGATCACCAGCGCGACGAGCCAATCCCGGGGCATTGGTAGCACGCAGCGACGCAGGAGTGCAAGCACCGGTCATTTTAGTCTCGGGCATGATAACTTGGGGATGTCTCCACCAACGAGACAGCAGGACTCCTCGGTGTCCTTCGGGAACTCCTTCGACCAGGCGACTGAGTCCTCTGCCATTCTGCAGTCTATGACCGATACGGCCGAATCAGCAAGCCAGATATTGAATCGCAGCGATGTCTTCCAGTCCCCTACGATCCATACATTGCGGCGAGGCCCTTCCGGTGCAGATAGGACGCGTCGACACTCGGATGAGACAGCTCGATCGGTGCACGCCCACATAGGCCCAGGGTATACCAAGGATGGGCAAGAGCTTTCGGGGGCTTTGAGCGATTCAGATCGGGATACTCAAAGTCCCTCTAGAATTCAGCCCTCCGCTCCCACCCTTAATGAGATTGTTCGCGCCGGCTCTTATCCGTTGCAGCGCGCGGCAGGGATTGCAGAGTACCTGAAAACGCGGTCCAAGCAGATGAGCAACCTTCTGGCCACCGAATCAATGGGCTACATCGAAAAGGTCTCTGGTATGTGGGCCGGCGGTCGCAAGCATTACGGGGAGTCCGAAGATATTCTTCCGGATGATCAAGCCGTCGACCCTGAAGACAAAGAGGGTGGCTGTAAAGACGGGGACCGATTCCGGGCGCATTTTGCCCTCCCATCGAGCGAGAAGCTGCAGGCTACTTACTATGCCTATTTACACCGGGTGATTCCCTTGTATGGCAAGATATATATAAGCCAGAAGAAGCTCTGTTTCCGCAGTCTTTTGCCCGGAACTCGCACAAAGATGATACTCCCTCTAAAGGACGTGGAGAATGTGGACAAAGAAAAGGGTTTTCATTTTGGCTACCACGGACTGGTCGTTGTCATTCGAGGCCATGAGGAGCTATTCTTCGAATTCCGCACAGCTGACGCCCGAGACGATTGCGCCGTTACGCTACACCAGGGTTTGGAATCCATGAGGTTCTTGGTGGAGTCTGCGTTCCTTGCAGAGGAGGATGAGAAAGACGTGTCCGAAGCGGCACGGACAGAGCATCGTATGCTACAGGAGGCCAGGCTGGACATCACCGGCACGCACGGCTCCCCCTCGACGCTGACCGAATCCACCGAACTGCATCCTATCTTTGACGACCCTCGCGCGTCGATCATCAACTTCAAGCCCACCGAGTCGCTGAGAATTACGTGTCTCACTATCGGTTCCCGTGGCGACGTACAGCCGTATATCGCTCTGTGTAAAGGTCTGCTTGCCGAAGGGCATAAACCTAGGATTGCAACTCACGCGGAGTTCGGGCCCTGGGTGAGGAAGCATGGCATTGACTTTGCCCCGGTCGAGGGTGACCCCGCTGAATTGATGCGCATCTGTGTCGAGAACGGGATGTTCACCTATTCCTTCCTCAAGGAGGCCTCGTCAAAGTTCCGAGGCTGGATTGATGACTTGTTGTCCTCTGCGTGGATAGCTTGCCAGGACAGTGACCTCCTTATCGAATCGCCCAGCGCGATGGCCGGAATCCATATTGCCGAGGCCCTTCGCATCCCATACTTCCGTGCCTTCACCATGCCCTGGACGCGGACACGGGCCTATCCACATGCGTTTGCTGTGCCCGAGCACAAGATGGGTGGTGCGTACAACTACATCACCTATGTCATGTTTGACAACGTCTTCTGGAAGGCCATTGCCGGACAGGTGAACCGCTGGAGGAAGAAAGAACTCGGCCTGAAGGCAACCGGGCTGGATAAAATGCAGCCGAACAAGGTTCCGTTTCTTTACAATTACTCTCCTACGGTGGTTCCCCCACCGTTGGACTATCCGGACTTTATTCGCATTACGGGGTACTGGTTTCTGAGCGAGGGTTCCAACTGGACTCCTCCGGCAGGGCTGCTCGAATTCATTCAGCGTGCTCGCGATGACAATAAGAAGATCGTCTACATTGGATTCGGGTCCATTGTGGTGTCCGATCCTTCAGCTCTCACGCGAACGGTTGTGGAGTCCGTCCAGAAGGCCGATGTTCGCTGCATTCTTTCAAAGGGGTGGTCTGACCGTCTTGGAGACCCGGCGAGCGCTAAGGCAGAAATCCCTCTGCCTCCGGAAATTTATCAGATTCAGTCCGCGCCTCACGATTGGCTCTTCTCCCAGATTGATGCCGCGGCGCACCATGGTGGTGCCGGCACCACTGGAGCCAGTCTGCGTGCTGGTGTTCCTACCATCGTGAAGCCTTTTTTTGGCGATCAGTTCTTCTTCGGGACGCGAGTTGAAGACTTGGGCGTCGGCATCTGTATGAAGAAGTTGAACGTGAGTGTGTTCTCACGGGCCTTGTGGGAGGCTACCCACAGCGAGCGAATGATTGTGAAAGCCCGGGAACTGGGAGAGCAGATTCGCAGCGTAAGTTTTGTTAATCCCTGGCGTCATGACCTTGCTAATGCCTGACAGGAGGATGGTGTCGACACGGCCATCCAGGCAATCTACCGGGACCTTGAGTACGCCAAAACACTGGCTCGGAAGCGCTCGAATGCGTCCGCGACGCCCTTCTCACCCACTCCGTCAGCTACGGTTGGGGAACATGACGCCGACGATGACGTGGGCGACATTGATGACTGGACCATTGTCGAAGACGATACCGAATTCAACACCAAGTTGAATACGATCTGATGTGGATGCATCAGGGTAGACTAGCAGTTGATGACTTACGAATCGCGGCACTTGCTCTGTTCGATACTATATGACGTTAATATTGCTTCTTTTTTGACTTGCTCGGGATTGCATGGGTTTGGGTGATTCGGGTGTCATTCGTTGCTGCAACTGATGATTTATGATATGCTCTGGTGGATGCATAATATACTTTTAATTGACGTTGATTACTTAGACGTCGTGAATTGATAGATGCTTGTTTGGCGATAGCGAATAGCGATATAGAATGCGAAGAATTATCTACCACAGTAATCTATCAATTGTTCAATGACTTGATTGTTCAGCTACCTAGGGCCGTCGTATTGAGACAGACTCATAAGGCCCTGCAGCTAATCATCGCGGGCCCTGTTGTTTTCTTCATGTATTCTCTCACACTGTTTTCGTTCTCCCATGCTCTTGACCGATTCGTTGATCCTCTCAGTGCCAGGATAACAAGGCTTCAATATCATAGTGGCTGAAAAGAACATTCGGAAGTCCACATCCATTGGTATCACATAGACTTTTAATTTCCCTGCCTGCTTTTGACCAGTAAATACATACAAAAGGGTAGTCGGCGACCAAAAAAAAGAAAACAAGAGACGAGAAATAACAACAATGATATTAACGTAGCTATGCGGATTTCTCCTCCTCCCCCTTACCCTCAGCCTTTTCTTTCCGTCTCTGCACAACATCCCAATTGTACACCCGAGCCGTAGCCACCTCGAGCGTCTATCCCCCATTAGCATACACCCACTCTTCAGAACCACCACAAAAGACAATACTGGATTCCAACATACCGTAATCTGTTCCCGCAAAAACTCCAAATCCTCCTCACAGTTCGACAAACTCGTCTCCGCCGCCGACAACTTATCCTGCAACATCGTCTCGGCCTCCTCGATCGGATACGCCAGCATCACGTTCGCTCCCAGCCAGAGATACACTTCCTCCGTGTCGGCGGGGGAGACGCTCGCGCGCGCGTACAGCGTATCGTTCAATTCGAAGTTGGTTTCTAGGGGGGTGGAGTTGTTCTATCCCCACACCATATCACATCAGCATCAACCCGTCCACATGTATTCCCGCAACAAATCACGAATGTAATGTATTAAGGTGGTGGGGTATCCTACCTCCCTCCTCATCTTCAAAAACCGCACCATCTCCAACGTCTTCTTAATATCGGGGATCTTGTCGCGCAGACCCGCCCCGCGCCGCTGCGTGTTCACCTCCATGAACTGATACTTGGAGATCATCTCCTGGAATGAGCGCAACGTGGGCTCGACTTCCTCCCGCGAGGAAACGTAGTCGGCGACATTGTCGACGAAGGGGGCTGCGGGGATGCCGCGCGGGTTGGTTTGGGTGGTTACTCTGTTTTTATTGTTTTTGTTAGTGGTGGGGTTAGGTTTGGATGTTGGGTTGGGGGGTCGGAGGGGTAGGGTAGGTATAGTGGGTGGTGATGGTGGTGGTGGTGGTGGTGGTGAATTTTTGTGTCTGGATGGGAATGGGTGGGATTGGAGCCACTCACGAGGAGGGTTTCTTGTCTGCCATGGTGAGTTTGTGGCAGACAAGCAGTATATAGGGTAGAATCGAAGGGAAGAGGGAGGGAGCGCAGGAAGATGGAGCGGCGAGTGATGTTATCGAGAATCCCAGGCCGCAAGTGGGCGGGGGAGTTGATTGCCCGTTTGGGAAAGGCGGCATCTCTTCTCCGGCGCCGCGGATGCTCATACTTGCTTCATACTTCTTTCCCTCCCTCATTTGATCTTAATGCTTATGGACAGCAGCATGATCTGATCTGGAGATAGAACATGGTTCTCCTTATCACTACCCCTCCTATCCTCGCTGCCGTCGAGGCCCTCCCGACATCCTCGCGGACTGATCTCGCTCTCCCCGATGTGCTGAATCTCAACGACCCCATCTCACATGCTCAGTTGATTCAGATCGCCCGATATTTCCGGGCCCAGACCTCAAATCCAGACATAGCTGCAAGCAGAGAAAGAAGTCTAGATGCCCTCCTCCGCGGAACAAAAGTGTATATTCCGCCTCCGCCCAAGAAACCCGAGCCGGTACGTCTACCTCCACTCCATCCCATCCCATCCTGACTTCTATTTTAATACACATGCGCACGATCATACGTATACCAACAAAGCTAACTTTATGTAACCCTAGAGCCCCGAATACCTCGCCCTCAAAGCGCGCCTCCTCGCCGCCGCCGAAACAGACGCCTATAACTGCATGACTTCCTCCAGTCTCACCCCGTTCTCTACCAGCAGTAGCAAGACCCCAGCACCGAATTCCATCTTCACTTCCTCGACACCGACGCTCTCGGCCCTGCACGATAAAACCAATAATTTGTCTGACAAAGGAGGGGAGGAGGATCAACTCACCCCGTCCCTCGTGTTGAATATCTTCCTCTCTGTCCTGATCACGGGGTTTAGTGTGTATTGGGCCTTGAGCAGTTTCCGGACGCCGGAGATGCTTGTTGATGTTGTTGCGGGGGTGTGGGGTGGAGGGGGCAGAGGAGGAGGAGGGAAGGGTGTGTCGGAGGCGGTTAAGGTGTTGGTGTCGTTGGGGGTAGCGTTGGGGGTGGGGGTTACGGAGGTGATGATTTATGCGATTTATTTGAGGAAGATTGAGGTGGCGAAGGGGAGGGAGAGGAGGTTGAAGGAGAGGAAGGTGGTTGTTGGGAGTGAGAGGGTGGGGGGGACTGGTGGTGTTGGTGAGGGTGGTGAGCGGGTTGGTGATGATGGGGAGAAGGAGGAGATATGGGGGAGGGGGGTGAATGGAGGGTTGAGGAGGAGAGTAAGGGAGAGGTGGGAGGAGAAGGAGAGAGATTTAAAGACTGAGATTCATGATTGAATATAATGATGTAGGATAGTCGAATTCTATGCCTGATGGAGCCCGCTAGATGTGTTGGTAGCTATGTAGGTGACGTAGTGATAGGATGTCCACCAGGCAAGGATTTATATGAACAAGGAAACCGGGGGCCTTCTTGGAAGAATAAAGGATAGAGGTCCAACCCTTCAAGACCTGGGACTTGTGAATATTGGCGGGTGTTTGGCTTCGTATTCATGCTTCAACAGTGAAGGGTCTACATAGCTAGTAAGACATTTAGAGGGCTCATTAAGCTAAGAAAGTATAAATCGACTGAATTGACTAAATCCCCGAACCGTGCAAGCCGATGCTGAATACAAATTGCAAAAGAACAAAAGAGAACCTCGTTGCCAAACGATCATAAAACAACCTCACTCCTCACCACCATTCTCTTCCTCATCAACAAACCCCTCCGGGAGCCCATTCCCACTAAACTCCCTGATCACCAATCTAGCTTCGCAGTGATTCGGGTCCGCAAAGGTCTGATCGAGCCATTCGAGCATGTTCTTCCATGCCTGAGGCATGATGCATTCGATATTCAGGGCCTCACCGGATGAATAGCAGTTGCAGCCGTGATCGTGCGACGAGGCGACAGGTAGTCCAACGGGCTGGTTAGAGATCATATAGCCACGGCAACGCGAGGAGATAAAGGCCGCAAAGGATGAGGGATCTTCTGTGTTTGGCTGGGTTCCGAGATCAAGCGAGGCTAGATGAAGAGGGTGGGAGAGACAGATGGCTGAGATGTAGGGACGCCATGCTTCCCCTGTAGTGGGTTGTGGATCAGTGTCAGGCTTGTAGAAAGAATATGAAGAAAGAAAGAAAATGAGGTGAGGAGAAGAGGGAGAAAGTCTTACAATTATTTGCCAAGTATCTAATGGCACCCAATCCACCATCAACCAGTCCAACGACCCCAATCTTCGCATCCGCTCTAACAAACCGCCCCCGGGCAGCCAATATTTCATCAAAGACGCAATTGACATGTTCCTGCCAGTTACCATTTCCAGGAATCTTGTTCCGATGAGACATAGCTGGAGGAGAATCTACAGCTGACTCTCGGGGCATGCAAGGCCAGGACGCCAGGGTCATTGCTCGACTGGAGCGGCAGTGCCAGATCAATTGACCGGTATTTGCCAGGACAAGAGCTGTATCCGAGAGGTCTTTGTTTGTAGCATTGGAATCAGCATCATCTTTCTTGCTCAGAACAGCCTGGGCAAAGGCAACAGCAGATCCGAGATCAATGCCCTCTTTCCCGACAGTGCGGTAAGCCCAGATCCCAAGATCCTGGAGAGGTTCTCCGAAGACGACGATGACGCGGGAGGCGGAGGAGATGTTCTTGGAGACTAGAATTGGGACATGGGCGTCGGTAGGTTTGGCAGTTAGTGGGAGGCGTAGAGTGACGAGCCCGAGGTCGCGGAGACGAGCGGAGACGATTCTGCGAATGCATGCTGTAGAATAGGTTAGAACATAAGAAAAGTAATCTGCGACGGTCTGAAATATAACTAGGAGACGAGCGTTCAAGACATACTGTTCATAGCCTCTCTTTGCATATCGTTCCAGCGCTCGTGCTTATTGATCTTGTACTGGAACTCCTGCTCTGGATCCGAGATCTTTCTGATCTGGTCATTGTCGTTGATAAAGTATCTGACCTCAGTTAGTGGCGTACACGACAGACTCATATCTGCTTTCTTACCCCAATTTCTTCAGATCCGCAGGGAAGACGGGGTCCGCAGGGAGATCCTTCCGATTAAAGACGAACATCCTGGCGATGCAAGTCGAGGGTAAGATAGAACATGGGCTTAGAACGGGATAATGACTTAAAGAAGAGAGGTGTTGAAGAGGGGAGAGGGGAAAGGAGATGACAGAGATCCAATGGTGAGTGAACAACAAGGACAAGCCAGAACTGCAGCTTTCCGAACCGTTACAGTGAATGAAAGGCGTTTGCCGAAGCAGTCACTTTCAGCTCGCCCAGACCAATCGCAAAGACTCTCAGGTGTCACATCCGTCCAGGAAGAAGACAAATCAACGGTGCCAATCCCCGAGTCCTCACTGCAGACCCCCTTTGCCAGTTACTGCCACAAGAAAGAAAAGCAGGTAGATATTGATGATGAAGAGTCTTTATTCTCACCACCACCTAGGATCTATGGTACATGTCTCACTCACGAGAACAAAGAACGGAACAAACGCCTTCAGGAACCGGCCAACCCAAAGCTACCAAAAAAGTCTTTTCGCATAATCCACAGGAAATAATGATAGGCTTTACCAACTCGCCTTTCTCACACCCGGGAGTTCACCGGCCAGTGCCTGCATACGGAATTGGAACTGGACAGCCGTTAGCACTTATTCCTACTCAACGTTGGAAATCATTTCCCATGCTCTGTGTACTTACTCTACCCAGTCTGAAGGCCCGGATCACACTTCGAGGAACACCACCTGCCACACAGCGGTTCTTGATCTGCGTCGAGCGAGTGTAGGCGTGCATCGAGGCGAGCTGCAACTGCGCCTGGGCGCGCACACGCTGGGGAAGAGACGTGTTGTGGATCACATAGCGGAGAGCTTGGCTGTAGTATCACAAAAACTGTCAGTCTCGATCGATCGTTTGTTGGAAAGAAGGCCGGACAAGCTTACCGTTCGGGCTCGAACTGCGCAAAGACCTTACGCTTGGTGTGGTCGCGGACGACACGGGGGTTGATGAACCCGCCGAGGTCTTGGATCTTGGCACGGAATTGGGACATTTTGGCTGGTATGGGGGTTCCTGACGCTGGTGGACTAGGATGAGGGTTGGTTGATGGCGGAGGTTTTGGCCGCTGCGGCGAAGTCACGGGGCCGGGATGGACATTGCCAGATTGGGTATAGGGCCATCTCGCCCTGGATTCGGGAGATTTCTGAGAAAGTGTTATACAATGGTTGATTGGGACTACTTGATTGACAATAATCTACATCTCATGCAATGCTCTGCCTGTACTGGGATTTCGCTTCTGGTACCGCAGTGGGACATCTGAAAACTTCCTATCCATGACCAGTGCCAGCCTTCATTGAACCAGCACTAGCCTTCGTTGAACCAGCACTCATTAGAACTCAACCTAGTGCTGCACCGTGCACATATCCCAACTGCAATGCCGCTAGCTCTCGGGCAAGTGACTACGAGTTGCCCCAGCCCGCCTTAAACGCCGCACACCGGCGTATCATCTTCCGAGAGGTTTCATCCATACTTCAACTAGTACAACCTCCATCAGAGAAAAATATGTTATACAACTTGTCAATTCGCCATATGTCCTAGGACGGTATCTTCTATAAGCTTATACAGAGTAAATGCCCGCAAACGAATCACCGGCGACTCGGCAATCGGGGTCTCAGACTACCCACGACCCTCGTTCTTTCGCTATCTCAGCGTGCCCGAACCTCGGTAAAGGCTAGTTTAATGCTTCTGGTTCTTGGCGTTGGGGTTGCGGGGGTCGTTCTTGAACTCAGCGGCTAGAAACAATCGAGGTTAGCATGACTCCGTGCGAGGGAAAAAGGCCTCGAGTCAAGTGAAAGCTCAACGGCGGAGTTCGAGCAAAGGAGCGGTAGGTTCACGTACTGTTCATGAGAACGTTGGCGAAAGAGTTGACGCCGTAGAGGATGACCACACCTAGACACAAAACCGTCAGAAACCGAACGTTACCCCTCCCAATGTGCTCCCAGCCAGGCTGATATCCTGCATTGACAATTCCACGGCCAGGCAAGCCATTCAACAAGACAATGGGTGCATACCGGCAGCGAAGAAGGGGCCCAGAGGCTTAGCTATAGGAGCAAGCAGGTCAGTTCATATTCTGGTTTCTCGGCTCAACGGAGGTGCGCCAGGACCGCGTGCAACGTACCAACGGGGGTGGGGAACTTCTTTCCGAGGAGAGACATGGTGGCAGTCCGTTTGATTGAAAGCGAAGTGCTGGGGATGGAGGAGAGACGGAGTGGGAGCAGCTGGTGAAGGAAGACGAGACAAGAGCGGGTACAACGAGGTTTGTCCGGGAGTCCGAACCTCCGGCCGCTTTAACGCTTCGGGAAAGAGTTGCCGCGCCGCTTTTGCCCGGCCGCATCGCTGCCCCTCCAGATGTAAACAATCATCACTTATCAAGAACGATAAACAAGAACCACCCCTTGACTCTTGCATATAACTAAACATCAACGCAGCATCATCACAATGGCAGAACATCTCCAAGCTGCGGTTGGATCCCTCCAATCCTCCCTTCAGGTTCTCGATTCCTCCATCTCCACCCTCGATGCCGGCATTAGCGACTTTCCCCGACTATGCAAGGTCTTGCAAACCACCCGAGTAAGTGCCATCTTCAGCTCACTACAGTACGTGACTAACCCGCACCAGCACTTTGAACTTCTCCCCGAACCTACCCTGCGCGAAGCGCAACAGTCTCTCCTGGATGAAATCACCCCAAGCATCGCCCACCTACTATCCCTAGCGTCGAATCATGTTGAGAAGCTCTCCCGGCGGGAACAGGGCCTCCGAGCCAAGTGCGAACTGCAAGAAGGACGACTCTACTCTAATGAGAGTCGCCAGCCATCCAGACTACGTAGTGCCTACGGTGATCGACAGGGCGCTTCTGGTAATGCGGCAAAAGCGGCCGAGTTGAGGAGACTGGTCCAGAAGAAGGAACGTCTGCAGTATGCAGTGGAGCGATTGGAGTTGCAGAGTACACAGAGAGAGCGGCAATTACGGAAGAGTATGGCTTTTCACTGAGGAGTTGGTGAGAATTCTTAAAAATTTCCAGATGCTTGCTGTCTGCGAGCCTTCGAATGATGGCCGTTATTGAAATCACTCGGAGCTATTCCGAGAACGAAAAATGATGGAGGACGGACCGAGGCTAAAATCAAGAACGTGGCAGGTGGTCAAGGTGCTTGATCTGCAAAGCTGGCAGGGGGCATTAGCTCAGGAAAACTCGATGACTCGCGGCTATTATCCCAAAGCCGCAATCGAGTCGCATCCTCACTACATTGCGTATTTACTGGCCTCTTGTTGGAACCACGGAACCACAGAAACACAGCGGATGAAGGACCCTACCAGCAGTGCTATACCCCGATATCATTCTCCATCGAAGTTAATGGAGGATAACACACGGGCTTGGGGCTAGAGGGCCTATTTACTGATGCAATGCTTTTTGACTAGAAAGAAGCCCCTCAGTCGCGGTCTGACTTCAAAACGTCAAAAGGAGTCTACTAGGAGTTCTCCAAACCCTCGCTGTTTAATGTTTATTAAACGAAGATGGATGAAAATGTTTGAGTGAGGAGCTCTTACAAGCAATGACATGATCTATACACCAGCTCATATATCGTACAAGTATAATACAATGACCTCTCAATCACATAGATGCTCCTAGCCAGGAAGCACGATTCAACCCTTTATGCGCCAATCTTTGACGCCATGTACCCAAATGAACCGAATCAACCCATATCTATAGGCTTAGGAGGTTGGCTTGATCTGCTTCAACGCTTGTCTGCGTTTCGTCTTGTGCTGATCTTTCAACCAAGCGGGAATCTTTTGCCCCTTCTTCTTAATTGGGGTCTCAATCATGGGCGTTCCACCAACTTCAGTATCCTCCTCGTCTAATTCGCCTTCGTCCCGTTCCGCTTTCTCGGCGGCTCGTTTGGCCAGTCGTTCCTTTTTGCTCTCGCCATGCTTGTCGCCGAGTCTCAGCTTCCTGAAAATGCGAGTCTTCGCACCCAGGGCCCACAGGTCTCCCCATTGGGCCTTGCGCGCGTCCTTGTAAGCTTGCCGACTGAATGAGCGAGGGACGGTCCACCGCTCGATCTTGCCGGCCGGTGTGCACACGTCGAAGGTGACGTGACCACGGCGTTTCATGGGTTGGAAGACGAGACGAGGGAGCGAGAGGGCATTGACGTCGGCCGCTTGTTCGGCAGAAGACTGGGTTTCGGACGCAACGGCTTCGGATGTCTCGACTCCTTCCTTCGGCATTTCGACCGCATCTTCGTACCCGGCAAAGGCTGCATCGGCCGCTTCAGGGCCCTGGACGATTCCGTCTTCGACCCGCCGATCCACACCGCGCTGGACAGCGATGTAACTGAATTTCAAATCCTCATGGTTTCGGTCCTTGGCGCCAATGATGCGCTGCAAGAACGGAGGCCTGATGTAGCGTTGCTGGAAATGACAATAATCCTTACGGCCCTTACTATGGCCCGGCGTGTGGTACATAGGGCACTTGTTGTGGTTGGTGCAAGGAGCAACGATCATGCCGGGTTCTTTTTCGATAAATGCATCTTCCTCAGGCGACTCGAGGAAGTTCTCGTAGTTGGTGGACCCAGGGCTCGAGACGAATCGCTTCAGTAGCATTTCGCGGGCTCCGGCGATCGCCTCGAAGCCCTTTTGGTGGCCCTTTTCGAGAAGGATCAGAACACCTCCGTTAGGATTTAGAAGGTTCCACAAGTTCTGCACATGTTCCTTTCGAAGGTACTCCTCCTCAATTCCGAGCAGGGAGTGTGGAGCAATGATAACGTCGTACTGTTTCCGTTTTGGCGGAGCTCTCTCATCGTCCAAGGTGGGCTTCTCTCGGATATGTACGTAGTCAGGCAGCCGTGGGAGGAAGGTTGTGTCTTCAAGCATGACGCTTGCACGGGGACGAAGGGCATCGGATCCAATAACGACCGTCGACCGACCCACAGGACAAGGCTCCTCTGGGCTACGATCTGGTACCATAGCTTCCCACTCAGCACGAAGAATGTCTCGCCACGCCAGGACGCCTGCACCTCCAGCGCTGACATCGAGAACATGGGGACCATCTTCTTGTGCCATCAAATTCCGAATCCACTCCGTACCCAAACGCTTCCGAACTTCCACGAGCACACTCAAGGCAGATGCATACATAGCGGGGTAAAGAGCGGCAAGGTAGACATTAGCTTCCATCTCGGTCATGAAACGCTGGGACGCTTCCAGAGCGATCGGTTGTTGAGGGACTTGCATGCGAGGAGGTGGGGTTGTAGCAGAGTGAGGGAGAGACCTGCCGCCAAATGCGCGATGAGCAGTTTCTGCGATATGCTTGTTGGAGAAATCCGACAGAATCACAGAGACGGGACCCGTCAGAGTGTCCTTCGGTGGAAATATCGTGCTGGGATCCGTGGAGAACTTCCCCATTGAGGTCAGAGGATGGAATCTGGGAGTCGAATCAGACGCTGCCTCATCTTCGAACTGCTCTAGCATGATCTCTCCTCCAAGCTGTTCAGCGACTTCTCGCGTCCGTTGCATCGCGATCGTTTCATCAATTGGCGGTTCGGCTTCCATATCATAGACCAACGGAGGCTCGTCGTGTGTTTCCGACTCTTCCAACTCTTCCACCTCATCCAACTCGACTTCTTCCCAGCCTCCCTCGGCGTCGAAACGGTAAAGTTTATCCGGGTCTATTTCCTCCTCCCCTTCCTCCACCATGTCAAGTCTGGAATCCTGCGCGAGAGTGACCGGTTCGCCATACAACCGGGTATAAAGCTGAGTTTCCGTATCGTTCAAATGCCCCTCTGGAAGGTATTCTCCAAACTCTTGTCTCGCTTGTCGCACCCGTGCTTCCAAGGTCGCTTCGTCCCGGTGGCCGATCGTCTGACTCACGGCATGATCGAAATCTATTCCCTCAAGGTTGAGGGCTCTCTCATGATCATCCAGCAGATCTAGGTCGTGCATGAGTTCAGCCATCTCCAAGTCATTCTGATTGATTTCATCGATCAAGGTGTAGATAGTATCCTTCCGCTTCGTGCTGGGATCGGTCTCCGTAGGCGATGTGGAGGAATACCTTCGCCCGTGCTGCCATTGCTGAGATCGAACATGTGTAGCTTCCCGGAGCAGGGATTCCAAGTGCGAGGCTGACGGGAGTGCTTTCCGGGCAATCGAACTTCTGGGGCGCACAGCTATGAAGCTCGCAGCTCCGCGGCGGAGTGGCTGGGAGCCGGTTTGCGGCGACCTGGGTACAGCCGTGCGTAAAAAGCCATGGGGCTGGGACCGGGTCGCCCTGGCAGCCGGAGATCGTGACAGCATCCTCAACGCTTCCACGGCTCGAGATGCAAGTATCAGGAGCTTGTATCTGGAAGAAACTGTCTCGCCACTCGAGAGCTTTTGACAGGAAAACTCGCGCCAAGCCGCATGCCCATCAGAAATTACGCAGTTCCTATTGGTCGTGCAAAGTATGCTGTCTTACATAAGCCGTCTAGAACAACGGCGGCTTCGGATCCAGGCGCGCAAGCATCAATTATCAGAGCGTGGAAGAACGGCGGGGGCGTATTGTTTGAAATGTTATTTACAAGGTGAGAGCCCTACTGAGACTCGCTGTCCGTATCTTCATTGCCCATGAGCACCTTCAAAGCCGATATCCACTTCAACACCTCGTGCTCGACAGCAGTAAGTTTGGCCATGACGGCCATGAGGCTGGGGTCCTGGCTCTCTACGCGGATCTTTTCCTTTACCTTAACTTCATCCCCTTTCCAGGTGAATACGTCGCCGGCCTCATCGTGAGGGCGATGGCGAGTTCCAAAGAGCCGATCTCGCAGGTTGAACCCAGTAAGAGAGATGTCGGCTGCGAACGCGGTTGGCGTATGTGTGGGTGTGTTGGATTCTAGCGTCCTGAGATGTAGAACCAGTGCCGAGTCGGCAATGGAGAGATGGAACGACAAGTACGATGGTAGTGGAGGGTCGAACATCTTGCGGTTGCAATTCAGTTCCGTTCAGCATGACGAGAGCAAATGGATAGCCACTTACATCCTCTTGTGCACTTGTCTCCCACCACTTGCCTCGGACCTTGTCATTTTCACCCTTCAACATCTGCCGTGCTTCGCTGATTGTCTCGCGCAGAAGGTGCAGTTGTCCGAAGATGAAGCTAGCATTGAGTGGATCTCCAGTCCAAGCGCTTACGTCGACAATATCGAGACTTTGATTGACAAGGTTCCTTACCGATACCAATTGGCTTAGAACGAGCTCGGGTGTTGCAGGGGCATTAGAAAGACACAAGCGGGTGGTGGCTGAACCCCGCGAGGCAAGGGAGCTAAGGCGGAGCTGAATATCCTATCAAAGCACGATTGAACATCAGCATCATCCTTCGAGACGCTAGCTTACAATAAGCAACGGTCCATGCTCAAAGAATGCGGGTCCATATGGAAGTTCAGTGGTAAGGACTAAGGGAGGGGGGGGAGATAACATACGCCTTTCACGATCTTCGTCCCAACCCGAGTCACGTAACCTTTTACATTTTCCGATCGCAGAGACGAGAGGACTAGTGTTGATCCCGGCTCCTTGGGAGCCAACAGGGCCTCACACTCATGAAGGCCCTCTTTCAAGGAGGCAAGGGAGTCTTGCAGGGAACGCAAAAGCCATTCTAGCTCGTTCGCCTATATCAGTTACCACCTGCCTTATCGATGATGCATGCGCCGTTGGGCCGACTCAAAATTGAGGGTACAAGGCAAACAAAACAGGGCATACCAACGCGGACTCGACTTCCTGTTCCAGGCGCTCTTGGGGTAGAGGTGGGTAAGCCCAGGTGGCCATGTTGAAATTTGACCCAGCGGGCTAGTTGCGACCCCCGGGAGATCGGATGGATGTACCTCTGGGTCCGGCAGTGGTCAAAGGGATCGGTAGGGGGAGTACACCGTAGGCAGCAGGGTTCGTGTCGGGGTTGGTGACGAAGTCGACAGAACAAAATTTCCGCATTGGCTTTCGCGTAATCCACGTCGATCCGCAAGGTCCCAAGGCGGGTGCCCAACTCAATCGGAGGAGGGGGGGGTGGTGCAACGTCGGTCGTGGACAGAAAGTTGTTGCAGCGGGCAGAGCGAAGTTCGACAACGTCATGGATCCGGATGGATGGCCCCTCGACCCCCAGGCAATCAGGCCGCCCTTGCCCGATCGAATCTAGCGGGCCGCTAAGGTTTAGACTAGCCGAGGACAGTTAGCGGGGCCTGCTGCAACCATGACGTCGACGCCGTCATCTCTGGCCGGTCGTGCCTCGACGATCAGCACAACCTTTGAACCACTCAATGGGATCACTGCCGTGATGCGTTCTCATCATTATATCACTACTATGGTACCCCTGGTACTTTATCCCCCGGGGTCACCACCACCGGCTTCTCCGGATATCCGCTTGACTACTGCAACCTTTCAGACCCTTCCCTCCTCGCGAGTTCTCGTCCTTCCTACCTAATACTTCCTCGCCCTCAAACAATAGCAGTTTGTTGCGATTCAGAAGCTCAAATAGCTTGCGCTGGGATTTCGTTTTCTGTATCTGGAGTCCATCAATTACAAAGACATACCGCCATAATGGCTCTCAGCAGTAATACCCCCACTTCCGGGATACAATTGCCGCTGCATCGCACACTTGTGGCTAACTGGATCGAAATCTAGGAGTCGCAATGGGCTTTCTAGGCCTGTTCTTCACAGCAGGAGCTCTTGTACTCATGTTCCTCACATTTTTGGGAGGGGCGAGGAACTCGCGCCCGCTGAACGAAATCTACTTCTTGCAAGTTGATACGAGTAATATTCCAGGGGCGCCATCCCTGTCTCGTTGGACTTATTGGGAGTTGTGTGCTGTTGTAAATGGGAAAAGCGATTGCGGATCGTCTCACCCCGATTATCCATTCGATCCCCCAAGCGAACACAACTTTGACACCACTGTCAACATTCCCTCTGCTTTCGTTGGGTAAGTCAGGATAGATTGCCCGCCTGAGTATCTTCAGATCACCATCTGACATGCCACAGAACGAACCACTACTATCTAACGTCTCGGTTCTCGTTCCCTTTCCACCTTCTCGCCCTCTTCTTTGGCGTGTTGTCGCTCTTCACCGGATTCCTAGCCATGTGCACGCGCATCGGAGGCTATGTGTCCTCACTGCTTGCTTGGATTGCCCTGGTATTCCAAATCATCACGACCTGTCTTATGACGTAAGTTTGGATCAAGCATGAAGCAAAAAGACTTGGCTAACATCTGCCAGTGCTGTCTACGTTCAGGGTCGCAACAAATTCAACGCCAACGGCCAGTCGGCCAAACTCGGTGTTAAGGCTTTCGCCTTCATGTGGACGGCTGTGGCTTGTCTCTTACTGTCTTGCATCTTCTACTGCATAGGTGGTGCTGTTGGTCGAAAGGAAAGAGGATACAGCGGCCGGGAGCATCGTCGGCGTGGTTTCTTCTCAAGCGCGCGTTCAGCCAGTGTGAGAAGCAACAAGGAAACTGCGCCCTAAATCTGGCACGACCCTTTTTTCCACCATTGATCTGAAAATGAATATGCTGAACTAGGGTATCTCAATGCCTATTATAGTGCAACAATCGGCTACATGTTTGCCCATGAACTACGAACCAGAACATGGGATGTATCTCTGAGGGAGGTATCTGATCTTTTCGATGACCTTCCAGCGTTGGAGTTTGAGATCTCACTTTATACCCTCCCTTGTGACTAAGTAAGGTCACGTCAAGAACTATTAATGTGTCCTCGTTAATGAATCTGTCTGTCTGTGTGCTCGGCCAATGATTTCATGTATCATACTGTCTCTTGCTACTTGACATCTCTTCAACCTTAATTATAATACGACCTGCCTGAAAAATTATACCTTGTATCTCAAATACATCTATAAAACTCGTTCATATAGTCATGTACGTCTACTATTCATGTCTCCAAAGGACCAAGACTGCACAAAGCGATCAGGTCTGAGACAAATCCCGTCGGTATGATACCGGCCAGTATGATCACCAAACAAAGGAAGTGGTCATGGAGGTTGCCAATAATTAGCAGGAAGGAGTGACGACACACCGCTCAGCCAGTTGACTCTGCCGGAGAATACCTCGTGTTTCTTTCTTACATCTACGATTATATTGGCTTGCTTCCTCCATCTCCTGACTCCCAAAGTGTTTACAAGCCCAAAGAATATGATCGGTCTTCATCAAAGAAATTCATTGTTTGCATAGTCGCTACGTATCCGAGCGTCTTCGGCATATTCCTATCAAGTGAATTTTATGCATGTATGCTCTAATTTTTGAGCGTATAGCCTCCTGGCATTAAATGTGAGTTAAGTTATGGCTAAATGATAAATTCCCTGACACTGTAGGCGCATAAGGCAGTTACGAGACCCAGATTGGAGATAAAGAATAGTCTCCCTAACAGGCTGAACCGCCACTACGGAAATGTCCTCTTTGAGATGCAACTTCCAAATTGCACGACTTTCAATATGGTAAAGTATGGGGTATATAAAGACGTTCAAATCTCTGCAATCCAGTCCAGGTCTGTGCCTCAGATTAGAACTCTCCACCTCCTGCAAGCCACAGGCTGGAAGTTCTGAGCATCTCCCGAGTCATTTCGTCTATTCTCATATTCACACGACATAGTCATCATCTACATCATGGCAATGCTGATATATACCCTCATCCTGGGCCTTTTAGGCATCGCTTGGCTGCATATTCTCTGGCGAGTTGGCTACGACTCTTTCCTCGAAATTTACGAAATCCTTCATCGTAAAGGCTGGATACGCCTAGCCGAGCCCTTCCTCATACTCTCCATGGCCTTTACCTCAGAAGCATCCAAGCGTGAGCAAAAGATATGGATCTCCGAGTGGCGCAGCATCCAGGACAAGGAAGAAGAGACCATGCAACGCGGGTTCTACCTGCTTGACGAAGAAGTCAGTCTGTTTGACAACGAGTTCTTAGATATCGATCCAGAGCTACAGACAAGGCTCGCGCAGGTGCAGAAAGAACACGACCACATCATTCTCGATCTTATGGATCTGGGACGCGACAAATGCCACTTGCAAGATATTAAGCCCGATGGAGCCTGGACGAGATATCGTTCCGAAAAGCCCGATATCAGCCTTGACAGTGAGAAAAAGCGCTGTGCTCTGAGATATGGTTGTTGTTATCGTGATTGCGGATGCTGTGAGAAGGCCCGTGAAGGCACGTTCAACGGAAATATTTGCAGGCTGGAGTCTCATTGCACGGACTTTTGTGGGTGTTGTGTTCGGTATAGGGAATCTCTGAAGGTGGCGAGGGAGCCGGAGCCCATTGTGTCCAGAGACTTGCTCGAGGACAAAGACGTTGAGGAGAAGACAAGGGAAAGGCTTCACGAACCTTCCGAGCCCGAGTCCCTCTTTACACAGCTCCCTTTCTCCACAGAAACCCCACCTACTTCTTCCGATGACAACGACAGCGAGGAGACAAGAGGGAGGCCCTACGGGTCTTTTAACACCGACGTTCATTCTTCAAGCCTCCCTTTCTCCGCGGAAAACCGACCTACTTTTGTAGGAGATCGTTGTTCCTCTGCAAGGAAACGTCCCGCCTCTTCCGTGGATGACACTTTCCCGTACCAGGAAGAGTGTACTTTGCTAGATGGTCCCGGGACAAAGACTTGTGCAAGAGAAACCGTTACGTACCGAGGGTTGTAACAAGCACAATGAGTTATCGTTGCTGCTTGCTTGTATAGGTGTGATCGACAGCAGGGACATGCTGGTTATGGAGATATATAGTTAAGAAGTACCTGGAGATATCATTCCAGAGATAAAGAATCAAGAATGTACTAAAGAGAGAATCTCTTTCCTTCCTATCCATCATCCTCGAGTAACAGCATCCCTCCTCGTGACTTCCATTAACTAGCCCGAGCCACATATATCCAAGCCACATGGACAAACAGTAGACAGCGCAGAGTACTACGAAGAATCCCCGTCTATAGTGAAACCAGCCGCCAACGTCGGACATAATACGGATTAGACATCTGCATAGTCTCATACTCCACACGTCCACGACACTGCTCGCTCACGGCCGATCAACCACATCACTGCTTACACCCAGCCTTCGGCTTCTATCGACACTTCCTCTTTCAAAAAAGAACAAGCTTCCTTTAAATCGTCATATTGAAATTACCAAGGTCCTCCTGCCAACCGCTACCAAAAGGACGACCATAGGTCAGATCCAACGCACCAAGTCTCCCACCCACCTCCGTTTCTACTTTGCTTGTGTGGTGGATAGTGCGGGAACAAACTGGAGGGATGGATGGATGGATGGATGGATGGATGGATGGATGGATGGATGGATGGATGGGTTCCTTCCACTCCAATTCTAAACGAATGACAAAGTCGTATCCCGCGTTTCCTGTATTTGTTCATAGACTGTTGACGTGTGGATAAAGCTAGATGGTATCAGCAGAGGAAGAGACTGGACAGAATTCACGATAAGAAAGAGATTCTTCGACGCTGACGTGACTATGGAGCAACCTAAGGTTTTGAGGGGATGATGGGTTATGATGCCTAGCTAGGATACGTACACAGAGACCTGTATTGGCGCGGTAACTTGTAAAGGGACCTGAAGCCTTAACAGTGACTGGCAAGGAGGAAGACGCTCCGAGCGCATTCTGGAGATGCGAGAAGAGAAAGCCTACGACGTAGCCTTGACATTAATTACAATGGATATAGAAGATTGTCTAGAAAACCCATCGTTTTCTATTATGCTTCAAAACAGCTCTATGTACTTTTCAGAAGCCTTCATTGATACATTCATCATCAATAAGTCATGGCAAGACAGAATGCCGAACGCATGCTCTTTGTCCTGCCCGGTCCAAGGACGCATAAACAGAGGGTGAGCCCCAATCCAGCCACAGGAAAAACAGAACAGTTCAACAGATCAGGTTATATAATTCTAGATCGATTCATAGAAGAAAAAGCATCGTTATAAGTCTTGGGATGATCAGAGATATATGAGCAAGGAAATTATAGGTTAAGAAGAGATCTAGGCCTTGGGAGCCTCAACGGCACCGCGGACGGCGCTCTGGCCGCCAACTTCCTTGGCCGTGATCTGCAGACCCAGGTCAGCGTTGACGTGAATCATCAGCTCGACCTTGCTGCCGGCCTTGACGCCCTTGACGGCCAGCTCAGCAATGGGCTTCTCGGTCTTCCAGACAATCTCACGGGTCTCCTCCTCTTCCTCGTCCTCGTCGGAGTCGAAGTCGGAGTCATCCTCATCGTCATCCTTGGCGGGCTTCTCCTCCTTAGGCTTGGGCTCGGGCTTGGTAACCTTGATCTCGCGGACACCCTCGCAAACACGGATGAAGACATCACCACCCTCCTTGGGGGCAGGGAACTGAGCAAGACGGCGAGCGGGGAGAGCAGTCTCGGCGTTCAGGAGAGACTTGAAGTCAACGGTCTCTCCGGAGGTGAACTCGACACCAATGGCGTTCTGGAGGTGGGGGGTGGCAGTGACCATGGGGTGGATGGACTGCTCAATGTCCTCCTTCTCAAATTCCTGGATCAGAGAAGCCTGGATAGCGGCACCTCTGGGGGCAAGCTCGGAGGGGTTGATGGCACCGACGAAGGTGGAGGGGGCGAGAATCTTGGTAGTCTCGGGGAAGATGTTGCGGGCCAGCTGGGCAATCTTGGGAGTGTGAGAAGTACCACCAGCGAAGATGACCTATAGGTGAGTTAGAAGATGGCTCAAGGGAACAGTGGGTATAAAGAACAACGAACCTCATCAATGTCCAAGACATCCAGACCAGCCTTCTTGACGACCTGGTCAATCAAGCCGGTGAACTGAGCGAACACCTTGCCAGACAGCAGCTCGTAACGGGTACGGTTGACAGTGGAACCGTAGTCGATGCCGTCAGCGAGACTCTCAATGCTGAGAGTGGCGTTGGTACCGAGACTCAGAGCCTTCCTGGTAGCCTCACCCTCCAGCTTCAACTTGGCCAAGCCGCGGGCGTTCTCCCGGGGGTCGGTCTTGTGCTTCTTCATGAACTCCTTGGCGAAGTGGTCAATGACGATCTTGTCCAAGGTAGCACCTCCCAGCTCGTAGTCATGGGCAGTGGCGAGAATGGTGTACATGCCACCGCGGCAAGCAACGACAGCGGCATCGGAACGGGTGCCACCGAGGTCAGCAACAACAACCAGCTTGTCGGTCACAACAGCCTCGGGACGAGCATCGTAGGCGAGGACGGCAGCAACGGGCTCGTGGATGAGCTGGAGGACCTCCAGGCCAGCAGCGTTGGCAGAGGCAATCAAAGCCTCACGCTGAGCATCCTTGAAGTCGGTGGGGACAGTGATAACAGCGGCGGTGACCTGCTTTCCAAGGAAATCGGAGGCGGACTGCTTCAGGCGGCGGAGATGACGGGTGGTGATCTCGGAGACGGTGACAGTGTTGGGGGTCTCAGCGGTGGTGTCGTTGATGGAGAAAGCAACGGTGGAGTCGCTCTGTTGAGGGTGGGCAGAGTTGTGGCAGGGAGTGGGGTCTATCGACTTGAAGCTGCAAGAACTCCATCAGCATCTTCTCTCGGCTTGCACTGGGATCGATTGACGTACTCCTTGCCAAGGTAATCTCTGAAGTAGGCAACGGTGTTCTTGGAGTTGCGGATAAGCTGGGCCTTGGCCTGGGTACCGTGGTACTCCTCGCCATCAATGTAAGAGAGGACGGATGGAATTTGACGGTCTAATCACGGATAAGTAAAATCGTTCGCAGTTGGGGTATATAAAATAACTAACCTCCCTCCTCGTTGGCAATAACTTCAGCCTTGCCTTCCTATAGTTCCAGTCAAGTCAGTAACTTGTCGCAAGTTGACACCGTTGGTGGATAAAAGTTCCAATGGGGCGGATTTGGCTGGAACTGGATCCGTATAGGCAGGGAACAGAATTCACGTACGGCGTTCAGGCGGGCAATAGAGCTGGAGGAGTTGCCAAAGGAGATACCGATGGCGAATCTCTCGGCGGTGCCGTTGGTTTCGGAGCTCATCTTGACTGTGGGGTGTGCAAGGGAAGCAGGGGAAAAGAGAGAATGGAGAGGGAAGAATGGGGAGGAGGGAATTCAAGTCAGTCGGGCTGCTGCTTCTCGATCCGCCGCGCTGCGTTTTGCCCCGATGGAAAAAAATTTTGGCTGGTTTGCAATTGGCGGGCACGTGTGGCTGGTGCTTATCGATAGTGGCTGTGGCGGTGCAACCGCCACTTTTTGATGGAGTTGTAGTATTATGCCCCCTCAAGGAACTATCTGATAGCGCTGTAGGTAATTGAGGCTACCTTTGATCATATCAACTAACCAGAGTAGTTGCAGAATGACTAAACCTCCGCAAAGGGTTCCTCCATGTATCTACAACGTCCGCCATCTCATAGGTACTCCCGCGCCCTCTTGCATTTCTCACGTGGAGATAAGCCCTCCCGATAAGCCGGGATTTGCGCTTCTTTTTCCCAGTCGCGGTCGACGCTCCAGCAATCCTCATCTCCACGCCTTTCTCCCCTCCATCACCGCTGCAGGCACCAGTGGTGAGACACATTCACCATGTCATCCCCATTAGTACTTCTCCCTGGAGATGAGGTCCCATCAGAATACCTCCCTGCTACCAATTCCGCTCCATTGAGGCTGGGTCCCGGTCTCCGTCTACTTACGCAACCACCCTCTTCCTCACCTTCATCATCCTCCCCTAGCCATGTTCTCACAGCCACCCAAGCCGGCATACTGTCCACCGATAACAAAAGAAACGCCGTCTCTATTTTCTCCTCTCCGAACCGCCGCTACATCCCTACGCCCAACGACCTGGTCATTGCGCAGGTCCACCATTCCAGCCAGGATTACTTCCATTGCATGATTACCCCACAGACGCCTCATGTGGTGCTGGGACAGCTGGCATTCGAAGGTGCGACGAAGAAGACACGGCCGATGCTTAAACAAGGCGATCTAGTCTACGCTCGTGTGCTCTCGGTCGGTCTTGGTGCGGGCGCGGAGATTGAACTCACATGTGTGAATCCTGCGACGGGAAAGGCTGAGCCCGGAGGTCTGGGCCATTTGACCGGGGGTATGGTGTTTGATATCTCCACTGGCATGGCTGCTAGGTTAATGAGGGCAAGTTCATCTTCCTCCGATCAACAAGATGGCGTGGCCGGGCTGGTTGTGCTGGATGAACTGGGCAAGAAGTTGGAGAAAGCCGGTGGTTTTGAGATTGCGGTGGGAAGAAATGGCAAGGTCTGGGTGGACTGTTCTAATGGTGGAGATGCTGCAGTCAAGGCAACGGTAGCGATTGGACGGTGCTTGACTACGATTGATGAACACGATTTGGGCCCAGCCGATCAGAAGAAGTTGGTTTCGAGGATACTGCGAGAGATGAAGATCGACGTCTAGGAGGAGGGATGGGAGTGGTTACTGTGCCTTTATGACTAATTGTGTGATATCATGCAGTATTTGACGATCCCAGCGTTTCTTGTACTATTTCAGGCTGTAGGGCAGATCTGGGAGGACAAGATGACCAATTCTGAGTGCATGTCACACTCATACCTTGCTCGGGCAGTTCAACCAGGTTGGGTTGGATCATGATCCCCACATGGAGCTCAATCCCTGCCACTGACATCCAAGCTTAAGCCTCATAAGGATGGACACTGAAGACGATGTGTAGCGGCCGCGAACACTTGAGACTGGCATTAGAGAGCAGAAGATTGAACAAACAAGTTGAAAGCAAGAACGAGAGGCTAGTTAGATGAACTCGCTGAACAACTGGTTGATCAATTTCACGTGGAATTAGTACCTATTACCTAGTTGGTCGGGCTTTACCATGCTGCAAACGGTGAAGCGCCTCCATAGCTTGCATCCGGAGTGAATTGAATCAGTTCGGCGGAATGTGATAGATAGCGAGAGACTCCTAACGATGGCCGCGGGACTGACCGCTAAAGAAGCTTAAACGGCACCGCCAAAAGTCGCGCCGCCCGCGCCGCTCTAAGCTTCCTCGGGCGATTTTTCTAAATTTTTGTCTGGCAGAAGATTGTCCCCATTCCACTCATTCTTTCACGGCCCTGCCCCGGTTTTCCTTGGGAGCCAGACAATCCCGTTTTCCCTCGTTTCTTCGAGATGGGCAACTCGTCGTCCCAACCTGCTGACCAAGAGCAAAATGGAACGCCCGAGAATTTCGGTAAGTGACTGATTTGCCTGCAGCTGTCGCAATGGATCTTTTCTCTTCTTACTTGACACAGCCCACTGATCTGCAATGGCACATAGATACTAGTCGAATGGCTATAGACGTTCCTTCGAGCTCCCCGAAGAGCATAAAACGATCCAATCGGGAATCACAGCCCGACGGTTCAACGACGTCCAAACGGAAAAGAAAGGCTCTGTCCAATGCTACCAACGACCAGAACAGGGCAGCTGCCGCACCGAACTCGCCCCAATCGCCTCCTCACAATTCATCCACTGCTCGCCCAGCGAAGCGCAAGAAGGTCACCGAGCCAAAACAGAAACAGACTCAAAGTCGCAAAGCGGAGACGGCAAAGCAAAAGCCGAATGATGCACCCCTGCGAGATGCGGCCCCGGCTCCACAGACATTAGAAATTGAGGGCTCGAACGGTGTCTCACATAATACCTTAAAGGAATCGAGTACGCCAGAAGCGGGAACCGACGAAGGGAAGGCGGCTTCCTCAGAACCGGCCCAAGACGACTCGGAAGCGAAGTTGGCAAAAGCATCCGACGAAGCCAGTGAGAACCCTACGGCTCAAGGAGAGTTCAAAAAAGGAAAGCGCGGCGTGGATGCCAGTAAAGGAAAGGAAGGAAAATTGGTTGGCTTCTTCACCGCCGAGGAAGTCAAGAATCTGGAAAAGTTCAAACTCCATTTCTGCACAACCCACGGCGTCTCTAGCGACACTTTCGACCTTATGGTTCAGCATTCGGAAAGGGACAAATCAACTCCCTTCCCTTGTCACGCGGATGTCATCACGAAACCGGCATTCTGGAAGGAGGTGTATGAGATCATTCCCAATCGAGACAAGAGGTCCGTTTATCGGTTCATGAGACGGCATTTTCAATGCTCAGCGCAGAAGCCGCATCACTGGACCCATGAACAAGATGACGAGCTCATTCTACTCCATAAACGCCACGGGCCTAAATGGGCTTACATCGCCAAAATGATTGGTAGGAGCGACGACGATGTTGTCCAGCGGTGGAAGAATCGCCTTGAACATCGCCGTACGATGAACAGAGGCCCATGGTCTGAGGTGGAGGTCCGTGCGCTACAAGAACATCTGCAGTCTTCATGGACCGCGATGAAAGAGACCGGGCATGATGTTGGCCGGGATATCTACGAGATGGACGAGAGTTTGATAGCCTGGGGCCTAGTCAGCAACAAGATGAACAACTGCCGCTCCAGACAGCAGTGTGCAGACAAGTGGCGCAAGGTTAGGCGCAAGGTTCTGGCTCAACGCACCAAGGGAAATCCGGATGCTTTCTATGACCCTGTGGTCGAAACGAAACCGCCAAAGCGTCGAAGCAAGTCGAGATCGATTGCGCCCCCACAGAGCCAATCGGACAAACAGTTCAAGAGTGCTGAGTTTGTAAACTCAGATGACGACTCGGAAGAAGAGATGACCGAGACCCCCAGTGTGGATAGGACCAGTGAGGGATCATCCCCGCAACCCTCGAAGCCGGCACATTCCAAAGCGAGAAGTCATGAGGCCAGTGATAAGTCTGACTCGGATAGTTCTGACTCAGAAGACGAATCTGATTCGGATGCAATTTCCAGTGGGGTTGGCATTAAATCCGAGAACAGGACCCCCAGTGAATCTGATGACGGCCCCTCGAAGCCGAAGCAGAAAGAAACTCTCGCGACCAATGGCCTGTCACCGCAAAGGAAGCGCGCCCCTAATGGTTCTGCCAATAAAGGGAAAGCGACCAAAGCGTCATCTTCTCAGCAGCAGGGAAGCCCTGTCCAACAAAAGAGAAAACGCTCCCCTGTGGCCTCTTCGGAGTCAGGCTCTGAATCCGAGTCCGAGGATAGCGAGGAGAGCGCGTCGAGATCGCCCCCCAGCAAACGAGTGTCGAAGCCTACATCGAAGGCCTCGCACGCCGTGAAACCGCAGGAGAAGACGCGCAAGGCAGACACAAGCTCGGACTCATCATCGGAAGAAGATGAGTCTGATGACAGCAGTGCTAGCGACAGCAAGTCGAGATCGTCCTCCAAAAAGGCGCCCATCACCACTGCAAAACTTGAGGAAAACGACGATCAATCACGACGTTCATCCGCCAAACAGGGACTTGCGAAACCCCACAAAGTGCAGGCTCAGATGGAATCCCCCAGAATCAAGCGTAGTAGCTCGTCAGACGACTCAGATAGTGACTCAGACGCATCGTCCGATGATAGCAGTGACAGTGTGTCCAGCGAGAACAAACCGGCCAAATCATCCAAACGCCATCAGCAAGCTGCTTCTGCCAGCACTGCACGCAAACCCGAGAAGCCTTCAGCTCGATTTGATAGGAAGGCAGACGTGAAGCACCCCAAATCAGCAAAATCATCTACAGCAGACTCGTCTGATACTTCCAGCTCGGATGAGGATGAATCGGGCCAGTCGAAGAACACTAAGACTGACAGCGGTTCCCAGTCCGAGACGGATTCCTCCGAGTCCTCCGAGTCCGGATCTGACCTTTAAATGAAGGATTATGCCATGTTAGACTCTAATTTTAAAACTGAGATTCGGGTTTCGACTAGATCTCCTATCCATATTAACTTGTCGATCTGAATCAGCTCAAGGAAGTCTGATTGCCACACGAATAATGATGAAATGCGTGACCGAAAAGTGTCGGATACCTCTTCTCACTTTGCATGATTTTTCTCCATATTATGAGTACAAATAGCGTTTGTTGCAATGTTTCGGTGTCCCATGTGAAGGGGTGGGTAAATGAGAAAAAGTTTCTTGTCTCCTTAATTTTCTGAGCCTAAGTGTTTCTTCCTTATACCCTAGTTAGGTGTTCTTGGTATAGATAAAACAAGGCTTTTCTGGCAGGCCTTATTTACTGAATCACTGCTTATTATTTTACGATAATCATGTCAAAACTTGTATTATACTAGTTTTTCCCACTTGAAGGACAAAATCCGATCTATGTATACAAAATCCCACCCACTCACTAAAGCTCATCCTTATCCCAAACCTTCTCATCTTCCTCCTCATCGGAATATGATTGTCTCTCCCTTTCTTCCTCTTCCTGCTGTTGCTGAAGAGCAACCCTCTTCGACAAAGCCGCAATCTCATCATCATACTCCGTCCACTCGGGCACCTGTCGTCTGGCCCGATCCAGCTTCGGCTCCTTGGTCATCGGATTATTACACAGATCGATAGTGCGTGCCTGGGACTGCGATTCGTCAGAGCACCACGTCTCACACCACAGCCACTCCTGCGGTAGACTCTTGATGGGGATGTAGTGCTGCATGTGATTCGGCAGGTCCTGGTCCAGATTGCTCAGACTCTCGGGATCGGCGGAGAGCATCTGGTACTGGCCTCGGAGACGATCGCCGGCGGCGAGGGTGCGGAAGCGGTTCAGATCGACGACGTAAAGCGCAGAGATGTGGTAGGGTTGGCCGCGAAGGAAGTTCTTCCAGTAGCCTTGCTTCCAGAAGCGGAAGCCTTCCATCTCGTGGCGGGAGTCGCACATCGGGGTGAAGCCGTAGGGGGCGCCTTCGAGGTCGAGGGAGACGAGATCGTACATATCTGTGCGGACGATTTGGTCGGCGTCGACGAAGATGACTTTGTCGAGGTCGAGGGGGAAAAGAACGTCCAGGAAAAGGATCTTGTAGCCCCAGATTTCACGCTGTTTTTCTTGCTGGGCGCGCAGCCAGTGCGGCCATTTGTACGTGACCATTTCGTAGGAGAAGTTGTATTCTTGGGCGAGGTGGGGGAGGAAGGATTTGAAGGATGGGGAGAGGAATTGTTCGATGAACCAGAATTTCACGCTGTGGTTGGTGTTGCGCATGACCGAGACCATCATGATGTTGAGCATACGCTCGTAGAGATGGCCACTGGCGACGGAGAAGATGTTGATGTCGGCCTGCTTGCCGCTGGTGCCTTTGGTGCTAACCCCAACGCTGGAGAGGATGTCCGAGGCGAAGTTGAAGCCCTTGGACACGTAGTCCATAGCGGAGCCCGGTTTAGGGCCTGTCTCGAGGACATCCTCGGTCTCGTAGCCCTTCTTGCGGGAGACACGCGGGAAGAGGGTTCGGCCTTGGAAGGAGAGGAGGGCCACCTCATTGTTTTCGTCACCCGGTTGGGGGTTATAGCCAAGGCCGCCTACGCTGTCAAGGGTGAAGATGCGTTCGCTGCGGCCGGGCTTGAGGTTGATGTTCCACAACCCAGGCTGGGCTTTGAATTGGAAGTATCCGAGATTAGCCATGACGATGGTGTCGGAGAAGTGAGGGTTATTTTCAGTTCCAAGGATAAGCTGGGCCCCCCTAGGTGGGGTCTTTACGGTCATATCCCGGGAGTGGCCTTCTATCAATATATGCTCCAGAGCATAGATAGCCTCGACATCAGTGCCTTCCCTCACCGAGCTCAGCTTAATGTTATCGAGATCGTGAATGGAGTCCCTGGGAGCCACAAGCCATGAGGAGGGGACGTCCATTCCCAGGGTTAGGAGGGCCTCAACGGGAACGCCCGAGAAGGAGGCCGTGGGTCGGGAAACCGATCCATCGTCGTTGAAAGAAGGCTCTGATTCAAGCACGTAACGGTAGAAGCGTTTGGTGGGAAGCTCTTTAATCTCCTCCCGCGGATTCAGGACCAACCTTACCCTGACGCTTGCCAGCTCTGACAGTACTTTCAGAATTGGAAGCCACCTCTGAGCAACTTCAGAAGTTGGGTCAATGGATGCCACAATAGTAATTGCTGGATCTTCAGAGGTAGAGATGGTGATCGCCGAACGCAAGTTGTTCCACCGATTGAACAAGAACAAGCGGATGTCTGAAGTCGACTCGAAGATGCCCTCAGGAACATCCGAAATAGTGGAAAGAGTAGTGAGAGATGTAAGCTTGGCAAAAGTCAGAGGATCAGAAAGCTTATCGCCGAACTCAAGTGCTTTAGCAGCTTTTGCTACCGGAGTAATCCGCTTGAGCCTCTCGTAAGTCAGTAGCTGATCCAAGTCCTCCGAGGCCAGCGCAATGTCCTCCGCAATCGGTCCGATAACCCTTCCGTTGATGATAAGCGCTCTCGTGCCCGGGGCGAGACCGAACTCTTCGACTACAGATTGCTGAGCTTCCCAGAATTGGGCAACGTTCTGAGCTTCGTCATCTGATGGCGAGTCGGAACTGGCGATCGCCTCCAGGATTTGCGCGACATCTGGAACTTTATCACCGTTCAAAGAACGGTAGACTGCGGAAGACCTAGCCGTAGCAGGTGTCTCAGGCTTGGGGTTGTGTAGGAAAAGAGCTTCAATTTCTCCGTGTGTCTTGCGGCTCTCGAGGGCCGCACTGAGTAGTTCGTATCCGGGCTCATCATCGAAGTTGCCGATCACAATGACATGGGCACTGTCAAGCACATCATGTTGATCTGAGGCTATGCGTGGGATCTGGCTAAAGAGCTCTCCTTGGGAGTCGGCGATCTTCACCAAATCCACAGCCCGAATCTCTTTTGGATCCTCGGGAATGATTGCCGGGTTGCGTCGATCGAAGGCCTGGGAAAGGAAGAGCTCTGGGAGCCAGGTGTCTTCCTCGACTTCACCGTCAGCAATCCGTTGTTGAATTAATTGGGTGTCTCGGCTGATTCTTGTGCTCATTTCCTGGGCCCAGTTAGCATTGCGGGTAACGGGAATTCCGTTAACAAAAGCATGCGATGCTTCGTGCTTCATCCCTAGGCGGTTTAGGTACGCTGTTGTTCTAGCCACCGTTACGTCGAAACTGTCGTTATTCAAGATCTCATCTAGAGAAAGAGGCTGCTTTTCAGGGCGCACGTTCCGATCCTTAGTCGCTGCCTGGAAGCAAGCCTCGTCCGGAGAAGCCAGTTTGTTTTTGGTAGCAGACTGTCCAAATCAACAACTGGAGAATGATAGCTATAGAGCAAGGTGGTACTCACCGCTTCGAGATAATCCATGAAGCTGGCCAGACCAAATGTCTCTTGAAGATAGTGAGCAACCTTAAGCTGAGCAATTGCCCCGTCCGTGAACGTAACCGGGATCAAGCCGAATCTCACGGGGATCTTGTTCTTCACAAAGACCTGGATTGTCTTGATGACAATATCAGCATCTTCGGCATTAGCCAGGTCGACGGGGTACACGATATTGTTTGCGTCGCGGCGCACTGCGGGAAGTTGGCCTGGATAGGTGCGTTGCATGAACTGATGCATGTCAGCATCTTGACATGAGGATTCTCACATGATACTTACGCCCGCAAGCTCGCTCGACCATGACTCGTACCGTGCGTCCTTTTCAAGGTCATTCAACCACATGATTACACCACCTCCCTCAATGTCATCACGATAGTTGTAGCGCTGAGGGCCAACCCCTGCCAGAGCCTCACCAAGCGCTGGATGTGCCAGCAGCTCCACAGCTTCCTTAGCGGAGAGGCCTAGGTTTCGGAACTTCTCAATCAATTTCCTTTCGCGACGCAGGTGATCCAAAAGAGTGAACGCATCCACTTGCCGAGGTTCAATTTGAACCCCATTGATCCACAGCGCGTTAAGACCGGGAGGAAGCATACGCAATCTGCTGGATCGAATATCCTGTAGCAGCTCGGTGGAGATATTGTGAGCCGCGACTCTGGCAGAGTACTTGGGAAAGTCCTGCGACAGCTTCACGAGGGTGTCAAACGGGTCATCGCTATCTAACACATAGCTGGCCGTGTTCAGACCGAGCCGCGAGACTTCTGACGATGACAGGGGTCTCAGATCATTCAGGTCGTCTTCAACCTCACCAGACTGTTTAGGCTCCGCACCGCCTGGTCCTCTTTCTTCAGCAGCTCTGTCGTCAATTACAATGTAGTCCGTCCGTTTCAGGGCGAGCTCGACTCCGTAACCAGACACGAAAAGGGGGCGTGAGCTCCAATGCTGGGGAGGCCTGTACCGTACACGGTAGGATAGTTGTCCTTCCTTTGCCAGAGCACTTAATGACAGATGAAACTCCTTGAATATTGGGGATGCCACATCAGCGTACAGAATAGCTGGGGGTAGGGACGAGTCTCCAAAGACACGATCGAATGGAAGTTCTCGTGGGTCGCTGCGATTGTAACAGTTAGCCTACTACCAGAGCCCACAGTCCATGAGTACGACTCACTCGGATCCAGAAACGTCCTGCTGGGCACGTTCCATGGCAGAAGAGCAGTATTGCTTTCCATCGGAGTGAACCCAAACAGGACAAGCTGCATCCTGCGCCGCCATCAATGAATGCTGAACAGAGGCATTGTAAAACTGGTAGTGAGCGGTGATCCGCGGACTCGCCGACCGCATTGCCAATGACAACTTGAAGGACGAAAGGCTCTCAGGAGTCCCCAAATGCCCATCTTCATGTACAACGTCCAGAAAGCGATCATAGAGTTCTTTGTCCGTCACAGCATCATCGAATGTACCATCGGCGATCCGGTCAAGCAATGGGAAGTAGGAAGTGGCGTTTTCCTCGGCGGCAGTCTCTCTATTGATCAAGTCAGATACAAATAGAAAGGGTTTCAAGAAGATGTGGTCGAGAAGTGAAGCCACTTACAGTAATTCTATCAGGTATGGTGGGGAATCAAATGAAGCTTGGAGAGCAACATTGACTGACGGACTTGCATGACCCAGATTAGCCAGCACGCCAGCAATCAATACAGATGCAAGCCGCCATGAGGCGACAGCTTCGACTCCAGACACCATCGTGGTAGTCCACAATAGGCCCTGATATCTAAAACTGGATGGCAGCGGTGGTGACTAGCTAGCTATTCCCGATAAGCTAGCAAGCACAACACATCCCGGGCGGATAAGCTCGACGCGATCGATGGCAACGGTGTATTAATTCGTGCAATTTTTTCGAGATACAAAGTTAAGAAGACATTAGGGACACCCAGATAGCCTCGGGCAACTAAATTCAGAAAAAGGTTGAGTCAAGAGAGCGTTGCTTATGTGTCGGGGGGCATTTGGACACATCGCGGGATGAGGGAGAGCTGCTACGGTCGGCGCAGCGGCCAAAACCGCCAAACTTCCGTGTCTCCAACAGCAATCGCTGATTGGCTGACATCAACTGTAGCTGGGATGGCCTCAATTCCTGGCAGTAGTTGTACGCACTTTGAGGTGCCACGGACGCAATGATTCATTGAGAATTGATGATATTGAATTATCTGAACTGACTGAATGGTAGGGGCTGGAGGACTATCTAGTACAGATATTATCAGACCCCTGACAGATCGGCTTGGTGGTTGAGTCCCTTTGGCCGAGTGGTTGTCACACAAGTACTAAGTAGCAGGCTCAAGCCCTCCATAAACAAGTTGTGAGCTAAATCGGCTATTTAGGGTAGAATGGCTCCTTCATTACGAGATAAAAGCGTCTGCGAGATACTGGCGTGTTTCACATTGTGCTTGGTCTGCAAGTCCCCATTATGTCCCATTGATGTGCGGGCATTGCGGATGACCCAACGATAGTATGTAGCTTTGAAATGGTTTCATTGTCAATTGACTGGTACAAGAATCAAGATCGCTAATAAAAACATAGTCATAATCATATATGTCAGTCAGTAATCGTAGAAGAATGTGTCAGCACTTTTGTCTTTCCGGCTTTTGTGCTTTTCCTCTCCATTTTGCTTTGAATCGCTGAAAATAACCCCCCATACGCCGGTTTGTTTCTTCTATGCCAGCCCAACTGGCTCGTGAAAATCCATGAAAAGAAAAACAATCAAGAGATAACCTGATGCACCTTAAACCTCGAAAATCCGCATGCCAACTCCCAAACAAATCCAGTGTGAAAGCATCCAGGCTTATGTTGATTCTCACTTTTATTCTTCAAGAATGTATGAAGAAAAAGGAAGAAAGGAAAAAAGGAAAAAAAGTAGAAAAGGAGGGAAGGTAATAAAGGAAAGGGTGAGAGAACGAGAGGGGAGTGAAGGTTTAGCACCGGGCTTCTTCTTCGAAGTATGCTCATGAAGTGGCCTTGCTAAGTTGTTTGGCGTGGGCTTTTTTGCGATTGGACGCCTCCCACAACAACCGTCTTCTCTTCTGTTCGTCCACTTCAAAGAGTGAATTGTCTTCGGCTGAGCGGCCACCAATGTTGTCCGAACGAACACCGAGGGCACTCGTAGACCTCATCTTCTTAAGATTTCTGGCTTTTCCGGCGTCGCCCAGTTTGCGAATTTCGCGGGCCAAGCGCTCTAGAGCAGACCCGGACTTGTGAGTTCCCCCCTTGGGGGAGGGAGGGGGAGGGAGGGGCTTCTCTGAGACCTCCTCCTCACCCTTGTTACCGTCGACAGGCGAAGAAAGCAGCTTTTCCGACGAACCGAAGCTGATGCCCGAATCTACCTTGCGGCCTTTATGACCTCGAGGCTGAGACTCAATACCTTCGTCGACGCTGGTCGGGCCATTCACCATGGTACATTCGTCAATTATTTCATTGGCCGCTCGAAGGTACTTGTCTAGAGCCTCCCTGACCAGTGGCCAGCCATTGTCTGCACCTTTGGGGGCACCCTGGGCGATAACCTTGTTGAGAACATCTGGACCGTTGGCCTCGACGGCTGCGATGTAGCGAAAGAAGCCATCCCGTTGCGACTTCAGGATCTGCGGGGTGAGATGCGAAGTGGGAGGGACAGTTGCCTCTGTGACAGGGGGAAAAAGTGTGTTGAGCATAGCGATGCAATTGGCCTTGTTGAAGGGCTCCATCAACATCTCATTGATCAATGTCTAGTGGAATCGGTTAGCATGATTGAGCCCCCTATCTGTCCACAGGAATGCTTACCCAGCGACGCAGACCAACATAGATCTGAGTATAGAGAGCTTCCACTCGGCGGCCTTGAACACTGATAGACTCAAGCCAGACCAAGACGCCCGGGTACTTCTTCGCCAACTCGGACTTCTCCCTCACATCATTGGGCTCCATTCCCAGCCGCTGCAATGCATCTGCGACCTCCTTTCTACGGCGGTTCTCGAAGTCCTTTAAGTAGTCCAGAGCGGTCAATGCCTGCGGGAAATCAACCTCTTCCAGCTGGAGAGTGAAACAACGACGCAGGAACGAGGTGACAAAGCTTGGAGGGAGGGAGCAGGGCTGCGAAGGCAAACGAGAGATCTGATGGGTCAGTTGCGCTCGGAAATCGGCGGCAGGATCCAATGAGTCCTGGGAAGTTGACGAATTGGATGGCCGATGAAAGGCTGTCTCGGGCGCGCGGGTACCAGTCGCAGGTGGCCTGGTGGGGTTGCAGTTTAACGAATACATGGTGCGCAACGGGATCTCGTATGTACCGGGGTAGCGAAGACAATGGTCGAAGATCCAAGTAAGTCCGGAGCCGTCGGGAGCATCCAGCGATTCCTCGACACGTGCCATTTTGGGTGAGGATGATCGGAAGGGTAATGAAAGTCGAGGTCAGAAAAAGATTGAAGTATCCTGGTCGGCAAGAGCCTGCGGAGACGCCGGGATATAAAAGCAAGTCTGGAAACCCAAGCGGGCTGGGACCAGTCGGGAAAAAGGGAAGCCAGGGGGAAGTGTGTGTACGACGTGATAAGACGTGCAGAGAGTCAGAGTGGGCAAGAGTTACTCGCAATGACGGCTGGCATCAGCTGCGTGTAACCTGTCCTCCCATAGCACGGATATGCACCTCGCGAAAAAGAAAACGTCGACTGCCCTTCGCTAGGGAGAGCAGGAGCGGCTATCCCTTTCGTTCCCGGTGTGAGGGGGCAAACGGTTGAATCAGGCCGGCAGGGTGTCTCGTCGGGTCCCCGGGTGGAGGCTAACTTTAGCTTTCTTTGTGATGTTTGTGGCTGATTGGTGCTTCCAAATCTTGGAGGAGAAAGAAACGACCGAGGAACGGCGAAGGATTGGCTGGATGGTGTAAAGGGATCGAAGGAGGGGGATCGATATGTATGAGCCAAGTCACACAGACGCAATAGTCCCCGGATAAGGTTGCTTTCAAAGCAAACAAGCTGAGCGAATCGCGGCACGGAAAGTGAAGATGAGCGATAGGTAGAATCTTTAAATGGTTCCCCTTTCTCGAGGACCCTGAGATGTGTCAACGAGTGATAAAGAACCGAGTTGGCGGATCGATATTAGCAAGCAATAGTGCCAATGAGGATCGGAGTGGGGAACGAGTGTAGTAGATGCAACGAGTGAGACACAAGGGCGAGGAAGGAGGTGTCGGCCAAGCAGGAGGAAGGGAAGGTGTGATGTCTGGAACAAAGGACGCCGACCGAGGAACGAGAAAGCGATAGCCTTAAGAGAGAGGTGAGACTCGATGTGGAGAGAGAGGGGAAGGGGATTGTAGTACTTCTTGTCCTGTTGTTGTTAGTCAGAAATCAGAGTGAGTCGCGAGGAGGATTTAGTGACGGATTTAGTGTCAAAAGAACGCGGTTCTGGACTTTGGGCGCCTCCACTTTCACCCGCCAGCCCGGCAACCCCCAATTCGCGTGTAGGGCCTCCCTAGGACTTTTCCACGGGGCACCTCGGCCAGTCAGCTGCCCGTCTTCCCTTCCGGCGGGCTCCAGGATCGATCGGCCTCATCCCGGTTCCATGGATGTCATCCGTCCTGGTGAAGCTCCAGTGACTTCCAACCGTTCCGCTCGCCAATCATCTCCCGCTAGTCTAACGGCACACGAGATGATGGTTTGTTTACACCTGTCTACCGAGGCTGTATAAGTGGGCACAAAATCACAAAGTACATCTGTCAGATTGTCATCTTCCCCCTCCTTTCCCCCCGCTGGTGAACAAAGCAACCCGTGAGAGAGGCAAACCCCTCCAGCTTTTGAAACCAAAATCCACATCAGTCCGCAGTCGATTTATTTTTACGCCTATTCGCCACAGGTCGCATAAGGGGATATGCACGGGAATGCAGCATCGACCAGCCAGGCTTCCGCGTAACAGCTTCCGGGCCCCAGCAGGCTCGATTTAGGCCGTTCGGAGGACAAACTCCTTCGCGGTCGGCACGAACTAGCCTCCCAGGAGGGCTTAGGCCGCCGATAATTGGGGCAAAATAGACGGGGGGTCTGGAAATTCAAATTTGAGCCCTGGCGTCCCTCCGTCGACTCCCTCCTGGTGCCTGTGGGGGCCCTCTGTTCGGTCTCGATCTTCTGCCGCACACTGCAGTGAAAATTTGCACGTCGTGGACGCTTTCTCCGGGCGGGCAGTGCAGATGGTCGTGATTGATTGATAGCTGAATTGCTTGGTCCACTCTACGTCCCGCACCAGCTTGGTTCCCTGGAACGAGTGACACTTTCGATGAAAAGCGACACATCCCACGGGTCAATCCTCGGTTCACTTGCTTTCTACCGGCCTGTCAGTGACTCAATTGGGGTGTCAGTCAAGGAGGGCCCGCCGGTGTCTTCTCCTAGTTCTGGTTCTGGGACCGTCGGAGTGGGGCCGAGTCAGGACACGCAATCTATCTCAGGACAACCGCCCACGGAGCCACCAGGAGATGGGCAGATTAGCGAGATGAGGCAACTATTGGCACACGGATCTCTTGCTGGACAATAAATAGCATTGCCGGTGCGTCATACGGGGAGGCTCAGTTTCGCATTGCGTACCTTCGGACTTCGTATGGGCGTACACATCAGAAACCTAAAGAAGACGACGACGACGGCCGTGTGAGTGGGAAGTGTTCACTTCTTTTTCCTTGAACTCTGACCGTGGTTCTACCTGAAACCGACTAACACGAGCTCGATACATATCTGCATCTGCCATTCGGAGTAGGGAATGCCTTATCCCGAGTTCAAAGTAAAGCCGTGACAATTGCGTCTCCAATCCGGTTTCCGATTAGACAATTGCCGATCGGAGAAAGTACGATCCAGCAAGAAGATACATATGCACAAACATGCAAGGTTGCCTGAATTCCGGCGACATAATCAGCCGAACAGCGATGATTAGGGGAGTCGATACTCCGTAGCTGGGTCAAAAATCCACGATCCTTTGAGATCATGGAAATACATTGATCGTATTGTTTTTCCTTCCGGGGGAGTAGGAAAAAGCAAGATCGACGTGAAAACGGAATCTTCTTGGGATTGGCCACTGTTAGGACGACGATCAATCAAAGCCTGCTCCTGCATGCAGAGTGGGATGTGATCTACCAACTTGCCCACGAGGAGGACAATTCCATCCGGCACCCAGGCTGCTGGGGCGCAAAAAGCAAGAAGACCGTATGGAATACTCCGTACCTGGACCAGGAAACACTTGTAGGGTTATCAACAGTAACGATTTGTAGCTGCCGGTGATTCAGGTGCCTTGCCTATCCCTTTCTTCCGGAGGGCCCGGGATGACCGGAAAGCCGGAGATCGAAGTTACTATGCATTTCATCCGAAACAAAACGATTGATAAAGCCGCCCCTTATTGCCGGGATGTGACGATCAGTCAGCCATGATCTCATTGCCAAAGGTGGCTAATCGACACTAGCGATCGCCTTGGTGACAGGGGAATCTGGTACCTGTCCAACCACGGGGCGCGGAGTACGGGAGCCATCGTACTATTCAGGTACCTACGCAGGACACGAAGCTGCACATGCTGCAAGAATCACGAACAGTCCTGCCAGATGTCAGATTGCCTGCAGTCATTCTCCGAGGATGGGTCCCAGGCGATGCAGCTCATCCACGCGGCCTTTGTATTCTCCGGCCATTGGCTACCTCATGGCAAGGACTCGTGCCTGGCTGTGCAGATGAGCTGCACCACGTACGCAGGCAATGCTTCCACCTGGGAGTCGGTGAGGGTTGACAAGATGATTAGTGGAATAGTACTGGTATCTGGCAGAGAGTGAGAATTTGGAATCAGCATCAAACATCTATTCAACTAATGACGCAGCAGCAGAAGATAGCGCCATTGCAGGTCTGCAGCTTCCTTCATCAACACTTCACCTCCTTTTCGGGCAGCATCCTGGACAATTCATTGATGCCCAGAAACAGCTAAGCTCATGCGGATTTTTTTGGATGGGGCCTTTTCTTCTGCGCGCGAGCATGACGCACGAGCATATGCGGTATTTCGAGGGATACCGAGCGGTATCAGGTCTGGCGCAGAGAATGGTCAATGAAAGGCTATCAGTACCTGGCATGGACGAAGGAAGCTCAGCCTATCACCGACTGTTCCGATTGACCCCCAGGGTTTCATTAGCCATATCCGTGGAAATAATCACGGATTGAACGTCCCTCGGATTCATATCCAGCAGAGATTCCCAGACTTGTCTCGAGGCCATTGCGTTGAACAATGGTTTGTCTTTGGCTGATGCGGTCAGAACAAATGTGGACTCCTCTCTTCACCGATAATGAGCTCATGCAACGGACCTATCTGGAGGGCTTGCGCTATTGGTGACGATATATGAATAGTGACCCTCTTCGTCGAAGTGGCAGCCTGAGATAAGGCCTGACCTAGCCTGGCTACTTTCATCTATGGTAGCTGGTTTTTTCCGGCATTCACGCATGCAAGCGTGCTTTGACCGACGGGTGTAGAATATCATCATATCATTTCACGTGTTGGTTGACCATCTGGCTCGGAATGAGCAAATCTGGCGCTGTAAACGGATTATTCGATGTAGCTGTTCTGATCTTGTTTGATGCAGGGCTTGTTAAATTACTATTAGACAAAACTACAAATGCCAGGGTGGGTATAACTCACACTCATTAATCTCCCGATGGGCCCAGACGCTCATACGTTCCCATCAAGATGGAGTCTGCCTTTACCGTTCATCGCCCTCTGCGCACGCAGTCGGAATATAACGAGTCAAACCAGCGCTTGTGATCGTCCTAGTTTTGTAAACTGGTGTCTGTGTTAACTTCTAAAGCAAGGTAGGTTTACATTCCCTGGGAAACACTGGGAAACTTCGTACCACTTGCTATTGCTAATGGGCCCTCACTGGTCGTTGTACCGTTGACACCAGAGACATAATTTCCGGTCAGACTTATGGGCTAGTTCATTCCATACAAGCACAGGAAGAGCGGGTGTGAGAAAGGTATTGATGAAGATAAGAAAGTTGATATCTCCACAGACATGTAGAACAGGAACTCGTGGCATCGATGGGTTATATAGTTTGTATTGGATAGCTCCAAGAATAAGTCGCCACGTTGCTAAATAGCGAGGGCCTGGAGGCAGCGAGTAATCCACCAGGGGTCATCGCAGTCCACCCATATATATAACTGAGTTCTCGGCGAAAACGATGGGTGGCTCAGGAAGGGGGCTCCGTTAGTACACGGAGCAGTTCTCGGCCACGCTGAGTTTCACGGCCATGGTGAGGAATGCCGACAGGACAATTCTATATATTATCGCGATGAAGACTTCAGATGGTGGGGGAATGTTTATCGATGCGGCCGTAGAGTTCCATGTTCTGCGTCTGTGAGTCACGGACGTATCTATGAACGAGATGTGTCTGTACGTCTAGATGATAAATGCAATTCCAAGCTGAGATAGGAAGCCAATTATCTTTGGGATATTGTCCTAGCGTCCAGTTGAGTTGTACGATGGGATGAGGCCTTCTCGATTATTAGCGTTAGCCATGACAAACTCTCTATTTGAGGAATGTTTGTGTCTGTTGGATTCTTGCCACACTCACTTATATATTTGCCTGGGCGTATTGGCCTAGACCAACAGAGCCGAGTCTACGATCGGGGCCAAGTCAGCATAGAACCCGGGGTAGTTTGGCCCTGAAGTACCGATCATCCGGGATATATAGAGACTGCTAGTGTTCTAGACCTGGGACTGCATTTCGTTTTTTTGTTGTATACAGTGCTGGGACTATACAAGCTTGGCGTGAGCTGCATGTATGCCTTTTGCATAGCAATCGAACACGATATACTGTTATTGATAGATTATATCATACTAAGAGCCCTTACCGGCCCAGGGTCAACTGGCTATGCTTGTTATAGTCACAATGCCAAAGCAGGACATCAGAAGACCCATTACCACCGTCCTGCAACTTCAGGAGGTTTGTGGGTCGAGATCGGGATCGAACTATCCGAATGACGCACATGAGAAGCAGGAAAGTCGATGTAGGAAAGGAGGAGAAAGGAAATAGAAGACCATGTTTTGCGGTTGCTGATCATCTGCCTATCATCTGTTATCGTGATGATTTAGATGTCGAAGTAGCAGTTCCGGCTGTAGTCGGAGCATCTGACAAGACAATGCGCTCACCGAGCTTGCGTTAAGAAGTCAGTATGAGCAGCTGATCATGGGAGTAGGAGGGGTCCCATGTGCAAATCAACAGAAGAGAAATGAAAACATCCAACGTAGGTTGGTAATGCAATGAGGGCGAAGCCAAAGAAGTGGCGATGTGACGGTACCAGCTAGACACAAACACTTGAGACCAATGGGCGAAGATGCCGGGATCTGGGCGTTGGGTGGTTCGGGCTTTGGGGAAGGTGAATCCATGGGTGGCCATCTCCAAGTTGTCTAGCCCACTAACAGGAGACTGCAAGCACGTGGCCACGGGCACCTTCGGCGACGCGTCTCCTTCGCTCCCACCTTCATGCCATTGACTTACTACAGAGTACGTACCATGCACCCGGGACATGATGTAATCCCCACTGGTAAGCGGGGCATGGTCTGGATGAGCTACTTTTCTCTTGTGTGCCTCATAGCTACACAGACACGCTGACCAAGATAGCTGGGTGTTAGGTTCACGACGGAATTTTGAGATCTTAAGACCTTGACACGCACTGCATATCATACATCGTCAAAAAATTGAACCTCGCGCGAATCAGTGGCAAAGGAATGAATTGGCAATATCACAGGTCCGTTGACGATGACTCGAAGCTACTCTCAATGACGGTATCTGCAGGAACTGTGGTGGGGAAGATAAGGATGTCGATGAGCAATGCACTGTTGCTCATTACCTAAGGGGGCAGGCGGATGCTGAGAGGTGGGCTGCGCTGCCGTCAGACACTGAGATGACTGAGATGGAGGGTCTGGATGGTTTGGGGACCTGGATGTGACCGGGGAACCAACCAGGGCGACTTGAAACTGTGTAGCACTGGAGGAACCACTCGCGGAGCGTCAACGCGCGAATAGAAAGCCACGCAAGGGGTTTCTCCGGGAAGACCCTGCGCTGCAAGAGGAAGGTGGTGTCGATCCATGATATCAAGGATTCCGGGGAGGCGGATCGCCACCCTTGCTACCACCGCCCAACAAGGAGAAATGAAGGAGCGAGGCCGCGTGGCATTCCAGGCCTGCAGAAATTGCATGGTTAAATTATTTCTGACGTTGTGACTTGAAGGTCCGCGATTGACAGGCCAGCTTTACGTGTCTCATCCATGGTTGAAACGGATCACTCCACGGGTTGACGAAGCATGATAACGGCACAAGGCGACAATGACCGTGTCCTTCCTATCGCGGTATCTTGCTGCGATTACTATGTCTTAAGGTTCTCAGAGAAATCACTATATAAATGCAGTCGCCCTTGCTATACTCGACACAATCAGACGAATGCTTATTACGTTCAAGTGAAGACCATCTACCTCCATTTTAACCAATACAATGTCTGCCGCAGCAGAATTCCTCCACCTATCAACGGCAACACTACGTCGAGCACCTCGTCTTGGTGCCGGCATGTCTCAAATTACCAACCGACCCGCTATTCCAGGCAAGCTGGCCGCCATTTCCCACGGCAAGCTGCAACGTGAAGCCTCATCTCAAACCCCCGACCTTCGCCGTTGCCTAGGCCACCACGACATCTTTCGCAGATGCGTCAAGGCAGCAGAGGAAGACGACGCACGATTCATCAGAGAAACATACTACGAAGATGAACCAGACATCCCCACTAGCATGGAATTCGAATACGCTCCCATCCGAACCCAGATCACCAAAGCGGTCAAAACAATGGTGCGGCACCGCAGCCATGCCGCAGAGACTGCAAAGACCACAAAGTCCGCAGAGCACATAGAGATCACAGAGAAACCCTCGGAATATGGATTCATGGGCACGGAAATATATGGTCCAGAAACTACTTCGCAGTCGAAACGACGCCGGATTCTTGCAGCCATGTTTGGGCTAAAACGCAAGGCGTTTCCACATTCCGCACACAAATCGCATTCTACACACACTATACGAACGCACACTTTCCATTGATGTGCCTGCTTGACTATTCTGGATTGGACCTACGATGATTATGAAGTGACGATATTTATGAGATTTTATGAGGATTAGGTTGTTCACGTATACGACTGAGTATTGTACTCTGATGATTTATGCTATAATGAAGTCTTGCATCCAATTATATCCCAAACTAGTATTCTACTAGACCATGATGTTCAAAGTAGACTCGGATTGCCAAAGTAGACACTGTAATTTGATCCCGTAGAAACCCCAGAACCCCAGAACCTACATAGTCGTCCTAGCATAGTAACCCGAATGGCGACTTTTGCTAAAAGTATCTGCCAGAGCACGGGCTCAAAACCAACCCACACCGAGTCAACCATCCCAATTCCAATCCTAAGCACAACCCCTCCCATTATCCAACTCAAAACTCCTCAAATGCACCAAAAACAGCTACACTTCCCCGCTTACCACATAGAGCAACAAATGACGCTTTCGGTCTACCATGGACCAATTGCCATTGAGTTTCCGGGTTCCTGGAGAAGCCGGGCTATATTAGTTCGACCTAGGAAGGTTCAGCCTGGTTCGGGAGTAGATGCCATCAAGGGAATATTGATTTGAGTTCCTTCCTATAATGGATTGAGGGGGGGTTGGGTGTGAGGGTTGTGTGGCTTTAGAGTTGGTTTTGTTCGGGGGTAGGTACCGATGAGGGGATGAGGGATTAGATTGTGTATTTCGGGGGGAGATGCCGTGTATACATAGTTTGGTACTGATTGAGTGAGTGACTGGCTGAAGCAGGCTTGTACCTGAATGCAGTGTGTCCTTGTTTTTTGTTGTTCTTCAGAAGCACGACTACACACCACTGCTTCTAATTCTTAGGTCCATTTCCCTCCCGCTCGGGCACCTGTTCGCGAGGCTCTCAAGCGAGACTGCAGAGGTATAAGCAAAGTTAGCGATTCAGATATAGAAGAGGTAGAGTAGGAGCCGTAGAGGGTAAGCAGAATCAGAGATCCGGGGTTGAGGCAGGCTATCGTCCACTCGTCACAGGGCACATGTGCAAGAACCGCCAAAGGTTTCTATATCTAAGCAAGGACAGTAGTGTGAGGCTCTGGCCATCGCCGGCTCTAGGATTCAATCTAGAAGCGCGCCTAGAGCGGTTCCTGACAAGTAGACGGAGTCTAGGTTCAGCACGGTTCCTGGATTATATATATGGGCGCTGGTTCTGCTCTTTCCGAGATATTGAAGATGATATGTCCATGGCGAAGAATCGAGTGTGTAAAGAGTTGTGTTTGAGGCGATTAAACAGTTTCTGAAAAGATCCTGGTGATGCAACGGCAACCTTGCTATATAATAACGTTGCACTAGTCTTACGGGCTGTGTTGAAGATATTTAGCTCGGTAATTAAAACAAGTGCGGTGATGCAAAGAGTACTGGCTAAGATGAATAAATGGGCTCTAGCAAAGAGGTTAGGACCACACCGTACGACAGCGGTTGGGGTGTATATACTAGGCTGTGTGCAAAGCACATCGTGAATGTGAAAGGTTTAGGAGGGGTTATCGTAAACAGTGTGGATCGGAGAATTGTAGTGACAAGCAGAAAAGTGGAGCAGTCAGTTGTGGTGCAATGGAGAAGGATAGTGGGGAGGACTGGGTGCCTTTCTAGCTTCATCCACGCCCCTCTCTGCCCAATGACGACCGGTTCTCACCTCAGCCAACACATCAAGGTCCAACTCCACTCCAGATGAAACATGGCACCTGGAGTGACTGAGTCACTTGCTTTTTCTAACCGTACGGCACTCGAGGTTTTTATGAGGCAAAAGCAAACCCACCTTGATGTGTTGCGGCGTGATTGGCCGGGGGCGTCGACGATGGTTGAACAGCTCATAAGGTATGAACTGGGGTCTCAATGCATACTATTGACGTATACCAGCTGCTATATCCTGCGAGTGCCCCCCTGAATATTGCAGTTGGTTGTATTTGCAATCGTGCCTGTTTGACCGTTTCCCCTCCTTCTGGAGCTTTTTGCGATCTGTTGGTATTTCTATTCCACAAGTTCTGTCGAGTTGAGGGAGAGCAGAGGTAAACGATAGACACAATGGTCGTCAACGGCAGCAACATGTCAGCGAGGTATGCGCCGAAGCCGGAATTTGACGATGAGGTCGAGGAGTATGAGCAGCCGGAGCTGTCGTGAGTGATCTTACTTTTCTTTTTGTCGCGAGAATCTAGCTAAGGGGCTGTTCTACGTGGTAGACCATACGATACTCGCCTCGTCATCGTCTTGATGGGTCCTGGCGAGCGCAAATACTCCATCCCGGAATACTACCTCAAGCAGTCCCCTGTGTTCGCAGACATCCTCAGCACATACCCTAACTTCATCACCCGGACGACTCCCTGCATCGCACTGCCCGACATCGACGACGACATCACCCACACCATCGTGCACTACCTCCACACCGGCGCCTACCAAACTCTCCGACAAGGCGGCGACTGGACGAAGACAGAGTACCGTCGGAGCGTGCTCGCCTACTCGGCGGCGTCCAAGTACGAACTCCGGGGTCTGCTGACCCTCGCGAAGAAGTACATGCAGAAGCTCGACAAGGATCTGTCCATATTCGATGTCTTGAGTGTCGCCAGGAAGGCCTTCGGGAAGATCCCTGATTATGATCAGTGGTTCTTCAGCACTTATGTCAAGAGCCGCTTGGCAGCCGCCTTCGACGAGGACGAGGATTTGTTCGAGAGCCCGCGATTCCAGTATCTCCTTGGCGCGGAGCCAGGCTTCGTCACTTGCTTGGTGCAGGCAATGGTGGCAATCTATGAGGCCAAGTTATCCGAGCTGAAGCAGTTCCCGAGGATAAATGGTGTCCATGACGGCGAGGGAGAGGGGATGAATGGTGATGATGACAGCGGATACCCTACCAGTCCCGGACGAGGATATAACAAGGCAGTGATTTTCATCGAGGAGACCCTGTCTGACCGACCGCCATCAGAGGGTCCTATTTCCGAGGGATATCCTGAATCGGTCCCTGACGACACGGGCCCGATGGAGGCCTTCCCCGCGTTGACCGACGACGTCTACGTTCCTGAGACACATACAGAGGAGAGGTATGCCCCAGCTGACGAGCCGATCGCTGAAGAGTCCTTTCCAGAGACCCAGGCTCAGGATCAGGCTCAGGATCAGACTCACCCACAAGAACCGGAGAATCCGCCGGCGACTGATCGCTGGACTACATGGCGGGGGTGGGGGAGCAAAGACCGGGACTGGTTCAGGGAGGTGCACGAGTCGCCTGCCCCTGAGAAGCCTGCTCCAGAGGCACGCGTGGAGGAAGCTGTTCCCGAGTACTCGGAGATCCAACGTACAATGACTGAAGAGACAGGGACCGAAAGCGTCCCCGCCGACACGGGGAAGAAGCTGGGGAAGAAGAGCCGGAAGAAGAAGATGCGGGCGCTGTTTTCTTCCGCAGAGGAGCCCAAGGCGGAGCCACAGGCCGCATACTGACGAGATATTGAGCGCACTTAGAAAGACTGTACAAAAGGGTGGTATGTATGTAATTTGAGAAGAGCTTAGTTGCTTCACATTTAATGCGAAATGAATCATCTCCAAAAGAACCCAACCCATCGATAGCCGATAGTCGATAAGCCGATAAGCCCCCGATAAGCCCTCCCCAAACCACACTAACCCCATCCGGACAAGGCCATCATTTTCCAGTTCCTCCATCGCATCGCATCACTTCATCGCAGCCAATCCTCCGTACATCACGACCTCACTTCGCAAACGAACCACCACCCATTTCACACAAGGACTCACCAACCCAACCGCCAAAATGGCCCCCACACCCCTAACCAAATCTCTCCAATTCGAAAAGAAAAACCAATCCATGCCACGCCTCCCAAAACGTACCTCCCCCCCTCCCCTGCCCCCTCCTTCTCACCAAAAACCACCCAACCAACTAATCACCAACTAACCAACCCAGACCTCAAAATCACCAAACGCCCCATCCCGCACCCCCCCACACCCAGTCCCTACAGCGGCTCCTCAACCCCCAAAACCATCTACGTATCGTCCTCATCCCCCATCATGGGCGTCGTGAAGCGCGTGCAGAAGTATCTCCGGGCGGCGGAGAATCGAGCGAGTGCTTCTTTACTTGCTGGTAACAAGAAGGGCGGGGGTGGAGGTGGGGGAAGAAAAGAGCAGATTGCGACGTTGGCGAAGAGTCAGGAGGCGTTGAAGAAGGAAGAGGTGTTTGTGAAGGCGACGGGGCGGGCGATGGAGAGGGCGTTGAAGGTGGGGAAGTGGTTTGAGAGGGATGGGAGGGAGGGGGAGTTTTTGGTGAAGGTGAAGACGGGGAGTGTGCTTGTTGTTGATGATGTTGTTGGTCAGGAGGAGGAGGGGGATGGGGGGGAGGAGGGGGGGAAGAAGGAGGAGAGGGTGGAGAGGTTGAAGAGGGAGATTGAGGAAGGGGGGTTGTCGAAGGCGGCGGTGAGGAAGAGGAAGAGGGATGTTGCTCGTATTGAGGGTGAGGTGCCGGAGTCGAGGACAAGGTGGGTGAATATGGTGGAGGTGGCGGTTTCGTTGAAGTGAGGGGATTTTCTTTGTGGGATGGTATGGTATGGTGAAGAAAATGGGCAGAAAGGTATTATGGCCTTTGGCTTCCACAGATGGCACCTATTATTGTGAGGGGTGGACTACAGCTGCGCGCGCACTGGTGTGATAGCAGCCTGATTCTGCTATGCCTGCTCACTCGAACTACAACTCGTCCGGATACGGCACTGTTGGGAGTCATGTCCGGTGCTATGACAGCAATATCCCAGGGCTCTTGAAAGAATGCCTGACAGTGCACGGATCATGTCCGCACATCATCTATGCAAACGACTATGGCAGCGCGCAGCATAAGCGAAAGTCAACCGCTGGCAACGCCTGGATCCGACAATCACATCTCTACCACTACTGTTACTGGTCTATAATACTGCCGTGTACATTAGAGACAAAGCTTCAGCTATGTTCAAAAAAATCCTGCGCCTTGCTGATAGCGCTGGACGCGAGGCGTCCTAACTCCATCACGAAATCCTCAAAAAGCTTGATCTGATGGGTCGACAATCGCGGGATCTCCGGTGGTAAACGAGCCCGGATATGGGTTGGAACTGATGTGATCAAATCCAAATCGTCATCACTGCCTTCGCTCAGCGGGTTGAGGAGGATGTTAGAGAAAAGGTGGCAGATCGCCGTCAGGAAATAGGGCAGACAGGACCTGCGACAGCTTAGCGACTTAGAAATGCAACAAAGAAGATATGCGAATACCTCAGATTATTCTTATCAAAGTGAAGCCGGTCATCGAGGAATTTCTGCAGCATTGATCGACTGGCTTCAACGCTGATAGCAAGGCTGGAGCCCGCTTCGGACGTGTCATGATTTTGAACCCAGACAGAACACTTTCCGCTGGCTTGGTGGATCATGGCCATGCAGTACAAGTATTGCAGCTGAAAGAGTGTATTGGGGCGTACTGATGGCGTCGGTCTCCCTATTGATAAGCCGTGGCCGATTGCGAGCGGGGATGGACATTCTCCAGGTTTCCAAGGCATCGTCAAGGTCGCGAATAGTGCTCAGTAATTGAGCATCGGTCTGACGCAAAGCTTTCATGGAATAGAGGCCGTGGTAGACCTGAGACTGAAGAATAGCAAGACGTATGCAGGTGAGGAACTCCGGAGTAGTCTGCTGGACATGAGGGTGGGTAAGGTCGCAGTGAGTCTCGTCGAGGCACGGAGGATGGCCGGTCCGTAGACTAAACTCCTTGTCGATGATATAACATATCCAGAACAAATCCCGGATATGCAGATTCGTCCTGAATTGGTCGTCATTGATGTAGACTGGAGCGAGGTGGCCATTGAGGTGAAAGATGAATCGCGTTGACGTCGCTAATAACATCTCGAGATAGAAGATGTTGCCTGTAACTACCAGAGAACAGAGACACTGATAGTACACGTGTCAGCATAGCATATCCCCTCCAGGAATTATTGTCTCCCAACAATGGTGTCCCCAATCACATCCAGGGTACCTTACTAGCATCAAGACAGTCTGGAGACCATCTAAAGTGACCGACTCAAGCAACAAACCGGGCAGCAGCTTGTAAGCCGCGAGAACATGATCCTCTGCATGCATGACTTGATGTCCATGAGGAATCGAAGATGACAAACACACGGCCGTAAAGGCGTGTATACAAGCCCTGGCACTGTCGGCCCCAGGAGATGAGACGGTAGTTTCATCATGGTATGCTGCCTTGATCGTGGACTCAAGAAGCTCTCGATCAACAAATGGAAACAATTTGGAAAAGACCGATTGTTTCCATTCGTCAAGCAAATGAATCACGGTCGCCTTCTCCGGCAGCGCCACGGAATGTGGAACGCCTGTAGATGTCATTTGGCTGGATGTAGATGGCCATGGTGACATGTAAGCTAGGTTCACCTCTTGGCCGGTGCGTGCTTTGATCCACTGTCGGCCGGTGGATGAGAAGAAAGGCAGGCCATTGAAGGTGCAGAGGTTCCCCAGAACATGTCCTGCGACATGGAAATTGCTCTGAGAATCTACCCCTGATATTGAGTCGGGATTGTGACGTCTCGACGGCGGACTCGATCGACGGTTGGGATCTGCATACCATCATGATGGAATTAGTGCCATGCATAAGCCAGGTTTGAGCTTAGAGATTGTAGAAAGAAACCTGAAAGGTGTGACGATCTGGCTGAGTAGACTTCATCACGCACATTCGGAGGCTCAGATTCAGGACTTGCCAAAGAGCCGAGTCGGTACTTGGCTCACTCATGGCAGACTCACCTTGAGAGCACACCTAGTGAGATTAGTGATAGAAATGTGCAAGTGACTACCTTGTGGAGCGAGTGTTTCTCTCGAAGTGGGCTGTCGGGTGCTGAAAGCAAGTCTTAGCAACTTTCACTGCTGCATCAGAAGTCCATACTCGGGATGTTGACGGGCTTTTGAGAGCTCTTCATTTCGTTCCTTATTGCGCTTGAAAGTACAAGGAAGATCGTGATGATGGCACCAGTTGCACCGGGGCGTCGCTGCATCGCACTGGATCTAAATAGTAGATTCGGTTAAGAACGGATCGGATCGCAGGTCAGGAGATGTCACCTTTCGCTTGTAGCATGAATCACAAGCGCGGCAGATCCGCCGTCGACGCTTAGGTCCAGATTTGGCTACTGGTGCGCCCGAAAGCATGATCGGAGATGGCCTTCTGGGGTGTAACCATGTCGCGGAACACCTTGAGCTGGATGTGAGGCGTCAGTGGCGATCATCCATGTCTCAGGAGGCTTATCACGTGAGAACGGCATCAAAATATATCCTGCAAACACTCGAGCCACCGGACCAGGTGGCATACGCATTTCTAACAGCCTGGGCATATGTCAAGTAAGACAGAAAAGCATGAAATAATCATTCATCGCTCGGCTGAAAAAAGAAGTATGCTATGAGAGACTAATACACAAAGGCGGGTGAGCCTTTACATGACCTGCTTCTGCCCATGAGAAAGAGACATCAACATAGAAAGAAAACCCACTGCTGCCAGGGATTCGTTACTGGAACAACAGGGTGTGGTGATATCTAGGAACAACAGGAAAGTGTGAGAGTGAGAGAGAGTCATGCAAGTTATGCAACAAAGATAACTGCACATAAGAAGATGTCAAGAAAAGAATAAATGGGAATAACGGGAACGAAGATAAAGAAACCCACAAAACCAACGCATAAACCCTGTTCGGATCAGAATACAAGATGGGCAAACTGTAAGATAAAACCAAGGGAGGATCAGAAAGAAAGGTATGAAAGATCGGAGGTAATCACTGGAACACCAAGGCGCTTTTCGGTGTTATTGAACGCAAAAGACAAATGCTCCAACAGGGGCAACAGGAAAGACATGACATTTAAGACGGTTTATTTGTCCATCTTCTGCCACCCATTCAGGTAGGCCATCAACCCAACGCCTAGAAGCACAACCCCCAGCATCGACGCAAATGGACTGGACTGTTCCAAGACGTCATGCCGGTGGGATTGCTTCGCGAAGGTTGTCGCGTTGTCCATGCCTTTGGTAGGGGACGTGGCTGAGAGCTGCGGTTGCTCGGCGCAAACGCTTGCCTGCTCGTCGGCAGTCTTGGGCATGTCAGACGGGGCATCTTCCGGGATATCCGCACTCTTTTGCGCATCAGGCACGGATTCGCGCTGAGCACGCTCCGCGCGCTCTTGCCGCAGAGTTTCAATCATCTCTGCTAGCGACTTCCGCGCCTCGGCAGACTCATTCTCCGCTAGATCTGCCCGGTCCTTGAACATTGTGACTTGCTTCTTCATCTCCTCCATCTCCTGTATCATTGTCTCCAGACGGCGTTGTAAAACATCGGTTGGGCTTTCTGGTAGCGGCTCCTTTTCAGCATCAGGCAAGACAATTTCTGTGGTTGGAGCTTCGGCTTCTGGCATCACAGTCTGTGAGTCTTCTGTCGAAGCGATTTGTACCGTGTTCTCACGGTCTAAATCAGCGTCTCCAGACACAGGGTCCGAAGCAGCTTGGTTGGATTGCATTTCTAGGCTCCTGGCCTTTTCCTCCGCAGACTCGCGCGCATTCCGCTCCTGAATCAGTAATGCTTCCAGCTCCTTAACACGGGCGCCCTGGCTATCCAGCTCCCTCTTTGCGGACGACAAAGCTTCGATGAGCGACAAGATCTGGCTGTTTTCGCGTGTCACAGGCGAATTGGTGCCAAGTTTGGTTTTATCTGGTTCAGGACGCTTCAACGGAGGGAGCGCATCTGTGCCATTTCGCGGCAGAGCATCCGGCTTTTCGGGCAGCGGTTGCTGCGGCGGGGGCGCTGGAGGCTCGGAGAAGCGGGAGAAAGAGTCGACGCGAGGCATTTTTGGTCGTCCGTTGACTGGACGAGCAGCGTTACTATCCGCTGGTGGTGGTTTCGCTTTCTCCTTTTCGATATATCCAGGTTTCATTATTGTCGTCAGGAACTCGTCCGTTTGGCGGAGCTCTTGAGTCTGCTGCTTAGCCTGTTTCATTTCGCTCTGAAAACCAAACCATTAGCGTAAGCCAGGTGAGCGTGACTTCAACCACATACCGTAAGGCGTTTGACGACTTGTTCAATGGATATAGGTGAATTCCAATAGTTCATCTGTCGCTGCTGTTGCATGGCGTTGAACTGGCTGCTAGCCGCGCTTTGAGCACTGCGGTTGCTCATGGTGCTCCCCGACCGCCCCCGAAGATGCGACATTGGTTGACTGAGGGGGGACGGAAGGAGTCCATTTCCAGAAGCTGGATCTAGGTCGCCTAGCGTGAGATCAAGAATATTCGGAATGCTGCTGTATATCCCAGCATGTTCAACCTTTGCTGAAACCTTATGGTGGACAATTGTCTTTTGGTCTTCGCTGACAATGTCTATTCCTAGCTCTAGCGTGTCGTTTTCGCGGAGCTCGTGGGGATCCGATTCGCGGTTTTCCGGAGACAGTCGCTGTCCATTAACAAAGGTACCATTCGACGACTTCACATCTCGGATCCAGATCTTTCCGCTCTTGTCTGCCCAGATTTCGGCGTGCTGCCGGGAGAGCACTTTGGAATCGAAGTAGCCGTTCACCGGTGTTGGTACGGTTTTCGCATTCGTCTGGCGTCCAATGCGTAATATATCCGGGTAGAACGGAACATTGATCTGCTTCTTGTCGAAGGTACCGTTAATCGGCAAGAGGGTCAGGATGGCGGGCGGATCGCCTGCTGGCGCGCTTCCGGCGCGGACGCCATTCTGCTGGGAAGCTTGGAGCATGTGTTGAGAAGGGACGATAGAAGATGGTTGGTGGATTGCGGTCATCGCAGAGGAGGCTCCTGGACCGGAGGAAAAAGCCGGCATAGCTTGAGACCGAGCGTTGCTCAACCCAGCCACCGGCTCCGACTTGGAACTGGGCCAAACGTTGCGCGAAGACTTCTTCTTTGACGACCAAGTAGCTGATTCAACGTTGTTCACGTGTCCTGCATTCGAATTCTGCGGCGTAGTAATAGCGGTCGAGGTGGATGAAGTAGATCCTATGGAAGAGGAGGAATTCGATCTCTGAACGGTCCTCCGCGGCAAAAATGTCCGTGAGACTTCTTCCGCGTCCATTGAAGACAGAGCACCTTGTCCTCCGTTACCAGAGTCGAACCATCCCAAGCGAGGGCCCGATTGCACACTAGGTGGTGATGCCACAGCAGTCATGGAGAAGGGTCGAGGGTTGTGTGGTAGAAGGAGCTCTATCTCATAGGCGCTGTTCCGTTCAACGGAAAGGGGATCGTCTAATATGCAAGAAGAAGCAGCGTTAGGGGTAGAACCGCCCGGGAGAGCCCGTCGCGACGGACCTCAGGGGCAGAAAGTATATAGCGATGGGCGGCGCGCCAAAATATGTTGATATCGATCCGATCGGCTGGTGAAAGAAGGTCACGTTAGCAATTGTCCGGAAGACCCCCCATAAACACCGAGTCCGTTCCGCAACGACGCAGCAGCGCCTGGCACGGTCGAGTCCACCCCCACCGCCGAGCTCGGATGGCAAACTTACCACTGTAGGATGGATCTGGACAGGTGAGATTAAGTGAGGTCGGATGAGAAACAGGAAGGCGCTTCTGATCAAGGAGGCGTGGAGGGAGGGAGGTCTTGGCCCGAACCGAGGAGCGAACGGACCAAGCGACCGGCCAGCAAGGAAGACGGGGCACGAGACGGGTCTGCCGCCTTGCACAGGCTCCTAAGCCGCCGAAACAATGAGTCGTCGCACTAGATCAGACGATTCAGGAGCAAATCTCATCGGGAGCCACCAACTGCGGCGGGAGAAGAGACCCGATCAGCTCACGGCTTCCTTCGAGCCTACGCCTGAGGCCAAAAGTCACGTGATTTTCACACGTGTGGCTGAGGTAAGCTGCACGGACCGTCCACCAGGCCGAATGAGGTAGGCGGTATCACGTGTTTCTGGGCCTCGGGTTTCGATGCGCCCACCGTTGGAGCTTTCCTGCCGACTCTATACCTCTGCAGTCCGCAAGTCTCAACCATTCACGGGAACCTGGTGTGGTGCTGTCAAGCTTCCTACGCTCACTGTATTTGTATTTGTCACCGCGTTGAAAATGCCCGTCGTTGCTGGTCCTCCCCAAGGGCATGGCCCCTCCACGTTGGAGAAGAGTTAGTCCACCACCTCCAACATTCACCAGATGGATCCTCTTTAAACTGTCTATACGGATTAACTAACTTGCTCTACAGTGAAGATGGGTGCTCTGATGGGCTCCAGTATGTGAATTAGGTCATACTCCCTCAGTCTCGTGCTAATTCCATTCAACAGCTGTCGGAGGCATCATGGGTTTCATCATCGGTCAGTTTACAACACATCCCGCTTCCTGTAATCCCACTAATCTGGACTAGGAACCGTTACCATCTTCCAATACGGAGCCGGACCTAACGGTGTCATGCGCACCCTGGGTAAATACATGCTGGGTTCTGGTGCTACTTTCGGGTAGGTTGCGGGATTTTCTTGCGACTGTTCCATATGACCACACGATCTATATTGCTCGACGGGGCCTAGACTAACATATTGCTCATAATAGCCTGTTCATGTCTATCGGCAGCGTCATCCGTTCCGAAGGCCCTCACAATGATGCCTGGCTCCGCGCCCGTGGTCCCCCCATGATGCTCCCCCGCCAGAGCCCTCTGCGCCCTATGCGCGAGTAAACGCTCTATGAGATGGGGATAATATCAATTGGAGCGTGGAATTTGCGAGACGGAAGGGAAACTGTACGATAGCATATCCTGGATCATGGAACAATGGTTGAGGAATAATTACCGACGTCGAGACGATGCAGAGCAGTGGTGGCTGTATAATGTACATAGGAGCTGCCTAGTCACCCGATGCGATGCAACGTATCTGGGCGTCGTAACAATGTTCCATTAGGTTAATTTAATGGATATCATGAATGATGAATAGTCCATATGTATGCTTGACAGATGGAGCAACCACATTTACCAGATTGACTCTATACTCGTGAGTCAGTGCAACGGTCCAGAATTAGAAACCACAATATCTATACTATATCAATCTCACAAGCGCCATTCCGCTATCACAAACCCAGAAAACCATCTATACCGTCTAAAAAAAACACCGAATTCTATACCATCTATCTATACAACAATTCCATCCAGAACGGAGAGAACCCACTCACCAACCCACCTATTCCCACCTAACCACACCCTCACCACCCCCCTCCCCAACTTCATTCTACACCTTCTTCGGCAACCAAACCAACCACCCCACCCCAATACAAAACTTAATCCCCGCAGCCAGCCAAAACGTCGACGCCATCCCCCCGGCACTCCGATTCAACCACCCCCCGACAATCGCCCCAATCAACAATGCCACCACCCCCGCAACCCTCCTATTCCTCTTCACATTCTGCACAGCGAGAATATTCTTATCCGAGGCAATATCAAAATACACGCTCGTGATGACGACGCTCGGGATCTCATTAAACCCTAGCGAGCGAGTGGAGTTGATGGACCCGGAGGACTGGAATGCGAGGAGGCCGATGGGGATGAGGTCCAACAGGGGGTGGTGTTGGTGATCTGTGACGGCGGAGTCGGATTTGGAGATTAACCCGGCTTGGAGGAGCGAGACGGCGATCACGATTAGGAGGACTTGGACCATGAAGGAGGCGAAGAGTGTGCCGCGACGTGTTGGGCCGAGGAGACGGCCCGCGCGACTGAACATGAATGAACCTGTCACGAAACTGCTGATTGAGACGAGGGATTTTAGCCAGCTCCAGTGGCTGTCGGTTGGGAGGTTGGCGGCGCCGAGGCCGAGGACTACGGTGTTTCCTATTGTAGGCAAAGGGGGGTTGGGTTAGTGGTGGTGGTGGTGGTGGTAAGGTGAGGTGAAGGCTGGGGGGAGGGGGTGGGATGATGGTGAAAGGGGGTGGTGGGTGGTGGGTAGTGACGCACCGGTTTGCATTGCGAGGAAGCAAGACCAAGCATTGAAGGCAGAACTGTCGCAGAGACCGGTGACAAAGCACAGAATAATGCAGATGATATCGGCATAGTTGCTATCGACGGTTTGGAGTAATCGTCTTTCTTTACTGGTGGTGCGCGACTTGTCGACGCTGGACGATTCCACGACTGGGAGGCCCGGTGATTTTGGGTGGGAGGGCTCTGACATCACTTGGGTGGAGATCTAAAAGAAACAGTGCGCAGGATGGGATATATATGTACAAGGATCGGGGTGTTGCAGAGTATGCAGAGTATGCAGACAGTATGCAGCGCAGTGGAAAATATAATAAGGATGCTATATTTGGCTAGAAGTTGATCGGAAGATCCCAGCTGAAAGGGCGACCAGCTTTTCTACCCTAAACCCTAAATCAGATCTATCATCACCACTCACCACCAGTAGGAGATTAATTGACTCCTTTCAGCAAAATCTCCGTGGGAAGGAAAGAAAAAAAAAATAAAGCTTTGGAAGGTGATACGAACCCGCGCGATTTCTGGGTCGTAGCACGCAATTGACGGCTGGCGGCGCCATCAGCCTTATTGCGGCAGCCCTATCGACCATGGACAAATGGCAATGGCCCATCTGGCGTTCGAGGGTGGGTTGACTGGGAGCCCGGGACATCGGCATTGTAGAGAGTGGATATCGGCCCACAAGGCTGACGGGGGAGGGCTTCATTGGGTGGTCTGGTTGCACAGTCTGATTCAATGATGGGTTGTGGCCCTGTGGGAATGAGTGGAAGCTAAATTAAAGTTGGAACAGAAGAGAAAACAGACATTGAGAGGGATATTAAGGTAAACAAAAAAGAGTGGGAGGAAAGCGCCAAAAATAGCATCCTCCCCCGGACTGCTCGGAGCACTGGATAGGAACCAAAAAGGTCGTGCCCGGGATCGAACCGGGATTGCTGGAATCAGAATCCAGAGTGATGACCATTACACTACACAACCGTCTTTGATGAAGAGTCATTGAACCTTTAACATTATAAAGAAAACTATGTGCCATCATTGTTTTGAAGCATCTTGTGACAGTTGGATTCATTAGTGTAAAGCTGTATCTAAGAATACTACTGGCGAACTAAAGATTGGCTGTGCCTATTTAGCTTGGCCATCTGCTTGCATTGCTTTGTCGTAAAAGCGCGGTCGTGATCATGAAAACAGTTGTTATACTGGCTGAATCAACAGAAGGCTCATGTGCTAAAATACACCCAGAGAATCGCATATCTTTCATGGCAGTCCCGTGAAGTAGCGACACAGAACTTGGCTATGTTATTCGTGCTCGACATTCATGATGACACTTGCTTATAGCTTCGCAAGATTCAACATCGGTGATGTCCACGTCTCTTTGATAAGGTCAGCACACTTCTCGCCAATCCCGTAGGCAGGCATTTGAGTATGTCCCCCATGCAATGTGGGCATCACACTGCAGTCTGCGACACGGAGACCTGTGATCCCTCGCACACGCAATTTGTTATCGAGAACAGCTCGAGGATTGCTATCAGAACCCATTGCACAGGTCCCTGCAGCGTGGTAGCCTAGGACCATCCATTAGGCTCGACTGTGATGACTGATACGAGGTGTGAGACTTACATGTTGTTGCATGTTCCTTCACATAAGGAATCCACTCTTCCCTTTTGGTGTAGGTGTGGTGTGTCAAATGAGGTGGCCAAGATCCTTTCACAATGTCCTTCGTCCCAGCGCCCTTGGTAATAATCTCGTTCGCGAATCTGCATGCCTCACTCAACACGAGAACGTCCAGCGGATCGGCAAGGTAGTTGCAGTCCACCACTGGGTTCTCCAGGGGGTTCTTTGACTTCAGGGTGACGCTTCCACGGGACCTAGGCGAAAATAGCTCTGCAATAATCGAGAATGCGTGTTTACGATCGATAGGAAATTGATCAAATTGCTTAGGGCCACCATAGCATTCCGTGGTGAAGAACTCAACATTCGGCTGTTTAGGTGTCAGTCCCATAGGATCACGGCCTGGTTGCCGTGGCGCATTCTTCCACAATGGTTCATGCTTAAGACGGTCGTCTAAGCGCGCAAAGGCAAAGGAGCCAAAGGGGAATTTTGACAAAAACCCCTGCTTTTTCTCCCTCCAAAGTGCGTAGGTCTTGTCATAATTGTCGTCGTGATAGACGAGATGATCGCTTGTGAGACCGGGTTTCTCTGTTTCGTAGAACATGAAGACAATCTAAATACCTTGATCAGATGCGGGATTTCGAATCTTGGCCGGTGTGGCTGTGCCTTGGGTACCGGATACTGACCAGGTGATCCAGAAGGTTCTGTCCAACGCCAGGCAGGTCGACCAAGCATTCAATACCGTTTCGCCGCAGTTCCTCCTTTGGACCAAGTCCAGACCTCATGAGGATGGTGGGGCTGCAATACGCACCGCTGCTGATGATTACCTCCCTTGTCGCGTACAACGATTGCTGCCCATTCGCTGTCACCACCACAACGCCGTCTGCTTTCAGCCCGCTGGGGGTCTTCTTAAAGAGCACCCTATCTACAGTGGTATCTGTCATGATGGTGACGTTGCTGCGATGGAACCCGTTTGTTATAAAGTCTCCACTAGTTGTACGAAGACCATTGTATACTGTGCGTGGTACATGGCCACAGCCATGGGGCGTCTCGCCAGTTGTGAACATGTCGTGGTCCAGTGGAAGGCCTTGGGAGACGAACGAGTCCATTATGAGCTGAGAAATCGGCGCGAGGTCATGTGGTTCGACGTGGAGAGGACCCGACTGTCCGTGGAATCGATCAGCGGCTTGAAACCAAGGTTTGTTGTGAAATGTTTCGGCCTGGAGAGTAGAAATTAGCGTCCCATGGCTCAACCATCCTCGCGCCTTCTTAGAAAAATAGAGCAGCCCAGACCTTTTGCATGTACTTGAAGAATTCTTCTCCACTCCATCCATCCAAGCCCCAATCGTCATAATCCTGCTTGCTGCCGCGTATGCAAAGCGTGCCGTTGCAACCGCTACAGCCACCCAAGAACTTGCCTCTGCTGAGCTTGACTTGACGATTGTTGACACCGGACATTGGTGAAGTGACGATGTTCCAATCCGTCTTGTCGTCGAGAAGACTAGCCCAACTAGTTCGATAAGCATCCATCAACCGAAGGTCAGGCGTATAACGAACCCGCCAACCATATGCACATTCTCGAGGTCCTTATGATGTTGTCCTGCTTCGATAACCAGGATCCGTATGTGCGGATTCTCAGCCAGGCGTCCAGCCACCACGCACCCCGAAGTGCCGCCCCTGCGGTTCAACAAGAGATCAGAATTGATAACAAAAAGAAAAATAATCAAATAGCTCTACAAGGAAGAAACTCACCCGCAGATGATGTAGTCATATGAGTCCGCCATTTTGCGGACCGTGTGAGATCGGTGAATCGATCGTTCGAAGGGTAGAGGCTAAATCCGGGGAAACCTCCATCGAGATCGGATGGCCAAGGGGACTAGCCCCTCTTTAAATATATGGGTTGCACAGGTCTAGAGGGCAAATGGACCCTATTCCGCAGCTATACGGCCCTGAAGGAATGCCAAGGTAGCCAAGTGGAATGCCATTCCGCGCTGGCAATCCGCTAACGAGTCTGGTTGGCGATTAGTTTGAGCCCTCTGCCAATCGACAGCACCGCCCAGATTGGACTCCACCTGAGGCCTCACTTGTGATTTGTGGCGGTGAGGTCGATCAAATTGGTCCACCGGGAGCTCTAAAGCCTATAAAGACCAAGAAAGGACAAAGGAGAGACAAGGTTTGCGGGGTAAGCGCAATAGCCCCGGTTCAGTTGGGGAATAACGGAAATATGCGGATATAGCCTTAGGGGCCACCTTGCTTCCACTAACCAGCGCCTGCCTGTACAGAGGGTGGCGGGCAAATTCCGCATAGCTTAATATTCGCGTTTAAATGGATTCCTTGTCGTCGTGCGGGGATTTGCCACCCTCACCATACAACTTATTCGTCTCTTCCAATCCCTTCCCGGAAGTTTCAGGCAGGAAGAACCACGCAAACACGAGCCCTAGCAAAGACATCCCTGTAAAAAACCAGAAAGTGCCTTTAGGTGTCAATGAGAGCAGCATCAATGTGGTAGCCTATGAAGGTTAGTCAATACCCTCCGAGGGTTAACGGAGCACGAAGAACGGACCTTGGAGATTCCGATCCGGTTTGCATAATGCCATAAAGTGACGAGGCTTACACCTGCAATTCGAACACCTAGAGGGAAGGATTCTGCTGTGATCAAATACTGGATGGAGTTCCAGCCTAAAGCCCATCCAACACCGATGAAGTAGATCATCACGATCGCGCCAATGGCAGCGTGCTTCGTTGCTGGCCCTTGCGAGTCACCCGATAGGGAGGAATAAACGGTGAGAAATATCGAGTCATAAGTCAGAGCGATAACCTGGATGACAAGACCAAGATATAAGGTCTTCCTTCTGCCCAGGGAATCTATCAAGAACAAAGCAGATATCAAGGCAAATGCGAACTTGACAGCACCGAAAATGGCTGTCGTGAAGAGTTTTTGCGACTGTCCTTGGATTCCGAAGATTCCGAACAACTCTGGTGCATAGGCTGTAGAGGTATTAGCTTGAGTACCTGAGCACAATGTAAGCAGGAAGTGAGACTTGCTTGTTACTGAATTTGGGCCGGACCATTCGCCCAGGCACTGCAAAACACACACAAAAGCAATCCGTTTCAAATGGTCTTTGGTTCCAAAGAGCCTTTTCAGTGCTCCAAGGAAGCGCGCTCCTGATGTCACCTGGCCTTCAATATCAAGCTGAATTTGAGCATTAGATACCTCGATGTGAATTCCCGGATCCAACGGCGACAGGTTCCATAATCGTGCAAGAGAATGGAGTGCTGCTCTAGGGCGGCCCTGTCGACACAAAAACCGGGGACTCTCTTCACAAAACAAGGAAGCAACTAGAAGCAAGCCTGCCCACATGATCTGAACGCTCTGCGGGATGACCCACTGTTTGGCACTCGAGTTGGGGATGTGAATAGACGCTCCCCATATGGAGAAGTACTGCAGCATGTCAACATGTTGATCTACATCTCTTCTCGTGGCATGCTTACCCCAATCATGATCCCCAGGTATTCGGACATGCCGTATGTACCCACAAGCATCCCACGAATCTCCTTGGGAGCCACCTCGCCGAGATAGATGGGAGCGACTACACCAAATTGTCCGATACCAAGGCCCATGATGAAGCGACCTGCATATACCTGCCCAAGGTTGTGCGACGTCATGAATATCAGAGAGCCTATGATCCAGAGCAGGCAACATTGACGAATTGTCCACAGTATTCCGATGCGCTCGCTACACAGAAAAGCGACTATGGCGCCGGGCAGGCTGCCAATGTGCACCATCGACGTGATGTTGGACAAGCGGTTTGCTTGTTGGGACGCACTGAGGTAGTTGGCCTTTAGATGGAACTGGTCGATGAATGATTGTTCTGCAACGGTACTCGCGATAAGGCCGGAATCGAGACCTGTTCTAGGGAGTTAGTGAGCCCCGATGCAGGCGAAGGGGAGGGGCAACCGACCCCTGGCAGCGCCGGAGAACCCGAAACATAGCGCAGCACAGAGAAGCCTGAACGTGAGCTTCTTCAACAAGAGGCGACGCTGGTTCAGGCCTTGCATTTTGGAAGGGAAAGTGAGGATTAGGGTTCAGTGATAAGCATTGAGGGTAAGATGATTGGGAAGCATGTTTGTGTGAGATGGAGGAACCAGGCTTCCTTATCTACGCGATTTCGAAGGCTTCCTTTGCCCACTCCGGGTGAAAGAGTGAGAATTTCCCTGTTAAAACCCACCGAGTCAGGGAATGGGGGACCTCCCTAGTCCGCCCATAGTAGTAGTGCGCCCAGTGGAGCCTGCAAGCCGAAGCGAGTGGAAGGCCGTTCAGCCTTACCCGCTCCCTAACAGCCAGGCATCCCCACCTCTTCTCCTCTTTCACTTCCACTTGCTCTCTCTGATTGACCACTGTGCGTGTGTGTGCTGGGGCGTGTGCAACTGGAAGCTTTTCTAGCACCCTGCAGGCTGGATCTCTGCCAATGGGGACAGATGCATTACCCATCCCGTGGACCAGCCGAGTCTCACCCACCTGGAATGATGGGCTTTCGGTTGAGCACCTCGTTGCGGTCTATCCTTTCAGGGGTCGGAGTTCGGAATTGAAGAAGAAAAAGAAATTTATCATCAACCCTGCCATACTTTTCCAATCTTCCTTTTCCGTTGTGTTCAACACTGTGACATCCATTGACTATCCTGTGTCCATAGCTCACATGCTGAAATGGTCGCATTAGTCTACGAGGTTGCCACCAGCGTCAGATTTTCCCACGGAGCGGGGCATTTCTGTTTCTCCAAGGAATGAAAGGCTTACAAGAATTCTGACAGGCAACAGCGCATACCACGTGTCCACAACAGCTTTTCACTTGCGATACTCCATGATAATTACAGAGACGAGTCAGAAAGAAAAGCCAAACCAAAATGGAAAAAGAGTTGACTTCAAGGCCTCTACGGAGTAGGATATTCTACAACACACCAGCAAATCACCTCGTGAGATCCGCGGAACCATCCTACGACAATGGAAACATATATTGGCACAACTCGGATGGCCAGGAAGTGCGATAATCACCTAAAAACCGGCGAGAAAACTGGTCTGAGCACACAAATATGCGATCGGATCTATTCTATGGAAAAGTTAGATCCTCCGAGGCGAGGCTTGCAGTATATCGTGACCAACCTTTCTTGCGCAGCGCTTCAGACATGGCATCCACAAACTTCCATGCATGAAGGGGTCCCATTACGAAAACTCTGGTCATACTCCTCGGGAATTCGGGGATATTGATACAAGAGTCATTCGGGCAGTCTGATTACGCATATACTAAATGTACGCATAGCTCAAGTTACACAACTCTGCTCCACCTGTACTTCGACTGCACTGATGACGACTTCCTCAAGTTCCCCATTGATGCTGGAAACTCGCACTTCATGCAAGTGGGACACAGCATATATTCGGATGAAAGATTCAAAAGGGATCTTCTCATTCGTAGCGACTGTTGTTCAGCAAAGATCTGTCCAATGTGTTGACCGAACAATTGCACCCTCTTCGCATCCAACTAGAGCACCTAGCTCTACCTGCATTCAGAGCTGTCTGATGAACAACAGAAGTGGCAATGTGATGAATGGCATATTTCCTCCGTATCACACCACTGCTTGTTATGCTTTACAACACACACATCAGGTTCGCAATCCGAACGTGAGAGTTCGCCCATAGAGCAAATCAGATCACCTTCCTAGGATAACCGGTTCTATCTTACGTGCCAAGCAGCAAATCCTGCCACAATTCAGACCCAAGGAACCAGGTACTAGTCTGCTCCCGATATGTAAATGCAGGCCCACAGGTCCATGTGCTTGGTAGGAGGGGCTCTTACTTTGAGGTGCACATGCCAAGCAGTGACAACCATGCATTCTGGCACGTTGACATGGATAGGTCACATTTCGTCCGCCGCGCCAATCGCGCCCGAATGAACACGGGCTGTTGCTCCTACCTGTCAGGAGTAGGTTATGCACTTGGCTCAACATCTTTCATTGTCGGCTATTTACAACTTTTCATGAAGGCCTGAAAGATAAACGTGTCTCGATAGGCGCTGATAGTACAGGTCAAATCTGAGCCACGCGCACGCGTAGTGGCTTCATTTCACTGGGTAGTCGACCGGAACTGCTCCGGGGTATCGCCCTGGTTTTTCCCATCTCCAGCCTTGAACGCCTCTAATTCTTTCAGCGAGTTATAGACCCTCTGGACATTGGGCACAAAGTCTAAGGTCATCTTGTACATCAATGCCTGATCAACCGCGGGGACCAACACAACATCGGCCATAGTCACTTGCTCGCCAAAAGAATACTTGCTTGAAGGAGAAATCAAGGCTTCGTATGCCTCGAATCCATCCGTAAAGGCCTGCCTGACAAATGCAACCTGATCCTGCACATTATCCTGGACGGCCCTGACGCGTTTAGCAATGCGAGAGTTTGTGGGTGGCTGTACATCGATCGCAATAATGTTGACCAGGTCGCGGACCTTGATGCGATCCTGCCAGGCAGAGACAGATGGCAGCAAAGGGCTTCGGTCCGGGAATCGCTCGTCGAAATACTCTAGAATCGTCATGGATTGCCGGATGATGGTCTTCTCGCCGCCAGGGTGGTGCACAACCAATGTCGGAATACTAGCACTTGGATTCAGCTCATCCTTGTACTTCTGATCGTGGTGTGCTCTTGTACCCATATCGAGGTACTTGAATTGGAGCGGGATGCCCTTGAGGTGAGCAGCGATTATGATCCGCTGGCAGCATGATGAGCACCAATAGGTGTACAGCTCGAAGGTATCTTGGCTCTTCATAGCCTTAGATCAAGCTGTTGACTTTGTGCAATAGATCGGAGATGGTATGGGTAACTTTGAGAATACAGCACAGCAGGCCGATGGTGTGGGGAAGAGAATAGCTATGGGAAGGGAACATTCAAAACTAGCATCAGGATCCTGACAGATGTCCTCATCGGGCAGTGTCTAGCCGAGGTTGTTCTAAAGGATCGGAAAGGGAGCTCGCGTAAGCTCTAAGCTCCTACTAACCCGATCGTGATAGTTAGTGTCATGTCTCTCACATTCCGTTGGTATGTTCGAGGAGCAACGGATCTAAATATACGCAGTTGGGGTGGGGATGGTGACTAGGAACTCTGATGGCTCCTAATAAACTACCCACGTTGGCTACTAGAAAAGGATTTCAGGCGCAAACCCCATATAGAGACCACTTAACCCACCAAGAAGTGGTATCGTCTATCTATCCCGGTGCGCCTAGATAGTATATCCTAGGAGAGTCGCTTCGATACCTGATAGAAGCATTCTCCACTCTACCACAAGCCAATTCCTGCCGTAGCAAAAGTTTATCACGTCGACTATGGGGTCTGTAATGATCAATTACCCTGAAGCTCCCATACGTCTCTATTTAGTGTTTGCTTAGTTGTCCAAGCACATGCCGGGTCTATGCCACGGATGCTTATCGGTCCCTCGGGCAATTTACACAAGTTGACGGGGAGACATGATAGGGCTTCTAAGTACTGGCACTGGGATACAATATACCATTGACTTTACTTGCAAAACAACCACAACAATTCTCTCACTCAACAAGGGACGCCAGCGGCTAGTATGTGTGATGGGCTGATGGGCAACTGGTCACAACTCCACCGGGCAGTTCAGCGCTTTAGTGATTAACAAAGGCGGCTTGGCAGAGCGACCTGACCTGTCTCATAATTCAAGTGCCCCTAATCCCCCCCTCCTCCCTGTGGTGTTGAGTGCCACCATTATTCCCACTATTCTCTCATGATTGCACCCTCAATTAGTGTACTGAAGTGATCGTGTCTCTGGAAAGGGAATGAGAAAAGTTCGTATCCAGTTTTGCACAGAAGTTTACTGTTCTAATACGATCATGCAGGATGTCCTTGACTCCAGCTGCTGGCATCATAACGGCACGATGCATGGACTATGATGATGTCGCATGGGCTAGGTGTGATGAAGTATTTGAGCCTTGGAAAAGCCGGCTGTTTGAACGTGAAGTTCTCCGAGAAATAGGGCGATTCATCGACGAGCATAGGGGAGGGGTTCCTGACGAGCTTTTTGCTCCCAAGCGGGGAGCGTTCAATGCTTGGCTTCGGATGCTATTCCACGATGGAGGCTCTGCTGTCATCCGATTTCCTTGCCCTGGCGCTTCGATGTTCCCGGAAGAGAAAGTCAAGCGCGAAGTTGCAGTGATGCAGTTCTTGGAATACTTTACCAATCTGCGTGTACCTCACATTCTTCATTACGGAATGTCAGAGGAGAGCCCCAAGGGCTTTGGGCCATTTATCATCATGGAGTACATCAGCAACGACGGCGATTTCATCGATGCACTTAACATACCTGGCCGCTCGCGTGATGACAGGCCGATCTTAGACCCGAACGTCTCACAGGAAAGACTGGAAACTGTCTACAGCCAAATGGCAGATATCATGCTTCAGGTGTCGAAACATTCATTTAACGAGATTGGCTGCATCGGCAAAGCTAATGAAGAGGACGAATTCGATGATAACTGGATTGTCAAGCACCGTCCACTCACTTTCAACATGAACGAACTCGTTCAACTAGGTGGAGTTCCGCCTGAATTACTTCCCCAGAACACATTCAAAACAGCCTCATCCTATTACCAGGCACTGGCGGAGATGCACATGATCCATCTGTCATCTCAACGAAATGATGCTATCGATTCTGCGGAAGACTGCCGACACAAGTATATCGCAAGATGTCTGTTCCGCAAAATTACCCGGGAACATCAGCTTTGCGACGATGAATCTGGCCCATTCAAGCTCTTCTGTGACGACCTCCGACCTGGCAACGTTCTCGCGAACGACCAATACATGATGACTGGAGTGATTGATTGGGAATTTACTTACGCGGCTCCTACTGGATTTGCCTACAGCCCTCCCTTCTGGTTGCTGCTTGAGCTTCCAGAATTCTGGGAGCAGGGCTTGGATGATTGGACGGTGAAATATGAGAAGGCTCTGTCGACATTCCTGAAAGTGCTCAAGGACCAAGAGCAAACAGCCATTGACCGAGAAACTCTGAAAGAGGCTGATCGGTTATCGGAAAATATGTTGAAAAGCTGGCAAAGCGGTGACTTTTGGCTCAACTACGCTGCGAGAAAGAGCTGGGCATTTGACATGATATACTGGGCCAAGATTGATCGGCGGTTCTTTGGTGATGGAGATCTCAGCGATCGGATTAAGCTTTTGACTCCCGATGAAAGAGAAGAGATGGAGGGTTTCGTCCAGATGAAATTAAAGGCCAAGGAGGAAGACGGCTTGGCTGACTAGGACGATGGTCTATTTGCGGTCCGCGCCTGTATACCAGCAGACCTCCTAGAAATATATTTGGTGACACCGAGATATAGAACCACGCGAGCAGCTCGAGGTGGTCATTATCCTATCTGGAATTCATATATCAATGTGAACACTAGTACTCGCAGTCACCATGACTCTTCATTGCATGCCTACAATAATCCAATGTCAATATGCTATCAAGTAAATTCCTAGAGATGGTTCGACCGAAGCATCTAATTTGTGAAGTCATGGAAATAAACAGATGAATAGAAAAGGTAAAGAAATGCGTCTATAATCTTCGCATATCGCTGCACTATTTAGTCTAGTATTCCAGATCTTGTTGGTGACCTTGAATATCTCATTTAATACTCAAAGATAGGTCATATCGACGCTTTCCCTGACCCCTTTGGACATGGCGGGAATCCCTCATAAACAGCTAGTCACAGTACGAGAGCGGTTGGAGTTAATGGACGTTTCAGGCTGAAAAGCACCTCTTCTACTCGAATTAGAGAGCCCTATCCCCTCTTTGAATCTGACATGGCGTTAGCTGACGGCGTGACCCCAGGCTCGACGCGGAGATAACGGACGGACTTAGGGTGCTATACGGACCATAGGGGTTCTCGACCAAAGCATCTTTTATATTCAGCCAGTCATTGCAAGCTGACCAATGCATGTAAGACAAGTAATCCGTATAAATGGGCACTGCTATACGCATCGTTCTCACAAGCTATAATATACTACCGCTAGTCCATCATCTTCACGGATACCAAACCCACCACCCACACCATGCCCCCCACGATCGTCCTCATCACCGGCGCCAACCGTGGCATCGGAAAGGGCATCTTAAAGCTCTACCTGCAGAAGCCCAATCACACTGTCATCGCAGCAACCCGAGACCCAACCCATCCGATCTCCACAGCTCTGACGGATCTCCCCACAGCAGAGGGTACCACATTACTGATCATCAAGAACGAATCGACCTCACCGACTGATGCAGCAGCTGCGGTACAAGAGCTTGCGTCCCGGGGCATCTCTCACATTGACATCGTGGTCGCTAATGCTGCTATCGCGCTTGGCTGGCCTAAGGTCTCGGATGTGACCGTTGAGGAGATTCAGAGGCATGTTGAAGTTAATGTTCATGGGTTCATCCGCCTCTGGCAAGCTTTGTGACCGCTGCTTAGGGAGGCGGAGGATGCGACATGGGTGACGATTGGGTCGAGTGTGGGGTTTTTGACGGTGAGTTTTTGGCTTTAATAGGAGGTATCCTGCTGACTTGGATATAGTGAGTTGAATAAGTTCTTGGATTGAAACGCGACTAGGACGGTACTTAGATTACACTGAACTGATGCTAATCTTCATCTAGGAACTTCATCCCTCTCCAGAGTGCTTCGTACGCTCCTACGAAAGCAATCCAATACTGGTTCACTAAGGCTATCTCGAGTGAGGATCCTTGGATCACCGCATTTGTAGTTGATCCTGGGTGAGTTTCATCTATCTGGAGTATTGATGCTGTGGCTGAAGACTAATGCTTTTTGGATGGCTTAGCTGGGTGCGGACCGATATTGGCGAGCGAGGAGCCGAATGGTTTGGAACGGAACTGACGTAGGCTCTTACAGTGGAAGAAAGTGCTACGGGGGTGGTTACTGTGATTGATGCTTCGACGCGAGAGACGCATAGTGGAAGGCCGTTTAATTATGATGGTGATGAATTGTCGTGGTGATGGGTATAGTGGCTGCCATAGATGGTTAGGAGCTTGGGTAGTATGGGGGTTCAGACAGTTGTTAATTTAGGTTTAGATAATGTGTAAATGCTGTTTCTTCTTGCAGAGATTGAAATAATTTCCTGTAGCTGATAAGGTTGATCTCTGGACTTTAGCCTTTAGCTTCACGTGCAGCGTTGTCACTGCTCAGTGTGGAAACTGATCAACAATCTATGGTTAAGCTTTGTATACCCGAGCTGCATACTATGCATGATTCAGATACATGCCGCCCGATCAAATCATGCAATCATACTTGCTGAGCACATTAATACCACAGAGAATGAGGACTATTCTGGTGCAAATTCCAAGAATCTGACTGGCGATTATTTCATTGCTCTTGTCAACTAATAAAGTTGTGAGAGATCCATTACAGACTGCGAGCACTTATATCTTTCTGTACCTTCCAAACAGCTACGTGAAGCATCAACAAAACCATCCTCCCTGTTAAGTCGAGTCTCTGCGCGCCAAGAACAGACATCAATATCAACGTAACATGCACATAACAAGCCTTCTCCTACGGGCACAAGATAAGATAATATTATCAATCTAGCTTGGCGTCGAGACTACCCACAATCAACATGTAACTCCAAGCTTGGCCTGCTCCAGGTACAGTGCGAGCACGGCACCCCTACGTAAGCCTCCCGCCCGAACGGTCACACTGAATCCGGACCTCCGCTCGTCCAACCCGCCAAGACCACGCCAAGAACCTCTCCTACGCAAGACTTGGTCCACCGCTCGCTTATGTCTTGGCTGTAGGGTCACGGGTGAGTCATGCGTTATCAATCTCGGAGAAGTGTGCGTGTGGATACACTGGACCTAGGAAGGAATTTAGGCAGCCATATACATATTACATAGTGCAATTGTTGGGGGGGAAGGGGGTAGGGAGCCCTGGGTGAGTGCCACTCCCTCGCTACCCTTGTTTCCAGGACCGAGCGGACGCCCAAGGACTGGGTGTCGGGTGAAGGTGTAGGCAGTGGGTTCTCGTGTTATGATCTGGTAATGTGCGAAACCACATCAGATAAGATACGGCAAATAAGGTTTAGCGGCACCCGCCAAGTCCTTTCCGGGCCAGAACTAGTCCGCCTTGGGGGCTTTTCCGTCCCCTCGCCAACAGCTCAGCGAGAGGGAACTTTTCTCTTCCGTAATATCACCGGTCTCAGCCGGGGTCTAAGCAGACTACTTTGAATTTGTTCCTCGGGTGTGTTGCTGACTTTGCTGAGAATGAATCGGATATCGGATTAGCTGAAGAGCTGCATCTTACGTGAATCTGCTCGAGCTCTCATCCCCATCGCGACACTCCTCGTGCCACTCGTGGGTCTCGATGTTGTCACGGCCCGCTTGTCGCCGCCACTAGCGACGGTAAAGAGGGCATTTCAATGCCTGGAATAGACGTTCGGGTCCCCTCGGGTCCCGGGACTGAGCACAACAGACCACTTGGGCTAGTGGAACGGTGGGGGCGAGAAGTGGTCACGGTGCAATGAGGGCCCCGGAAACAAATTAAGGGCAGGCTCTGGGAGTGGGGATGCACGACACACCAGACCCTTGCATCGACCATCAGCGACTACTTCATGAAATCATCGTGAGGTCTTTCGAGGGCGCGAGATGGATGGGATTGTGGCGAACTGTCGATTCACACCGCGGATTCTCGAGGGTGTCTGCGCGATGGAGAGGATTCGCAATTTGACGATGCTAACATGCCTTGATTGTCTGATTGCTTGCTGGTAGCTTGCCAAGAGGACAAGACTGGCTAGAGTTCCACTACTGTAGGCCCGAACCAGCACCCACAGCGCAAATTCCTTTCGTGTCTGTCGCCCGGAAAATATCTAACCACCGCGGAGTATTGGCAGGGTGAGGGGCGCGTGGGAGGCGAAGATGTGGTCCCATCGGAGCATACATAATACTTCGATCGCCCGCATGTCGTCTGTTTCTGATTCTGCTTTTCTTTGGTGGTATTGCACGTGAACGTGTTGTTTGCTCTCATCAACATGGCCATCGACCACTTGAAGGAACCTGCGGTCTCTGGGGTCAACGAGGATCCTGTCACTCTGGATCCCGAGGCTTCTCAGACACCGGTGGAGGATCAAGATCAGCAGGATGGTGTTCGTGTCGCAGAAGCAGTCACTGCTACTTGGGATAAGAAATCCCTCATCATCACCTATGCCTCGTGAGTGCTACCTCTTGGTCTCCAACGCTGCGGCTAAGAATGTATAAGTATGTGGTTGTTGTACTTTGTCAATGGATTGAACAGCAGCTTGACCGCGAACCTGTCTGCGTACATCACGAGTGACTTTTCGGAGCACTCATTGCTTACCGTGATCACGGTTATTACCAGTGTCATGGGTGCTGCATGTCTGATGCCTATTGCCAAGGTGTTGAACCTGTGGGATCGTACCTTGGGTGTCTGCATCATGGTACTGATTGCCATCATGGGCCTGATTATGATGGCTGCGTGTAATAACATCGCAACCTACTGTGCTGCTCAAGTAAGTTTTCTAATTCTTAAGCATATGGTCGAGATACTCATTTTTAGGCATTCTACACTGTCGGTTTCACCGGTGTGATTTTCTGTGTCGATGTGATGACCTCCGATACTTCGTCGCTGCGCAATCGAGGCATTGCCTACGCCTTCACTTCCTCACCGTACATTATCACCGCATTTGCCGGCTCGCCCCTGTCGAACCAATTCCACGAGACCAACTGGCGCTGGGCGTATGGAACCATCTGCATCATCCTCCCCATCGTCGCGCTCCCACTGATCGTTACCTGGGAATTGGCAAAGCGCAAGGCGGACCAGGAGGGCCGACTGCAATACAAGCCACGAAGCACTCGGACCTGGTGGCAGAGCACTTGGTTCTACATCATCGAGTTTGATGGTGAGCTCCTCCTCCCGTTCACTTCGCAAAGCCTCACTAACCATACTTCATCCGTAGTCATCGGCATTCTCCTTATGATTGGCGGCCTGATCCTCTTCCTCACTTCGTTCAACATTGCCGGAAACACCGAAGGCGAATGGGCCTCGGCAAAGATCATTGCCATGATGGTAGTTGGCTTTGTCGTTCTCGTCGCCTTTGTCGCCTACGAGCGGTGGGGAGCGCCCAAGCCCTTCATCCCATACCATCTGATCACCAACCGCACCGTGATCGGTGCGTGCCTGCTGGACATCACTTACCAGATCTCCTACTATTGCTGGGCCAGCTACTTCACCTCCTTCCTGCAGGTGGTCTACAACACCAGCCTGACCCAAGCGGGTTACATCAGCGCCATCTTTGACCTCATGGACCCCATCTGGCTCATCGGATGTGGCTACCTCATCCGCGTTACTGGCCGCTTCAAGTGGCTGCTCATGTGGGCCGTTCCGCTCTACCTCCTGGCCAGCGGATTGATGATCTACTTCCGCCAGCCCGGTCATAACGTGGGATACATGTGCATGTGTCAGATCTTCCTGGCCGTGGGCGGTGGCACTTTGATCCTCATCGAGCAGGTCTCTGTGCTGGCTGCCTCCAGGCACGAGGACTACGCCGCCATGCTAGCCTTGCTCAGCACCTTTGGTAACCTGGGTGGTGCCGTCGGGGCCAGTGTTTCGGGCGCCATTTGGACCAACACGCTTCCCCAGAAATTGCGTGAATACCTGCCGGATGAGACGAAGGATCAGTGGGCGGATATCTACGAGTCTCTGGATATTCAACTGAGTTACCCTGTGGGATCTGCCACGCGCATCGCCATTCAAAAGGCCTATGCGTATAGTCAGCGCAACATGATGATTGCCGGAACGGCCGTGATGGTCCTCTCGATTGCCTGGGTCTTGATGATGAAGAACATCAAGATCAAGGACAACAAGAATGTCTCGCAGGTTCTGTTCTAGATTGGCCAAGCTCCATGATTGTTGGATTACTCGTTCTTCATCCGGCTGGTATCTCATTTCGCGTGTCATTAACCACTGGCCTTGATTAGAGTGATAAACACCATTACTGTTATATTTAATTAATTGATTGATATTCTGACGCTTCTTTGTCTTGGGGCGATGCCATGCTGTATACATGATATTATTGAAGTGTTTGTGGTTACGAATTTCAGCACCCCTGAGGCAACCAAGAGAGAAAAGAATAACAACACCAGACTTATCAGTAGCTCACCGAAAATAGCACCATGGAGCAAATCTCAGCTCCGCAGTATGCCATTGGCCCCAGAGCCGACTATTTGTCCAATTCGCTTTATATTGCTGGTTCGAACAGCAAGCGGGTCTGGCAGCTAGCGGGAGGAGGGTGGCGTGCTGGCTCTCGACACCATTGGCAAGGAACAGTTATTTAGGTTAGTATAGCCAACTTTTCTCCTTGCTCGATCTTCGGATATGCCGATGATTTGACCGGCCTGTCTTTGATGACGGGCATCGGTCGGCTGCGTCTACTGCTTCTGCCCTCGTGTCTCAGCCTCCCGATCCGCTTTCACGGCCACCTGGGATTTTCCCACCGCATCTCCTTTCAACCACCAGTGAGGGGACTGCAATTCGTGCCTGATCGCTAACCATGTGGTGTTCCTGGTCAGGGAGATCCCGTCAGATCCTCATCCTCCAGTCTCGGGATTTCCAGCCGACCTTGAATCCGATGGACTTGTCCAGAAACAGACCCCATCTCCCCGATGGATATAAAGCATCATCTCAGCCCACTCCTGGCTGAGGCATAAGTACGGAGCGCCCCTTCCCTTTTCCCCTGGTTTCGCGACCCATGGTGCGACCGCTCACCCCAGTCTGTCATTAACGTCCCCCATCATGGCCTCTCCAATGGCCAAGTCACTCGTTCTCTTAACAGCTCTGGCACACCCTGCCTTTGCCCTGACCATCGCAGACGTGCCAACAACAACCTCATCCGCCTGTACAGTCCAAACATCAGCCTCCGCCGCCTGCACCCCCGGGTACTACCTCTACGATGGCTACTACTACGAAGAATACTGCGCCAACGATCTCAGCGGCGGCACATATACCAGCTCGGAGGGATATTCGCTGCGTGCGTGCATGGGCGGCTGTTCCGTGACATCGGGATGTACGGGCGTCACCTACGATAGTTCCTCCCATACCTGCCGGTTGTATAAAGGTGCCGTGACAGTCGTGTCTGGTTCCCTTCAGGTAGCTCCACGGTTCGCGTCGAATCCCTGTGCGCCTTCGACTTCCACGATCACGGTGTCGGCTACCACGGCGGTCACGGAAGCTTGCACTGCGGGTCCGGCGACTTTGACTGTGGCGAAGCGGGATCTCTATCTGTATGAGTCGCTGAAGCCGAGGGTTATTGGTCTTCATGAAAGAGATGAAGTCACGGTTACGGTGGAGGTCACTACGACGGATTGTACCACGAGTACGCCGACTCCGACGTCGAGTTCCACTCCGGTGGTGGTGTCGACGGCTGTTCTGGCTACTCTGACTCCTAGTTCGGCTGCTTCTCACTCGGTGACGCCTTCTAGCAGCGTTCAACCTAGCAGAGTTGAGTCCAGCAGCTTTGTTCAATCAAGCAGTCTTGCTACTTCCAGTCATTCTGCGTCGCGCAGCCCTAGTGCTTCGAAAAGCCCGGTATCCTCCAGTCCGCTCGTCTCTAGCAGTTCCCTTGTTTCCAGCAGCGCTGTTTCTATCATTCCTTCAAGCAAGTCGCTACAACCGAGCAGCGCCCCTCCTAGCAGCTCGATTCACTCCAGCAGCCCCATTCCTTCGAACAGAGTCAAGCCTTCTAACGGGGCCACTCCTTCCAGCAAACCGGCCCAGCCCAGCCGTATCTTGAGTGTTCTGCCGAGCGATTCTCCTTCCCACGCAAGTGCCCCTAATGGTGCGGAAGGGACATCAACAGTTGTACCGCCTGCGGTTGTTACGGGATCGTTAGCATCGGAAGGAACCGGCCCTGCAGCATCGCCCACAATCGGCTCTGTGATCGGCCAGCATGGATCCAAGCCTTCTGTCACATCCACTAAGATCATTACCGTCACATTGACAGAGACCTACATTGCGCCTTGTTCTACTGGCTTGAGAACATCTACCACTAGCCCACATGGTGCTTCCGGGGGAGTATCCGGATCGTATCAGGGTGGACATGGCTCACGACCGGAGACAGCTACTTCGACTAGCGTACCTCAGGGAGTCTCTGGTAGCGGTGATTCCCAGGATACGCATGGCTCACAGCCCAAAGCCTCTGCAACTGGCTCGCCACAGGGAGATTCAAGCAGACCAAGTGGCTCTCTGGGTGAGCATGGCTCCCAGCCAGAACCATCTACAACTGGCCTGTCACAGGGAACCGGAGCTTCTGGATCCTCTCTTACATCTGGCGCACAGCCTGACGTAGCCGAAACTGGCTCGCCACAGGGAGGTTCGGGCGGACTTGGTGACTCTCAGGGTGAACATGGCTCGAAACCTGTAACTACCACAACTAGCTCATCCCTGGGTAGTTCTGGCAGAGTATCTAGCTCAGTGGGCGATTCCGGTTCACAACCTGAGATATCTGCAGGCACGCAGTCCGGAGCGCCCACAACTACTAGCTCGGCCCAGGGAGATTCAGATCGGGTTTCTGGCTCTTCTGCAAGTGAACATGACTCGCAGCCCGAGACTTTTGCAACTGGCTCCCCGCTGAGTGGTTCGGGAGGAGTGTCTGGTTCTTCGGGACATGGCTCACAACCCCAGGCATCAACTGGTAGCTCAGCAAATGGCTATGGGAATTCTTCAGAGGCAACCGATGCCCACTCTCTGGGCTCAACTGGCGCACAGCAAGGTTACTCGGCACAGTCCGGCTCAGCAATCACTAGCTCATCAGAAATTTACTCCATTGTGACTAGCGATGCTCAGCCTTATACCCAGGCGGGCGGTTTGTCACCAACATCAGTTTCTGATACTGGATCCCAGGCACAGCAAAACAGTGGTACTTCAGATCACTCGGAGCCTGCAGCAGTCTCTACACAGACAATTGAACAATCTTCTACTGTTACTATTACTCTCCGTCCGGTGATGGCTCCAACCACGGTGCCTTCCCCTATTTTCAACGGTGGCAGCGGCAGCGGCAGCTACCAGCAAGGATATGCGTCCGGAAACCAGACATCCGGGTCCACATTGATTCCCTCGGCGAACAGCCATTCGTACAAGAGCGCATCGCCGTTGGAGTCCTCCAGTGGAATTGCCAGTGCGACACACACGGCGGCAACGCCGCTCTTTACCGGTGCTGCATCTAGGTCATCCAGAGGAATGTCTGGATTATTGGCTGTTCTGGGGGGTGCTTGGCTGCTGCTATGAGCTGATGATGCCTATCAATTACTCACTCTTTACCTTCAGTTCTGGGATATGTTTTACGATGATAATGAGGCGGCAGAGACCCTCTATCGAAACCCGGCCATGCTACGGCCATTTTAGAATCACCCAGGGATTTGTCCACTGTCATATACTATCTTTAATAAACAGAGCGGTTTAGATCTGCATATTGCTTGTTTGTGGGCGCATAAGCGCCGCTTTAGCCTCACGGCCTGTGTAATTACATGTCATTAATTCAGAGGTATCGACCCCATCGGATTGTGGCAGAAACGGACATTTAGACGAAGTCCGGGCCGGAGGATATCATTATAAGGAGAGCGGCGCTGAAAAATGCGCGAAATTAGGTTTAATTACGGCTGCAAGGGCCCAATGGTCCCTTGGTTCCAGCACGGACTAGAGAGTGGATGGAATCGCTAGTCAGGAACGAACCACTGGAGGTCGGCAACTGCTGCCCGAATGTGCTGGCATCCATCAACAGGATCAGGGGCTCGGGTCAACACTCCGCAGTCACCCGCCAGCTCACCACCGGTTCTCCCTCGACCTCACCCCCCCGACTATCGATGATAAATTGCAAATCGCTCGAGTTTCAGGATGTCTTCAAAACGAGACCTTGCAGTCGGGGGCGCGCGAGGGGTCCAGCGCGTCTGGTGAGTGAAACCCGAGATCAGCTCCGTCGTGACCACCACGGCTTCACGACACATCCCAACGATGGTGGACTCGGGGAGGATTTCTTCAGGTGACTCCGCTGACCAATGCGATAGTCAGGTACCGAAGCCAAAGCGAACCAGCCCTGCTCACCCCCGCCTCGGCGGGTCGTAGTGAGTTCACTAGACCAGGGTGTATCGGCGATCCTGACTCGAAAAGGAGTCCGTCAGGCACACCGCGCAGCTTTGATGCGCTGGCGACGAACGTGGCCGGCGGATTTGTTTGCGGACTGGCGGCGTGTCGACGTGAACAATGCCCGGACACATTCCCAATGCAGCGCCCCTTAGCATTCGGCCCTCGTGTTGAGGATCGGGCTCCTATTTAGTCGGGTCCCCGCGGTCAGCTCCTGTCCCCCCTGCGGCGCGTCTTCAGACATTGCATCGTTTCACAATCCTTTGTCTCGAGCCCTGCTCCCACGCTCTTTCGCCGACTTTCTCGACGCTCACTCTTTTGCGTCTGTCACTCGTTTGACCATATACAAATTGCATCTTGCCAGAATTTCTCTGAAAATCCACCATGAAGTTCAGCACTGTCATCTCCTCCATCATCTGCCTGGCAGGTTCCCAGCTCGTCGCTGCGGATATCAACACCACCAGCACCTCCACGGTGACCACCTACATCACCCAGACCCTAGTCCACGTCGACACCGTGACTCCCACCAGCAGCGTGGCATCGACCTCGGTGCCCGTCATCCCGGCCAGCCATGCTATTTCGAGCAGTATCCGGGTTGCCAGTTCTAGCTCTGTCGCTGCCAGCTCCTCTGCTCCGGCATCGGTGACCGTGAGCTCCAGCATCTCCAGCGCCACCGCTGACTCCGCGTCTTCCACCCCCGCCGTGAGCCACTCCGGCGCCGGCAACATGAACGCTCAGATGCCCATCGCGCTCATCGCCGGCTCTCTGGCTCTGATCGTTGGGGCTCTCTAGCCTCTTACCACACCGCCAGCTGCCAATCAATCCTCTTCACGCGCAGGATCCTTGAGAGGACACCCACTATTTTCATTACCTTCACATACTTTATCTCTGCTTCTCCCGCCTATATTAATTCTTTTCGCCATGGTTGCGGCCATGGACGAGTGCTTATGGTTTTTATCATATACCCATACCATACCATACCCTTATGATGTTTCAGATTTGATGAGTTGATGTTTGGGGGAACCTTACAATATTTCGATTTGATTTTCGCTAGGGTTCGGCCGTGCGTGGTGAAGCTGTGCATAGTGTTGTATAGGGTCGACCCATTATTGAAAACAGTGGTTTGCTCATTGCAGCTAATTGTGCAGGTGGTTTGCAGAGAAGGAAGTATGTGCAATCCGCGTAGGGGTAGCACTGATCTGGATAAGAGTAACCACAGAACTCTGGCATCTCGGTTATTACCTCTATCAAACAAGTATACCCTTAACCACCACAACCCAAATCCCCTCCCCTCTACCCCCCCCAACCCCAACAAACCCCCTATTCCTATCCCAACCCCCTATCCCTACACCGTAGCCTCCGGCCCACACCCCCAACTACACCCAACCCTCCGAAACGGCAACGGACGCAACCTCTCCCCCGAGCCCCTCGGTCCCTTCAACCCATTCTCATACGTACTACAATCCCACCACTCAATCCACTCCATCCGCGCCATGACAAACGCCCGATGACACACCGAGCACGACCGGCCGCCCGCACTGCGCACCTCTTTAGCCGTCCGGAGTAACCGGCCCATGAGCGCGGGGAAGGTATCTATTTCTTCGGAGGAGAGGAGATCGGGGTAAGGGGAGCGGCTGAATGAGAGGAGGGAGAGTTCGCGGAGGGATGGGACGCGGGTGGTTTCTTGTTTGGGGGTTGGGGATGAGGATGAGGATGAAGGTGAGAATGAGGTTGGTTGGGGATCGAGGGGCACGCCCTCGGCGTTGTAGCGTGTCACTGGGCCCGTGGCGACGTGGATTGGGGCCCAGGATTCTTCTGGTGGGGGTGTGTCGTATGTACAGGAGTTCAGGTTCTCTGGGGAGACATGCCAGGTCGTGATCTCCTGCTCTTCGATCTGGAGGAGCGGATTCGGCCGTACGATGAGATGTTTGAGATCCCCTTTGCGAATCAACCAGAGGAGTTCCCAGGGGAGGGTTTGCAGACGGTTCACGGAGAGGTTAACTTCTTGGAGGAGGGTGAGTTTGCGGATCGCCGGGGGGATGTCGGTGAGTTTGTTGTAGCGGAGACTGAGGACGCGGAGGGCGTCAAGGGTGAAGAGTTCCCCTGGGATGGTGGGGAGGGCGTTGCCCGCCAGGAAGAGTCGGAGGAAGGGTTGTAGCGAGGTGTAGACGTCTTCGCTGATCGGGGGTTCTTTGATGCTGGGGAGTTTGGTTAGGTGTTGGAGGGGGAGGAGGAGGTTCGGGGGGATGCTGCGGAGGTTGTAGCCGCTGGATGGGGTGTTAGTGAGATGTTCCTGGGTTGGATGTAGAGAGTGGGTTGAGAGAGAGAGAAGAGGGAGGGGACAAGGGGGTGGGGGGCTACCTTAAGTCCACGCTATCTTCTCCCCTCTCGAGACAGTCGTTCACGATGGTGCGCGCGATTTGCTGCTCGCGCGGTTCTTCCTCCACCGTCCGTCGGAACACGCCCACGCCTCGCTGTGGTTGTTGCGGTTGTATCTGCATCTGCGTTTGCGCACCCGGCGCATTATCATTCGCATTCGCATTGGCACTGGCACTGGCACTGGCATTCTCTTTCAACAACTCCTCCCCCAACTCCGCATCCGACAACAAAAACCCCGAATCATCACTCCCCATCCACACCCCACTATCCACCAACCGCTTATCCTTGAAATCCGCGCGCTTGCGCTTCGCATCCTTGTCTTTGACCATCTCCCCCCACCAGGTGCCGCGGTACCGACGCTTCCGACTCCCAGCCGGTCCCGGCGCGTGATAATTCTCGAGTCCGGAGGCGGGGATATCATCGCTGGAGAACAACGCCGGGTCACTGGAGGGCGGTTGACTGGACCGGTCATCGAAGTAGCGGTGATGATTGCGTGGCGCGGAAGGGTGTCGCGTGGGTGAGGCGCGGTGACGGATGCGCGGCGGTGGGGGGAGGGGGATTTCGTGGTCCATTGTGTTGGATTAAGGAGTTTGATGCTGACACGAGTTGGAGGAATATTGATGAGATGTTAAGGGGATGCGCTGGGTAGATAACTGGTAGGGTAGGTAGACGGGGTGTCAGTGGGAAAGGGAATCACATCACCATCGGATCATGACGTCCGATGGAATGTCGATCGATTGTCGGATGGAGACTTCCGGATGGACAGATGGATCATGGAACGATTTCAGGGGAATTCTGGCTGGCGATTCGACCTTGTTTATCTCGACGACGCGTCGCGGGTGTTGCGGAGCGGGGCGATTGATAACGGCCGGATTTACGGCTTTATTTCATTCCATCCTTCCATCCTTCACTTGTCGGTGATCGAGACTTGACACGGAATGTCACTCCAGAACACCGACTGAATATCCCTTCTTGGGAATCTGAGTGCCAACAATCAGATTGACCGCAGCCGACACCCTTTTAGAAACAAACGCGACGAAGCTCATGCCGCGACTCCACTCGGGACTTTCAGCGAAATCGTCCAGCGAGCTCAAGCATGCCGACTCTGTGAACTAATTGTCGAGTACCAAGCAGCTGGAAACCTTTGAGGGTCGAATCGTCTTCTGACTTTCTTCAAGCATCCATCTGCTCGGCATAGACATGAGCATTTTATCTACTACCACAGCCTCCAAGCCAGACGTCAATCTGACAGCTAGCCAGACTGCCAACAAGTGGGCAGCTCTGGACTCGCCCTCTGGACGCCCTCGCCAGGCTCGATCACACTAATCTATGATACATCCATCAATCTCATGAGTATAGAGACCAACGCTGTCTAAGCGGTGACTGCTTGCTACTTAGTATTCCATGATACCATGGTTCGACAGTACATTTCCCACAGCGAGACGTCACAGATGAGGTTGGTGAACTCGGTTGTTACCTCCTGATGAAGGTATACTCATTCGAGTGAGTCATTCCTGGATTTCCTCGTTTGCACTCCTCCAGTTTTGTCTTTCGTGCTCACCATACACACTTGTCTGTTCATACCGATACCAACAATCTATCTATTGTCACGCAACTTACGACGGATCTATTGTGCTCGTCCGCTATTGAATATTTTACTACACCGCTAGGATGGCCGCATCACCGTTGGGACAGCTGGGAAAGCTGCCTTATGAAATTCGGTTGGATATCTACGAAAAGCTGCTCGCGATGAAGGACTCCTCAATCGCCATTCTTCATACTTCGCGAGCAATCTATGAGGAAATCTCCGACCGCCTCAACGACACTCTGAGCTTCCATCTATCGCCATTGTTCGATACCCCCTGGATTGAGGTGTACTGCAAGCGACTGCGAGGGCGCTGGTCCATCCCCAACCATTCCCCGGCGTGCCAACAGAGGTTCGCACGGGCCCCATATCACAAAATGCATCTGGTCATCCATCTCTACGCACCCGACCCACGAGACCCAGGCCAAATCGTCCTGCTATGGCAAAAGGCTCAATACCTGGTGGATATGCTCGAGAGTGCCACGATTGCCTCCGTCGTGATCTGCTTGCGAGAACACAAAGGTTGCGACTGGCAAGAGGGTGGCCACCCCCTAGAGAGCATCCCTTATCCCACTCACTCTCATCCCGACCACCACATTGTCTTTCTACCCTTCTGTCGCCTATCCAATGTGTTGACCTTCCGGGTGGTCCCAGATACTCGTCGCATGGACCGAGTCACCGACTGGAGCCTGATCAATTATGGTCGGGACTTTATCCTGAACAATGTATACCAGAACTACAACGATGGCCTTCTTAGTCAAGACCGGCAGTACCGAGATATTGTCCGAACGTTCGACGATGTGGACGCTCGGATCCGAGATACCGACTGCAGACTCCTGCCCGAAGACGCACAGCGCCGGGCGTTCCAGAACAAAGTGAGCGACAATCGAATTGACGCGAGTTTCCAGACAAGCAACGAGCAGATCTCTGTCACCTTCCTTCCTGTTCCTGGTCAAACGCGGATGAAGCACAATGTGTCAGCCCCACCTTATGTGTAGCGGGCACGGGCGCGACTTCCCTTTCAACGAGGGACAACCAGGCCGACGCCCAACGCATATCCCAACGGGGTCTCTTGCCCCATTCTCTGCTTTCTCCTCTGGTAGCTAGCATCAAATATGATTTTGTTTTGACTCATTGTGCGAGCAGTTTCCTAGTATTCTTAGAGCCTCATCGCGAGCACGGCCACTTCAGGGCCTTGAACGCGCCAGTATGCCCCTATGGATGCCCATGGAAAGCCTGCCCCCGCGCCATTGCCCATCGTGGAGTTTGGAAGTCTGCAGGGTGCCCGTCAGTTTCAAGAAATCTACATCCTCGAGAAGAGATAGAATGATATGATATGAGTGTAGAGAAAGGTGGTTGTTGAAAACTGGGGGATCTCGTTCTATGTATCTGGCTGCCAGTCAATGAAGGCTGCCTCTTGTTGAGGGGAATCAAGATATTATAGGATGAAAGTGGAGGGGAGTACTATGGTCGGATCGATTGATAGAGGGGAAAGACTCTCGTTTGCCATTTATCTGTTTGTCGGTCGATCTTGTAGTATGTGACGTATTGACTACTAGAGCTACATCTAGCGTATGGAGGTATGGCATCATGCTCGTGAGGAATAATTGCCGTCATGACTGCGAAGAACATTCAAAAGGGGTGTGGTGCGATATCAGTGGGCTGGCGATTAATGCATTTTGTATTTGGTGTTGCGCGGGCTGGTATGCCACTCGGCACTACGCGAATCATTAATGAATCATCTACAGCGATGCTGTACAGAACTGATATTGAATCGATTCTTGCCCAATGGTCGCTAGTGCTTGCCTTATCAACCATCAAACGCCAAAGCAAGAACGGTCAAAACATCGCTAATGCTGCTCACGAAAAGAACGCTGGAAAGGACGAAACCCCCTCCACTATCACATACATCCAAGGGATACAGGGGCGGTTAATAATATATGTAAGAAACGCACATCACCGGTTGCCTTCCGTCTGAGCCTGATGCCAGATCGTATCGCCACTAAGAGCAGAGTAACTCAAAGCCGCAAAGTTCCTCCAACTCGGCGGCGCCGACGACGCTTGTCCCTCGACGAGGCCCGTTTCGGAGCCAGCATGGCGCTCGAGATCCGACGTTTCGTCCTCGCTCACCCCAGCAATCGGCACCGGCGCCGACGATGAGCTATGAGAATCCGAGTCATGCCGGTATTCATCTTCAATTAGGGGCTCCCCTGACTCGTGAGTCTCGACAGCTTTATTCTGTGACATGGATCGGACCACGTCGCCTTTACAGATTGGACAAGTTCGCCGGCGGGTCGTCAGCCAAGGCGTGCTGGGATGACCGTTAGTTCATACACATCGGGAAGAAGTAACAACCAGTCACTTACATGCACTCCGCATGGAACTCATGGCCACAAGGTAGACTCATCACCCTGCTTTGCCCATCGACATATTCCTCCAGGCACACCACGCACTCGACTTGTCGTCCGGTGTACTTCCGTCGCCATAGCGTCGAGCCAGATTTTTCCTTCTTCGGTGATGACACTTTCGATGCACTCGCCACATCGGTAGTATGTGATTTCTGCTGGGGCCGGGGTTCTAACCGAGCACGTCCCGAACGACTCTTGGCGCCCAATAATGGCGAAGTCGGCGACACCGGACCAGGGCTGACGGATCGCGGAGAGCTGCTCCCGGAGGAAGATGTCGTAATAGTATGGTAGGTTCGTACCGGCAGGCGATCCACGAGAGACTTGGGGGCGCGCCACCGTCTCCGCCGGATACGAGACCGCAGCAACAACAGGACATAGACAACGGTCAATGTGAGTAACGGGCTGACCACCAGGACGAGGAGGGTATCAAAGAAAGGACTGGTCGACATGCTTGTTGGCGTCAATGTGACCCACAAGCCGTCATGTTCTGCTGCATTAACGCCCTGGCGACTCTTAGAAATCGCTTCGTGGAGTTTCTGGTCCTCGGCGGTCTGCCCAAGGACCCGGGGACTTGGGTGGGAATCGGGCTCATCGTCCGTTGCCCAAAGGAAGTGCCGAGCAAACCAGCCGTTCCGCTGAGAAGAGGATTCTTTTCTCACATCCTCAGGCGGAGATTTGCGACCAGAGTCTTCCGTCTTTGACTCCTTCGTGACGCTGGATTTCTCAACGGTACGATATTCCCCGCTCCCCGGAGTGATGCTGCCACCCTTCAGGGTAGCGGGCGTGGGCTGTGACCCCTTGACACTGGTCTGCACTTTGCTACCGTCCGCTTCGGTGGTACTCGTCGGCGACGGAAGGGCGCTGCCCTTCGGAACTACAAGGTCTGGATCTCGCCAGTCTTGCACCCCGATAACGAATCCATCGCCGTCCGTACTGGTCGACTGCGCGCCGGATTTCTTGAGGTCTTCAGCTGCACCGTCAGTTTTGGTTCGGGAGCTTTTGCGCTCCACATCGTCCTGTGACGGCTCCTGGTCGTCCCAGCGATCCAGAAGAATCCAGTCGATGTTTCCGCTGCTTGGCGGACGGCGACTGTCCTCCGGCGGATACCAGGCAGACCCACCATGGTTGCCAAGTCCGAAAAAGGACAGCAGGGAGTGGACGAGCCCAGCCTTTGGTTTCGCAGGAACCGCACTCTCATGAGTCACGGCCTTGTGGCTGGAGGTGGATGACGGAACGATAGATGTAGTCGCTGTGGCGGTGTTGCCGTGACCTGAAATTTTGGTGTGGGGTCCAAATCCATCGTCTGCGCCCGACTCCTCCCCTTGCGGAGGAACCAAGGACGACAGCAGATGTGCCGTGGTATGGGAGGTGAACAAGGCGGGAATTGTCACATTAGAGGTGTCACCCCGTGCATACATGGTGACCAAGCTTCCTCCTCGAGTGTCGTCCCCCACAATCAGAGCGATTCCTCCACGCCGCTGGACCCACTTGACCTTCTCCAGGAAGCCACAGCCGCCCCTACTCAGTAGGACGACTTTGCCGTCGATCTCGGCGCTTTCTTGCAAGGATTGAATATCCGCATGTGCAGCTTGCCGATTAGGATAATGTTCCCCATGCTTTTCCGTGTTCCCTGCGTCGGGAACCTCTGACTCGGGAAGAGGGTGGTGGAGATGGTCATCCGTACCGTCATTTGTCAACGGGGTCGACTTAGTCCTGGGGTCGTGCTGGAGGTCGGCATCCGGCTGGGGATTCGCATGGCGATGGCCCCGGGAGACGGTCGGTTCGTTTCCAGGAGTCGACCCCGACTTCCCAGGTGTGCTATCTGCGCCCGTACCCGGCTTCGGACTATCGCCCTCGCCCCAACCCGGGATATCGGAGCATCCCAACTCCCCTTCTGCTCCAGCCGCCGTCCGTTCCCCAAAGCCGCTGCCGATCCACAGCTGGCCACTCAGTCCCTTGTCTGGAAGCAAAGGGCCAAACGCTGCAGGTCGGGCCAAGAAAAAGGTCGAATTGTCATCGGTCAGGCTGATTATGGCGGAGGGCGGGAAGAGAGATGAGGGGATGTTGAAGGAGAAGAGGGCATGCAGACCCGACGCTCGACCCGCGAGCGAACTGGGAGTGGATACCCGAGGCGAAGATGTGAAGGCCGAGAAGAATGTGAGAAGGATGGGAAGGAAGATGAGGCAGAAAACGACCAGGAGCAAACGCGGCGGTCGCATAGTTGAAGGGCTGTGAGAGATGCAAAAGACAAGTGATCAGGGGACTCAGGGAGATCAACGCTCAAGACTGGGTTTCGTGCAGCAGGCGAGATTCTTAGGACCAATCAGACGGTCGAGGAAGCGCGACAAGACGGACACTCATCGAGAGGGCAGGAGGAGGGTGGAAGCAGGTGCGAAAGGAAACCAGGGAAAGGGAAGGGAAGGGAGGCAATGACGACTAGATGCCACCCAGGAGCGGATGACCGAAGAAAAGGAGCCGCAGGGACATGGACGGAACGGTTAGTATGTAGGGAGCAAGCGAGAAGGGGATGGATGATGGAGACGGCAAAGAATGATCAGCTCACAAGTCAGACACGCAAGCACCGCCTCGAGGGGGGGGGGGAGTGTCACGGGATTCCCTGCCTGAGGCGGGCGGGCGGCCCCCATGGAGGAGGGGATCCTCAGGTTTGTCAGGCAACCGCCAGCCTCTTCCTCCAACTCCCTACGTCACCGACCTGCGCCCGTGCGTCTCTGGCTCGCTACGCTGCGAATCCTCGGGTACTACCAGTGCTTCTATATTGATAATTTGACTGGTGATCCCTGAATAAATGCGAGGCAGAATGAGTCATTTTGTCGTACAAAAGATGCCAAACCACACCTCAGATTAACTGTTAAGGGAATTCATTTAGCCCCAAGGTCTCCAAATAGGAGACCGACCCACTAAAAGATTTGCCGCGCATAGTTGCTCCTGATGCAGTCTAAGCAGCTTTCCATTCATGTCAGCCTGGGACACTATCAAATCAATGAATTTTGGCATCTTTGTGTCCTATTGGTATTCTATGATCGTGAACTCATAGCAATGCACCGATGTCAGCAGGGTATGGCAGCAGACCTATCCTAGTATGATGACCATAGCTGTTATCTCCGTGGCCCACCGTGCGCTAATCCTTATCTCGTCTATTGCTTTAAGCTTCCTCTAGGCTGTCTACAGCACATACCTCGCTAGTCAATCAACAAATTCTGTTCGTTATTCTTCATCTCTCAGTCCTTATCGCTAATCAGCCCATCATTGTTCTACGAGAATCTGCTGAACGATGTACATGCTTAGATGCCAGTGTATGCAGTCATGGAATTGTCAACCTTCTTCCAAAAATCATACTCATTTGGGGAAAGATCAGTAGATGCCAGGATGTTCCACGATGAACTAGACCTCGCCCAATCCAATTCAAGGAATTCCCTGGAAGCAACACTATACCCCGAGGCGCCCCAGTCAATAATGCCGGCTATTTTACCATCCTCCACGATGATGTTTGTAGGATGTAAGTCACCATGAGTGAAGACTTTCCTCTCGTCTTTCCCATGATCTCCAGATGCAAAAATTTCTTCCGCGAGGCAATAATCAGTCTCGCCAACCAGTTGTCCATGAGGTCTCGAATTCCGGAGCGCAGCAACAACGCCTTGATTGAATTCCTGTCGCGTGCGATATGGCCCGTACTGATCACTCTGCTTTCCCCATGGATGCTTGAAGATGATATCGTCACAAGGCCCTCCATCGACAGCGCCAAAGAAATCACCCTGGATCTCCCGCCATTCAGACATATAGACGCGAAGTTGCTTCATGATGGACTGCTGTGACTCGTCGGGGAGATCATCCCAGCATTTGGCAAGAAGAGTGCCTGGAATTTTCTGCATCACGATGAATCCAACATCTTCAATCATATATGCATTGATCACCTCCGGTACAGGGACTGATGTTGACTGTCTGACAAGACACATGGCCTCGGCTTCTCCCATGGAAACCACGGGGCCCATTTTCAAGATGACTGAGTCGCTGATCTCCAGGATTTTGCAGCCGCTGATGCGATGAGGACAAAGATCGCGCGCGTTTTGGATCTCTTCACGTGTCACAATCGGTCGAGCTTGTTCTTTCATCGAGGGTGCGTAACTGATCTTGACAGGGGAAGATAATAGATGGATTGCGTATTGTCGAACATTCCGTTTGAAAGGCTGTAATACTTTAGTATGATATAGGACAGAAAGTTGCTGGACGTACTGGTATTGCCATGGGTGTTCTGGATATTTGCTTGCTGGTTTACAAAATATCTTATAATGCTAGCTTAGAAAGTGATTCTAAGGTTCTCCCTTCTGGACGTGAGATGATTATTCGATAAAAGCAGTAAGAAATTCCTTTTTTTCATGATCTTTAAAACATCCTACAGAGGGTCTGATCGGATATTTACCATACTATAAAATACACGCGGTGAGTGGACTGAGAAGACTGGTTGCATTTGCAGGATGGCCGCTATTGCCGCCCGTTATCTCTGCGGCCTACCATACGCTATCTCCCTCTTGTCTCTTATTTTAAGCTTTCTCTAGGTTGTCTAACTCAGGGCTCAAATAACAGTACATACGTATCTTACTATTTGATTATAATAAAGTCTATTTATTCTTCATCTTCTTATTTCCTATTATCAACCAGGCCAGTATCATTCCACAAGAAATAAAGCACAAGAGTGCAACCAGACCCAACCCCCAAACCCCAGCCCCTCCATACTCTCCATCACAGCTTCGCATTACCCGAGAAGCAATAAACAACATCCTGAAACCTCCCACCCGGAAAAACATAAAGCCACTCGAACTCCTGATCACCATCATTCACAACCGAGTGCTCCGCATCACCCGGAATAAATACCGCAGTACCCTTCTCGACATGATGAGGGTGCCCGTCGATGGTTACCGTCGCTCGACCTTTCAGAACATAGTACAGCTCCGCCTGGGCGTGGCGATGGGCGCAGAGATGGCCCGTATGCGGAGGACAGATGGCTATTCCAGCGGCAAGGTCGCTGGTGGGGGTGTTGGGTTGCGTAAAGAGGGTGCGCCAGGTGAGGTGCCCGTGGGAGGGGGAGGGGAAGGATTCTGGGGGTAGGGTGGTGATGGTGGAGGGGGAGAGGATGACTGGGTGGGTTTTTGGTGGTGGCATGGTGAGTATTGTAGGATGGTAGGGATATGTAGATGAGGGCTCTGGGAAGATTGATGCTACTGATGCTCAGACTATATAGGCGTGGCGTGCTCGCTCGTTTCTGGCCTTTTTGGGAATGATAATGCGGGGATGAGGGGCATTGAACTGATCAGGGATTTGACTACCAGGATAGGATAAGTCTGTTGAGTTTGATTAATCATTGACTAGGGATGTTGATTGATCGTTTGCCTAGCCGGTGCTATCAAATCATTGTTACCATGTACATGTCTAGCCTGAAATGTTGTTCAACATATTGTATTGGTTGCAAGGAAGGAATCATGGATCGCGGGAGTTGACCCGCAGACTAAACCGTTGTCCCGCCATTCCCCACATCGCAGACATCGACGTCGACTGCTGCTTTCTCATGGGCGACCCGATCGACAATACCGAGTAATGCAGGAATTTTCAGGCTTCATTTGCACTGGAATGTGCGTTGCTCTGAGTGCGGTTGGATTCCGAAAGCTCCGTTCCAGCGCTTACGTGATTCCTCTATCACCCGCTCTCTATCTAATAGAACTCATCGAGATGCTCTGGTGGGACCGCAGGAAACAAGCGGGGTTGATCTGTGGCGCGCACATCCAGGGTTCTGTGGCTGGTGCCGGTCCAGCTTAAAGATGGTCTGATGCTCTAAATTGGGTGGAATGACGTACGACATCTTCCCCCTCACAACGTCATTTGTCGTGAGATCCCACTCGACTAACTCAATCAGCGAACGGTGGTTTCAACCCGATATGTTGCGCAAGGCTACCAACTATTCAAATAAGGTCCAGGTCCCTCTTGATCAACTGGTTCGGAGAAACCATCATCAACCCGCTTGCCGTGAATGGTGACTTATCAACTCGGTAAAATAACTGCACCAAAGAAGAGTCGGCAAGATGTCGAACCTCATGCATAAGATCAGAGACGCCATAACTGGTCATCACAGCAATGCCAGTTCTAGTATGGGCACCTTCTATCTTCCGTTAAGCTTCGATGAACACTGACCCGAGTTTAGGTCAAGGACAACACAGTCCCAACCCCAGCGCTGAAGACTCTATCCCAGGTAGCGCAGGAAGATACGAATCTGGCAGTGGCTCCTATGGGTCTGGATACAGCCCTGGTGACTACGAACGCAGGACTGACACTTATGGTTCGAGTGCCGGTGGTAGTAACGATAGCATGGGCAATACTGGCAGTGGTGATTATGGGCCTGGAACGAAGAGGCATAGTGTATCTGAAACTGGGGAACGAGCCAGGCAGAGCTTCGGCGGTGCAGAAGGAGGCATCAGCTACAATGCCCGCAGAGAGGATACGGAAGACTATGCGTACAGTCCTACGAACAGGCTGGACTCTGGCAAGATGGGTTCTCATATGATGGGTCCGGACAACGTGCGCTTTGCTGGGACACAGCGCAACCACTGGTAGGTGGACCATGTCTAGTGGCTCAGAATTCTAGTCTTTTGGCCAAATGGCCCAGCTGGCGAAGTCATGAATCTGTCTAGATCCTTTCGAAGCACGCCTAGAGGGTATTTGCAATGGCTCTATAGTCTCTCGCAAAGACCGGTTCCTTGGTTCGTCGCAGCTGGACGCTGATTAGCATTGATGTTGTTGGCATGCAGGAAACTAGTTAGTTTCTAATCGAGGACTTTGCGTAGCACATCTTCTCTCCATGTTTCAGCCATTTGGTTTCAGCCATGCGTGCGTTGGGCAGCCATAGAGGTCGACTTGGATGGAACACAATACAAACGAGTGAATGCCAGAACAGGAAGGGACGGCGTGGTACTGCAGGAAGAGGTGAGTCGTTCCTTCCAGTCCAGGTGAATGGCCTGATTCCTGTCGGTTCTGCCTGGGAGGCATTCTTACGTCTTCCACGTCTTCCCCCGTCCTTTTTTTCTGCTCTCCGTCCCATCTCACCTCATATGCAAACCCACAATGTCGTCTCGTCGCCTGGTCGTTACCAGAGCCTCCACGGCATCCTTCATCCAGGACGAGGACCGCGAGCTGGACAACTTTGAAGACCTAGCCTCCTCCCAACCGATCCCTTTGTATCAGCTGTGCACCAAAGCTAGTTCCAAGCGAGGCGCCAGAACTCGGAAGCTTTTGTCGGATATGTCATCGACCAGCGACACCAAGGAGCTACGTCCGATGAGCCAACAGAAGGCCCTGTCTCATCTTTCCGCGTTACACCGTGCCAACAGCGGGGACCATCATCTGAACCTGGCCACCGAGTCTTTCGTATCCGCCCGCCTGGAGTCGCAGGGATGGGATAGCAGCGATGATAGCCACTTGCAACAGAACCCGTTGAGTTATTCTAGGTCCTATGACTCCTCCTACTCTCTCGGCACTCCGCTCCATCGATCGGTTACGGAGGATACTTCTTTGCATCTCTACGGAGCCAGCTTCGATCGAACCTACAGTCAATCTCCATACGAGTCGCTGCGAGTCCGTGCTCGCCTGAAGCGACCTGAAACCCGAATTACATCTGGTCTCGAGATCTCGGGTCCTGGGCCACAACACGAGCAACCCTTGGAACATGTGCATATAAAGGAGGAGAAAAGACGCAAGTTCAAGGAAGAATTCACCGCGCTGCTCAAAAATGTGGCACAGAATGGTGAAAGCTCCAAGCCAGACGATGAGCAGGTGCAGCTCCAGGAACAAGCTGTGGAAACCCAAGCTCCCACGACTCATACTCCACGCAAGAGTCAGGTTTCAGAAACCAACACTACCAGCACAGACAATGGATCGAACCTTGAAAATGATTCCGCAACTCATCGCCAGGGAATCCTAAGGACTCCTCCAGGTCTCACTAGACCGAAAGGCCAGCTTCAGCTGAAGGCTCGATTAGAAGAAGCGGAGGCTTGGTTCCACCGGGACGGTCGAGGTCAAGACCGACTACGGCAGCAAATTGCAGGAATCGCCGGGAACTGTGCCAGTACGAAGGAAGAGCAGCTGACTCTTCTTCTGGGTGACATTATCCTCAATCTCTACTCCTATGTCTCTGTGGACCGTGCGAAGCAGGCGGCAGACTTTGGCGAATTCGACGACGTAGAATCTTCCTATTGCTCGGCCAGCCAGAATGGATCTCGCAGCTATTTTGAATGACGGGGGATACGATGTGCATAATTCAATTACTATTAGAGAAATAGATTGAAGAGAACTCTTACTATGGTATTATATGATCAAGATACGGAGTAGATCGGTGTGGCTTTGTTCTGCATCTCCGATCCGCCGACTCCACTTGCCGCAAATTACTTCCTGCGCCCTCGACGTCACCGCCACTCGCGCATCTCCAATTTTCCACCTTCAGGGATCGTTTGGATTACCAGCCCGGAGATCTCGACACCATGCGGGACAAGATCAAAGATGCCCTCATTGAGGAAGCCGCCCATGACCGGGCCGTCGCCAAAGCGATTGTCCTGTCCGGGACGTACTTGTATCCCCTGAAGGTGCGAACCGAATCCCAACCCATCAACCACAATCCGAACTATATCCCCTCTATAAACAATCCATTGCTAACCTGCAACCTCCTCCCAGGGCATCATCTACACCGCCAACCACCGCACCCTGTGGCAACCCTTCCTCGCCCGATCCGGAAAAATCATCAGTCTCGGCCTCGGCGTCACCTCCACCATGTTCTTCTTCACCTACGCCCCCCAAGCCGCCTTCATGACCATCACCAACGGCGCCATGGCCCCCATCTCCGCTGCCCTCCTCGTCCTCAGCGAAAGCTCCACCATCACCACCTTCCTCGCCCGCTCCTTCCTCCTCCCCGACGCCATCACCGATACCTTTGACGCCGCGCTCCTCGAAGAAGGCCAGGACGCGCTCGTCGCCCAGGGCCGATCCCTCTCCCCCACCTCCGCGACGGATGCGATCGCCCGGCTGGGAAAGACTGTCTCCGACCCTCCGGCAACCTTCACCCCGCATATGTTGCTTCGCTCGTTTCTCTTCCTGCCGTTGAATCTGGTTCCGGTCGTGGGCACATTCATGTATGTGTATGCGCAGGGAAAGACGTATGGGCCGGCGGTCCATGAGAGGTATTTTCGGTTGAAGGGGTGGGGGAGGAAGGAGAGGGAGAAGTGGGTGGTTAGGTTGAGGGGGGCGTATACGGGGTGAGTATCCCCCCATCCCCATCCCCATCCCCTTTCTCTTTCTTACTAGGAGGGGGGAGGGGGGGTTGTTTGTGGGTGTATGTGCTGACTGAATATCACCCTAGTTTCGGAATGGCTGCTTTCGCGCTTGAAATGATCCCCTTTGCGTCGATTGCGTTTGCGTTCACGAATACGGTGGGCGCGGCGCTGTGGTCGGCGGATTTGGAGAGGATTATGCAGTAGATTCTATGGTAGGTTTGGGGATCCGTAGCACACACATGTCTGACCTTTTTGCCAGTTGGTTGTGTATAGCATGGTATGGTTGGTTTTCAATTCGGAAATACTTACATGTATGTATTAGTAGTAGAAATAGAGATAGAGATAGTACTAAAATCGAATAAATACCATTAAGATCATAATCATATCACAAACCAAATTGAATCCTTCTCATTAGTAGTACTATCCCAACACCCAACTCCAATCAATCAATACCACCTATCTCATCTATATCTAAAGATAAGAGATACCTACTAGTCCGAAAGCACTTATCTACAGCGCAGGAAATCTTTACACAATGGCAAACTGAACGCTGGGTATAGACTTGACTGAATGATTAGGAAGAAAGAAAGAGAGCAAGAAGAAGTGAACCTGGGTCTCTGTCTGTACAATGTTATGTCCATCCATATACAAGGACACTTGTCCGTGGTCCGTGGTCATTGGGTCATGGCCAATGGAGGTGGAGGATGGAAGAAGGAAGGAAACACAAGAAGCGGAAGCAATAGCAAAAGAAAAGTCAAAGCAAGCCTGAGCGCCAACCGAAAGCTAGTCCGACCGACCTACGCCAGAAAGTGATGCTTCATGAATTGCCATTAAAAGGGGTAGGTAGGTAGGTTGTAGTAGGTGGGTGGGTGGAAGGAAAAGTTTCGAAGAACATTCCCCGGAAGGAAGGAAGAAATGGACCGGTGGTGACATGACATGACATGACCCAGGCGCCGACGTTGCTGGAGGATGACGAGGATGAAGCGAGAAGGTGGAGGGTTTGGGATTGGGGACAGCACAGGACAGGGACTAGCAGTTCACGAGGTTAATGTGGTTGTCGTTGAGGGCGGCGCAGGCGAGCAGAGTGCGGTGAGGGTGGAAGGCGGTGCTAGCAATTGGGGAGGACCGGTTGTGGTGCAGAAAGCTCGAGTATGGTTCAAAGGTGGATAGATAGGAACCGTCGACGTTGAAGGTTTTGACCTCGTGTCGGTTGGTACCACTGGCTTAATGTCAGAGAAAGCGTAGTGGTCAGGGGGAGGTCACATACACCATGAACACAGGGGCATGTTCATGCACACTCAATGTGCGAAGCGTATCCCTGGTGGCGGAGAATGTCGAGATAGGCATGTCCATTCGGAGATCCCACAGTCTAATCTCACCGTTTCGACTACCAGAGACCAGTTCCCTCAACCCACCTCGTTGCATATGGACATTCGTGATCCACTGCTTGTGCTCACGCCAGACTTTGACCATGGCCGTCGTCGGCTTCAGACGTTGGTCGAACACTCTCACCGCACCGTCGCCAAATCCTGCCACGAATATGTTACCTGCCACCTGATCGGACGTCAAGGACGTAATGCAAGACCCAGATCGAGCAGGAATGTCCTATACAGGAGTCAGAAGCGAACCAGATGTTGGGACATGGAAACATACATTAGTGCACACTTCGGTCGCCGCGTTCCACACTCGGATGACCTTGACGTCTCCTGCGACCAACGCCTTGCCCTGGCCCTGCTGCCAGTCGAGAACCAGGCCGGCATTGCGGTTGCTGGGGATGAGCTCTGGCAAGGCCCGGAAAGAGGTGACGATTTCAACGTTTCTTGCGGACTCGTAGTTCCGGAACACTTTCAGAACTCCGTCCGAGGAGCCTGTCATCAAAAGTGCCTGGTCATCCTCGTTGATATAGCGGACTTCGTTGATCTTTGAGCCTGCTGGATTCCCGTTGGAAAAGCGATTGAGGCGTTTGTGGCTCTGCCAGTCCCAAATCCTACTCAAGATTAACACGGGAGGTCTTCCGCAGGGTTCAATACTTACGCAATCGTATCTCGGTCATCCGCCACCGCGAGGTGATCCTCGAATTGGTGAAAGCACATCTTCAAGGGTTGGCTGCTGTTAGACAATAGCGATAATGAGTTATCCCATCGGCTGCTACCGGCGACTCCCTTCAGGGGTTGAGTCTCGGCAATAATCTTCTCGTTGCGACTGCGTCTCCAAAGGCGTTCGTTGTAATCCGCACTACCGGGTTCGTCGGGCTCGTTGGGCTTCATCTGGGGTTCCCGGAAATACTGGAGAGGGGTAAGAAGTTGCTCATACTCAAGGTGGTTTTTCGCGCTCATCAAAGCAAAGAGTTCTGGGATTACCTCTGTGGACCAATCTAGGAATCTGCTCATCAAGGGGATCGTAGGGGCGGCCGTAGGATCGCGGGGGTCAAAGCCTCGGGAAGTCGGGGTTGGGGCCTGATGATATGCCGTCGCGGGAGCCACTTGATCATTGACCTCCGGGGGGCGCGTCCACTCGGGGGGCGCTCGTCCTCTTGGGGTCATGGGCATCCGGCTCTTCGGGGCCGTCGAGGCTTGCTGCTGCGCCTCGGTCAGGGAGGAATTACCGAACGCCAGGTTCTTGAGCGACGCGGCGACACTGGCCGTGCGCTTGAGGCTCAAGGAAAGGTAGCCCTCCTGTTTCGGGGGTGCCACGGAGGGGGGCGTCGGCGGGGGGGCGGCCTTCTTGGACTCGGGTCTTTCGCGGGCCTGGAACTTCTGTGAGACACGGTTGGAGAGATCCAGAATCTCGTTCCGGACCTTGTTGGTTAGCGCGGCCATAGGGGATTGAAGGAGACAGATATGAATGTAGTCCACCACCATGCTTGCATCCTGAGCAATGTCGGGGTGGGGATCAACGGAAAGGATAAGTAGTTGTTTCCAAATAGTACCAAAAGTGGTATTCCGGGATAATGTTTGGGTCCGATGGCTGGGATCCGTGGAGCCGTTCGCGGAGAGGTTGGGCACATCCTCCAGGGAGAGGCTTCGCGTCCCATCTTGCTCCAATTTGAGGAGCAGGTTCTGTCTCTCATCCTGGAACTCTTCGTAGGCAGCAACCAGGAACTTGTTCTGGTAGCGTCTCACAAACGTCGAGAAAAAGACCAATAGTTCTTTCCGGACCAGTACACTACCGTCTGATGCCATGGGCAGCACCGCCATGGCTAACGACTCTTCAATCTGTGCAACCTGATCTGTCAAATCCGGGATCCCCAGGAACGTTGTCACGGCATGGAGCATGGCAGCTCGAACCTCGGGGACAGGATCGAAATTCAGCTCGCAGAGTCTAGCCGGGGCCGCGCACCGAATGCCCATCCACTTGGCTTCGGGAAAGTCAGACCACAACATGCTGATGCAGAGGCATGACCACTGCCGCAACAGAGGATTCTCGACATCCATCAGATGTTTCAGGCAGGAGTCAAAGAGCTCGCCAGAGAGGCACACATTCTGGCCTTGCGGGTAATTCTTGCAGAAGATCGAAACGATGAACGCACACATGGCTCGGTGTTCGCTAGCATTGCCCACCGGAATCGGCGACGAAGGATTGAGGATGGAAATGAAGTAATGGATTCCGTTGTCCTTCAGCAGATCGTTTTGCACCGTATAATCCACGGCCATGATCCGTGCCCAGATAAAGACCATCACCGGCTTCAGCTCTTGTGCGGCAGACTGCAGGAGCTTTACGACGTACGGGAAGATACCGATGCTTAGCGCCAGGTGAACCGCCCACGGTCCTAGATCCAAGAACTTGCTAAGCAAGATCAGTGCCCGGAGTCGGTGGGCTTGACTGAGAAGGACTTGCAGCACGATGGGAAGCTGATCGGGGGGGTTCTTTTCCGTTGGGCCGGAGGACAGGTACACCTCGAACGCGGTAAGCTGCTCCGCAAAGAAGGTCGAATGCTGATACTCATATTGCCTGCGACCCTCCTCATGGTCAATCAGAGCGGGTAGCTGCGACAAGACCATCTCGACTGCCAAATCCCAGCTCTTCCACAATGGGTGATGGTGTGTTTCGGGCAGCTCAGGGGAGGAAATTGGATGGCACTTGTAAGTGCGCATGATACGCTCGCCAAGCAGGAAATTTCTGAACAGAGCAGCCACCATAAGATCTTGACGGAAGAGCTTCTTGAATAGTGCCCGTGGCAAGGTATTCCAGGCGATGGTGTCCGTGATAGCGGTGAAAATCCAGTTCAACTCTCCTAGTGGGCTTCTGCGGTCTTGTAAACGGCCTGGGACCCTGAAATCGTCAATCGAGATATTCGTCTGCAGGGGGTTCTGCAGGATGAAGAAGCGCAGAGCAATCTCAATCGGAGTAGTCAAGCAGCAAGTGAACAGATCCGCCGGGAGATCGGGATTCGTAGGGAGCGACTCGGTCTTTTGACAGGCCGCAAGGATGATGCAGTCGCCATAGTTTTGGACGATGGCATTGGGATCCCGCTTCTTCGCCTCGACATTCTCCTTTTCATGTTTCTCGACGAAGGTGTGGAAGTTCTGGACGATGTTCCCCGCATGTGAGACATCGAAGACGAACAGGCTCGGTCCAGCCAGCCAGGACTGCAGGTCGTACAGCGACACCGGGATGTACTGAGTGTAGTTCTTGTTGAACACCCAAATCTCTCCCGACTGCGTAGGAAGAGGAACGCCGTGGCCGTTGTAATGAAATAGCACTCGCTCGTCCTTGGCGTTACGCCGCAGAGATATGCAAAACTTTTTGGTCTCATCGACAGATGGGTCAAGATATTGCTTGTACCTAGTTCTTAAGCTAAGTGTCTCATACTGCTCTTGTAGTTTCTTCCCAATCTGCTCCATGATCTTGTTGTGACCACCGCCAGTCGTAGACGTGGGATCGACCCAACATTCCAGCTTAGCGGTCGGATTCGTCTTGACCACATCGGGCGGGTCGACGCCGATGTTCAGGCATATGGCGAGGGCAGCAGAGACGGTCTTCAGGCGGTCCTTCATGCGCCAGTCTTGACTGGGCCAGCTTCCGACCGGGTCCCGGGGGATGCCGTTCGTCTCATGGCGCTTTTCTGTGAAGTACATGTAGAAATTCTAGACCGATCAGACCTATAATATCGACCTCCTAGAATCTGCTTACCGAGTGCAGGACTTTCAAATACTCGCTCGAAGTATACTCCTCCTGCCATCCATGTCTCATCGCAACATCCTCTTCCTCATCCCCGGTCAAGGATTTATCGAGACCCACTCTGGGGCCATAATCACTTCGAGCTCTCTTCAAGGTGGACGGTCTGACGGAATCCGACACGCGATCCGAAATCAGTCGGCCATTGTTTTCAAGGAGAGCCGGGTTCTCGCCTGCGGACGAGCTAGTCGGTCTTTCCGGGGTTATCACGGGGGGTTGTTTCGGCTCCACGGTCGTGAAGGATCGGTGGTGACCAGGAACCGGCGCGGGGGATCTGTCGCGCGGGGGGATGTGTGTTTCCAGGTCCGGCCCAAAGGCAACGCGGACGGACTTGTGGTGGCTCTTTCGGGGTTCAGGATTCGACGCCTGCTCTTGAATTGGATGCTCCATCTTGAATTCGGGTCAATCGATCATCCGTTATGCGTAGATGGTCATTATGTAGCGTGTAGTCAGGACGTAGTATGGAGGCAATCGGCTGTATGCGGGGGTGGTTAGCATGATCTGAGAACAGAGACCCCCCCGGTTGATAACCTGGTCACACAGGTTGAAAGTGGAGTAAATGCGCTTGTAAAAACGCTCACCTTTATCAATAATCCTGTCACGGTGCATGCACAGAGAGCAGGCCGATTCTCATACCCAAATCCGGAGGGTCAGCGGTCAGCAGCCAGCAGTTGGGAGAATGCCCGGTGGCGAGGAAGTCCTGCCACGGTCAAGAATTATCGACAAGTCACACTCCCAGCGATTCGATCTCCCCAGGACGTTGGCACTGCTGACACTCCCTTCCAGAAGCGCGGGGGGGGGACTCGGTGGATGATGTCGTTCGGAGAGATCCATGAGCTCTGGCCGGGATCCTCTTGGCATCCAGTGGTCGGAACATCGTTATCCCCGGCGCATATCCAACACCGCGCTTAACTGCTTCGGGATACGCTCATGAATGTCCCGGACTATCGACTCAAGATGGCGATCCTCCTGGCCAGGCCGTGTTATTGAATGATCATGAAATCTCTGCCGGAATTCACGCTCGCTAACTCATCCGGTGTTGTGCTCCTGTAGCATCACTTTAAACCCATGTTCTCTCACTCGATATCCCCATGGCGGCCTGTGTCGCAAATTGATACCAGTATACGGGTGCCTACTATATAGCCCAGACCGCCCCGGTCATTGTGGTTCTTACATCAGGGGGTTGAAATGCCCCATTCTGCCAATATCCATTTGCAGGATTCTGACCTATCTTGTGACCAACCACCAAAACACAACCTTTCTTTCCTTAATCCGCCGCTACTTCCTCACAAGAATAGATGTCTTCAATTTGATGGCGATATGCAGAAAAGAGCACCAGAAACGATCCTTGTTAATCGGACACCGTAGAGATTCCTCCATTCCATTATGTCTATCCTCTTCTGGACCCTGCTCAATAATTGCTGTGGTGTAAAGCGGATGCCCTTTTGAGGCCGAGAACTCCTAGAATCCGAGACCTCACTGAATCTCCAAACGAAGCAGCTATGGAGCGGGATCTCTTGCACGAAGATAACGTGTAGTAGGTAGGCAAGTAGGGTGATTAATGGGTAGATAGTAGGTAACGCCGATGAGAATACAGCATAGTATAGTATAGCAGAACACAATCTAACATGCCACAGGATAGGACAGGTAGGGCAGGTACCACAGCATAGTTGAAGATCTCGTCTCATCGCAGCACATCACATCAGCACCATCAATCAATAATTCAATACATCAGACTAGCAGCCAACCAGCAGCTAATAAATCAACAATAGCACAGCAATAAATGAGGGGGTGGTAAGGAGTGGGCGGAACAACCGTACAAACAAACAGATCGACAGTTAAACAGATAGACACAGATGACTCAAGGCTTAATGCTTGATGCTAAACCCCTTCGACCCCTCGACCAACCCATCCGCGGCCTTGGTTACGGCTACCCAAGCAGGCGCATACTGTTTCACTTCGTCCAAGGCCGGGATGAGACCCGCGGTGTTGGCATCGCTCCAGATACAGATGACGCGGCCGGTGAGCGCGTCGTCGTCTGTGATTACAGATGTGGACGATGTGGACGAGGTGGTATTTCCAGTCCAGGAGACATCCACCACCCACTCGTTCTCCCAGTCGCGACTCCAGAGGCGGATTTCTTTGGAGCCGTGGGGAGAGGATGTTGGGAATCGGGGGTCGGTGGCAGAGCCAAGCACGCTGAAGGTGGAGACGGGTGAGTCAAAGACGATCTTGCAGGCGCGGGTGTTGCGGCCGGAGAGGGTGATGCGGGCGTGGTTTGGTTTCTCAGTGTCGTCTGCAGTGCTGGAAGGGTTGCTGATGGTGAAGTTGAGCCAGTCGGAAATAGGCGTGTCGGGAACGACACGCGGGGCGAGTCCCGGCCAGGAGCATTTGGTGCCGCGTGTGGTGTGTTCAACGCAGCTGATGTTCTGATTGAAGGCGCTGGGGAGGGTGGATGCGGCATCATGGACATAGGGTTGGACGCCAGAGAGTGAGGCAGTGGTGACACCGGTGTCGAGGTTGATCTCTTGGAGGAAGAAGAGTTTCAGGCGGTGGGTCTGGGAGAAGGGGAAGGCGACAAGATTGTAGATCAAGGTGCCAACGAAGATGAGGAGGAGGAAGACATGGATGTGTGAGGTTTGGCGGTGGACGAAGGGGAGGAGCGGCGTCAGGAGTAGCGTGGTGAGGGCGGCGATGGCGATGTAGATAAACAGGGAGGAGCCGCCGTCTTGTCCGGTTTGGTGGAGCGCACTGGTCAGAAGGAGAGCCAGGGGCCCAACCATGATGAGCACCAACGGGGCGATCAGGAGGAACTGAAGCGTCCAAGTCCATTTCGGGAGCGAGGCGCTCCAGCGTTGCTCGTGCCTGTAGACATCCGGGTGATAGTGCTCGTCGGTGTCCGAGTCGCGGTTGTCGCCAGAAACACGCACGTAGTTGGCGAAGGTGGTGCGCTGGCCACCCCCGAGGAGGGAAGTTGATTCAGTGGGCTCTTCCTCTTCCTCCTCCGCGTCGTGGCCCTCTTCGTCATGTTCTTCGCCCGAGGCTGTGCCGAGTCGACTTCCCCCGTAGCTGCTGGCTCGGCGCGAGGTGGGCCGGAATTGGCTTGCGTACTCCGATTTGCGCGGGAGGGCGAAGAGCTCTAAGTACGAGATCCAGGTGGCAACAAAGGTACCGGAGAAAAAAAAGAAGACCGAGTAGCCGCCGGCGATGCCCCATTTGTTCTCATAAACAGTAGAGATGACGAGGAGGACCCAGGCCAACACAAACATCCAGGTCAGCGTGTAGACACGGTGCAGCGCGGACGGACGAGCAAAATCGGCCACGCGCGAGACGAACCAGGCCAGGAAGGCCCATGCCGAGAGCATCATACTCCAGACGGCGTATTCACTGCTGTGGATGATAAGCGGGTTGACCTTGGTCACCAGGTATGCCAGGCCAACGGTGACAGCCGTAGGAATCGCAAAGAGGAACGGGAAACGGAAGAAGCCCCGGAGACCCTGCAGCGGAACCGTTTCAAGGCTATCCTCCACCTTCGCCGAAGTTCTAAACAGGTACATCTTGTCGGCGCGGGTGAGAGCGATACTAGTCCCCAGCAGAGTCAGCGGCGCCACCACGAGCAGTGTCACCGACAACGCAAACAGCGTATGCAGCTGGAAGACGACGAACGTCGTTCCAAACAGATCGAACCACACAGCTCGGGAGCCAGACCCGCTGGCCACCTTCGCATCGTCCTTTGGCGCGCCATCGAACTGGTTACTGGAGTCAGACACTAGTCCCTCTGTGGTTGCAACGGCTGCGGAAAGCATGTGCCACAGGGAATTCTTGCTGGTATGTCTCGAGTCATCCTGATCGGTATGATATCTGGCTCTCGGCTCCATAAAGGCGACATCTAACCCACGCAGACCCAAATCGCCCTCGAACACCACATAGTCCGTCTGACTGGTAATCAACCCGGTAGCAAACCCGTCAGCGGCCAAAACAGACCCAAACGGATACTTCGACCTCATATATGGCCGAGTAACCTCCGTATCGGAGCTGCGGAACAGGATTGCACGCCCCCCAGCACCAGCACCCTCCAGATTCACAAACGTGTGCGGGAACTTGGCAATCGGATGTTGCCCGTACACACGCGCGCCGTTCAAGTAGTCCTCCTCGCCATTGTTGAAGAGCACGACCAACCCCTTGCGCGGCGCATGGCCCGGCGTTATAAAGTACTTGATCAGCTGCAGACAAGTCACGACACCGACACCATCATCAGTCGCTCCGTATCCCGTCGACACACTATCATAATGTGCATTGACCAATACTCCTCCCTTGCCGGTGGGTGCTCCGTTGGGTTCCTCCCACCAGCGCTCCTCGTCATCCTCCCAGCCACGGACATAGACGAGGATATTGGTGCCCTCGAAGTAGACAGCCGTGTTGGCACTCGACAGGGAGTTACCCACGAACGTGAGGTTCGAGCGCGTATCATCGAACACGAACACCTCGGGCTTCTCCTCATCGACGGATCGGTACTCGTCGGGTGAGGGGGCGGCGTCGAGGATCTCATGGATGCGGCGCAGGAGCCAGGCGTGGACTTCATCGTTGCGCCGGGAGTTGTAGGGATGGTAACCATCGGTTAGGACTTGCAGATCGGCCCAGGCTTGGGGGATGTCCAGGCCTTTGGGGTTAGAGTTCGGAGGGGACGGAACAACATGGTGAACGATAAGAAGAGGGATGACGAAGGCGAAATAGACGAGAATGGTGATGAGGGTGACGGGCCACCGAGTGAAGGCCAGGGGATTGGCTCGCGATAGCCTGAGAGGAGCCATCGAATCGGGGGAGACGCTGAGCTGAGCTGAGCTGAGCTTCTTAAGAGACAGCAGCTGCGAATGCGATGCGGAGGATGGCTCCAGCTGAAGGCGGTGGGGGGAGAACCGTGGTGGGGACGGTGACGTTGTATCACGCCATCTGCGGGAACTTATCAAGGGTCTGGAAAGCAGCCGACGCCTATACCTTATGCGCCCCGTACTTCTCTGACTTTGGTGACGGGTATAACATAATTGAGGAGAAAGATAGAAAGATAGAAAAAAGGTCAAACAAAATAAGCCCAGGCAAAGGGAGAATCAAATTATCGTGCTTGACTATGTCATACCGTTCTATCTTGTCTACATTGAGACCTGATCTGTCATCAACTATCATTGAGAAGCCACTGCAGATTACTAAAGCCACATTCTAACATCAAAACGGTAGAGCACTGGTCATATAACCCAACTACTTGGTAATAGTATGTAAATCGCATCCTCTATGGGGACAAGGCCACTCCCAGCTTCACCGCCCGAAGATCACCGCCCTGCGGAGAAGCTGAAGAGCTCGGCAACTTCAGCCGAAAGAACAACGGGCTCTGATTGGTTGATAAGCTACATAGATTGATCACACTATTTCCTTACTCAAAACAACTGGATTGATGGCTAGTTAGTAATTAGCTGGCTGAACACTGGTATTAGGCCTCAGTGCATTGACCCTTCAGACAACCTTTATTTGTATAAAGTCCTGCAGTCTCACCGCACATAGAAGTGACATCCGTGGTCCAAACAAAGATTGGGGATTAGCTAGATAGAATATACCTTCATGGACAATTCTATTCTGACCTTATTCCAACATACTCGTTACCCTCCCAAGTTCCAAGCTCCACTACAGATGCATCTCCCGCAAGGCAACTTCCAGGTCACGGGCGTGGGTCACGCCGGCGGTGGTTTGATGGTGTTGGCCCCCCACCGCCGCGCCGCACTCCGGACACCGAGACAGCTCCATAGCACCACCACATTCTCCGATCGTAAACGGATGGCCATTCTCGCAATAATACCAGTGACCTGTTCCACGAAACTCCCTGGCCATGGCAGCCAGCACGGCCATACGTTCCTCGTTGGTCACTGGAGTATAGAATTCCGAGCCGCGGAGCATGGCCCTGGTGCCCTCGATTTCTTCCAAGAGGCCGCGTGTCTGTCCAGCGTGGAGGTTGCAAAGACTCTCCGCCTCCTCAATCGCAGCAGTCCCTTCGTGCAGCAGAGCCTCTGCTTGGGCTGGCTCGGACAGGTTCTGCCGCTCGAGTGCACAAAATTGTGCGAGGAAGATGTTCCCCTCCGCCTGTTGCAGGATTCGGCGCGAGCTTGCTGCATCGGCAATGAGACTTTTGCTTACTTTCCTACCTTCCGCTAAGTTAACGTATAGATCGCTTTGGGCGGTGCCGGATTGCGCTTGCTTGTGCAGGGAGAGAAAGTCTGCAAGCAGAGCTGTGTCTAGGCGCAGCAAGAGAGACGTAGCTTGAAGGTACCCCTTGGTTTGCAGTACGTTCGCATCGAAGTTGAATTGACCAGGGATCCTCTTGCGTCGACGTGCGTCTTCTACCATGTTGCGGACTCGGTTGAACGGCTGCTCCTCGACCTGCACTCTGGTCTTATACTCACTGATCTTGTTCCGGAGAGCTATAAGTTCCTTCCACCGTCCTTCATCATGCTTGCTGATATGACTTCTCATCAATCGCACCTGATGCTCCAAAGGGCCCTCGACTCGGATCTTGACATCAGCATGGAACACTCGCCTTGCGGTTTCTTTCACTCTTGCTTCTTGTTCATGACCCTGCAATTGCGCTATGCACCTCGGCAGGTCCTGAGCCATTGGAACGTACTGTTGGTTCAGATACAAGATGAACTTTTTTGTTGCCTCGTCCAGCAATGCGCGTCGAACGAGCCTTCCATACCGGGACACGCTGCGTAGTGATCCCCGGCAGATAGCACATGTCCGAATATCGTCAATTGAGAATGGCTGCGAAGACGAAGCAATTGAAACAGGTTTTCCATTGTCGTCCAGAATATAATGCTTCTTGATATCCATCTGAGCATCCATACTCTCGATGGTCAAAAAGTGCCCACATTGAGGAAATATGCAAGGATTCTCCGTCAAGTTCACTTCGTGATACTGCTCGCCCAGGATGAAATCCACCGTGGTCTCCTTGATACTGGCCGATGCGCAAGTCTGGCAGAATTCGCTTGCAGGGCAAGGTTCACCACATACCGACGGACACTGGTGGCCACAGGGTAGCATCTTCTCACAGCGCAGAGAACATGGAATATGATCGCATGGTGCAGCACATGGCATCGAGCATGAGCTGTGAGGGCATGAAGACAAGCATTCGGACACCGCGCATGGAGCACATGGCTCAGAGCATTTCTGCGGACATCTGGAATGGCCGCACTGCACGTCACATGGCGATGTACATGGTGAACATGGAATGTCCCCATGACATTTAGCATTACAAGCATGCGCGCAAGTTGAATACGGGCGTGCACATCTTTGTGTGCATCTTCCATGGTCAACCTGGACACCCTCGGCGGTGCGTTTCACACACGACACGCATTGCCGCTTGCAACTGTGGCCACATGGCAACACACTCTGACACTGGCGAGTGCATTGGTAATGCTCGCTAGTGATGTCAACGTGGCAAGCCACCCTCGTGCGATGATGGCAATGCGGTATTTCTCGCTCGACCAAAGTCGGGCAATTCACTAGGCTAAGGTCTTGCGCCTGCCAACAAGGGAGATGGGTCATCGGATGCCCGCATGGGAGGCGACGATCAGCATCAAAAACCATTACAGTACATCGTACAGGACAGGGATCTCCGCATGGCTTGGGACAAGAATGCGAGCACCCCTTCCGAGGACGTTGGCACTGCTCCAGGCAATGAACCGCGCTATGAAGAATCTCCGAATGACATTTTTGCTTGCAAGGATGGCCGCACTGGAGGCGCTTCCCACACTGCAGACTGCAACCCCCCTCAGGTGAGTATTGGATAAAATGCTCTGGCTCTGAGACGGTAATCGGGGTCTCAGGATGTCGGGGGCAGGTCAAATCCAGAGTATTGCCAATATTTCCATCCTGCTCCAGCATATCGAGCACCTTTCCCCACATGTCGACACCTCTGGATGTGGCCGAATTCCCGATGAGATACATGCCATGTCTGGCACGGGAGAGAAGCACGTTGATCCGATTTGGCGTACGGAGGAAACCACAACGATTCTGGTTGTTACTTCTCACCACCGAAATCACCACCACCTTAGCCTCTTCGCCTTGGAAATTGTCGATTGTTGCGACCCGTAACGCATGGAGGAGTGTTGACCTGGCAATGGTTGGCTTCTCGGCGTGCAGCTCCTCTTCGGTAAAGCCAGCGTTGGCCAGGTCCTCCTGGTCTCTTTCTCCCACCGTGATCGTGAAAGACTCGCTCAGCTTCCGGCGCATCCGATGAAGCTGGCCAAGGTAAGGGGTCAGAACAGCGATGTCGCCATTTTGGTACGCCCCCTGGCGAAGCAGATGATTGACCAGTGCAACTGTCATTTGTATCTCATGATCATTCCAGTGGGACGTCGCCATGGCTTCCTCACCTGAAGCATTGCCCTCGGGTACCCGGTGGTCAAGCCAGAAAAGCCTCTTTCGCATTCCCACGACCTCTGGATATGCCAACACGGATGGCGCATCTTGTAGCTGCGGATACAATGTGTTTCGGATGAGTTGAGAGATCGATGGATGCATGCGACGCTGCGTTTCCAAGGTACAGAACGGGATCTGGACTCCGACCCCATCATCCGGCTCCACCAGACGTTCAAATAATGACCGGTCCAGAGCGTATTGGCTGCCTGCTTTGCTTTCGCGGGAGAGGTCATAGTTTTGAATCTGAGGCCGGAGCTGTTGATGATCGCCAATGAGGATCACCTGTTCGAGAGATGGCAGCAACGAAGTAAGCAGGTGCGCCTCCAATACCTCCCCGGCTTCCTCGCACAGCAGGACTTTGGATGGCAGTCTGCGGAGCATTTCCAAATTGCGGGCGAGACCGGTTGTAGTCACTCCGATCACGTCCGCGGCCCTGAGACACCGCAGATCCATCTCATCTCGTATTTTGTCCCAGGATCTCTTGGCCTCTAAATGGGCAAGGAAAGCCGCCTGCGCCCGAAAATGGGAATTCTTGGTCAGCTCGTCCACCCAGTACGCATAGAGTGCTTTGCGTTCCGCCGCCGTCATCATATCTACATGGACCCTGGCCAGCTGTTCCACAGCACGGGGCTGAGCTCTGCTTTGTTCGCCCGCCTTTAGCCATGATTGTATGGTGTGCAGGGGGCTGTCGTTTATCTGCCTCTGGAAGCCATCTTGATCCTGGCCGAAGAGCTGGCCATAATGGACTGGTTGGTACCGTTCGAGGTAATACTTCAGACTTGAAACTGAGCCGGTTGAGTTCAACCTGAGCTTGTTGAATTGCGCTTCACAGTCGTCAAGCGCTTGGTGCAGTTGCCATTGTTCGGTCTTCTCGAGGCGGGTCTTCTCCACGCCCCGAACCACCGTACGAAGATTCAACGGTTGCAAGCGCTCCGACTTGGATTGCGACCCAATCCGGATGATCTGCGAGGTGATTTTGTTATCCAGCAGATCCTCCAGAAGCTGGTCGAGGGCATGGTTGGTATAGCACACGCATATAATCGGTCCCAGCCCCTTTCGGACTTTATGTTTGTTGGCCAGTAAGGCCCTGATCAGGGCGATCCCGGTGAAACTTTTCCCAGTCCCTGGCGGGCCTTGGATTAATCCGATCTTCCGCTGGAGAGTGCGGACCAGAGCCAAAGCTTGGGCATCATCGAGGGTGGAAGATGCTCGAAGCTTTTCCAGATCAACCGGTTGAGAGCTGTGTACGCTTAGGCTGGAACCATCCCTCATGAGACATTTGAGGTCGAAGCTGAAGCCTTGGGATGCGGCGTAGACAGGCGGCGGCACGTCCGCCAAGATTGACAGCATGTTCTGGTCCCTGGGTGCCAGGAATTCCGACATGGGGACATCTGCAGCTCTCTGCATTCTCTGGAGAGCCAGGAGAGTGGGTTGGAATGACGGCAACAACACCCCGGGAAACTCCACGAGCGAGATGGATGACTGATTCCGTCGGGATGCATGGCAGTCGAGGATGTACTGCCAGCTACTCTCGCCCGGCTCAACCAACTGCAGAAGCACGGAGGCCACGTTGGGATTGTCCGAGAGGGAAGGGACCATCTTCTCATGCTGTTTCTCGGCCGCATCTGATCCTGGCCTCGGGCGATCTGGTGAAGCCACCGTGCAAAAAGTGGCCGATCCTCGCGGATCAACCAGGCATACGAGGGCATCGGACTGGAGACGTTTCGACAGCTGCCACCATTCTTGTAATTTTTTCTTCGTCATTCCGCGGACATTTTTCGGCTGAGCGAAGCGAACGAGAAACTGGAGTCCAGCAAATCTATGAAAATGCACTCCTTGCACGACCACCTCTCGATATACATGAGTTCTCGTTTGACCTTTAGGACGGGAGCCATGCTTCGGATCGGCCAGCTGGAGCTCGGCATGGATTGCATCTCTGAGCTGGCCGACTGTATCTTCTCTCAAGAGCCGGAAGTTCCGATCCAAGAGTCCAGCGAGTCCCCCGACGTGCCACTGGCGCGGATCCTTGACTGGGAGATACTCGGTGCGCGGCGACAAAATCTCCTGAAATGTCGGCATGATCTTGATCTTGCAGATATCCGCGTGGTCATTGTCGTGACGGCCGCCAGGGGGCTGTTTCTGGGCCACAAACGCCACGGGTGGCTGACTTGCGTGTTGTTTGGATACCTTTGCTACGGCTGGCAAGGAGAGACCGATGTCCAGTCGGTGCTGCAGCTTGTCGAGGTACTCCCGCGACTGATGGAGGGGATCGGGACCGTCCAAGGCATGAAGCGTCAGGAACAGGTCCGCGAATCGTTGGGCCAGTGGCTTCAGCGATTCTTGAATGAACGCGGTTGAATTCAACTCAACGATTTTCCAAAAGACCAGGAGAGACTGTTCAAGGTATGCGGACGCCTCTTTTCCTTCAGTCTCGATTTCCTGCTGGACGGCACTCGCCAAAAATGCTAGAAAGGGCTCCCCCCGACGGCCATTAATCCCATAGAGACAGTTGTATATCGTGCCCACCGCTTGCTCCATCACCAGCGAGGCCAGAACGTTCGGGTGTGTGATGACCTCCATAAAGGGGAGCATCTGGTTGACAAACAGCTCGTGTTTCGCCGACGTCGAGATGGAAGCAAAGTCACGCTGGATCAGCTCTTGAATGCGTCTCAGCCCGCTCTCTCTGGCAAAACACTGGATCACATCTTGAAGTGTGCCTTCGTCGACTTCAATCAGCTCTTTGGCCTTGACGAAGATCGGTCCTAGGTGACCCTCCAGCCGGCCGGGACGTTGATAAGCGTCGACTTGTCGCTTCCAACGAGCGAGCTCGCCGAAATTGTCATGTCTATTGACTTTAGGGCTTTTTCTCTCGGTCGGCTTATGATTTTCGTTCTCGTTCCGCCGAACATGGGCATATCGGCAGGGGTTGAAGTGACAGGAACCACGCTTCGCGAAGTTGTAGCAGATTTTTCGATTGTCATTTGCGATCCCGACCATTGTGGAGACGGGACTGATGTTTTTTTCGGTGTTCAGGATGATGGACGATTGGACAGTTTCTTAGGAATGATGGCTCGATGATCAAGGAACATGACATCCGGCGATTTGGCTGACGGAAATAGGGAGATTTATCTACACCATCACCCCGCCCTTGCCAGCCTTGTTGCGCAGCTGCAACGCAAGGCGCTTTTGGCCTTGGTGAATGAACGTCTTTGTTCCAATCATTTAAGCGCTGCTGTGGCCATGCATGGTATTCACTGATTGGGTTGTGTTGGCGGCACAGTGCAGTTGCATTACCCCCAACGACACTGGTGCAGGCAGCTACAATCCTCCAGCCTTGTCAGCCTTGTCGGAAATACAATGCGCTCTTTCCAGCTTATCAAGATGCCATCTTCTGAATATCGATGTGGAGGCATAACAGCAATACTTATCACCGTCTGTCCTTCATTACTCCATCTGTGACGGCTTTGCAGGCAATTTCCTACCGAAGAAGCCACCGATTATCTTTCAGATCTTTACCCCGTCGAGAATGGTTCGCTGTGCCTTCCTAATTCCATCAGTGCTTGGTCCTTCTCGACCACGAAGGCATGTCAACGGAGCTCCCTCTTTGGCTACTGCTTCCGGGTTCACAGCACTAACGATGGGAGATGTGGAATATCGTCTTGCCAACCAGCAAGAAGCAAATGAACAGAACAGACCAGCTTGTGCTTCTGGCCTTTGACACTGGCTGGCTCGAACCCATCGCGAGTCAACCGCGGAAAATGACTGTGTCAACTTGGCTGATCTGCGCCGACAAGCATATCGAGGACGTATGACCATTCTCGATGTCGCAGTACATAGACACAGTTGAAGCCCAAAGAAGCCCAACAATTTCGAGCCTAGATGACATTCGCCCATGGCTCTATTTCGCATATCTAGAATATCCAAGAAGAGCAAGACAGGTGTCTCCCACTGACGCTTGCCGCCAGCTTGAGCGTGCCTAGACATCCTATAACGCAATCCACGATCGCGGGGCCATCATCACCACCACCAACCTCCTCGAGGCTAATAAACCACCAAGCATGCACCGAATGATCTCTATCCTCAAGCGAGGTGGAGCGAGAAAGCAGAATCTCCACTATCATCCCATATCGATAGGTCAATCCCTACTATTAATCGAATGAATACCAGCTAGTATATATCATCAATAATTCTCAAACTCTACTAACACACTTGACCAGAAAGAAAAAAAAAGAACATCTATCCAAGACACCTCAAAAGTATAACCCTATCCACATTCCTTCCTATAAACCATCACAACAACCTCCCTTGAAATAATCAGCTAATACTCACAAAGTACAAAGCCAAGCCTCTAGTTAGACAAAAGGGACAAGCTCCTTCTCCCATTCTACCCGCAGAACCCGTTCCTCTAATTGGCCCGAATTAATTCACCTAGCTAGATATAGATATAGATATAGATACTACGATGAGTATGGATGATGGATCTAGGTAGTACCATCATATCCAGATACTTAGTAGTCGTTAAACCCAACATCTGGATTGAGCGAGCGGGTTGGATTGGTCACTGGTGATAGCGCTAGGGTCTGTCACAAAGTATAATATAATATAGTACATTACTCTGTATCTATGTGATGCTTCCTCCTTCTCGGGGGTATGGATAAAGGATACTGGTTAGCGCTGGGATTCTCTACCAAGGGGCTATATTTATACACCAATCAAAGGCTAGAAACCACGATTTACGAATGTTGCTCGGCTACCGCTGTGCAACTACCCAGTAGAATAAAACAATGCATGTATTCAATGCTGCTAACGCCGTCCATGCAGATGGTCCACGCCATCACTCAGATATAAATAGATTCTATCTAACCTCGCAGAGCAGGGCCGCTGCTCCCGCGGGCTCGGCCGGGTCCCTCACGCCGTTCCATACCAATAGTTCCGGGCCAAATCCCTCTCCCGAACAACGAGAAAGACATGACGTTGCAATCAGAAAGGAATACACAAGAAAAAAGATGGTCGCCGATCAAGAGACACGCGCGCGCACAAAGAAAAGCGGGGTATCAACCATGGGTATGTCCAATGTCAATATAATCATCGTCGTGAATGGCCGTGGCCGCTGTCGCATGCATCAAACCCGTCACCTGGTTTTCCTCTTCGTCAAGCTCGTCGTCATCGTCATACATCGTGGCCTCGGTCATGTCCCGCGTGGGCGGCGGAGGCGGAATGATGCGGTTCAAGAAGTCGCGCAGCCGGTTGACTCCCTCCCCGCTGAACACACAAAACACCTCCCGCTGCTGATGCGTGAACTCGGGAGGCGCCTCGCGGCAAAAGACCGTCAGCTCTTCCCGCAAGAATGCCTGCACTCCAGTCAGACTCAGATGCGTGAGTCGAGGGCAACTATTCAGTAAAGCATGGATTCCCTAGATGTAAGTCAGCATATGTGTCGCGCAAAAAGCTCGATCCCCGAGGGAAAAACATACTTCAATGGTGAGATGAACGCAGTAACTCAGATGGACCCGCTCCAAGCTACTGACTCCGCCGGAATGGTGGGCAGCCTTGGATCCTGCCAAGGCAAGTATGCTCGTATTGGTAATGGATTGACACTTAACCAACCCGATCCTTCGTAGCTTCGGCAGTGTCGCCAGCTGCTGAACGCTCGCATCCGTCAAGCGGGTGCAGCAGGCCAGGTCGATATACCGGATGCGGTTGCAGGACTTGACCATCTGGATCACCGCAGTATCGGTGATGTTGGAACAGTGGCCCAAATGGACGTAGTGGAGGTTCTTCCCCAGCCGACAGATGGCCCAGACCGCGCGATCGGTGATGAACCGACACTTGGCCAGCACCAGATTCCGGAGGCGGGGCGCCGAGGCGACAATCCGTTCGACGGCATCATCCCGGACGCTTTCACATGACGTCAGGTCCAGGATGCGGAGACTGTCCATGGACAGGTGTCGCGGCAGCTCCAGGAACGCCGTGTCGTCGATCTCGGCGCAATGGGCCAGTCGCAACTCGCGCAGGTTCTGCAGCGTAGTCATGAGGGAGGTCACAGAAGGGTTGGTGACTAGTTTACAGTCGTGAAGATCAATCTCCAGGATAGCCGGGCAGTTCTGGGCAAAGGACAAGATGGCCTTGTCGGTCACTTGCGCGACCCCGTTCAGCTTCAGCTGCGATGTTGTCAGTCTCGCTTCATTGGTCCCACCCCCAGTCACTTACCCGCTTGATCTGTCGACAATTTCGAGACACGGTGATGAGTGACTCGTCGGTAACATTGACACAGCCCGTGATGTTGAGACCCTGGAGCCGCGCACAATTCCGAGCCACCGTGTACAGCGTGTGATCCGTCAGATGCCGCAGATCCGAGACATCCAGCGCCTGCAGATGCCGGTTGCCTTCCACCAAGTCCGACACGCCTTTATCCGTCAGCTTAGAGCAGTTGGTCAGCGTGAGACGCTCGATCCGGTTGCACTGAGCAAAGGGAACCACGGTGCCATCACTGACGCCATCGGTCAGCGCCGAGAGGTTCAACCGCCGGATGAGTTGCGAGTATGGGAAGAAGCTGTTCGGCTGGCCCACCGAGGCCGTGATGCTCTTCATGTTCTCCCAGTTGTTGCAGGAGGGCCGGTGCCAGAGGATGCCCACGCAGTTGGCAGCCCATCCCCTGCATACCCGCATGCAACTCAACATGTCGGATGGCGAGCTCAGTTTCGCGAAGATGGCGATGAGGATCTCCGGGGGCAGGCGCCCAATCGGCGGGAGGAACATGGAGGTGTCATTATGGCTGTGTGTGTCGCGAGTCGCGACGCCGACCGAGGATTGCGAGTCGTTCGCCTGGGCTGTGAAGAAGTCGGTGTCGTCATCGGCGGTGCGGTCCGGCGATGTCGAGGTGGAAGATTCGGAGGGAGCCTCGCTCGAGAACCGAGCGGGTTGCCTTTGGCGGGGCATCAGGACCGCCGTCGGGAGGTGGATCAAGTGGGCGGGAAAGGAGCCGTGGTCGTGATGATGCTCGTGTGCGTCCGGGTTTCGCTCACTGGGGAAGACTGCCCGGCATGGAATGTGTCTCATCGACTTGCGTCACCGCAGCCTGCGTGTGTGGCCCGAGGCGAGTGGATCAACAACAAGACCAGAAGTGGTTCGGTCCAATAAGCCCAGAGTCACCGAGAAGTCTCAAGGTTGCACCTGAGCGGATTCCGGGTCAAGGGCGCTTATGAAGGAGTAGTACGCGCGTGTCGGGCGTGCCTGCAGTTGCCGATGAGAAGCGGGAAGGCAAGGGAGAGGAGAGCGAGGCAGAGAGGGAGGGGTTGTGGCGGAGACCCAGTGTTGGAAGTGCATGCGAGGGGAGCGAGCAGAGAGAGGGCAGGCAGGGAGGAAGGCTGGCTGGCTGGCTGGCTGGTTGGCTGGCTGGTTGGCAAGTAGGTAGGTTGGCAAGAAGTCGGGTTGGAGGGGAAAGTTAGGCAGTCGGAGAGGAGAGGAGGGGATGCAGCGATGGATTGGGATGGCGAGAAAGAGAGGGCGGGCGGCTGCAAAGGCGGGAGTCGAACAAGAGGGGGTTCTCTGGGTCTCTTCTCTCTCTCTCTCTCCCGGTCGGCGTCAACCACCACCACTACCACCACCACCACCACCACCATCATCCCCCGGGGTGAGTAAGCCGGGCCAACACAGCCAGAATGTTGTCGGGTGGCTTGGAGATGAAAATAGCCAGGCTATCGATCTGGCATGGAGCAAACAGGGAAGTCAAGGGGGGAATCCCTTTGATGGCTGTCCCGTGCGCCAACTATTGATTGATGATTAGGAGACTATATCTAGCGATGGATGAAAGGAGGCATCGCATCGCATCGCTATAGTCACTGTTCCCAATCCGAACAACTGACGCATTTATCCTTCCATCCACTTGCCCATTGTTTCGGGTGCCATTGTTTCCCTACCACCCAATGCCGACTCTATGATGGGCAGGCATCGCTGGGCCGGCACTGGGCGTCTGTGCGCTTGGCCCTGTGTTCCCCAGGCCACACACATCCACTGCTGATAGCAGACGGATTGGGTTCCTTTACGAACTCCGACTGTCAACCCCTCAAAGAATGGTCTAGATCCTAATAAAGTCTATGTTGAAACCAGGAATGTGGTAGACGGGCGAATCCTCCCCCGTCTGTCACAACATCACGGACGGAGTACTCCGTACAACGATGACAAGAAGACTAGGTCCTGGGCTGCGGATGACTTGCGACTTCACAGCTCAAGCATGGCAGCTAGACATACGGTCAGATAGTCCAGTCATGCATGTAAATGGTCTTGTCAGGCAATTCAAAGACCTCGTCAAGTGCTTCTTAAGGGTTCTGTCATCACAGGTCTTGCCAAGTACTTCCCAAGTACGTGTACGCGGTCCTGGTAGACAACCTACAGGCACCCATAGCCCAGAGCCTTGCGATGTAACTTGGCAATGAGCAAATAACTTGCCATGCATTCTTCAGGGTACCTGTTTTGGGAGAATTTAGGTAAGCACTTGCTGAGGGCCTTGTGAAGTATGTATAAGGTCTTATTGAACACCCCGGAGAGCCTCGTCGAACTCAAAATACTGTACTTGATTCAGACTACAGCTAGGATTTACAGCGTGCTAGGTCATCCCTCTTTCTCCAGTTCCCCCTGTTCTGACTGAAGCAGTGGGCACTCACACTATATAGATCGGATTGTATGACAGCAATAGCAAGAGCCAGTCAGAAGTCGAGGCTTCAGTGAGATCTACGTACCCTAAGTTACTCAACGCTAACGCGCTTTGCATGCAACCAACCCTATCACCACCACAATTCTACGGTGTATACCAAAGCACAGCCCCTGGATCATGTGCGCGGAGCCCCCTTCGCCCATTCCCGAAGCACATTCTTCCGAATTTTCCCCGTGCTGGTCTTGGGGAGTTCCGCCACCACCTCCACCTCCCGCGGAAGCATAAACTTGCTGATCTGACTGTGATTCCGGGCCCAGTCAATCACCTCCTGTCCCTCCAAGTTGCGGCCCTGTTTTGTGGTCACAAACGCCTTGGGTCGTTCGCCCCAGTGGGTGTCTGGCACCGCCACCACGCCAACCTCCAGAATGTCGGGGTGCGTCACCAGCATGGATTCTAGGGCAACAGATGAGATGTTTTCGCCTCCTGTACAACATTAGCAAAGGAAGTTCAAACTACGACTGATAATCACATACCACTAATGATGATGTCTTTGGATCGGTCCAGGATCTGGATCGCTCCGTCGGGATGCCAGACGGCCAAATCTCCGGAATGAAGAACCCCGCCAGCGAAGAGCTTCCGCGTCGCCTCGGCATCTTTGTAATAGCCTCGAGCACAGATGTTTCCGACAAACGCTATCTCGCCAATCTCCTTGCCGTCCCGGCTGACATCAATAATGGTGCCCTCAGGAACGTCCGTCTTGATTACCCGGGTTGGCAGGCTGGTCAAGAACCCATGGCCTTGCCTTGCCATGCGTTTGAACTTCTCGTCCGAAGGCAGGCGGTCCCATGAGGGCAGATAGTAGCTTCTGGTAGTCGGTCCATATGTCTCCGTCATCCCGTATACATGTACAGGGAGCAGATTGAAGCTGCTCATCTGCTCGAACAACAAGGGTGTAGGGGGACTTCCTGCCACCTGAACGTTCACCGGTACGGGAAGTCGTTCAGCATCTGCATGAGCGCAGAGCAGAGTGTTTACCGTGGGAGCTGCATTGTAGTGAGTGATGGCTTCCTGCTTCAGCAGACTCCAAATCTGCCCATAGTCTATCTTCCGCAGGCAGTAATGTGTGCCCCGAACGGCGGTAACGGCCCAGGGGAATGTCCAACCTAGAATAACCTGTCAGTGGAACTCCGTCTCAATGGAGGATTGCGCCAGAACCGATGACGTCGGTTGGTGTACAGTCACATGATTTGTATCCATGAGACTATTCTGTCAGGTGACATTAAGCTCTGGTGGTTCAAATCAAGTGACTGCGCACGGACCGGCATCATCCCTTCTGGCACACTGCGGAGAGCAAACCAACCAACAGCATGGAACATGGGCAAGATCCATAAATAACGACAGCGGCCATTGAAGACATTCAGGGCAGACTCAACCACATTCCCCAAAGCGGCCAGGTAGCAGCCCCGGTTCGTATACTCCACGCCCTTTGGCCGCGAGGTTGTGCCGCTTGTGTATGCCAAAGCAACAACATCGTCCTCGGACCCGGATGCCTGGGCCTCAAGCCCATCCCAGCCCTTTCCACCTGTAGCAGCGTCATACTTCAGACCTTCCAAGACCGCCTCATCGAAAGGACCCGACAGCTGGCCTTCCGTGGCATCTGTATCGGTATCAACAATAATCGGCGTCTCCGGTTTGGCCTCCCTATACACGCGCAGCAGCGGCAGGTATTCCTGATCCACAATGATCACCTCTGCATCGGAATGGGTGAATATATATGCAATGTCGTCTTCCTTAAGACGGTAGTTCACAGCTAGGGACGGTCAATTCCTTCATCTTCAGAGTTATGGAGGAAAGTGTTCCTAGCCGAGTATTTTGTTGTCAGAACTTACCAACATTTACACCTCCCGCAGCTCCAATGCCGAAAATCGACTCCAAAAACGCGGGCGTATTCGGGCACAAGATGCCTACCTTTTTAAATCCACGTTTCTTCAAAAAGTACGCCAGCCCTCTAGCCCTATCTGCAAACTCAATATATGTTCTTCGGAGTACCTGATTATTTGCCGTAACATGGTAAATGGCCTCAGCCTGCCATAAACCCCATTAGCCAACCCACAGCTCCAATCAAGAATCGCGAAGAATAGAGAACCCACATCTGGCTCAATGGCCGCCGCTCTCTGCAGAAAGTACGCCGGCGAAAGGGTATGAAAGTTAACCTGGCTCTGCACCGACGCAGCCTTAGCTCCTCCCTGGCCGTCGGAGGAAGGGAGAAGATGGCCCAGGAGGCCGGACAATCTATTTTTCGCGGAGGACATGGAGACAGGGTTATTGCCGGCGACCAACCAATGGAAAGGAGCGATAAGTGTAGTGAACAGCCGGGGGGAGGGAGGTGGGAGGGAGAAGAAGAAACCTAGGGAGGGGGCATTGTGACTTGTGATTGCCCTACGGCCGAGGGGGACGCAGTAGTGGGAGGACTGCAGGTAGATCGGAAAGCGACAAGATGCGGGGAGATCACCGTCGGGAAACTAAAAGTGTAAGCGGAGACCGAGCGGACCAATTTCTGGGCTAGTGAGCGGGGGATTCCCGTTTGGCCTTTGCCCATACAGAACGAAGGACGAGACTTGCGTTGAGAAGGTCTCCGTTATTGCCTCCTGGCTGGTTGGTGTACTGGAAGTTGAGATCTGATGCAAAACATAAACAAAGAAAGGACGCAGAAAAAGTACTGTTTCTCGCGATAATGCAGAGAATGTCAGAGGAGATGGTTGCAATTTGCATGTCCTCTAAGCTCACCGGTTCCGTTTCCGCACCTCCCCACGCCGTACCCACTTAGCCAACACTACGCCTGTCTGCCGTTTGCGGAACCAAACCGTCCTCAGGGCTCAGGTCCTCTTCGTTGGTCCATGCTTAAATCTGCGCGCGACCGATCGCGTGGACCTGATACTGACGCTCGTTCTCGCCAAAGAAGAGTAGTGGGAGACGAGCAAACGTAGAAGGCCGGATGTATGGATACCGGGCGCAATCCATTTCAAAAGACTAGTCGCTGCACCTCAATATCACGACCAGCGCTAACGGCCTCCAGTGATAGGCTTAGTGAAATTGGTGTCACAAATCACGCAACCGAGGAAGGTAGATACGAGACACGGAGATAGCAGGACCTAGCGATATTAAAGACTACCAGCAAAGTGGATCCTGTCATGATGGTACCACCGTACCACACTACTCCGTACTTCTAGCCGCCCTTATCGATGCGGTGCCATGGGCCATGGGCCAACACGCCCTGAGCGAAGGCCAGGACTCAAGGCTAGTGGATCGCGTGTGGGTCATTACAGCAGATGCCAGGCAGAGAGCAGTCGCTCTACAATCTACAGACATGATCGAAGTTGGTATTGGTTGCGTGGCGCTCGGGACAATTACAAGGGAAAACGGACATGGCTTAGGTATCAAGTGGACAATGTCCAGCTCGGCGCCCTCGATGAATCTCAAATCGGGTATTCCGTCTGCTTAGGATACATTAGGTTCGGAAGGCATATTGCAGGGCCAGAGTGGTAAAGAGGTCGTCACAAGTCATTTGAACTCTTGAAAAGAAATTTCTTGGATTAAACCGCCACGGCGCGAATCACGGTCAGCTATTTTGAACAACCTTTCATCCCAAGTGACTCCTGTATTTTTTTTAATAGAAAGAATCGATCTCTCCAGCCTCCATGTACGTCACAACGTGAGAATTGTGGTATTTCATGATAAGGTAGGGACAGTGAGAAAAAGGTCGATCGGTTTGCCGTCCATCTTCGCTGAGAGAAAACCGTTCGCGATTCCATCCCATCCCATCAGACACAAGCAACCAGCCGCGCAACTAGGTATCTAGTATCCGTACTGAGCAAGCTGGCTCTTGGTCTGCTCGGAAACACCCGCCGACTTCTGGGCGTGGACGAGTTGGCGGCGAGCGGCCTTCTTGCGCTCGTAGTATGCACTGCTCTTAACCTTTCTGCGCTCCTCAAGTCTGTAGGGGGAAAAAAAAACTCCGTTAGCCTTCACCCAACCCCCAAAATCTCCCATCTCATCTGCTCCAGATGAACATGTACGTACCTGGCAACAACGTCCTGGTACTTCCAGCCAACCTCGTGGCTGAGACGACCGACGGTGCAGTACTTGCGGCCGGGGCGCAGGCGGAGAACACGCAGGGCCTGGGGAACGACGACGCGCTTCTTCTTGTCGTAGGGGGGAGGAACACCCTCGAAGACCTTGAGTCTCTCCAGAGCGGCAGCACCACGGGCGGTCTTGTGGGGGATCATACCACGGACGGCCTTGTAGAAGATGCGGGAGGGGGCACGGAAGTGGAAGGGACCTGTATCGGTTCAGCACGAGTCCCGGAACAATCAAGTGTCGTCTTCCCAGGGTGGGAAGTTCTCAGGTGGTCTCACCTCCGCGGGTGGGGTTGAAACGAGTCATCTTGCGAAGGTAGGCGTGGTACTTGACTATATGGCGAAAGAAATCCAGGTCAGCCGTCTGCAATCCGCGCATTGTTGTCTTTTGTTCCTCCCCCATCCATCCAACATCTCCGAGCACCTCCGCCAATTCCGATATCGCCGCACCCCATCCTCATTACTCCTTCAACCTTCATTCCAAAGACAAATCAAAAACCGGGTCGGATTGAACATACGCTTCGCGCGGAAGAACTCGCCGGAGATGTTGAGGGCTTCACATCTCACAACGACGATCTTCTGACCGTTGAGCAGCTGCTTAGCAACAGTGCTGGCCAGGCGACCCAGGAGGTGTCCCTTGCCGTCAATGACGACCTGCAAAATCCCAACACAAGTCAGCGACAACGGTTCTGTACTCCCAAGGGCGGCCTCGCCCTTTTCGACATGTTCAAGGGTGTGGATGCAACGCAATGATGGAGGTTCGGGAGGTGCATGTGAAGGGGCGTACGCACGACTGGATCGATGGAGGACATCCTGCTCTGTCACCGGTTCAAATGGAAAATATCCAGCGAAAGGAAGAGCGCTGCTCTAGGATACTCCCTTGGGATGTTAGTTGTCGGCGGTTGTTGTCGTTGTGGGCAGGTTCAACGCACACAACGATGTCGGATGGAGTTCGCTGGTCGTCGCTAAGCGAGCGGCGCTACGTCCTCTTTGTGCGGGCAGAGCCCCGTCGAGGGCCACAGCCCTAATGCCCGTGGCTTGTAGGTCACGTGCGCCCGCCCGTATCGTCGCGCCTCTCCTCGATACTTCCAGCCCTGTAAGCCATGTGGAATGGGGTCTTGCGATGGCCTTTTGATAGGCCAGGTACCTTTTTCTAGGGGCCTCTCTGCGGTGCCATCATCTTGAATGTTCATGAGTCGCCCAGTGATGCCGCGCGCGTTCCATCCACATGAGGCCTGCTGAACCCCGCAAATACCATACAGTATCGCGATACTAGACCCAGTAGGACTCCCCCAGACAATCCAGGTACTATCGAGCATCTACTCGTCTACCGCCACACCTTTGACCCTACGATCCTCTCCAGTATACCAGCAGATTTCGTGTGAATAATGACACTACAAAAGTTGGTACTTCTTTGTACGATGAATTTTTACATACACAAAACGATAGCTTCAACTTATAGATTCTAGTCCATGTTGCGAACATCTTTGAAATTGATCCATACTTGAGCGCCTTCCGAATCAGGCATCGAATCTTATACTGTAGCAATACCACTCATGTGTGTAGAGCGGATAGCCATTGAGACAGATTTACTATCCATGTTTCACCATCTAATCTCATCATCTTGTCATCTTAACTCTTTGCTAGAACCATGCTCCTCACCCTTCGTCAGAAACTATTCCTCTTGATCCGACACGTGGTAGTGTGGTGCCTGCGTATGCATCGAAACTGCAATTCATTCAGGGGGAATTGCTATCCCCCAATGATCAATGTCTTTCCAATACCGAGGATTAGCTCACACCTTGTAATACCAGTTGCTGGTAGCGGTACGTTGAAAGAGGCCGTGTGACTTCGCTATAACAGGGTACAGCCGATCTAGAATATGAGACCATTGAAAACCAATATCACGTAGCATACAGGTATAATACATTAACTTGGAGGGGAAGCCTAACTAACATACATGGTGAGAAAGAAATGCAGGGGTAAATAAAAACCTATGGGGTTCTCTGCGATCAACAACAACAAAAAGGTCTATCTTCCGGTTCCGTCCGTCCAGGGTCTCGTTGCTCCGGGGTCGTTCGTTCAATCAATGAGGTCTTGTAGTAAAGTATAGATGAGGGGTGCATAACAGAACAAAATAAAAGTGAAGAAGAACAAAACACCCAGATTCAAATAAATCAAATAGCCACCCATCCCATCAACACCGTGAAAAGTTGAGAGGTCCCAAACGCCTTGCTGGATCTTTTTGTTACACATGGTGGGCATGAAACTATTCGTCGTTTCGGATTCAGATGGGAGGAAAAACAGAGAAGGAGGAAGATGTTCATGACTTCATGGTGGCAAGGAACGAGTCCAGGTTGTACTCTTCCTGGTACTGCCGGTCGTCCCAGAGCTCGCCCAGATCGTCTAGCCAGCCCTTCTTGCCCTTTTCTTTGACTTCGCCGTCGATGTCGACCAGGTCCACTTCGTTGCCGGTCGGCTCGCTGGGCTTCTCGGCGCTTTCGGCGGTTTCGCCAAGGTTGAACAGGTCCAGGAGCTGGTCGGTATCCATCGTGTTTAGCCCCGCGTTCTGCTGGTTGACTACCGTGGAGGCCACGTCGATCTTGAACCGTTGGAGGCTGGCATCTGTTAGAATGGGTCACTGTCACGGTTGGGAAATTCAAACTTACTTCAAGATCTTCTCCTCCAGAGTGCCGCGGGTGATCAGCCGATAGACATTGACAACCTTCTTCTGGCCGATACGATGGGCACGGTCCATGGCCTGGATATCCTTCTGCGGGTTCCAGTCGTGCTCGACGAAGATAACCGTATCAGCTCCCGTGAGGTTCAAACCTAATCCGCCAACGCTCGTGGTCAGAAGCAGGACATCGTAGCTGGGATCCGAGTTAAAGCGGTTGACAATGTCCTGGCGCTTGGTTGCCTCCACGCCTCCGTCCAGACGGAGATACTGAACCGATGGGAGAAGCTTGCGCAGCACCTCGCTCTGCACAATGTCAAGCATTTCCTTCATCTGGCAGAAGACCAGTGCTCGGTGAGGGCTCACATAGCTTGCTCCAGTGCTGAGATCGCCTTCAGTGGGTGGCTCCACACCAATGCCACAGTCGAGCAGCAAGTCGCGTAGAGCGCTGAGCTTGGGCGCGTGGGACACGTCCCGGATGTGAGACTGCTTCGTGCTGAGGTACTGCTGGACCTCGTTGTACTGCTTGTGTCCCTCTTTAACGACCAGCGCTGGAGAATTGCAGAGACGGCGCATGTACTGCAATGCTTGGAAGATGTGCTCTTTGTCGGATTTTTCGGAGCTTCCCAGTTTGTCCGCCAGTTCCTTTTGCTCCTTCTTGGAGAAGTCCTCGAAGAGTCTCTTCTGGAGGTCACTGGGGTCGCAGTAGTAGTTCTGGATGATCTTCGGTGGCAGATCATTCAAAACCTCCTCCTTCAGGCGACGGAGCAAGAACGGAAGCACTTGCTTATGCAAGGCCTCAATGGCAAGAGCGCCGGCCTCTTGCTCCTTAGAGGACGATTTGCTGAAGCGACTGGCGGCGATCGGCTTGGCGAACCGGTCCAAGAAGACCTTCTCCGTACCGAGAAATCCGGGCATCAGGAAGTCGAACAGAGACCATAGTTCCAACACGTTGTTCTGGATAGGAGTACCAGAGAGAATCAATCGGTGGTTGCTGGCAATTCGCTTGACCGCGAGGGTGACCTTCGCCTTGGGGTTCTTGATGAGGTGCCCCTCGTCCAGCACGCAGTAATTCCAGCTGATCGGTCGGAGAACATCGTTGTCGTTCCGGCAGATGTCGTAAGACGTCACAACAATATCGGCGTCGGCGAGGCTGCCCTGCAGTCTGGCGCGCTCTACCGGGGGTCCAACATAAGCAACACAGTTCAGGAACGGCGCGTACTGCTTGATTTCCTGTTGCCAGTGACCTGAAAGGGACGGTGGGCAGACAATCAGGGATGGAAGCTTCCGAACTTCAGGCGCTTGAGTGCGCGCGAATTCATCGGCGCGCAGATGATGGTCACTCGCGACGATGCAAATGGTTTGGAGAGTCTTTCCGAGACCCATGTCGTCACAGAGAATGCCATGCAAATTGTATCGGTTGAGGAAAGCGAGCCAATTGACACCCTCCTGCTGATAGGGCCGGAGTTCGGCCTTGATCGCTACAGGCAGCTGGAACTCTTCCACCTTGCGCACATCCAGCATTTGGGACATGAACTTTCTCTCCCGGTCTCGTCCCTTGAGCAATTCCTCGGAAAGGCCGGGTGGGTCGGGAATGCCAGCTTCCAAAGGTACAAGCTTGACCAACGTAGCAAAAGAAGTCGTAGCCAGCAAGCGCACGTCGTTGTCCGAGTCGCTCATCCGTCCCAAAACCGGGACCACGAGGAAAATGACATAAGGCAAAATCCCGTCCTCCATCACATGAATGAGGTGGTAGATGCACTCCACAGCTCCCTGGCGGTGGTGAACATCCAAGGCGCCATTAATTGTCGGCAGGACTTTTTCGACCAACATGGTCATACCCTCAACGGTGATGACGCTGCAAACCGTCGCAAAGCACTTGGCGGCGGCGTATCGGATGACGGAAAGCCTGCATTGAAGGGCCTTGGCGATCAGGGGCATGAGTCCGACAACCCATGAATATAGGCCAGTGTCGAACTTGGGTAGCAGCGCACGCACCGTCGATAGGCCATCCACGACCTCCTGGCCCAGTTCGTTGTCGGGGTTGAGGATGTCCCCGGGAAGGTCGCCGGTAAGAGCGTCCTTGAGAGGCCGTTCAACCAAAGATGCGAGGTTGGGAACCTTATCCAAAAGCTCGGCCCCAAACTTGACGGCCAACTGCTCGAGGGCATCCTTGGCGCCCCGACGCATGATCTTGGCCTCCTTTGTTTCTCTCTCGAATTTGGCTGCGTCGGGATGATCGCGCCGATCCTCTTCCTTGCGGAGTGACAGGATAGACTTCTCCAGAGTCGCGTTATGGTGAAATTCGGGCGTTTCGGACGTGTCCACGCAGCAATACTTGACCAAATTGCCGATGACCTTGTCGACAGGGCCTCGTTTCGTCGCGGTAGTGTAGTATTCTACTAACAGCGAAATTGCCGTGGCAGAGCGCTGTTGAAGTTCGGCATTTTCTTCCTTCTTAATGCTATCCATCATGCCCTTGATGATATGACTAGGTTTCTTCGGAATGTCGTGTAACGCTACCAATGCACCAGCGGCGGCAGCCCGTACACGCATGTCCCTTTGCTCACGGACACTTCTTGCTTCTTCGATGGCGCTTTCTGCCGTTGCACGGGTGTCGTTCAGAACCTGCAGAGCGGTGATCCGCTGGGCTGGGGCAAGACCCTTCTTCAGTCGCTCAAAATCGGGCCCAGCAACCTTCTCGGCGTCCGCAAGAGAAAAGGCACTTGGTCCGGCTTCGGGATCCCCTTGAACAATGACTGCAAGTGTGGGCAGCCGAGATCCGGGGACATGGGCGTGGTCTCGGAAGGCATTAAGTAGCGAGTGACACTGTGCACGGGCGACATGGAGGTAGCATGCAATGTCACTGTACCACATCGGACGCTCGCCTTCGATGATTGGGCGCAACTGTTCACAGAGCGTGGCGGTATACATGCTGTTAGGTCCCGAGAGCCTAGCGTATTCCTCAACCACCATGGCAGTTGAGAGTTGCGACGTGGATGCCGGGTATTTGAGTCCCTCCAAGATAGACTGCCAGAGGCTGGAAAGCTCATTCTTATCCCAGTGGAAGAGCAACTTCCCGAGGGCTTTGGCCGCATAGATTTTAGACCTCAGCATTGTATCTGCCCCGACCAAATCAATATCTCCCTGGAGCATATGTCCGTCAACGTTGTGAACCGAAGGTGGGGGCAATTCTTTCTTTTCTGCTTTCCGTCCGCGCTTCTTGGTTCCATCGGCTGCGGTAGCGGCGGCGACGTTGTTGTTGTTGCCAGTCGGCGAGGATTTTGCGGGTGCCGCAGCGCTCATCGGGAAGGGCACTCCAGACGGCTTGATAAACAGAGCAGCATTCATGGGGATGGGATATCTTGGAACACCGAACGGAGACATGGTCAGAGTGATGAGCGGTTGCACGGTGCTTAAGAGGTCGGTCTCAGGCGTGAACGACCCACGACTTTCCAGGGAGTTAAGCAACTCCGACCATACTTGAAGAGACAGCTTGAGAACACCTTCATTTCGCTCCACCAGTAGGTTTTGGAAGATCAGGCGCAGGGCCTTTCCGTTCACCCACTCATTGGTACCCTCGCCCTCCAGTTGTAAGAAGGTCATCAGGGCACGTAGGACAGCAGAGCGAACGCTGGTGATTGTATGGCGCAAGAATGGATAGAGGCGAGGGACAAGATTCCCAAACGACGACTCCGGATCAGCGGCTGCGTTGACTTTCATGGCATCCAGCACCTCGCGAAATGTGCACAGTTTCGCCAAAAGGTCCATGACTGAGCCAGTACTGGCGCTCAGATCATCCTGCAGGTTTGAGAGACAGTCCCAGACGATGTTCATTAGGCTTCCTAACGTGGTCTGTCGGGATGCGACAAACTCTTCCGCCATAGGAACCAGCGTCGCCGCACTCACAGCACGAACATCATCGTCATAGTCGCCTAGCCCCTTCATCACGGCCTCCAGAACGCCGTCCATCAGATCACGATCTTTGATCAGTATATCTTTACGAACGGCCACCAAATACCTGAGACCGATCATACCACCATGGCAAACTTCCCAAATGGGGCGTTCCAAGCCCAGGTCGTTCTGCATGACAATTCGGTACAGGCACTTATAGACAGACACCACGGACCGAGATGGAAGCTGTGAGAGCAGTGCACCTAATGTCTGGCCCACCGTTTCCCGGATGGGAGCGACAACGTTGTCAGAGATGTAGTCACCGAAACGATCAAGCATGAGGACACAGAGGAGTCGGCATGCCAGATCGTCCAGCCATTTGCGGTTCAGGACATCGTTCTCCTGTCTGCTCTTGCCCCGCAAGCGCCCAGCGCCAGCTCCCTGGACACGGATAACCTCTCGAAGAGCCATCGCAGCTCCATGGCGGACCTCCCAGTTAAAATCGAAGATATCCACCATGAGAAATTCACACATGGGTTCATATGGCCATGCGATGCTAGGCCCTTCATCGGTGACCACCGGTTGTATAAAGGGCTTTTCTGGGGCGATAGAGCCTTTGAATTCAGACACGATCTTTTGGTCGTCATCGCCGGAGGATCTCTCGAGGGAGAAATAGTCTTGTTTCGAATCGCCATTGCGCTCTTCTCCGTTTTCCGCCTTGATAGGATGAGGCGTCGCAACCGAAGGGGTCGTAACATTGTCCGATGGTCTCCGAGCTGACAGGTCCACGACACGTACCTTATTGGCCCCCATTCGCGCACTCTGCTTGTTCTTCCGTTTGAGCTGATTCAATTGCCGTTTGCTCAAGCCAGACTCTTCTCCATTGGCAGGTTCCATCGGGGATGCCAGCGGCGGTGCTGCAACATGGTGGTTATTGGCTTCCTTATGAGGACCTTCATCCTTGATACCCGGTGTCTTCAAGACGAGGTCACTGTCGTCGATCAAATCCTCCTCAATGTACTCTCCGGCAAGTCCTAGACGGGAGGTTAAGGTCTTCTTCTGATGCTGCAACCGAGAGGCAGGGTCCATGGCGGCTAAAGAGTACTCATACTCCTTGCCCGCACTGCCCAACAGCCTCTTGCCGTACTTGAGGATGGAAGCCAGATCCAAGCGCTCGAGCTGAAGCAGTGAGTCCTCGGGGGACGAGGGTTGTTCGTCCTCCGACTTGATGTCCACCGCGACATCGTCCTCCTCGGCCTTCTTGATCGATTCCCCATCTTCTTCGTTAGGATCGAAGGTATCAGCGTTAGTCACAATCAGTCCGATAGCCTTGGCAGCCGCTGTTCGGGTATCCCAGGACTTGGACCTAAGATAGGGAAGAATGCGACCGAGCAAGTTGAAGAGCTCATCGGGATGTTGCTTCTGGACATCGGCGAGCTGCTGGGCTGCGGTGTTGCGGATGAGAGGCGTACTGCCGGTCTCCAGTAACCTGCGAAAATGATTGGTCAGTGCTCCCAGGCGGCGCGCAGGCAGGTAGTACTCACGTGACAAGACGGTCGAGTCTAGCGCGGCGCAGTTAGCGTCATGTACCAAACGGATGCGGAATGGACGGGACGGCAGATGGAAACTTACCTGGAGGACATGGCTGGCTGTCTGTCACTCCTCGGAAGATTGAGGAACGAATAATTTCAAGACACCCAGGAAAACTCCCAGCGTCCGCGAAAAGGGGGTATCAGCAAAAGAAACGTGGTCGCAAATGATCCACCGATTAGAAAGAACAGAAGAAGAAAACTATATCCTTTCTCACCACACCTCACGAACACCTCCGAATTATTAGGTAAGGTAAGAGAGAGGGGGGAGCGAAAGAGGTATGTAAAGTATACGGGATCGTTACACCCACGTCACAGCCATCGAGACAGTCGAAGCGTGACTAACTAAGCAACCGGGAACAGTTCAGAAGGGCGATCGGTAGAGAAGTGGAGATCACGGCTTAGTAGAGACACGGGTATTGATCGGGGGACGTGACGCGGACCAGGGGGGAGATATTACTTTTAGGTATGGGTAAGTAATGAATCGTAAAAAACCGGACCCCGAGGAGAAAAGCGAAGGGGACAAGGAAAATGCAAGTGAAAGAAATGCAAAATGCAGACGACCGGCTGTAATAGTATTTGACAGCTGGGGGTGGGTGGTGGTGAATGGAATGGGGAGGCGGTGGTGGTGGTGGTGCTGAGCCTTTCTTGGGCCTGCGTGCCGATAGGGAAAGCAGGGCAAGTAAATGCGCAGGAGTATCAACAAGTCGTCCCTCCGGTCCTGCTTTGCCTCCCCTCGAGGTCACGCAGCCTGTTTATATCATTGGGGGCATCTTTGGCTGGGCGCGCCTACCCATACTTGGGCCCTGTGCGCTAGCCCGGAAGAGGCCTGGCGCCCCCCACTCCCGTAAAGGTTTTCTACCTATCACGTGACTCCTCCCTGCGCCAACCGCCGCTGGATCGACAGGCGCGAAATTGCTGCGCTTTCCTGCTCTCCTCCATGAGGCTGACCGGCTCGATCCAGGGAATCTCGCGCCGCCAGATCCTTCGCGACTGATGGCGGTGTTCTTTGTGCGCACGGCTTTCAGCTCCGGAGGACCGTAGTTGGCGTTCATCAGTGCGGGAACAAAACTCCTACTACTCGATCGTTCTGTATGCTCTCAGTCTCCCCGAGCCAGCTTCAGCCTACGTACCACCTACGTACTAGCAGAAATATAAAAATTACGTTCCCATCAAGACCGCCATGTGAGCTTGTTTCGATCGCCCTCCAACATGCCAAGAAATGCCAGATGGCCCTCCTCTAGCATCGGAAACCGGTCGTCGTCCAGGCCGGACTGACCGTCCTTTTTTCTGCAGGCTCCGATCGTAGTTGTCCGTTCTTTCCCGTGGCTGTTTGACAGCTGCCTGAATAAATGCTAGTACCTCCGTGTGGTCCTATCCCCAAGCTCCCACTTCCCGGTAGATGACGTTGGATGTCTCCTCCAATCAGATCCCGCGTAATTCTGATGAAATCTATTGAAAATATAGATCACATAGTCCCTACCACTACTCGGCATCTAGACGCGCACTATTTGCTCAACGTTTCACTCGAGGCTGATTCATCGCAACGAAGGGAATGATTGATGTTCCGATCAACAGTCTATTGTGTCCAAATTTAGTGTGAAGGTTATTCAATTCTAGTGCCGAAATATATAGTGAATACCACTCCGCTGTAGCCGGGCTATCTATATATCTTTCCGCATCTGCCAGCGATTCCAGCTCCAAACCCATCCGCGGGAGATTCACCACTTTTATTGCGTTTTCTCCCTTAACAATGGCTATTAAGCTTGCTAGTCTATAGATTACCACCAATACCAACACCTATACACAGCCGGGAACACATTAAATACCAAGTGGAACTCTACAACCTGTTAGGAACCATCCAAAGTGCGCCTCTGAATCCTACCAGGAAATGAGCATCGCATTTAGGCTGACTGACAGAAGAAAATATTTGAGCTGAGTAGCTCAGAACGCGCATCACTTCCAAGAGATAGAGATGATGATTCACGGATGTTGAGTCATGTGAGGGCCTGATTACTCACATAACCACAGATATCTGTCACGTCCTACAAACTGACTCGACCGGTCAGAATCCAACGATCCCCATATCGCGACCAGGGAATCCACGTGATCAATGAAACTGTCCATTTCTATACATTGAAGGACCCCACAGCGGTAAACAGAAAACAGCATAGCCGTAGAAGTAATGAAACAATCAACATGCAATCGCACCAGGTATGCGCATATTCCCCCTTAAGACTTGCTCAAAAATGCCGCAGCTTCCTCCTCTTTCCCTAGCAGTCCCAGACTGCGGATCTGTTCGGCCTTGGGGGCGTTTTCACGGGGGGTGGCGGCCTCAGCCTTGCGGTAGGCGGCCTGCATCTTCATCGTCCGGAGAGCCTAAATGCAGAAGAAATGTCAGACAGGAAACCCAAGTGCCAACCACGAGTGGAATCGCATGAGAAACACCGCGAGAAGATAGGCGTACCTCTTTCTTGTGGTGCAGGCACTCGTAGTAGTCCTCCAGAGCGGGCATGCACTTCTTCTTGCCAGTTTCACCCTCTCCGGCATTGACCACGTAGCAACCGAGAACCTCCTGCCAGAAGTTGTAGCAGCGGGAAGGACCTGCACAGAGCATCAGGATTAGCCGGCAACGTCCGCGGGAGAGGGCCACGGGCGGGCGCCCCATCTAGGCAACCCCGGGCTTCTGGGGGGCCATGAGCCCTGACACCCAAAGGAAATAAGACATACCGCCGTTGAGACCGAAACCGGAAGCCATTGTGTGTGAGGTGGGGGGTGCAGGACGGGGCGAGAGGAGGGGATGGATTGCGAGGGAGCGGAGATGAGGATGCGATGAGGTTCTTCTTCCCTCGCCGATGATTCGCCTGGGCCGCTTCCGCCCCGACGCTGGCCCGTGCACCTGACGTCTTTGCTGCTCCCGAACACATCACCCTCTTCATGCTTCCTCCTCTGCTCCTCCTCCAGACGTCATGGCGGTCCTTCAAGGGCTTTCGGGTGCTCATGCGATTCTATTAGCCACCCATCTCTGTGCCACCGGCGATGTGGCCGCTCTCCCGCTGTTGCAGGCCCAATTCCCTGCTCATCTCCCGCTCGAGCGTGTCTTGCGCATCATCTTGACTTTCCTGCCCGAGAGTGCGGAACCCAGCACTTACACCCCGGTGTTGCAAGCGCTGGTCGACGGGGGACAGTTGGAGACGGATGGTGATGGCATTAATACTGCCTCCGTCAAAGATCTACCAGAGCCGATCGTGAGGAAACGTGTACGGAAGATCCGTTTACTACCAATACAGCACCCAGATGACGAGGACAGCCAAGATCCGGCTGATCTGCTGACCCAATTCCTGATTCACCGGGCCCATCGCATCGACTCGGAAACCGCTCTTCAGCCGCTCGTTCTAAACCTTCTCTTGCCGTTCTATCCTCACTCGGAAGCGTTGCGCACCTGGTTGATTTCCAGTCTCCTACCGCTACTCCGATTGAATTACGAATACTACCCTAGCCAGGACGAAACATTCTCGCTAGATATCCTGGAGTCCATGGACAACAGTATTGCCATCAACGTCCTCCTTTCGATGACCGGTGCGACAAAGAGCAGTATGGACTTGGTACGGAATCTACGTGGCTTGGTGGGTGCTTGGATGTATGGCAGCAACCGTTCTAAAAGACGGAGACTCAACGAAACAGCACAAGAAAACTCGATTACTCTACCTCAGGATGAAGCGCAACCGAAAACGACTGCAGGTGTTGGATGGCAGCAGGTGAATGAGTGGTTGCTGGCACGGAGTCTGGTGGACCATGAGAGTGCCGTGAACGCGTTTGTTAACTGGGATGGCCCTGAGGATGTCGACCTCGGCGGCTACGCTGAAGAGAATGAGGGCCTATCGGCCGATGAGCTCAGGGATCTGCGCACTCGGTATGGGCAAACTGGGCTTGCTGTCGTGTATGCGAACGCCGACCCTAGCCCCCCTGCGCTGGACGGCTCCATTCGGGTTCTAGCGCGCATCGCGGAGTTCCTAAAGCTAGAGGAATACTTGTTCCTCTCACCAGATATCTCGGAACTTCCCAAAGTGCAATTTGATCCAGAGCTGGTTTCGTTGGCCTCGAGAGTATCTTTCTTGCAAAATGCTCTGCTGGTGGCTTCAAACCCGTTAACGCGTCCTTCTGCTTCATCGATATCTTTCCTCAGCGCCATTTGCCTTTCCCTCCGGATTTTAAACGAACTGGACCACCCCATTCCGTGCAGGACGGCTGCAACCCTCTGCCTTCTTAATAACGAAGAGACGCAACTACTGGAGTTGCGCAGTGTAGTAGCCTCTGTCGTGAGACATGCAAAAGCTGGTCGTGACTGGAGCAAGACCCGCCAACAGCTACTTTGGCTGCGAGACTGGCAGGGAAATTACCAGGATTCAGCGGATGCTCACAACTGTCATGGCCTCTTCTGGAGGGTTCCCCGGAATACCGTCGAGGCAGAAATCTTGAAAGCGTTGCTCGAAGTCAGAGGTGAGCATGGCATGCCCATATCGTTGGTAAACCCTAACGAGTATAGAATACAACCTTGCTGTCGGCATTTACATGGGCTCTGGTTCAAGTTTAAGCTCTACGCAGGTTGAGGAGGCTGTCAAGGAGGCCATTTTCGCAGCCTACGACAATGCAAGCAATGGGAACAGGACCCGGGGCGGGATGAAGAGAGCATACGACATGTAAGTCTAGGAGGAACGACCATCGTCTCAACTTCGAGCTGACTCTCTGTAGCCTCCAAGCTTTCCAACCTCACTTTCCGGATTCTGCCTCGTTCAAGCAGGTCCAAGCTCTCATCTCGGCCACGCACGCCCTGTCCTTCTACTCCCTTACCTTGCAGCACGGCGTCCCCTTCCAGCCAGTCAGCATCCGGGTCCACCCTGACCCTCTGTCTCTGATCGAAAAGGTTCTCGACCAGAACCCCAAGAGCTACACGAAACTGGACGACCTGCTAGCCATTGGCCGGAACCTTGTTTCAGCAGGCGTCTCCCGTGTATCCGACGAGCACGACTCCCCTTTCTTGCCCCCTCCCTCACAGGAAGACGCCACCATCACCGCCGAGCGTCGGATAATGTCTCTGGCCATCTCTTCCGCCCTTTCCTCGAACGACTTTGGCACTGCCTACTCCTACATTCTCACTCGTCTCACACCCCCATCCCTTCTCCCGACATCCCCTCTGCCCAACTCCACCTCCACCAAGGACGACATCACCTGGCGAGCCGTCTACAACGCCGGCCGTTACCGCGCCCCAGCCACCACTGTCACCCCCAACAACCAAACCCAAATCACACACCTCTCCCAACGCATGGAACTGCTCTCCCTCGCCCTTGTTCTTGCCCCCTCTCCCGAACCCCTCCCTGAAATTCTAGGTGCCTGGCGCCGCTGCGACGAGGAGCTGGGGGCACTCCGCGCGCGCGAAACAGAGGAAGAAGATCTCTGGGACGCCAAAGCGGACACCCTTTCCTCCACCACTCTACCGGGAGGCTTCGGCCCCACAGACAGCGAGCAGGATGCGTTCGAAACACGACAACACCAGGCACGACGAGCACGGGCACATGCCTCCCAGAATCGTCTTAACTACGAAGAAGCCCCAATGGGTCTCTTCGAAGTTGCACGTGGCGCTGCCCTCGCCCTACAAAAGAACGCCTTCCCGCTCCGCTCGGCTCCAACAAAGACTATTCCCGACGAGCATTCCGCCCCCTCATCTCACATGCGCAGCGACTCGTCCTTATCAGAGGACCAGAACGGCGAAGGACGCGTCCGCAAGCGAGACGTGGTCAGCAACATGGTAACCGACGGATTAGTCAGTGGGCTTGGTTGGGTCCTAGGCGCCCAGCCGGTTAATCGATAATTGCAGCGACTACGCACGAGTTCGTTTCAGGAAACAACTTTTTCATTGACCGGGTTAGCGGGTTACGAAGTATGACATGAGCTACTTATTTCATGGATTGCTTTTCATTTTTTTTCTTTTCGTTTACCTACTCTTATACATATTCCATATCTTGCATGAAGTGACAGGTTGCATTGCATAATGAATATATACCATCCTTAATCGATAACAAACTCAAAATTAAAGAATTAGTCTAATGATGAAACTAAAATCAAACATCTCCTCATAAACTATAACTGCAGACTCAATATTCCTCATCACGTTGATCAACCCAGTTATCACCAACTCCCTTGGATAATCAATACCTACCTACCTATATGCCAAATGAATATCAAAATCCATCTCATATGACCCTTCCCTCCTCCTCCCCACCAAACCTCCATAGAACCAACCCATCCACAACAGAACCCAATAACCTACCCCAACACGAACCTTCACCTATCTAAGTATCTCAAGCTAACTCCACCCTACTACCTACCTACTTCCTTACGAAAAAACCTCATTTACCAGACCAACCCGACTAAATACAGTATTAATTCAATCATCACGATAAAAGTATCCCCGTGTCCCTGCAAAAAGCTTTCTCCCTACGTTGGGGATGTTCTGGGCCTCTCGCGTGTCATATTATTGATACGTGTATATATGACGACGGGGCGGGGCGGAGTGTTAGTATTTATAGAGTGAGATACTAGGGTGGGATAGTTCATCAGAACTCTACACATATAGATATAAATATATACATATATACGACCATGATGTATGTGTGGTTTGGATATTGAAGATGCTAAGTGTTACTAGTATCCTTTTCTATCATGTTAATCAATATTTTCGGGTTCGGTTTCTATAGTCTGTAGTAGGGTTAGCTGAAGGTTGTTGGTCGAGCTCCCGAGCAGGGTGAGCAGGGTTGAACCCCAATTGTCCATCACACTTGAACGGTATTTCCATATGGACTACGAGAGCAAAATAGCTAAGCAAACAGTCTTGATATTCCTGTATCGCTATCCGGTGCCAATCAGTGTACACGATAGGGAGCCCGCCTTTCACACGCATGCCCACAAGCAGAAAGAACAGGCTAAGCATAGACGAAAAATATGTATGTCTTCCGTGAGGCTGAATGTATGTATCTGCATGCGTACAATATGAGAACAGCTGGGAATGTAAAGCCAGACCAAGGGAGGATGATAAATAATGATATATATGATATGGAACAGATACGGCAAGATATGGAACCCAATGAACCAAACTCTTCCCGTCGCCGGAAAAGAGGAACACGCGCCAGCACCGCTGGCGATGATTTGAACACAAAAAAAAAAACAACCTCAAGTTGCCGGATGAATGACGATGGGTTTCGGCGGAAAAGAACCGAGATGAGGAACGGATGCAATGCACTAGACAGGACAAACGCTGGACCAGTGGGGGAATTAAAGGAAGGCGTGATCATGTCGGGTGACGATAATGAGATGAAACATTCCCAACTCCATGATTCCATTAAGGATAGACAGTGCAGTGAAAAAATGAGCGTCGTCATGATCACAATTCGTATGCTTTTTGACGTCCGGGTCAACCAAGGGCCAGCCACTTGTAAGCATCAAAGGAGAGACCGTTATATGCGATCGTATTAGAAGGGATGAAGCATTCCGTCCAACGGGTGCATGAATGGTTGCCGAGATCCAGTTGCTGCATGTAGGCAATCTACTCTTTCCAATCCCATACTTGCTTCACGAAGTTGGCCATGTTGACCTTTTTATTCCTCATGTCAAGCATCCAGGGATGTTCCAGCATCCGCCAGGGAGTCGCTCTTCGTGGAGGTTCCTTCTCCAGACTAAGAGCATGTTAGTATATCCCAAACCACCGGTAAAGGGTCAACACATACCAGCATTCAATGAAGTACTTAAAGTTTTCAGACCACCTAATACCGTTGCCCGGTTCGTCTTTCAACTTGGGGATCGGTTGGCGGACAATGTAGGTCAACAGGTCGATCAATCCAGCGCGCGGCTGCATTTCGGTTCCATCGGCCGGGAAGGGGAAGCGATGTTGAGCGACTTCGAGCAGGGTCACACCGAGAGACCACACATCAGAGGTGATGGTGTATGATTGACCAGTGATGCGTTCCGGGGCCATGTAGTACGATGTGCCAATAAACGTATTCGCATCTCCTTTGGTACCAAACTCTCCACTGACACCAAAGTCACAAAGCTTAACCTGACCATTGCGGCAGAGAAGGATATTCGAAGGTTTGATATCTATAGGCAATTATTAGCCGCTGAACAATCGTCACGAATCTGTGACTGGACTCACCCCGATGGATAATCTTTCGGCTGTGAAGGTAGGTCAAGCCGTTTAAGACACCCTCTGCAACCTTGCCCAAGACTTTCTCGCCCGTCCGGCCCCCAAGCTTCTTGACTTCCTTGTAGATGCTGTCCAAGCTGCCGCCTTCGCAAAATTCCATGGCAATAGATATGGTTCCTGTCGACTTATCCATAAAAGCACCGTAGTAACGACAGATGTGCTCCGAGGCACAATCCTTATTGAAGTTGAGTTCTCGAACGATCTGCTTTTTCACATCCGGGTTGGGGTCCGTCGTGATAATCTAGACTTTCTTAGCATCCCTAGCTGGGGTGAAGAAACCCGAGCAAAACCTACCTTCAATGCGAACACGGTTTTACCCTCCTTGAGCTTGCATCGAGTGACGGCACCTCCAGCTCCCTCACCTAAGCTACCCAACTCGACGATCTTCTTCTGCTCACTGGCGGCAAGCCAACCTTCATCATCGAGATCATCCACATCCAGGGGCCTGCCCTTCTCTAGACTCAGCTTGTCTAGATCCGGGACCAGACTGTTGACGCTGTTATCCCGCTCCATCTGCACGCCACTCTCCCGGTCGGAATAGACGGAACTGATCGCAGACGACGGATCCGGCGTGCTGCCATGGGGTTGTCGAAGGCCCATAGCGAACGATAGGGCCGAGTAGTTCGAGGAGGATGCGGAGGCGGGTCCGCTGGCCTTGCCTTCCAGATAGGTGAAGCTCCCGGATCGTGAATGTGCGTTCGGTTCGTTCAACCCGGTTGTCGCCAACGGAGGGGGAGCGGGACGAGCCTTCACCTGTGGCACGTTCTGATTGCTGCCCATGGGGGTTTTCAGGCGCAGCTGAGGAGGTGCCGGGCGGGTTGCTGGACGTTGCAGCTGAGGGACTTCTGGAGGAGCGACGGCGGCAGGGACGCCCGTACCGGTGACGGGGCGGACATTTGGTGAAGGGGGAATTCCCAAGGTGAGTTTGGGAGGCCGTGGACCATTGCTATTACCGCGGTTGCCAGGCACCGGCGGCTTGAGGAGGGGAACCGGCGAGGATGACATTGCGAGATTGTTTTGCCTCTCACCAGGCAAAAACAACTCGTTGGGGTCAGCCAAGGTAGCCAGATCGGCGGTCTTTGAGTTGGACACTTTGAAAGAGGGACGGGGGGATGATGGGAAAAGAGAACAAAGGAGGAGAGAGAGGAGAGGGAAGAGGAGTCGAGGGGGTGGTCGGAACCAGCAGGGCCGTGGGGTTAATTGGTTGGCTGACAACTAGTGACAAGAGGGGTTGGCTGATCGGAGGGGGAACTTCGACGATAATAGTAAAGAAGTTGGATGAAGAGAAGGAATAGAAAGCAGGGCAAATGCAGACAAGCGACAAAGACGAATCGAACAAGACGAAGCGAATGATTGATCCCCAACGATGGTCGAAGAGGAAGAAGGAAGAAGGAAGAAGGAAGAGAGAAGAAGAAGAAGAGGAAGAAGAAAGACGAAGGACGAAGGAAGGATGGAAGGATGACGGTCGCTATTACTAGTCGTCCCGCAGAGCAACTGGAACACTCAGTCTGAACTGAACCTCCGGGGGGCCGTTTTTTTGTCGGGTTTGTCAGTTGGCGGCTGGACTCCACTGCTCGTAGGGTGACCACTCAGAGACTTCGGATGTGCTTTAGTCACTTGGTGATACCTTAGTCGTTGGCATCGATTTATCGACAATCTACTGGCGAGGGCACTGGGCAGTCAGTCTGGTTGGTTAAATAGCAATCCTGTCACATCCATCACTGCCAGGGCATTGCTCCGCACCGTCATCGAGCCGGGTTCCCGACCGGCGAGGGATCGAATGGAGGCGCTGGAGGCAGTGGAGGGTCGCCGGCCTGGTGGAACCGGCCTGTTTCAAATGGCGCCTAAACCGAGCAGAGCTTGCGAGAGATATTTTGGGAGTGCTACTATTCTTGACAGCTCGTCCTACGTTCCATATCGCTTCGATTCTATTTCAATATCGATTATGGAGTACTTTGTACCTCGTATAGATAGTTATTGCGACTGATTACAAGGTAGTAGTTGATATCGGTGGTGGAGGCGACATAGTATGCCTGAATCCGCTGGCCTCGCTAGGCATCCATGAAAAAAAACTCTGAATGTTTGAACCTTGATTGCTGCAAGAACCATGTCTCCCATCCACAATGCCACAGCAGCAGCCACTCGACAGACTTTTCGATGATGTCGACGGGATCGGATGAAGCGACCGGGCGGACACTCGAAAATGAATTGGCGGTTGCTACATACACCCATAAATTGTTCGGGATCACTGACCTTTCACTGCTTAAAAGGGTCTAGCGTGGTCAAAGCTACTGCTACGTCCAAAGGGGAAACTAGCACATGGTTTGATTCTACCACATTTTTGAACGATTCAGGCCCGGGAGCCCGCCCGAGTGTCTGATCTCCTTACTCCCGACCTGCTAGCCTTAATCGAAAGCCCGGAGGCGCCGGGATTGCTTGGAGGAATCAAGCTCGGGGAATCAGGCGCCGCAGGGCTAGGCGCGCAGGCCACCGAGGCTGAAATTGTCAAAATAGTGAAATATGATTGGTACGTTGGGGAATTGGCTCGAAGGTCTAACATAATACCCACCATATCATCTATTCTAGCGTTGAAAACATACGTTTCTCGTGAGTAGGTGAAGATTGCAAGACCTAGCAAGAAGCATATAGCATACTATACTTCGGCACAAAAATTACCAAACGTAGCAACGCTAGCCTTATTCAGGAGCTTACATAAATAGGGTTGGTAGTTTGAAACATAGTAGGGGTGTACATAGCAGCTGCCATCAAATTACTACTCTAATGTCCGGATGTTTTACATCATCCGCTGGTCGAGGGTAGATTGTCTCTGATCCTCCGTGCCATAGATTGATTGCTGCTCCATCCAGTCTGCGTCGGCACCGTGATCCGGGCTCCACCCTCATATGCGCCGACGGTGCTTGTCAAGGTCTTTGCTAAGAATATCTGTTCGGGAGAAGAGGATCCTTAATGTGGGATTAAACATAGTCAAGTTATTACGGGATCAGTATAATCCCATTGTATTAAGGATAGCACTCTATGGAGTAGTCATCCACCACATCACACCCTTCAAGGCAGTCCCTACTACTTGACATGTGTACGTACCAAGTAGTCAGTTACGGTGCGTCAACGCGTCAGCAATCGATACCGATGACACGTGCCATCCTCAGCCTTGCGGACACATCTACACTATTGCAATGAGGCCACGCCCTGACATCATTCAGTGCTTCCGTGACGAATCCCTCCAAAGTCCAATGCCGCCAACTTGGACGACATCCGCAGCCACAATCGATCCCGACCCACCGCGGTTTAAAATAGCATCGGGACCAGTCTTTGCACCGCCATAGGAACGGGGCCGGATGATAACACCGCGCCCGGTCGAGTACACCGATCGCCATCATGACCCCGATCTCAAGGGACCACTCTAAAGAAAGCAACAGGACTGGCTTCATCTTAATTCTCAATGCTAAGGGTTCATCATGGCATCTAAGCGAAACGCTCGGGTCAATCCATGATCTCACGCGGTATGGAGTAGTCAGTGCTAATCATGCTGTTTACCCCCGGGCTCTACCACCGCCTGCCTACCTTAGAGACTGGAGTTGGGCATGTGTTGGATCAACAAAGTAAATTACGGAGTACAGGCAGTGAATCACTGCAATGGACTGTGCGCAAACCCAGCTGAGTACCGTGCTTCCTGAATTGTGTGCTTGCGCCTTCCTCTTCATACCGGCAAACACCGATAAGGACTACTATGGAACAACCGTACTCCATCCATTGCCAGTGACGAAGCCCTGCATAGAATCGTGGAGTCAAAGCGTCACCTTAACTGTTGGATTACACCATGGCCACCGCCAAGGGGCCGTCTATCCACTTCCAACCGACCCCAACAAGTGATCAAGCAATAAACGAAGCGCTGGATGATGATATGATTTGGTGGGGAGGATTTATCCAAGCGAGGATCGTCCATGCCGCGCGTCTACACAGTACGGGATGATTGCAGGGCACCAATTCTCAATCACAGGGAAGGGCAATTGGGTTGAGAAGAGTGACGATTGACCATTGAGAGCATCGGGGGCCCTTTGGCCTTTCAGACGGAGGCGCTTCAACCCCATTAACTGTTAAGCATTGCCTCAAGCTGGGGTAAGGTAGTCCGGGTGGCCTTGGTCGATTTTACCGACTGCCAGCCGCCTCCCCTGTTGATCGGTGGAGTTTAAACTCAATTCTTGCACCATCATCGGGAACCTGCAATGATCGCATGTCTTTACTGTTTCCATTGTTGACTGCCACTAGATCTTGCTCACAGGTTGAGTCCTGCTTACACCCAATCTATCTACCACCTACCCGGCCCCTATGCGATGTATAGCTCGCTCCACTATAGTTCACGACCGCGGAAGATACTATATCCCCTGGCAGTGGTTTCATATTGCGACCTCGAGATAACCTACTGCTAGACATTGCAACTATTGATTTGAACCCAAAAAAAGACCACCGTCTGAAAAACTGGCGCAGACCCTGACGGATCCCCCTTTTTCGCAGTCCGTCACGAGAGCACCCTAAAAAAAGAAACCAGAAATCTCCGTACCCGGACTACCGTGGGAATCCGGAGAACGATCAACCAATATTACCCTCCTACACTGGCAGTTCCGTCTGAGCTTTTAATAGAAAGACGAGGGTTTCAATAGTTTGCTGGTGATAACCATGATGGTCATAGTAAGGGTCTCCTGGCGCACGGGGCTGGTTTGTTGACGCATAACTCCGTACTACCCCCAAGCACCTTGGCCACATGTTGTGCAGCTTAGGGGGTGGGCAATCATCCAGGTCTTGGCTGGTTCTATTGATCAATGGGTTTCGAGCTGAAGATCCATACTGAAGTCGACGTTCTTGATTGTTAAATAGTATGTGATTGTCACCGCATACACGCTTGGCGGCTATTTCGCTGCAGCGTTGCGCATACACGGCCTTTCTCTTCCAATGAGATCATCAGTCTCAATTGCGCCATTGACTGACTACCTGATCCGACTCGAGAGCTTCGTCAAACGTTGACGCACATCACCCTCACCCGAACGGTACCCGAAATGGGGTCAACATCTATTTAGGGCTATATTAAAATATTTCCTAGCGAGTCGGAGGGCAGTTAGTCATGACGCACTAAGCTTTGATTAGGCAATCAATGAATGCGACCGTGGCGCCGACCGAGACCTGTCTCAGCAAATGAAGCCCCCAAGCGATGGAGCTGGAGGGAAGAGCTATTTCCAGTCCGACGGGCTTCTAGACCGACACTGGCAGGGGTGTCTGATTCAGGAGTGTTCGTGCTGGGCTATCTGCCTGATCGGGCCGGGGATGCATGTTTCAACTCTGAATCGTATGGCGAGGTACCGCAGAGGTATCACGCCTTTTGTAGTTGAAGATGCCACAGACAGGCGTGGGGGATAAAGATAAAGAAAGATCGGCTGCATCCTCGCAACGATGACGGAATAGAACATTTCCGGTGACGAATGTGCTGACAATGATGGCGGAGATGAGGGGAACCGTGGCATAGTAAGAGTACAGTAGATTTTTGGATCTCATTGTTACCTGGTGGTACATCCAACTGTCACCCCCCCAGCAACCATAACAATCAGCGCAACCATGTTACACCGGAAAACTGTAAAACATGGTGATAAAAAGTGGTATGGAGCAGAGACAGGGGCCCGGGTGGGACCGCCAGAAATCCAGCCATTGGGCCAAAAGCGGGGGAGTGAGCCACCGCGGGATGGTGGCCAAGGCGATGAGTGGCCGGCGGTGTCAGGAACAGCGTGCCGGCTCCACTGGGGCGGGAAGTGATTGGCCAGCCGGCGAAACATGAAACAAAGTCTAAGTTGGCATTCAACGTCTTGTGGCTCAGTAATGAGAGGCTGCTGGGTTTCTGCCCCCTGAACGTATTTTGTTTTGATTGTACTCCGTACTCCGGCGTGACTTGGGTTCGATCGGACTGGTGCCGTTGGGGTTGTTACAGGTTACAGCAGATTTCCATTCATCTGGACCGCTCTCGGGCCCGTCGAGACGAAATTTGACCGCCTGTACGGAGTACTTGACCACGCTACCAGGTTCCTGACGGATGCAGGTACGGCGTCCCGCGGGTTACCCAGTAGATACTACTGTACATAGTTAAGTCCTGTTAGATACTTAGTGTCTAGTGATTACTTCTAGTAAACCTAATCCGGCGAGGAACCATGAGCCAACTACCGACAACCGCCCCTCCTTTTCCCCCATCCATCCCTGACCCGAATAGTTAGTCGAGGTTCATCCGGACCAAAAAAGCAATCGAGCGACGGATCAACCGCCCATGTCTCGCAACGCATGGACAACATCAGCTCCAGGGCCAGGGTCGAGCAGGACCAGGCGGCGCTAGTCCGTCGAGCCCACCGGCACTACTTAGTTGGGCTCGCGACGGGCTGGTCAACCAACCACGGCAGGCGGCGGCACAACCCACGAGGGCCGAAGCAGATGAGGGCGGACCCAGCGCGGGTGCCCCAGCTGCCTATGAGGTTTCGAGTCGGTGACCCGGTGTTGCTTGGAAGGTTGCGGGCTCCCTGGCTCATACACCGCATCGACCGTTGATTGACTCTGGCCTCCACCCGCGTGCAGGCGCGCTCCCCTTTTCGTCCCTGAGACGATCTCCAGGTTAATCTCCCGGCTCATACAAAGGCCCCGGGCCTCCCCCTCCCTCCCGACTCGTTTTTGGTTCTCTCTGTTCTCTTTTTCCCCAAGACCAGACTTCTTTGCCTGCTTGAAGCATCCCATTGACTTCGGTCAGCCACTCTTTTATCACAAAGCAACAACCCCCCCCCAACTAGCCACACTCTCTTTCACAACTTTGCTCGCAACGCACCTTGCTTGTGTTTCAGATATAAAACAACTATCAACCCACAGAAAAATTCAGCCTTGACGGTTCTTTTTCACCCAACTCTCCAACAATTCAAGATGCGTTTCTCCGTTGCTACCGTCGCTCTCTTCGCCAGCCTCGTTGCTGCCATCCCCCAGGAGGTCGAGACCGTCTACTCCACCGAGGATGTGACCATCGTCTCCTGCGCTCCTACCGTCACCAACTGCCCCGGTACCCTGCACGCCACCTCCACCCCCGAGGCCGTTGCTGCTTCCACCACCGGTGGCCCTGAGGGTGTCTCCCCCGTTGCTACCACCAGCGCCGCCCCCGAGGTTCCCTCTGCTGCCACCACCCCCGCTGCCGGTAGCTCCCCTGCTGGCGGTGCCGGCTCTGGCGCTGCTCCCTCGGTTGTTCCCTCCGGTGCTGCTGCCGGTGGTGCTGCTCCCTCTGGCCCCGCCAGCGGTGCCGGCTCTGTTCCCTCCGGCGCTGCTGCCATCGGTACTGGCGCTGACACCACTGCGGCTCCCTCCGTCACCGTTATCCCCGTGACCACCTGCGTTCCCACCGTGATCTACTCCACCAGCACCATCGGCTCCGGCTCTGGCTCCGGCTCCGGCGCTGGTGCCTACGGCTCTGGCTACCCCAAGCCCGCCAAGTCTTCCTCCCCTGTCATCCCCAGCGGTGCCGCCGCCTGGGGCTCCGGCTACCCTAGCGGCAGTGCTACGTGAGTATTCCAATCCGATCAGCCGACGAATCAATGAATGCTAACTTTTAACAGCCCCTCGGCCTCTGCTGCCCTCTACACCGGTGCTGCCAGCTCCGTCAACGGCAACTCCTTCGCTTTCGCTGGTGCCGCCGCCGCCGCCGCTTTCTTCCTGGCTTAGATTCCCCCTTCATGTTTATAGTAGCCCCGGGTCACTCATGAGTCCGGTTGCCGCTATGGGCGGGGAACTTGGGCGCGTGTGAATGGATCCGAGTGACGGGGTTTGTTCCATACTTAGATGCGGTATTTTGCTTTTTGGGAGAGAAATTCGATTTGTTGCTTTTTATATCCTTTCTTATACCTCTATTGAATTTCTTTCTACCTAGATACTATTCCGCTTCCCGGCTTGCTTCGGAGTTTTTTTCCCGTGAAACACTTGGTGGCTGGATACGATTAATGTAACCCATGACGTTTTCACATACCCGATTCATTCGAAGCAGTTAGATTTAATGGAAGATTAGTACATAGTAATTGATCCTGCTACATAATGACTAGCGTATCCGTACTCCGTACTCCGTACATGTACGACGTTACATACAAACAGACAGACCAGACGGAGACAGCATCCTCCGATCTACCTACCTATCTACCTGGTCGCGTGAGACTTGCTCAAAAAATCCCTCCCAAATCCAACCCAACCAAAAGGGAAAAAAAAAAAAAAAAACCAGGAAGAGGCTGAGGCTGAGCAGAGGGCTGAATCCGGGGACATTGTCCGCCCTATTTACTATTACTATTAATTCCATGAATTGGGGGCCTGGTCAGCGTAAATGTTTCACGAGTTGGGAAATTTCATCTATCGGTGACCGGGTCCGATCCGAGGTTCGTTTCGTGGCTGCGCCGAGACTGCGCCGTCGTATCAGATTTTCAGATCTGGGTGACCTATCTACCTCACTTCACTTGGGATTAATCAGATTGGTCGGGATGGGATGGATGGGGATTGTGTACGCTTTGTTACTTGGGATTGCTTTTGTAGTAGATTTTGCCAAGGGTTGTGATCGAGGGGAGGATATAATACGTAATTGATATCTGGTGACCCTGATGATTCTCTTGGCTCTGAGTACCTTAATAACCTTATTGAAGTGTGATTGTACGGATTGTCAATAGGAATTAAGATACCTTAAGAAGTGGTAAAAGTGGAATGATAAATCCTATGGAGTGTTTCACACTATCCTGTTATGAACAGAAAAGTTGGTCCAAAGAACGACCGTCTCTGAGGCCCCGCGGCGCTGATTTGGCGGTTTCACCTCTGCTTAGCACCGACTGGTGTGACCGTCAGCCCTATTGTGCAGTGCGCCAGCTGGTCTACTCCGTATATCTCTCACAGACGCCATGATTCTGGAAGATTTCCATAATCCATGACTTGGATGTAGCAATCGGGCGATGAATCTCACATTCTCACGATCTTGGGGGCTGTGTTGGGGTCACGATTCGGGATCGGGCTGACGCTATTCTGCTTAGCCTCCCGTCACAATAACACCACCAACAACCACACGTGCTCGACAGTCAATGTACTCCGTACACTATACAGACATCCTCGATATTGCAGCGACGCAACGGACATGGATGTCTTCAGGAGAATCCTGCAGTATCGATATTAAGGGGACGGAATCCCAACGGAGAAGGCACGGCGTTCGGAATAAGACCTATCCAAAGCTCGGACAACAAAGGATGGGGCAGTGTTTATCCAACCTCACTCGGGATCCTTCACCCAACGAACCAAAGGTCTCCTGAATCGCGCAGCCTCCACTTCACGATGATATATCGTTCCGACCCATGGAACTGCTTCCAATGGCGTCTCAACTGCAGGCTGCGCTTAACCTCGTCTTCACGACGCCCTGCAGCTACTTGCCAGATAGAGAATCGCGATGACAGCACAGCACAGCACACCAGCGGACCCCAAATCCTTCCTCTGCCCCATCTTCGGGCCCATCCCGAAGGAAAAGAAACCATCGAAGACTGGAAGATCCTTCCACAGCGGGGTCACACCGAAACCAAGGCGAACATCAGCCGGACAAGCCGAAAGCTTTGCCAACAGGGCTCGCATCCTTCCGCAGCCCCCGTTATGGGCAATGGAGCTGCCCGAGGAATCCACCGCGAGGCGCAAGGCAACTTACTGACCGTCCTTTGGCTTGGGTTGTGGGATAAGGGCTGTTGGTTCCTATTGTTGCGGTGCCCGTCAAAGAACACGCCACGACCGTGCACCCCAGACAACACCACATTGTTCAAGCACTGCCTCGATAGCTACTTCTTAAATCATAAATGATCCATGGTCGTCCCATCTGAGCTCCAAGTTTCTCCCTCACCACTTTCTCCCCAGTCTTGGCGATCGCGCAGTTCATATCCACTTCCTCTTCCCCAGCCGTGTGCAATGATCCTCCGGTGACAGTTGCTTGGCCTACATCACCTCTGAATCTCTCTCTCCTCCTACAGTTGCCCTCATCACCATGGATCTCTCATCCCTGGAAGGCCCTCCTATTCCCGACCCGCGGTTCACCGTTCCGTCGCGGCGATCCAATATCCCCAGCATCCAGCTCGACATGACCACACCCCTCAGCCCCGTCAGCCCATTAACACCTCGTGACCTCCCTCCTCGACCGAGTTCGACGGACGCCATCTTCCGGCCCAGGTCTCAATACACATACCGACCTCTCGAGCCAGAAGATGAGCCCCCTCGGTGCCAGCGCTGCCACAGCCTACAGCCACCAACCGTAACCGACGAGCCCGACAACAACAACCAACAGCAACTGACTCCATATCCAACACTCAACCTGCCTCCGCCACCCCCATCATCATCCTTCACACTCCACCCTGCCCCTCGCAGTCGAAGCGTATCCGACATTACCCCTCATCAGTCATTCTATCCGATGCTGAGCACAACCACCACGACCACCGTGACTACCACCCAAGCCGTGACCACCACGACAACAACCCAAGGCAACCGCCTCGTGTGGCTTGAATCTGAAAAGCTCTGGTTATTGAAGCCCTTACCGTCGGAGTCATCGTCACCATCATTCCTCACAGACATGGCCCCCAGCCTCACCCCCAACACTCAATATCCACCCTACCACCCGTCCACAGTCCGCAGCGATTTCCAATTCACTTCCACGGAGATCCATGACATTCCCCCGCCATATGAACGGCATATCTACGATCGGCCCTTGCCGCCGCTGCCTGCAGACAATAGGTCGAGGGGAGGACTATACGGGTCTCGATGGACGGCCGTGGCAAGACGCAGGGCCAATCGGTCTGTGCTGGGGTGATGCCATTTCAATTACTTAGAAGGAAAAGGGAGATGTTGAGCTGGATGCTTATCTATCTGGTGAACAGCACATATAGTATTTATCCAGCTCAGGATAGGATATCATACTCAACGGAGTTGGGTCTTAGCTGCTGGCCAGCTAGCTACACACCTGTATTTAATACCAATCATCATAGACAGAAAGGAATGTAAGGATGGACAGAGGAACTGTACTATTATAAGATCATCTGCTTCCACAACCTCTTCTTCCCCTCCTTCTTCTTTTTGTATACAATACACTCCAATCAATCCCATCATATAGACATCTAATCGCAGCAATGCAGCGTCTCATCATCCCACACCCCCTCCCCTTCGTACTATAAACCATTAAGCATACTCCTAATACAAAGCAACCCAAGCCTCAACCTATCACCCCTTCCAGCTCTCCAACAAAATCACCACCAAAAACCACCCCAATCGGATGATCGATACCCTTATACATTACGATGTCCCATCAAACCACCTCGATCGAGTCCCCGTAACGTAACAGGTAATACCCTTGCCATTAGGTATCCTCTATACATACGCCGGGTATTAATTGTAGGCCGTCAGGAGGGTTAGGAATAGCATATAAAGCTCAGAGAATGAACATCCAAGGCGGAGGAGGGTTTTCATGTTCTATGCTGTGTGATGGATAAGATTAGTATGGGGGTTAGAGCACCTCACTTCTCTCTATATTGTATGTGGGTTTTAGTAGGATTGGGAGTTGATGGTATGATGGTTATTTTGATTTGATTTGTTTCATTCTATAGGTATGTATGTAACGGTCGTGGGTTGGGGGTGGGCGTTGTATAGACAGGTGCCCCTTTCTCGATCGTACTGGATACGAAGCACCATCTTGACTCAACTTATTCTTATGTGTTTCTTGTTGATACAACCTCGTCCACCCACCCCACTTCCGTCGTCATGGCAAGTTCTCATGTGGAGAAAGGGATATAAACACTGATAGAGTGACCGAGTGAATGTCTAGTCTTAAGGGCAGTACTAATGCAAGTGTGTTAACTCCACAGGCCTTCTCATCTTCCCTCTCCCCGCGTGCCATAACACGTACACATATCTCATTTCTTTATCTTCTATCCTGTTTCTCGTTTTCAACATCTTTGTTTACTTCATCTTATCCTACTACATTGGGTATCTCTAAAGAGATAAGAAAGTCACATGCAACCAAAATGAACACAAACATCTCACACCTCGCTCAGCTGCATTTCGTAGCCGAGCAAACAGCGCGTCATGCCCGGATCTGGAACGGTCAAGACTGTGGTGAGTTGATCCCTCATATACCGATACCATAATGAGAGGATCTCGACTGATTGAGTCTAGCGCCACCGTGTGCGGATTTCGCGGGTGGCTGGGCGGGGGTAACGCCGATGTTGAGGGGGATGTATACGCAGCGAGTGGAATACCTTGCGTCATTGGAGGTGCAGGGCGAGGCACTGGAGGATTATGAAGGGTTTGTGAAGGGGTTGTATGAGCATTGCTATGCGGGAATGGATCCACTCCGGGTTGAGATGACTTCGTGTGTTGGCTGTAAGTGATTTTCGTTCTTTCTTTTTTTCTCTAGGCTCAGCTCACTGGGTGCCTGGCTGACGAGGGGATCATAAGTTGCCGAGTTTAAATCCCTAGTGGATCGATCTGGAGCGACGGATACTATCATGTTTGATGCACCGGAGGATGATGATGATGACGACCTGCTTTATGTTTCTGGGCGTTCGGTGCGAGTCAAGAAGGAACAGGTGGAACCATCATTTGATAATGATGATATGCTCGTTTCTCCGGGACCTAGTGAATTTCTCAAGGCCGAGAAACTGGAAACAGAACGATTTCCCGAAGATATATCGAATATTCCGGAGTATTCGGCTGTCCCTGAGACGGAAATGTTGGACGATCCTTTTTATGAGGAGGCTGACCTGGTCGAGGGCTTGGCTATGGATTATGATCTCCAAGACAGGGAAGATCCCAAGATCGCTGTCCTGGAAGCCGCCGTGGGCACAGGTACCAATGCACTGGATAAACTGCAGGAGGTCATGGAAGGGTATGGCAAATTGGCAACGGACACGGAGTGGATGACCGAATGTGAACGGATGCGGAGATATGCTCAGACGGAGAAGGTCATCATCGGAGTGGTTGGGACCACCGGCGCGGGCAAATCATCCCTAATCAATGCAATTCTGGACGAGAACAATCTGGTCGCGACTGATTGTATGCGTGCATCGACTGCCGTGGCCACGGAAATCTCCTATAACCATGGAGACTCCAAATACAGAGCGGAGGTGGAGTTTATTCGGCGCCGAGAGTGGCAGCAGGAACTGGAGATCCTCTCTGCTGAGATTCAGGATTACTATGAGATAGTGAGACGTGGAGAGGCGCCCACGGACTCGCATGCAGCGGTGGCTCTCGAGAAAATCAAGGCTGTATATCCGGCGTTGACACCGCAGAACATTTTAGACGCTTCTGTTGATGACCTCATGGGCAACGAAAAGGTCTGCGAACTGCTTGACACGACTATGCATTTCGAAGAAGATGATCCCAATATCTTTGCAGAAAAGTTTGAAACTGTACATCCACAGCAAGGGCAAGAAAGGGAGGCCGAAGAAGGGTGCTGCACAAACGCAGGGCCCTGATGAACAAGCGCACTCTACTGACGGCTTGGACTTGACAGATCATGGCATCGGTCTTTGGCCCCTTGTGCGCGTGGTTCGAATCTATACCAAGGCGGCAGCGTTGAAAACTGGTGCGATTTTGGTCGACCTCCCAGGCGTGTTCGACTCGAATGCAGCCCGAGTGGCCGTCGCGAACGATTACATGAAGCGCTGTTCGTCCCATTGGATAGTGGCGCCCATCAATCGTGCAGTCGACGACAAGGTCGCGCGGGATCTGCTCAGCCGGAACTTTAGAAGGCAAATGCAAATGGACAGTGCGTTCAATGACATCACGTTCATATGCACAAAAACCGACGACATTGCCACGGCTGAAGTGATCCAAGCCTTGGAACTTGAACTGCCCGCAATGGGGGAGCTGAGGGAACACCGTCACGAATGCAGGTTGTTGAAGGGTGAAATCAGAAAGCTTCAGCAGGGATCAACCAGACTGGTTGCAAAAGTAGACCGCATGGAACCGAAGATAGAAGAGCTCGAAGAACGCTTGACCGGAGAATTTCTCTTCACTCCATCGCAATTGTCGCCCAAGAAGAAGCCGCCGGTTAGCGAGGGACGTCTCCCCTTGGGTCAAAGGTTGTTGCATAACTTTCACGACCTCCAAAGCCAGAGAAAGCAGCTGCAAAACGAGCGGCGGTCACTCCACCAGCAAATAGACGCTAAAGAGAAGCAGCTGCAGGAACTGATAATGGTGCGAGAGAGTCAAGAGCATGACAGACTGCGGACATGCATCGAGGCTCGAAACAATTATTCCAAGGAGGAGATGAAACGCGACTTTGTCCACGGGATTTGGATTATGGATCAAGAGATCAACGAAGATGGCAGCACCAGAACCAAGACTCGGGACTACAGGACGGTTGAGAAGAGTCTACCAATCTTCTGCGTGTCCTCCAGGGCATATCAGGAACTTCGAGGTCGATGCGAAAGGAGATCGAAAGTTCGCGGATATGCCCGACTGGAGGAGACAGAAATCCCACAGCTGCAACGCCATTGTATCGCATTAACGGAGAAAGCAAGAGAGAGTTCCGCCCGCCGGTTCTTGGTGCATCTTCACCAGCTCTTTCAGTCGATGTCTTTGTGGACATCTGTGACTAACGCTGCAGATACGGTATCGGACAGCAAGAGATTGGAAATTGAAGCCGACTTTAACAATGCTTTCGGCAACTTGGAGAAGGTACAGGCCACTCTCCGTCTCAGAGGACAAGACTTACCTCTCTAGGGAATGCGAGAGCTCGGAAAGGGTTTCAATTCCGACCTCGAGAAAATATTCCGCGAAAATGTGACCAATGATTTGGGTAAGTCTAGAGCTAGCCTGGATGCGCAGCACTAATGTTATAGACCGAGCGGCGTGTTGGGCCACTTTACAGTTTCCCCAAACCGTGTCTCGCTGGAACGGCCCAGAGAAGGACGGAGGCCTCCATTGGCAGACATACCGGGCCACTTGTCGCCGCTATGGAGTATTTCGTGACAAAGTAAGTTCTTCTGTGCTATATGAAGTAGTGTAATCTGGCTGGAGTGGCCTTTTGGCCGAGTGGGCTGCTGTGTTGACAGATTGAAGCTGACGAGAGATGCAGGACATGAACAAGGAGTTGTACGCAGACCTTCCACTAGATCGTTGACTAGCTAGATTGACTCTTTGCAGGGCTGAGCCGATGCTCGACAAGATTGTGGGCGGCTGGATAAGGTGCGTCAAAGTCTAGTGGTGTCCTGGAAAAGACTGACAGGGAACAGAGCCTTTGAGATTCTCATACCACAAGCATTCCTAGAGCTGACCGAAACGATGGATAGGACCTTATGTGTGTTCCACAAGGACGCTATCGATCCCCAAAAAGATAGTCTCGCCAACGAAGCCAAGATCATGCTTGACGGCACTGTCCGAGCCTACCAGAAGTCGATCCGACAACTGCTCAAACAGCCCCAGTCAAACCTCAAAGCTCAGCAAAAGGAGAACAGTCGAATGATTTCCGATGTGATCGCTACAGAGCTTAGCCGGGTATATGAGGAGTGTGTTGCACAGGCTGGTAAATATTGACTACAATTGTGTTCCGTGTCGTATCACTCCTAACTCGGTCCATCAGGGAAAGGTACGCTGGCTAGAATGAGGGATATCATGAAGCAGCAGGCGAAGGTCAATGGCAGCGACGTGTTCCAGAAAAGCGCCCAGGGCCTGGAAAAAGAGCTCCTGGGTCTAGTCAAGGAGACTGGGGAGAACATCACCGAAATCATTCGAACCCTACTTGGATGGGCCTCACGGGACTATCGCGGTGCGCTTGTAGAGCCGCAGATCCGCCGATTCTCCGAGCAGCAAGTCCGAATGAGAAGGGAGATGAACGAGGTCATTGAACATACGGAGGCGGAATTACAGTTGGAACAGCTACTATAAGGCGCCGTCCTTAACATTAAAAGCCGCGTTCCGGACTACAGCGACAGAAGATGAAGGAAATGTGCTGATGAAAGGCGGAGAGCAGGGATGAGTGCGGTCGAGGTAAACGTGGCGCGGTGGCCCCAGCTCGGGCAGTCGGCGATAAGAATCTGGAGGTGTCAACCGCTCAGATTGGCCAGCGACTGGGCCATCAAGTCTGGTCAAACAGCGGCCGCGGGTGCAGGCAACTGGAGCAGTGGATTGGAGGACAGTTGCTGTTGGCAACTCGCATGACGAGGACTCGCCGCTGGGATTCGACAAGCGCAGACGCTAGCAGGTGATGGTCGGCCCAGCCACTGGATTTTCGAGCACTTGGAACCGTCTGGATGGAGACTATTAATATTAGTAGCAGCTTGACAGATGAATGCCAGACCGTTGAACTTTTCATCTCCTCTGCAGTAGCATCAACATCAACACCATCTCTCATTCTCATCCGGTCGACTTTACGCGTGGCATCTGTTGGCAACGTCACACCATGTACGCCTGAGCGAGAACTGAGAGACGCCGGACTGGAAGACTCGACGACTGAGGACTGAGGACTGACGACCGACGACCGACGACCGACGACCGACTGACCGACCGAGAGCAGCGCCGCCATTTCCGACGCGAGGGACAGGGAGAGGCTACGACTTGCTAAGAGTTGCTAAGAATCGCTGGTATCAAAGAAAGATTTCCACCGCCTTCGCTGCCCTTCGATCGGCGCGGACCAATCAGCGGCGATGGGGCTCCCGCATCTTTTCTCTCGTCACAAATCCAATTCCGCCAAATCCAAATCCTCTTCCAAGGCCAAATCTAATCCTCCTCCTCCTCCTCTTCCTACTTCTCCTCCTCCTTACTCGGCTCCCTCTTCTTCTTCTTCTCTTCCCCCTCCTCCCTTTCAAGCGACCGCGACTCCCTCTCCCGCGTCGATCAGAGCCGAATCTCTTCCGACTCGGCCCATTCCTCCCCCTCACCGGGCGAACACCGTTCACTCTGTTCCCACTCGCCACCACTCTCACTCTCACTCACACTCGCACTCTCACCCTCCTCCTCCTATTCCCCATACGCAGTCTTTTCCGACGCCGGTACAGCGCCCGTCGATCCCTCGCAAACCGTCTCGCCCGACACACAGTCGGTCCACCTCCACTCCGTCCAAGTCGGCTTCTGTCCGGACGAAACCGTCATCGGTGCCGCGGTCCACCTCGTCATTTTCCGCCGTCCACCATCGCTATACGCACGACCCCAACTTCCACCCTCTTAATCTTCACCCCGACGAGCTACGTCGCTTATCCGCCATGGCTGCCGCTCGCGATGATCCCCGGAGCTCGATGGACGTCGACACCAACGATCCCCGTATAGGCTCGCCCTCCGCGGCCACCAACGGCGTCAATGGCACACACACCGAGAAGAGTCCAACCCCGCCCCCTCACCGGTCCAATGGGAACACCGCCGATGCCGACGCCTTCAAGCTGGCCGGCAACAAATTTTTCAAGGATGGAAACTACCCTCGCGCCATCGAGGAATTCAACAAGGGTAGGTTTTTTTTTTCTCTCTCCGCTGAGCAGTCCGTGGCAGTCATAGTAACACGAACCCCCACAGCCCTCGAGATTAGCCCGGATTCATCCGTCTACCTGTCCAACCGGGCAGCTGCATACATGGCGGCCAACCAATACCTGGCCGCCTTGGAGGACTGTGAACGGGCCTGTGTGCTCGACCCCACCAACATGAAGATCATGTATCGCCAGGCCCGTATCCTGACCAGTCTGGGCCGCCCCGCCGACGCCCTCGATGTGCTGTCCCGCATTGAACCCCCGGCCTCCGCCACGGACCGTGCGGCCGCTGAGAAAATGCTGCGCTTCGTCTCCCAGGCGGAAGAGGCTCTGGCCCAGGACCGCGGAGTCTCGATGGTACTGTTCTGCCTGGACCAGGCCCGCCAGCTCCTCGGCCAAGGAGTCAAGGAACCCCGCAAGTGGACGCTGATGACCGCCGAGGCCCAGTTGAAGATGGGCAACGACAACTCGTTCGGCAAGGCGCAGGACATTGCCATCGCGATGCTCCGGGAGAACAGCCAGGACCCGGATGCGCTGATGATCCGCGCCCGGGCGTTCTACGGCATGGGCGACACGGACCAGGCGCTGAAGCTGCTGAAGATGTGCCTGGGGCTGGACCCCGACATGAAGGTGGCGATCAAGCTGCTGCGGACGGTGCAGAAGCTGGTGCGCACCAAGGAAGAGGGCAACACGGCGTTCAAGGCCAAGGACTTCCGGCGGGCGATCGAGCTGTGGTCGGAGGCCCTGACGGTCGACCCGAAGAACAAGGACATGAACGCCAAGATCCTGCAGAACCGGGCCCAGGCCTACATCAACCTGAAGGAGTACGACAGCGCGGTGGCGGACTGCACCGAGGCCCTGCGGCTGGACCCCGGGTACGTCAAGGCGCAGAAGATGCGGGCCAAGGCGTACGGCGGCGCGGGCAACTGGGAAGAGGCCGTGCGCGACTACAAGGCGGTGGCCGAGACGAACCCGACCGAGAAGGGCATCCAAGAGGAGATCCGCCGGGCGGAGTTTGAGCTGAAGAAGGCCCAGCGCAAGGACTACTACAAGATCCTGGGGGTGTCGAAGGAGGCGTCGGAGCATGAGATCAAGAAGGCGTACCGCAAGCTGGCGATTGTGTACCACCCGGACAAGAACCGGGACGGCGAGGCGGGCGACGAGAAGTTCAAGGAGATTGGCGAGGCGTACGAGACGCTGATCGATCCTCAGTAAGTTTTTCTACAGCGGTCTTGTGACATGTGCTAATGATCTTAGGAAACGCGCTGCCTACGACAACGGCGACGACCTGATGGACCCGGCCGACATGTTCTCGCGTGGAGGCTTCGGCGGCATGGGTGGCATGGGCGGTATGGGAGGAATGGGAGGCATGGGTGGTATGGGCGGTATGGGCGGCATGGGAGGTATGGGCGGCACCCATATCAACATCGACCCCAGCGTGCTGTTCAACATGATGAACGGCGGCGGTGGCGGCGGCTTTGCACACGCCGGCGGACAGCGCGGCGGATTCCCCGGCGGATTTCCCTTCTAGACAGCGAGCATAAAAGTTGGTGCATCGTTGGGTTGCAGTGATTTGCTTGATTCCCCGCATGACAGAATGACGCGATAGACCTGGTGCCGTTGCTTGTTTGTTTCCTTTCTCTCATCCGTCGTGGACGGAGGCGTGTGTTATTGATCTTGCTACTTTCGGCGTTATATACCTGGGATGACTGATGGTTGGATGGATCTGGGTGTAGTTGAATATATGAATATACATAGTCTTGTACAAATCAATTCCCACGGAAGAGGATTCCGGGTCTGGATCGGTGGGTCGGCGTGATCGTCCGGGTAGCTTCACTTCACTTCTCTTCTACCTCCTGGCTTTCGACAATCCTCGATCCATCTACCGTGGCGCACTCTTCAGCAATCCAGTCATTACCTCCATCTGGTGCATTAGTGGCATCTCGCCAGACTCCAGGCTCAGGCACGATCAACATACCCCCGGTGACAGCATGAAGCCTGACAACATTCGATCCGATGGCTGCCGCCGGAATGTGGCGTCCGCCCCGGACACGACGACATCACTCCCCCAGGACGGCTCATGACTCTTCCCAGTTCCTCTTCTTGATCTCCCAGCCCATCCCCAGCCCAACCAGGCTGAACGGGCCCTCCCAGCCAGGCATCTATTAAGGTTGCATGGACCAAGTCCATCCGCAGATGATGACGTCGAGTACCCGACCACAGTGCCACCCCGGCTCGCGTCATGAAAAGACCAGCCCCTGTCGCCGATAGCAACCCTCGTCTGGATGATCAGAGCACCATCAGTCGGCAGGATGCCTGAGCAGGACTATGGATACCTTCGGACCATCAGCCTGGTCACGCAGATCCTGTGTCTGTCGATGGTGTCGATCTTCGTGGCGCTACGATTGCTGGTGGCCGTGAGGTACAAGCGCCATGTGGATGTGGAAGATGGTACGTGGATTCTGAAGCTATCGGGCTCGCTGACGGTTGCAGCATTCTGCTTTTGTTCCTGGGTTGTTCGCCTCGATTGATCTTGAATGATGGGCTAATTGGCTTAGGTCTTTTTCACAGCATACTGCATTTTAGCTCTCCTCTGTATATTCCCTCCATTCTCTATCTCCATTCTCTATACGAATCACTAACGAATGTCCAGTCGCAACCCTCGGCGGCAGCAAACCAATCTCATCCCTGACTCCGTCACAAACTATCGTCATCTACAAGGCACACCTCTCTTCCCCGCATCTTCAAACCGCCTCTAACTCAAGCAACCCAGATCTTCTACGTCCTAACTGTTTTATACGTCCCCATGGTCCTCACTGCCAAAATCACCCTCCTCGCCATCCTCGCCCGCATCTTCGTCCTCCGCCCCAGCCAAATCATCAGCGTGCGCGTCGTCCTCGCCCTCACCGTCATCTACTACCTCATCATCTTCTTCGTCAAAGTCTTCATCTGCACCCCCGTCTCCGTCTTCTGGCTCTTCCCAACCCTGGAGACCAAATGTCTCAGTAAATCCGCCATTCTGCTCGCCGACGCCGTCATGAGCGTGGTCACCGATCTCGCCATTCTCCTGCTTCCACTCCTCCTCATGTGGCCCTTACGATTATCCGCATTGAAGAAATGTAAAGTCGCGTTGATGTTAGGTGCCGGGGGTCTCGCTGTCGGGTTTAGTCTTTATCGATTAGTGTTGGTGATTCAGCAGATCAGGGAGTTGGATTCGACGATTGTTTATATGAAGATTTTGTTATCAGGGTATTCCCCCTCCCCAACAAACCTCTTTACCCTCACTTTCATTCCCTTCCACACACACATATCCATCAATCCATCATCCCCATCACCAACGATTATTTACCATACCGATCCACAACTGATATACTAACCAACGAACCAGAGACGCAGAAGGCGGCTTCGGGCTGATCTGCTCGTGCATCCCAGCCATCCACATCCTCCTCACCCGCCTAAAAGGAAAATCCTCCTCCACCTTAGAAAACTCCGTCGCCTCCGGCTCGGGCAATTCCTCGTCCCGAAGGAAATCCTCCCAAGGGAGAAAGAAATCCGGCTCCGGCAGCGGCAGCGGCACGATGGGCAGCGGGAGCGGGAGCGGTACTACCGCCATTGGAACGAATCCGATTAATAACCCGGATGCGTTTTTTGGGAGCGGGGCTGGGGTTGGAGTTGGGTCACCGGGACAGTCTGTAGGTGGGAGAAGGAGTACGGGTATTGGATCCCATGGAGGCAGTGGAAATGGCGGGATGGGCACAGACCCAAGAATGACATTCGCGAACGGAAACGGGGACATCTTCACCCACGATAACCATAATATCCACCCCGACCATGATCTCGAATCACGACAAGAGAATGAAGAAGATGAGGATGACGACTACATCGACGACTATCACGACTACACGATGATGTTTGTCCCCCGGACGAGAAGCAGTCGGTTTAGTTTGGAGTTTCGGGGCGAAGCGAATGGGAATGAGAAGCATGAGGATAAGGAGGGAGGTGGGGATGAGGAAGGGGGTATGGGAGGAGGAGGCTGGACGAGGATGTTTCGAAAGGTTTCGTGGGGTGGGCGGTCGAGGAGGGATTCGGGACATTGTGGGTGATTTTTTTTATCTATCTTGATTTATCCTTTTTGGGGGGTTATGTGTGAGAATGTATTATGTATTATATGGAGGAAGAAGTTGGGGTTGGGGTGTATGAGTATGAGTATGGAGAGGGATAGGGTTGATGTTTTTAGAAAGGTAGGGGTTGGGTATGTTTGGTTGGATTGGGTTGGTAGAGAGTGCTAGGAGAGTGACTGTACGATACTACGAACTGAGGAAGGTTGAAATGTATTGTGTATTGGTATGGGGGGATTACTACCAGTACTATTCTGTATTGGGTAGATGATTGATAGGATGGGATGGAGGTGGATTGTTCACACACTATGATGCTACGCACCTACTACACTACTCGCGGAAGTTATAGATATACACTGCAATCATTAATATATACATCATGCATCATATCAACATAGGGATATCTGAAATCAGAACAATCATACCAACATCATACTGGGAAAGCAAACAAACAGAGAATAAGAAATCGCATCACTCATATCCTAACCCCGACAGAATCATCCGACTCTCATTCACCCCCAACCCTGTCACCCCTAGTGCCCTCGACAACGTCCCCCGCCTCAATCTCTGTAATCCAATCGCCACTTTCCATCCCTCCGTTTCCTGCAACACAAACACATACCGTTTGCCTTCTTGGTCTCGTACCGAAGCCCGCAGCACATGAAGAATTCGTTGCTCTTCCCCGCCCCCTGTTGATAGTCGGCAGGTATTCTTACATACCTTGAGCAGATTGCCCAAGTACGCTTCGGATTCTTCCGGCGTGGGCTCGTTCGAGCGTCGGTTGAAGGGACCGGGTGGGGGCTTGGGAGGTTGACGCTGGTTGCCGTATTGAGGACACCACACTTCCACCAGGTTCATGGTCCAGGCTTTAATGTCCCATTCGCGTTGGCCGACCCCGCGTACTTCGTCGTCAATGAAGAGACCTTCTGTTGTTATCCGCAAGACGAGGCCGTCGGATACCATCCCCTGGCCGGAGACGAGCTGGGCCACAGGACTGCGGACGAAGCTGTTGTTGAATTCAAAGACGCCCTTGATGACGATCTTGTCGGGGTCTTTGGTTTCGTAGGCGCCGCGGTTGGACGGCGGAGGAGTGGTGCGGGCGGTAGATTGGGATGGGGCGTAGGAGGAGTCGGAGTAAACGGAGGACGCGCCGCCGTAGGGTCGGCGGGCGCGGTCTTGGGGTCGGAAGGAGTATGCACTGTCGGTGTCGGTGGTAGTGCTGCGGGTGTATGTGGGTTTCTTGGGGGATGGACTGCGTGGAGTGGACGTGCTGGATGCCTTCTGGTTGGCGGCAGCCGCAGCAGCTTCCTTGGCCGCCGCTTCTTGGGCATCTTTGGCTTTCTTCTCGGCGTACTTCTTCGCGGCCGCCTCCTTGAGGGCCGCAAATTTGGCGTCCGCCTCTTTCTTGGCTGCTGCTTTCCGTTCAGCCTCCTCCTTCTCCGCTCTAGCCTTGGCCTCCGCCGCCTCCTTCTCCGCTTTGGCCTTGGCTTCGGCGGCCTCTCGCTCCGCCCGGGCCTTGGCCTCCGCGGCGCGGCGCGCCTCTCGTTGGCGGGCTTCCGCTGCCCGCCGCGCTTCTCGCTCCCGCGCTTCCCGGGCCTCTTGCTCGGCTTTGGCCCGTGCTTCAGCCGCTTCCCGCTCCGCTCTGGCACGCGCTTCAGCTGCTTCTCGCTCAGCTTGTTTTCGCGCCTGTTCTGCTCTGGCGCGTGCCTCGGCGGCTTCTTTCTCCGCTTTCGCACGCGCCTCCGCTGCTTCTCGTTCGACCCTGGCTCGCGTTTCCGCAGCCTCCCTCTCCGCCTTGGCCCGGGCCTCGGCGGCTTCGCGCTCTGCTCGTTCGCGCGCCTCCCGGGCGGCCGCCTCCTTTGCGGCGGCCATCTCTTTCTCGAGCTGCTCTCGACGTTCCCGCAGCTCCTTTTCCATGGCCTCGCGCTCGCGCTGCTTCTGCTTCTCACGCTGCTCGGCCTCCCGCTTCCGCCGGAACTCCTCCATCTTGCGGCGCAGCTCCTCCTTGCGCCGGGTCTCTTCACGGGCCTTCTCCCAATCAGCTCCACTTTGGGGTTTGCTTTCAGAGCCGGTGGCAGACGAACCTGTCTTATCTGATCCGCCTGCCTGCGGCGGCGGTTGCGGGGGTGGTCCACCGGATCCACCGCCAGCATTGTACTGATTCCCGTAACCCGCACCGGGTGGCGGGTTGAAATTGCCCCCGTACTGTTGTTGACCTTGCGGTCCTTGTTGGCCTTGCTGTCCGCCGGGATGGCCCTGGCTCTGTCCCTGTCCCTGACCTTGTCCTTGGGCCCCGTGGCCCCTCGTGTACTCGCCTCCATTGCCCGAGGGTCCACCCGCTGGACCCCCGCTAAACCCAAAATTTGGCCGTCGTCGGCTCCCGGAATCCGATTGTGAATACCCCAAAGCCCAGCCGGCGACACCGAGTCCAATGGACAGCACCGCGATGCCCATGCCGCTGCCGCTGGTGACTGTGAGAGCGTACCATGTTTTCAGTATCGGAGACAGGGTGACCCATAGTAGGAGGACGAAGAGTGTAGACACGCAGCCGGCGATAAAACTGTTGCGTTGGGGCTGGAGGGAGGGGAGGTAGAGAAATCCGGAGCCGGCAGAGTGAGGGGGGATGATGAAAATATCGTAGTTTCCCGGAGGAAGATCGGAGGTCTTGCGGTATTCGCCCTGGGTGGTTTGGGGTTTCTCGCCGTGAGGGGGAGGGGGAGGAGGGCCGTCCATCGTGAGGTGCTAGGCGAATGATTCAATGGTTATATAATATATAGTAGCGTTGGTGGTGGCTATTGTAGGAGCGATGGCATTCGAGGCGACATGTTCAAGGTGACATCGGGTGTGCACTGGAATCCAGCGCGTCTATCCAGTGAGATGTGTTAGATGGATCAGGAACAGGTCGGAAAGCACTCACCTGGATGAGACAATAATAATAGGTGACACGATGGAGCAGAGGGAGGAAACAAAAAGCGACGTGGAGGAGGATCGCCGGCGGCAAGTAAGGTGACAACGGCTAGTCGGTTGGCTATCGCCATCCAGCGCTAAGCGGATCACAGCAACCGCAGCAAGCAAGTCCGCCTACTCCGTATCCTATACTCGATTGTCCGATCGGTGGGATAGATGGCTGCCTGTGTAACCTGGCTGATGTGGCAGACTGGCAGTGGAAGGGATGGATTGTGGAAATTGATGGGGAGTCAATGGCTGGGTTTCAGTGCGGTAAGACTGACAGGCTATACTTATCGATGGAATTCGCTCCAGCTGCGCCTACATTCTGAAGCAGGCTGCTGGATACCGAACTGTCCAGCCGTTGTCCTGCGATTTGGTTGACGATCGATGTGTCTAGTATGTGCTAAACTACAATTGTAGCACGTCCACATTCCAACGGAAGTCTATACAGCACAAGCAACGCCGCGAGCCGGCTGGATCTTCCAACCTTATTTGATCCTGGTCGGGGGAGATCAAGGTAATTAGCTAGAGTCTACCACGGATGTCACCATTCTTGCAGACTGCGATATTAGCAAGACAGCGTTGCTTGAGGCAGAAGCCGAGATCAATCCATGTTTGTTTTGGTTTCTCTCTTTGGGGCATCGCGCGGGGACAACGCTGCTGCTGATTGGTGGACCCCCACAGCTGCGATTGGCTCGATACAATTAGATAAGCAAATATATATTTGCTTCTGGTGATGTAGAGCCTGAGGCTTCTAGATGGTAACGTGACTCGATCTTACTATTCCGTAGTTATTGCCTATATTCACCGCTTCAACGACAAGGGAGGACCCTGTTGAAGCGCTTGACGGAGCCGTTCAGAAGTGCTTGATAAGGCCTTTTCAATATTTTAGAAGGTATCAACTGGATGCTTTGAAAGATATACCATAAGACGCTTACAAGATGCTTCGCTATGACTTGGGATGTAGGCGACCGCGGGTTGTCTGTAGTACTTCATACATGCCTGAGGCAGACACGATGAGTCGAATGGGCATCACAAGCTGAACATGAACGTCGTTCCAAGTCGGACCAAGTGGGAGATGGGTGAGATGAATTTCTCTGCAGGATACGCTGCAGTCTCTTCAATGGCAGTCTAACAGCTGTGCCGGGTGATCGCATGCGGCCCCGTGATCTACAGGAACCAAGTGATCACGGGGATTTACTTAGCAAGTCATTTGGGGAAGAGGAGGAGTATCGGGGCTCACTCCAGGTACTCCAGTCTCCAGCTCCAGCAGTTCTCCTGTCAGCGGTGGGTGGCAGCCGAGGGGCCGTTTCAGCCTTCAACGCCGCCGTACTGCCAGGCGGTGACTCCACGAACAGCCACTGGCGGCCTCCATCCCTCCTGGCCATTCCTGTCGCCTGCTGCTGCTGCTGCTACTGCTGCTGGCCAGTGATCCATCCGGCTCTGCTGGCTGCTGCCTCAATCCTCCTTTATCTGGTTCTCAGAAATCCTCTCCTCGATTTTCCCCCCCCCTCTTCCTTCTCTCCACCTCGTCTACTCCATTCCTACCTACCCCTGGCCTTGGTCAGGTACCGCCCCTTCCCCGCCGCCAACTGTCCTCTCTCGGTCGTCCTCCGTCCAACCCCGGCCAACTTCCCTTTGATGCAGCCATAGTCCGTCTCGTTGACCATCGCTCTCGTGCCCCTCGAGGGCCCGTCCCATTCCTCCCACCATGTCCTACCAGGCCCAGGCGGGTCACCCGGTCCCCGTCTACAACCCCATGGCCGCCATCAGCGCCCCCGCCGGCACCTTTCTGCCCGGAACCAAGGTCCAAGTCGGCAGCCATCGGGTCGTGGTCGAGAAATACCTCTCCGAGGGCGGTTTCGCCCACGTCTACGTTGTGCGCCTGCCTCAACCCGTTGATGGCTCCGATCGGGCGGTCCTCAAGCGCGTGGCCGTCCCGGACAAGGCGGCCCTGGCCAACATGCGCACCGAAGTCGAGACCATGAAGAAGCTCAAAGGGCACCGGCACATTGTCACCTACATTGATTCTCATGCGTCGCAGCTGCACGGTGGCGGATACGAGGTCTTTCTTCTTATGGAGTTCTGCTCCGGTGGCGGTCTGATCGACTTTATGAACACGCGCTTGCAGAACCGACTGACCGAGCCGGAGATCATCAAGATCTTTTCCGACGTGGCGGAAGGTGTCGCCTGCATGCACTACCTCAAGCCTCCACTGTTGCATCGAGATCTCAAGGTCGAGAATGTTCTCATCTCTCGCCAGGGGAGCACCTCTCTCTACAAGCTGTGCGACTTTGGCTCCACGGCCCCGCCGCGCCCGGCCGCCACATCCGCGGCAGAAGGCCGGCTGATCGAGGACGACGTCCAGCGCCATACCACGCTACAGTACCGCAGTCCGGAGATGATCGACGTCTACCGAAAGCAGCCTATCGATGAGAAGAGCGACATCTGGGCCCTGGGTGTCCTTCTCTACAAGCTGTGCTACTATACGACTCCGTTCGAGGAGGTGGGGCAGATGGCCATCTTGAATGCAAGCTACAAGTTTCCTAGCTACCCGCCTTTCTCCGACCGCTTGAAGATGCTAATTGGTAAGATCCTCCATGCGAGGTGGAGCCATGCTGACCGTTCCAGCCTGGATGCTGAAAGAACACCCCCAAAAGCGCCCGAATATCTTCGAAGTGGTGCGCGAGATCTGCCACATGCAGGGCAAGGATGTCCCGATCCGCGATGTAAGTGATGTACCTGCAGATGAAAGGGGAGGAAGCTCACCGGGATAGATCTATGCCAATCGCTCGACGTCGGAAGCCCGCCGGTACCAGGAACTCCCGCCATCACCCACCGAAACACCGCAGGTGGGTGCCGTCTTTTCTCCCCCGGTGCAGGAGACTCAGATCATTCCGGAGATTGCTCCGATGCGACGGGGCCGTCCGACAAGACCGACTCAGTCGCAACACAGCTCCGCCAAACCGAGCCCGTCCCCGTACCGCGGCTCCGGAGATCCCTTTGCAGTCCTCGATGCTGGCAACCGACAGCGGGAGTCTGCCGATGAGTTTGCCAACCGATTTCCCTCTCTGGACCAATTCCAGATCCTGCACGAGAAGGGGGGCAAGTTCGACTTCGAGCCCACCGTTTCCGGCACCAAAGCCGAAGACGAGGATCTGGCGCAGAGGCTTACCAACGCACTGGCAGACGACGCATTTGCCAAGCGGCCCTCGCCGGAGAATGAGTCGATCCCCAAGCCCGCGTCGGAGCCAACGGTCCTTCGACGCCCTCAGCCGACGCCGATCAAAACCAAGTCCTCGGAGGTGCTCGAGACCTACCGCGAGGATTCCCGGTCCCAGGTGCCCCTGTATCAGCCCGTTCCGCAGAAACCGACCATGGTCTCGACGGGCACGATGACCTCCCCTCCGGCGACGCCTGGACTGGAGTCCAAGCCATCTAGCCGTCCCATCTACAAGTTCCCTGCCGGTGACCATCAACGTCGGCCGTCCAGCCAACCGTGGACGGCGGAAACGGACCGGAAATCGGCCCGGCAGAGCAAGGTTCCGTCGCCTACCAGCTCCTCCTTTCCCAATCCAAGAGTCTCGGCCGACCGGGTCTCCGAGCTGTCCGCCTCACCGCGGCCATCCCTGGACGGGCTCCGACCGACCAATCTGGACGTGGAAGAGCCCGTCCGGTCCAAGTCGGCCAACAGTCGATCCCGGCCAGTATCAGTTCATGCTGGGGCGCGATTTGAGGTACCTCGCGGATCGGAGAGCGCACGCTCATCGCTCGACCTGCCGCGCCCGTCATACGATGGTGGCGCGCCCCTGCAACATGCGCGCACGGAGACAGACCAACCGTACGACCGCAACATCTCGTCGGATGTAGATTATCTGCGGGCGCGAGAAGAGGAGAGCAGCCGGAAGCGCGAGAAGCGGTACAGCGGCACGGCCAAGCACACCAAACGGTCAAGCCTGTCGACACTGTCACTGTCGGGCACGAAGACGCTGTTTGCGGGGCGGTTCGGCGATGCCTTCCGGCGGTTCGAACAAAGCAATCCGGACAGCAAGACGCAGTCTCCTGTGGCCGAGGAGTTTCCCAAGCCGGTGGTGCCAGCAGCGGAGGTGACGGCCGAGCCGGCCAGCGATCTGATCGAAATGGACAATGAGGACATCTCCCCCGAGATGCGGCGGGAGCTGGAGCGGCGGCGCCTCTCCCAGGAGGAGAAGCGTGTAGCCAGCGCGGCGGCGGAGTACCGCCGGCGGGTGGCCGAGGGCGGCGCGGGCGGCTGGAAGGGCAACGACGGATCCCGGTCGCAGGCGATCCAGAACAAGGTGCAGTCGCTGCTCAGCGAGTCGAACCGGGCGCCGCCTCCGCCGAAGACGGCGACGGGCTACGGGCGATACACGGACGAGAGCCCCGCTTTGCAGGCAAAGCCCACGGAGGCGCGTCCAGATACACGGGTGAACACCCGGGTGACTGGCTCGGGGTACACGCCCTCTGCGGCCTCGCCGGTGCAGGAACGATTCGAACCTCGCGGACTGTCGCGGCAGGAAACGGCGTCGACCGGATATGCGGTCTCGCAGCGTACGGGGCCGCGGCCAGCGCTACCACCAAAGCCCAAGGGGCTGCGGGTTGGTGCAGCGGAGAGCCAGGACAGCAGTTCCACGGTGACATCGCCGACGGTGGGGGGCGATGATTGGGAGGAGAACTTCAGCCGACGATTCCCAAGTCTGTCGGGATTAGAGATGGAGACGGAGATCGAGATGGCGCGGGTGCCACTGCGGACGCGAGAGGTGTAATGGTGTTGAGATATAGATAGAACGTAATCTGTTATACATAGGTAGACCTGTGCGATCAGCGAGCGAGCAATGCATTTACCAGTGAAAGTTAGTACGGAGTAGCACTGACAGATTACCGAAAACGGCTAGTCTACCCCGGATTGAACTCGCCGCGGTTCTCTCTTCGTCTCCATCTCTCACCACAATCCCACCATGGCTCCTATTCCCCTCAGCGCGGTCGACGGTGCGTCTATTTGGTTTCTCATTCTTCTCGATGAATGTTTTACTAACTCGCTTCCGCTTCCAGCCGACCTCAAAGATGTCATCCAACACCTGTTTGAGATCCAATCCGCGGTGCACGGCTACCTAGGCCCGGAGACGCAACAAGAGCTTGTCCGCAAAATGTACGCCATGTCTTCTTTATTATAAATCGTAAGACTAATTTGTGATGAATAGAAAAAACCTCACTATCGCCCTTTCAACCCTGAGCACCCACACCGCCGATACGCACCACGCCGATGCCATCCCCAACAGCAATCCGAACGACCCTCCCGTGCACAGCATCCAACTTCCCCCCGAGATCATCGATTACGTCGACGCGTCACGAAACCCGGATATCTACACTCGTGAATTCGTGGAGTTGATCCAGCGGGGCAACCAGGACCTGCGGGGAAAGAAAGAAGCGTTTGGGAGTTTCCGGGATGTGTTGGCCAGGGAGATGAGGGGAGCGATGCCGGAGGTGAGGGGGGAAGTGGATCGGGTGTTGGCTGCTACCGGGGGGGAAGGGAATGGGGAGGCAGGGCGTAGCTGAGGGGGTAATTTCAAGGGATAGAGGGGAATATTGGTTTGGAGTTGGGGATCCGTGAAGGGTTGGAGTTATGGTATTTTTATGAATGTTATTGATTATGGCTGATGGTGATGCTGAGGTTGGCGGAGTCGGAATCCATTGCCGACCAACCTTAGACTTTCGAGTCACAAGTCAGCAAGGTTCAGCCTTGTGGCCGCCCAGCGCCCCTGGGCTGGGGGGTGCTGAGGCTATTAATATCTCCCAGGCGATCCACGTGTGGACGCAAGGGTTGTGAAGAGATCTCTCTGATTCTGTGGCCGGTTGAGGGAAAAGACGTCTAGAATCACCCAGGAGGGCTATCCCAACATCACCCTCCAGCGTCCGCCCAGCTTGCCGGGCACACACCAGACCACCTCCACTGTCATTAATCTCTCCACCCGGAACAAATCCAATAAAAGACCACCAATGCAGCAGCGCAGCGTCACGTCGGGCCCCGCCCGTCAGCCGGGCAGTGGCTGGCCCCAGACGGAAGGGATCTGAGGGCCGTCGACCTGTCAGCGTCTCCATCGGAAGTGAAGTGGCCTTGCTGGATGCTTGCTGGTTATCATTAGCCATCGGAAAAAACAAGCCCTGCCCCGGATCCTGCATCTCCTCTTTTGGGGCTCGCTTAGTCTTTCCTCTTCTCTTCTTCTCCTCCTCCTCCTCCTCCTCCTCCTCCTCTTCTTCCTCCTCCTCTTCATTTCTCTCACCATCACAACATGGCATCATGATCACTGGCGCTACCGCCTCCCCCGGCAATGGAGTCGTTGGGCCGTATACCGGCCACAGCCTGGCTCTTCGCATCGTCATCGCTACCATGGCCGCTCTGTCGTGGTACAATGCTATTGAGTTGGTCATCCTCGTCTTTGTCACCTTTTCCCAGTACCGCGGACCCTACTTCTGGTCTCTGTTGATTTCGTCTTTGGGATTAATCCCCTACTCCGTCGGCTTTTTGCTGAAATACTTTGCCCTCACCTCGGCCACCGCGTTATCCATCACCCTCATCACCATTGGCTGGTATGCCATGGTGACCGGACAATCGGTGGTGCTCTACTCGCGCCTGCACCTGGTCCTTCCCAACCCGCGTGTCCTCCGCCGCGTCCTGACCATGATCATCGTCGACGCCGTGCTGCTGCACATCCCCACCTCCGTCCTCACCTACGGGTCCAACCTGGCCCCCAACAACACCGTCTTCATCTCCGGCTACAACATCATGGAAAAGATTCAAATGACCCTCTTCTGCCTGCAAGAATTCATCCTCTCCGTGCTCTACATCTGGGAAACCATCCGCATGCTCCGTCTCGACCCCGACCGCGGCAAGCGCAAGATCATGTACCAGCTGGTGGCCATCAACCTGATCATCATCTCGCTGGATCTAGCCCTCCTCGTCATCGAATACCGCGACCTCTACATCATGGAGACCATGATCAAGGGCGTCATCTACAGCATCAAGCTCAAGCTCGAATTCGCCGTCCTGGGCAAACTGGTCCTCCTTGTCCGCGGTGGCACCCACCTCCCCAACGTCTGGAAGCCCGACACCCCCATCTACTACCACCGACCTTCGCGTCGCGAAGACTTTCCAGATTTCGTCGACGCCACACGCGTCACCTCCGACCTGACCCACGCGGTGGCCCCGCCGGCTGCGCGACGCCGTGAACATCCCCGCATGGATTCAGAAGATGTCTCGATCGCCATGTTCGAGCACTCGGTGGAGAGTCCCCGGGTCAGCATGGTGCGCAGTGGCCGCGACCCGCCCACGGGCCACTCGGACATTTCGCAGTCGTGGAGTGGCGAGACGCAGACGAATAACTCGGCGGGGGAGCGGGAATTGAGTCCGACGGATTTTACGGATTCGATTCAGAAACAGAAGAGTATGCCGAGTAGTTTATGATTGATGATTATGAGGTCATGCCGGTTGTATAGTATGGTGGTTGTTTGGTAGCGAAGATACCCTTGTACCATGGACGTACTGCATCATGTTTTATGCTTTTTTTGACATCATTTATTTACAAATCCTCCTCGTACATACATAGTAGAATAGTAGAATACATACTACGTACATAGTAGAATAACGATCTGAGTAGGACAAATGGAACCTACTAGATACATAACTACCGTCACGCAATGAGTCACCTTCCCCTCACTCTATCTACCAACACCAAGCACAAGCACCAATAACACAAACCCCTCACCAATCCTCGTTCCACTAATTTTTAACCCACCCACCCAATCCTACATAGTACATTGATAGTAGTATTTCTAACAGGTAAAACATGCCCATGCCTCGTGAATCACGACAGTGTATCTATCTTACCTCGGGTACTCCGTACTCCGTATAGTGGAGACCAATCAATAGTGGGTGGATCGGTACACAGTACCACTACCCGATGATATCATGCTCCCCAGCCCACGCGCTCATTATGAACAAAGGACAAAGGATTCCTGCCCCTCTTTGCTGCTAGTACGGAGTATGATATGATTGCGTTTGTAAGCATGTCAGATAGGAGGTTATGTAAGATGTGTATGTAATCTGTGTGAGGGATTATACAGTGGACTATGTACATAGGGTCGGGGATATCCGGTTCTATGCATGGTATGTAGACAGTGTGGTGTATGACATCATGCGATGGTACCTGGTATATATTACGGAGTATATATGTAGATAAGTGTATGGAGTGGGATGAATGGATGGTGAATAACGCATGTAGTACAGTGCTATTATGCATGGAAGATATTCAGCACGGAGTTCGTTGGTGGTATCTAGGATTCCTATATCCTCCATTCCTGGTTACTGTATAGTCTAGAGTGCGTACGACTTGGATTATCTTATTGCATGGTTTCTTATCATCTCTTCATTACAGGATGTGATACAGGCGGTGAGTGGCTTAAGGGGGTTTACAAGGATTAAGCACCCCTGTCAGAAAGTCACCACGCGCAGGTACATCCCTTACCATTAAGCATCACCATCTACAAACATTAATCCCTTCAACAATCAATAGCCACCACACAGCTGTAAACCTTCAAACAATCTCCCACCCCCATCACCCCTAACAACAAAAACATACCATCCAAGCATCAATGAAAGCCCTATACTCCCTCCTCACACGCCCACGCCTCCCCCTTCATCAACTCCCTAAACCCCAATCCCACCATACCTCCCCACTACATCCCAACTCAATCCACCACAGCTCAACCAAAACTCCCTACCGTCTCCTCCATCCCCTCACTCCAACCCGTCCACACATCTGGCTCGCCGTAACCGACACCCCCCCAAAGAAAGAATACATCCTCAAACGCCCCTCCCCCACCGACAGCACCCTCTCCTCCTTCACCCACGAACTCACCATGTAGCGCCTCTTCATCCACGACCCCATGATCCGCAAACTAGTGGACTATATCCCGGATTCGGAACCCGCGGGGCCGATGATGGTGCTGGAAGCGTTCACGGATACGCTTTGGGACGTGAGACGGATGAGAGCGTTGAGTATGCGGGAGATTAAGTGGATTATGAAGGGGGTGTTGTTGGGGGTGTGGACAGTGCATATGAGGGGGTTGGTGTATACGGGTATGCTTATCTCAATATTCAATGATGAGTGGTTGTGATGTGCTAATACTGAGGATGTAGATTTGAAAATGGAGAATATTGTTCTTGGGGGATTTGATCCTGACCAACCAAATGAGAATGTCAAGGATGTGATTGTCCGACTTGCGGATTGTGGGGGAAGTATGTATCCTCCATCTTCCTCCATCATTCGTCAGTATAGATTTGGTATTGTTGGATGTACTGACGAGGTATAGTTCGCAAACCATCAACGGAAAAGATTACAGCCCTTACATACCGCAGCCCAGAAGTCCATTTCAACAAACCCTGGGATCAAAGCACGGATGTGTGGTCGTGGGGGATAATCGTATGCTACCTCCCCCAACATACATCATCCCTACTAATGGATACTCCCAGCTCGCGCAACTCCTCCAAGCACAGGTTGGTTTCCACGCCCCAGGCATCTATGACACCCTCAATCCTCTACCCCAACTTGTCCCCAAAACAGCAGTCGAAAAAGAACACGCTCTCCGCGATCAACTAGCCATCGACTTCGACCTCTCCTCAGTACCTTTCTACGCGGACTGTAGAGAAGAATTACCCCCACCACAGCCAGAACAGGCATATATGTGGGCGAATACGATGGTCGAGAAGGGGGTGGCAGCCGAGGATGTACAGTTTCTGGTGGAGGTATTACATCCCGATCCGCGGGCGAGGATCACGGTCAGGGAGATTTTGGAGGGGGGGTATTTGGGGTAATCTTGCTTTGGATGCTTCGATTGGATTGGTTGGAGTGGATTGGATGTGTAAGATAGGATGATGTAGACTATCTCCATTCTCGTGGGTTTATTACTTGATGTATGATGTAGTGCAAGATATAACACATTCGTAGTTGAAGAGATCATTGCCTGTATGCTTGATCAAACTAACGCAGAGAAGGCCGAGAATGCAGTTATTCAAAAGAGTACTAAATATTCTCTTCCGGTTGTACATTCTTACGATGCTGACACTTATTTCTTGTTACATAGTTAAATCATGATCTCATTCCAGGTACATCGGCGCAGTCTTATAATCCCCGTCGGGATCCGCCACATCCAATTAGCCCATCTCACCTACTACATAATACTCCATACTATATAAATGCCAACCACCCAACAAAAACAAAAAGAAGCAAAGAAAAAAAATGGAAAAGAAAGATACATACAACAGAAGGGATTCGCTGGTGGTCACCCACCCAACTACTAACCTCCCGGCGTGTGGCTTAAGTACGGCTGAGCGGACGGGAAGCCCTGTTTTCCACACCCTATGGTCGTATGTACCTGGTTCTTCTTTACTTGAGAATATACAGAGCACGCAGATATCGTTAGTAATAGATGGTATGATTTAGTTACGGGTAGTAGGTGGATGATGGGATAATGCTCGCATGATCAATGATGGAATGGATACTTGTACTGACCTGGGTACTTCTGTATGGTAAATAATCGTATTAATGAATTATAATTAGAATGTCTACGTACTAGAATTACTCGTACTCTGCAGGCCCTGTTGCTTCATTCTGGCTTGTAGAGATACTCATCTACAGTCGGATAGTAGGTAGATTAGTCTAGCTAACTAGATGAGTATCGAGACCCAGGAGTATTTTCTCTTTTTGCATATCTTACTATCATTGATCCAGATCGCTCACATCCTGTGTTGTCATTGAGATAAACCTACCTATATAGAACTAAGAATATCCCTATCACATCCATCAATATGTAATTATCGCTCTATCCTGATTCTGTATAGTTATATCCGAGTCCATTAATAGAATTGTACAGTACCCTTATATACAGTCCTGCAGGTTCAAGTGTTAGATCAATAATTTGATTAGATGATAAATCTCTCGTGTCGTGATAGGAATTTGGTGAGATGGAGTACTATACAAGTAGGATATTATCTTGACGGGGTCGTGTATATAACAGGTATCAAACAAGAAGGTAATATATCTCCTCCCACGCAGAACTAGGAATCATCTGTAATTAGTAACCATATAGGTGCTCAAAACAACCGACTCGATCCTGAAATGATACCCAGATTAGATTCTGATGAATCACAGTGATTGGCGGGATGAAATGGGGAGATAGATCGTAAGCTAGTTATTCTTGAGCGGAACGGACGAATATTTATATTCTAGTGATGTCCCATAGAGGCTCCGATTGACAGGGCTACATGCTAGATGCTCAGTAGCAAGGTGATAAATCTTCTCAGAAATTTGGTTCCTATTTCGTGTATGGACATTCCAAGATCCTGCAATGGAGACATCCAGTGAGCACGGAAAGTCCTAGAGCCCGTTATGAATTGGTAGAATAACGGAAAGACATCAGATCGATAAACATCTTAAGCTATCGACCCCACAGGACCGGCTTCTTTCTCGCTAAACCAGGATAAACCTCCGAAATTCACGAGTAGTAGAGACCCATTGATGAAGGTCACACTTCCCAAGACCAATCCGTCTGCTGACGCCGTTTTTGGTCTCCACTGCCATCACATGGACCGTGAATGTCACAGGAACCTTTGGATCATTCTCTCTGGAAACAAGGACATGACCATTGGAATCATACCAGCAGAGGTCTCGATCGCCATGAGAAGGCAGCAAGGAGAGCTCGATCGAAAGAGCGAGTATATCCAAGCAAGCATTGGGCTGGTTGTGGGGATGAACTGAAAGCCAGTGCCAAGCCGTAGTGTCTGGTCGAATCATCACTGCCAGGTCACCACTCAGGGTGCTTAACTCCACCGATAATCCTAAATCATCCCGTAGCGATCCTACCACTTGAACACGAGCGGACTAGATATGTGTCAATAAGGCTCCCGGGCGACAAGCATGTTCGACGAAGGAGGAGGGAAATATCTGGTTCAGATCAATTGAGTCCACACCGAGGGATTCCTCGCTAAGATGGCCAATTGAGACCCAATTGGACTGAATCATAACCGCATACGCCTGCCAAGTGGTGTTGACGTTCAGCAAGGGCAGTGGCGGTCCTGAAAAGCAGCCCTTCTTCCATGCCAATGTCACGCCAATCCCAGTGAGGATGTCAGTATCATTCCAGTCCTTTGTGACATCTCCAGAGGAAGGCTGAATGATCTGCACAGATGCCATCTCAGGGTCAGCAGATGGAAACCCCCACACTCCCAAGGGCGTAGTATCGACGCCAGAAGGGTGATCAATTTCGCCCTTGATTGAGGACCACGACCAGGAAGGAAAGATATTTCCTGCTTCTGGAATCCTGGCCTCGTTTGTCTCGCCCACCGACACCCAGAGCATCCCCTGAAAAAATTCACGGAACGGTAAACCATAGTAATGCTCCGAGCCATATCGCCAGTGCAGAATCCCAAGAATGCCTTGAGAACGTCTGAATCAAAAGTAAAGGCTCTGGGCGTCATTTTCTCCACTAGCTTGCCATATTGAATGGCTGAGTAGGAACAAAAATGAGTCTCTTCGGGTTTATTGGGAATGACTCGATCTTCTTGAAAAACGGCAGAATGTTCAGAACACTCATAAAACACCCCGGTGCTTGAGAAGAGTAACATCTTTGGCGAGAACACGGCCTCTTGCAAGGTCCAACCTCGTGAATTTCATTTTGACATGTGTACAAGATAGCTGTATGGCGCCTGCTCAATCTTCATGCACATATCCCGGGTTCGGTATGTCTTTTGGCCACAATCCCTATCTTGCATCACTCCAGGAAGACCGTGATTCATGTCCAAGCCTTCGATGTCAACCAGGGTAACATAAGAATGGCGATAGATATCACCCATCGCATTGATCTGGGCGTTCTTGAGGCCCTCGTCGTCTTGCACAATGCAGAGCCTGTCAACCCAAAGATACCGAATTTGTAGATCACGGCAGGCGCAGATGGCATCCTCGATGGTAGCGGGTAAAGGGTTCTCGAACAGATACCCTTTCGCTTCCAGTGCCTCGATAGTGCTTTTCTTGGCCTGAAAATATGAATCGGCGGTGGCACCCCACACATAGCTCAGTGCCGCATAGATGTAAGGGGGATGGGGGGGGGGGGGGGGGGCACCACCAAGCAGCCCTTTTGCGTGTCAATCAGTCGAAACCCAGGCGGTGCTGATTCGAGTGGCCCCGGATTACACCCTTTCCCGTGCTCTTTGGCACACACTTCCAACCAGGTGCGGACGCGGGGCCAATCGACCCTCAACGGTGGTTGCAGCCGCTCCATGTATAAGGGTTCAGCTATATTGGAAGCTCCATAGAGTACAGTCCTGTATAGCCTTCGGTCTTCGGGATGTCATCCATTCAGATCAGGTTGTGCTCGACCCAAGGGACCATAAAACATACCGTCTTCATGGCTGGCATCGATGAAGAAGTCAAAATCGCCACTTGTGTGCAACATGCCAAGTTCCAACCTAATCGACTCATCAAGCTCGGAGCGCTCCAAGGCCATTGCTTGAAGGATTATAGAGCATAGCTCACAGTGCTCAGCTCGCTGCTGTATCTCTAGGGTCTTCCCAAAGTTCAGAGTAATAGTCCATGATCGATAATACTTATCATCTATGTTGAGGCGACGCTTTAGCCAATCCCCATACAACCCACAACGTACCAGGTGTCTCAGCCTTAAGTGGCCCCTTGTTGGGCACCTGCTCTTGGCTGAGGTGTTTGCTTTTGTGTCCGTACCCTGTACCTTCTCGACGGGAGCACAGAAATTTCATGTATTTCGTCATATTGTCGGATCCTCTGAATACGTCTCTTTGGCTGCGTGGTTAGCACACTAACAGGCAGAAGGGGATATGTACATATCAGAGCCCGACCTTGATATCAAGCACCTTTCAGGGTATTATACTCTCTCTCGAGGTGCAGGAGGAATCGGGAGTTCGGAAGATCAAGAGCTAGCATTTTAGTGCTTAGCTTAGCGGGGTAGTGGGTGTTCTGACAGGTGATACGTCTCAAGAGAGGGGTAGTCTCGATAAATAATATTGACTAATAGATGGAAGGGCTTCCTTCCTATCTGCGGGCTGTCTTGGAGTAGTTGAGAAGGTAGGTAGAATATGTGTTAAGAAAGTGGAATGACATCTTATAAGGTTGGTGGCAGAGGGAGTAACTGACCCCTACGGAAACCTTCCGTTTTTGTATGGGATTCCCATATAAAAATCAACGATATTAGAATCTTGATAACTCAACAGACATATTTCGTATGGTTTAGAAACTCTAACATCATATATGTTTTATATGAGGCTTTACTAACTGAAATTCATCTTGTGCTAATAATAAACTAGATTTTAGCTAGATCAGTGCCTGACAAACAATATATGATCTACTTTCTTAGATAACTTCTTTTATATGAAGAACTTGAATATAATCTCCTTATACTATTATAGAAGTGCATGATATATATACAATGATTAGAGAATATCTCATTAAACTCAAAAATGGTGGAGTCACGAAAGATTAATTGTTTCTATCTTTATATGGATCCCCCATTTAAGGACGGAAGTTGTGTTGAATGGTCCATTGTGTTGAGTTGTCAAGGTCACACGTAGCGCGGCCCGGAGGGTTACGTAGGGATCAGTAGCTACTCAGGTACTGTCTACGTCTGGTTACCTCTTGTGTACAAATTGGTCTGCTACCAGTGAAGCATTCAGTAATCTGCAACTCCATACATATAATACAGTCATCAATATCTGCATCCATTAAATCAAGCTCAAACGCCCTGCATGCCGGATGCATTCCAAGCGCCTACAATTCACAAGAATCAAAGTCCCGCAGACACCAATCCGGTCCACTAAACACACGGCAGCCTTGCCAAAGAAACCATCAACAAGAAACCTCGCAGTCAAATTATGCGTCCAACGCTCATAAATGCAATGTCACCAACCATTCAGCTCCGGTTCTTCGGCTGCGCCAGCATGTTCAACCGGCTGACGCTCAGCACGCCCCGGCTGCGCGGCCGTGCACTCCCCGGCGTGCTCTTGCGACTGGCCGTGGCCGACCTGAAGGGAGTGTGCGAAAGAGCCTTGGTGGGACTGGGCGTGGCTTTAGTGGGACTGACCATGGCTTTGCTGGGACTGACCGTCGCTTTGGTAGGGCTGGGAGCCGCCTTGCGCGCACTCAGGGCAGGTGCCTTGATCGGAGAAGGTAAGCTCATCTTCATGCGTTTGGCACTGCGCGCTTCGGTGGTGGAGTCGGCAGGGGGCACATTCTCGGCGTCAGTCTCGTCCTCGAGGGCGGAGCGGTTTCTCTTCTTCTGGCCGATACCGTGCGGTACACCCGCCACTTCAGGGAGAGCGTCGGTCTTGGCATCATCAGTTGCATCTCGGGTTCTCTTCTTGTGGCCGATCCCATGTGGCACGCCCGCAACCTCAGGTAGAGGGTTGGCATGGACGTCCGACTGACGAACATGGCGAATGGTTGGGGTCGTCGCCTGGACGGGAGACTTGGCGTTTTGCTCCGGGGTCAACACAGGGAGAGTGGGATAAATAACATCGGAGATGGTCCGCGATGGGCTGACAGTCTTCGACGGGGATGGCGAGAACAAGGCCTCCTCGTGGCGGGTCTCAACCATCGGGGTGAATTCCACACGCTTCTTGGGCGACGGTGTCTGAGCAGGCTCCTCGGTATCCCGCTTCCCGAACAGCAAGTTCGAACTGAAATCAGGAGCAGCCACGTGGGTGCCTGCGGCAATCTTGGCGGGATCCTTGGAAAACAAAGGCTGGTGGCGGCGAAGGATTGACTTCAGGTTACCCAAAGTGGGCAGGTTGCTCTTCAGGCGTGGGTTGAACTCCGTCTGAGGCGTGCGTGGCATATCGGCCGGTTTCGCAGCAGGGGATCGGATGAGGGAGGGAATCAACGACGTGCGGGGCGGCTTGATACTGGACGCACGTGCGGCTGAGGATCGAGTGGGGGTGAACAACGAGCTCCGGATCGATCTGGGCCGGGTGTGGGCGGGCTTGGGAGGGCTGGCCTCAGTGGGACGACGCGTAGACGCATCATCGGTCACGTCGCGCTTGACGCGTTTGTTGCTGGCCGGGGCAACCGGGACGGGCGACGGACGTGCAATCTTGGAGGGCGACGTCGAGGTGCGGTCCGATTCATCCAAACGCGCCTTGGAATTGGTTCTCTTGAGCGTCTTCACCACTGGCTGGAAGCGTCCCGGGGTGGCACGGAAGGCGGACGCGTGACCAGCAATGGAATCCATCTTTTTAAACTCGGCCATGTGCGCATCGCTGAAGCGATCGGCCTTGCCCTTGGGCTGCACGATCTTCCGGTCCGCCGCCTGCTCGGCGCGAGTCTGTGCAAGCTGGTCGGCGATTTTGGGTTTAATCTTGGCAGCGTCCTGGCGGACGGTCTCCATGAGCTTCTTGGCCTCGTCGCTGAGCTGCATGTCGCAGGCAAACTTGAACTCGAACGCGGGCGTGCCGTAGTAGTTGGAGGCGGGCGAGGCCTTGGCCTTGGTGGGGGTGTTTTCGAGCAGGGTGTCCTTGACGACCTTGCCTTCGGCGTCTTTCTTGACAGGGTTGAAGCCCAGGATCAGGCCGGAGTCGGGCTGCTTCGTGGTGCTCTGACGGACTTTGCTGGGGTGCATCTCCTGGTGGGGGGGACGCGCCATGGTGCTGGAGGGGGTTTTGGAAGGCGTCTTGGTGGGGGTGTTTCTGTGGGGGGTGCTTTTGAGGGGAGTGTTTTTGAGAGGAGTGTGGGTAGTCTTCTTCGGAGTCGACAGCTTCGCGGGTTCAGCCATCGCTTTGGGGGTCGGCAGTTTAGTCGCAGTCGGCTTAGCAGTCGACTTCACAGGTTCAGGCATCTTTGCAGTCGGCAGCTGGGTATCCGAAACAGCTGGCCGAGACATAGGCGCCTGGGTCTCAGGAACCGCGCTCACTTCAGCAACTGCCTCTGAAGCAACCACCTTGGACTTTCTCTTGGACACAGTCTCAGTCTTGGACTTTCTCTTGCGCGTCCGCTCAACGGGTTTATTGTCAGTGGTAGCATCCTCCTCATGTTCCACCACGGGGGCCAATCTCTCCGACTGCTTGCCAAGACGAGCCATCTTGTCATCCTCGATTTCGGTCTCGGAGTTGGTGTGAGTCTTCGTGTCGCGGGGCGCCTTGTTGTCAGTAGTGACGACGGGGTCAGCCGGGGCCTGAGGCTCCTATAGACAGTCAGTGAATGGCTGCAAGGGCTAACGTGTGGTGGGAGGTGTGGATGCTCACCTCGGAGGGCTGGCGGCTGCGTAGGCGGGCAGACCGTCGAACCGCCATGGTGGGGTGAATTCTAAATTGTAGATAAGTTGATTAAGTCGTGGGTCGAATTGGCGACGATTGGGTTGGTGAGAATGGTGAAGACAGGGTGAGGCGACGCAGAGGAGAATAAACAAACACCCGGGCTCAACCACCCGAGGCGGTGAGCTGACGTCAAGGCTTATGTAAGTATATACTACCACCACTGACACATGATTCATATCCCCATGATTCATCTGCTACTCCGTATGGAGTACAGAGATACTGAATAGTGTCATCGCTGCTGCACTTATTTTTACTGTCAAATAGCACGTAGACCGAAGGATATACCCTTCTAGCTACTGGTATAGAAGGTATAACAAACGTCTCAACATTTACTATACCATACCACATTCCTCTACTAACCCACCATTCTAACCCTTCCCTCTTATCCGACATATGTACTCCGTAGTCTAAGTATAACTTCACTTCATCCATCACAACCCAAACGGATACGTCTCCTCCGTCCCCATGGCCGTCTTCGGCTGCCCCGTCTCCAACGGCTGTACAGCATCCGTCCGATCAAACCACACATACGCATCAAACTGATCCAACAAATCGACCTCCGAATAATGCGACATGCGCTCCGTCTCCGGCCGATAAATAACCCCAATAAACCTCTCCAACCGGTTCTCCCTCTCCATCAACTCCCTCAACTCCCCATTTCCCTTCATCCCCCTCAAATCCCACACGAAACTCTCCACCCCCGTCCGATGCGCCAACCACTCCCAACTATCCTCCCGCGACGGCCTCACCTTCATCACCTCCATCTTCTCATCCCACTCCCGCGCCGCCGCCACCGTCCCCGCATGCGTCCCACACCCCACCAACACCACCTCCCCATCCCCATCACCATCCCCAAACTGCTCCCGACACAGCTGCCCAATATTCACCTCCCTCCCTCCCCTCCCCATCCCCGTATACCGCGCATCCCCACAATGCGAATTATGCGCCCACACCACCGCCTTCCCCGCCGGTCCCTTCCGCCTCAACACCCGCCGCAACGTATCCACCATATGCGTATCCCGTAACGTCCACGACTCCGCAGAACTATAATACATCGCCTTGTAATATCTCTCCGCGTCACGCACCAAGTATGCATTCTGCTGACTACTATGATATTCCTCCCCGTCGTGCGGATCCAGCTCCGTATACTCCAGTCGTCGCTGTAACAGGTCACGCAGCATATCCACAACCCCCTTCTCGCAATCCGCCATCCCCCGCAGCGAGGCGAGCCCGTACGCCGTCGGATCCTCTACCCACGGCTGGAGACAGCCGTATCGGCGTCGCGCTTCTTTACCTGCCGCGGGGTCGATCCGATCTAGGTAATCTGTGACGGCGCGGATGGACGTCCCCAGACTATAGAGATCCAGACCGTAGAAGCCGACTTGTTGGGCCGCGGGACGGGAGGCGTTGTATGTGCGCAGCCATTCGATCAGGTCGAATGTTTCGCGATTTCGCCACATCCAGGTGGGGAAGCGTTGGAAGGGGGGTTGCGAGGCCGAGGAGGAGGAGGAGGGTTTCGGGGCTGGACGTTGTCGGATGTATCGGTCGATGGTTTCGGCGTCGGGCCAGTCGGCTTCGATGGCGATGGTGGTGACGCCGTGGTGGGTGATGAGGCGTTTGGTGATTTCGGCGCGGGCGGAGTAGAATTGCGAGGTGCCGTGGCTGCCGTCGCCGAGGAGGGTGATGCGGGAGGAGGAGAGGAGGGAGTCGAAGTGTGAGGCGAAGGTGGGGTGGTGGATTGGGGGGAGAGGGTGGGCGGCGGTGGTGAGGAGGGTTTGGAGATGGGACATTTTGGGTTTGATTGGCATGAGGTTACTGTTAGAGGATTGTGGTGTTCATCGTGGGTGATTGAGATAGGTATGGGGTACTGGTATGGTATGGGTTATATGAATTAGGGCTGCGGCGGGAATGAGATCACCGCCCGCTCATCATGACTCAAGTATCCACCTAGGACCATTTCAGATTCCGAGAAGTCAAAATTCTACGCTTTCATCATCCTGAGAACCCTCACGACGCTTACAGTTCATCTGCAGGACGCGCTCCCAAATCAAGCGGCTGATACGTCGTAGCCGTTCATACGTCGCGGTGGACCGGCCGGAGCTGAATGAGCGGATGCAAAGGCGGGGGCGGGGCGAAGCGGGTAAGATGCGTTCTGGAATATGGTAGCCTTGTAGCTTGTTTCCAAGATATGCTTCTGTTTGGAATTTACTTTGAACCCACTGGACGCATTCACCTGGGATAGATCGACCCTTGTGACTTCTTCTCCAAGGGACCGGCCTGGAGAAGACATTTCCAAGTCGCTCTGAATGTCCCTAGTTGTGACTCCCGGTTCAAGAGACCGGGTCTACTAAGAGCTTACAAGATAACCGGTTCTTCATACCCAGAAACTATATTAACACCGTTGGAAAGAACTACAACGCAACGAGCCCCAGCCACCGAGTCCAGACGGTGCGCTACCTCCTGTCTTTACGCTAGGCATACAGCTTCTCTAGAGTGGGCGGGACCGTGTCCAGGGAGGTGAATCTGCAATGCCCCCTGTCTTCCATGGTCTCGCCGTGACTCTCCGGTTCCCAGGCGGGCATGGTTTGTGTCTCTCCCCACATCAGGAGTCCGAGGGCTGCATGGTCCAGGTCTTCGTCCTTGGGCGGGTGACAAGCCGCGCTAATGGCAGCACTACAGGAGCCCACCACCGGGATACTGGATGGGTACTTGCGGAAAGACAGCCCGATCAATGCCAACAGCATGATCGATCCCACAATGAGGGACAAGAAGATCGGTAGCCCCAGAAATCCCAGCTCGCTGACTTTTTCGTTCTCAATCGGATGCTGATCGGCAAATGGCATCACCAGAACATAAAAGAAGCTCTGCGAGACCAGCCAGTGAAGCAGTGTCGAGCTCACCAGAAGCGGTATCGAATACCGATATGGCAGACTGAGGTAGTATGTGGAGCGCTGTCGACTGTCCTTGGCGGGCCAGGTGACACGAAGCGATTTTCGCTTGACCCCGTAGGAGGAGTATTCGGCATTGGCCAGCATATTGGTCAGGATCTGGTTATACCAGTAGTATGTGAGGGTCAACACCACTTGGGGGATGTTTGCCGTCACGGCGTAGGTCACCATGGGCCACCCCAGTCCCACCACGTCCGACGCGAAGTACACTGGGGTGTAGTTGTCCGAGTAAAACTCAGTTTGCCACAATTCTCGGATTGCGTATGAAGACTGGGTGGGATCTTCGTCCCCTAGCAAAACGCGTTCCTCCGTGAGAACAGCTTGCTAGAGGAGAAATGCACCCATTCCAATCATAACCGCAGATCTAATATGGGTTGTCGGTGCATTGGCGAAGCTATATGCTTTGGCATGGGAACAACTTACGTCGTAATAGCCATCAACCAACGGCTGACGCTTGGAGCTTGCATCCAGCGCTTGGGGCTTTCAAACTTCCTCCATGAGTGTGCCTCGCGTTGAAGCTCGCTCTCCGGGTTAGCCCTGGACAAAGCAACATGGCGCAACCTCCAGGCTTGACGCGAAAAGTCTTTGCCCGAAGCCCAGCACATTCTTTCTGTTGTACTGTCCGGTCCTGTCATGAATGATGATATCGCATCCCCCACATTCAATATCGGCGCTGGCCGAGAGCGACCGACTTTAGCCGCCAGTGCTATGGCTATAACTTTGACCAAGATAGTCAACGAGATAATAACGCTGATTGTTGGACTGTATATTAGTTCACATATGGTATCAGTCTTGATCACAAGGCAGCCATTGGTCTGGATGTAATCGTCTGGTTCAACCGAGCTCTCGCAGGCGGTGCCATAGGTTTGTATCGCGATATCTGATGTCGCGTGGACTTGCATGTATTCATCGAGTCGTTTCCTGCTCGGCTTTTCTTCTTGGAACCAGGTGAGTAGATCGTGAGCCTGAGTGCAGGTTGAGTTAGCCTCTTCCTCTGGGAGGTACTCAAGGAGAGGCATGTGGATGTGAAGAAATTGTATGACGTGAATTCAAGATTCACATCACCTTCAGAAACAGTGATGTGGATATACGGCGTTTCGATCACATCCTTGAATGAGGCTGCCCAGACAGTCCCATCATTGTGAACACTGAATTCGCTGTATAGTATGGAGTTATTGCTCTCTTTGACAGAACTGTCGGTAAACAGCATCATCAGTTTAACCCCCGACTGGGTGTTTTGATTGGCGAAGGCTATGCATTCTTCGCGGTCGAGAGTTTTATAGTTTCCTTGTTCCAAATCGGAAACAAAGTCATTCCACCTGTATTTCGCCGTATAAGGATAATCCTCTGGAATCCTGCCGAAGCATTTTTCAAGGCTAGGCGTAGTCAAGTTCCCGATATTTGTGAGAGATACATCTGATAGGCCCACAATAACATCATAGTTGTTTGCAGGAATCGACTTGAATACAATTGAATTGTATCTAATTTCAATTTCCTTTGTTAGCCTCTTTACATCAACACCATATTCAAAATCTTACATCAAATGGAAGGGGCTGCCGTGATTATAAGCACAAACCATATGGCCAGACAGGATTTTGGCATTACCGAGAGATTTTTGAGGCTGGTCAATCCGATGTCGAGCTATTTGTGTCGTGCATGCGACTGATCAAGCTTCTATTGAATTGGTGCAACCAGAGTTTGCATCGAGTAGTTACTTGCTGCCAGATAGCCTGTGTTCAGAATATTAATAATCAGATGCAATGCGGTGTCCCATCAGCTGGTGATCGTGCAGCCCCCTCGGTGGACTACAGCCGTGGACGAAAAGGACCCATTTTCGGAGTACCGACTTGCCAGTCCAGCAGCAATGCCGACAAAGACCAAGTTGAGTGCCAATACCCCCGCGGCTGCTTTGGCGCAAAGAGAAACACCCCGAATCCAGTGCTTCCTTGGGAAATCGTTAGTGTCGATCGAAGTTATGGCTAATCTTTCTTCCTCTTCTTTTCCTTATTCTTCCCTAGAATCGATCTCTGGCGACATGATGTCAACTGATTGTGTGTTTCTTTCGAATCATGGGCGGGAGAAGAGAATGTATACCTTAGAAACCAAGGGCAGGAGGGCAAAAGCAGGATATGTGCAGTACTTAAGCTAGTGCTTACATCGGGTATCTAGTCAGCCTCGCGGGTGGTCCACCCCCACACGCTCGCAGGATGAAGGATCCATGAAGCTGATAAAGGTCAGTTGAGACCTAGCGTATATGGAAATCTTTCGACAACCTCGTTTATCAGCGAGCTATTGATAACTCAGGTTTGCGCGAGTTTCTGGTTTAAGGTGATAATTGGGCCATTGTATGTGAGAGGCAGGTTAGATGCTAGCGGAAAAGCGTTCCGAGCCGCCCACGTCGCACGTGGATTCTAGCAAAATATACGAGGTTGGATATGATGTATGTGCTGATTGGTCATCGATCATGAACGCGTTGGCTTTTCATATTCTCATTCTTGAACCTTGCATTATATTGAAGAGGGATATAGTAGATATTGTCTGGTTTTCGACAATGAGAAGATTCGTACCTTGAGCGAATTGTATGAAAGAAATACCTTGCAGAAGAATCCATGCTAGCTGTATTTATCGCAGCCTGACAGTGGTACAGGGATGCACGCCCCGGTGTTACGCACCCCTCCTCCTCCTCCTCC